TTTCTATTATATGTACCAATTTAACCTGCTATTTTTTCAAAGAAAACATTTTTTGGAAATATTTTTTTTCTTCAAGACTCGAAAAATTTTTTTTATTTATTTAATAAAAAAATTGATTTTTTAAAATTATTTTTTAAGGAAATTTTTTTTTAATATTTTTAAGAAAAATTTTTAAAAAATTTTTTAAGACAAATATTGGGAAATGAGTGTCTGCTTAATTTTTTTAAATTGAAAAAAATTGTTTAAAAATTTTTTTTATTCCTGTTTTCCTTAACTTACTCGGAATGGTTAATTATAATATTTTCCCTTAATAAAAATTAGCGCCTGTTGGTTTTTCGATAGGAAATTTTTTTAAATATTAAAAAACAATTTTTAACACATATTTTTTTGTATTTTCTTAGAATTTTAAAATTTTTATTTTTTTTAAATATTAAAAATTATTTATTAACTACTAACTTATAAAAAAACTTAATTATTTAAATAATACATGTCGTGATTTTAGACGGAAATTTTTAATTATTTACTATAGTTAAAAAATACAATTAATAAGTACTAGTTTATATAAATTAAAAAAATTTCTAAATACATTTTTTAGTACAAAATTGTTAAAAATAAATGAATATTTATGTCTAGAATATTTTACACTTTATTAATTTTAAGAAATTTTAATTTAAAAAATTTTTTTTACTTTAAAAAAATTTTTTAAATTAATACTAGTAGGTTATAAAAATAAGGCAAAAAACTTCTTTTTTTTTTGGTTTTATTAAAGCAATTTTTCCAAGCATTTTTTTTTTAATTTTGTTGAATTTAAAAATTAAATTTTATAAATTTTTTTTAGTAGAAAAATTTCAAAAAAAATTTTTATTCAAAAAAATATAAGAAAAAATTTTTTTTTGAAATTTTCCCTTGTCTTTATTAAAGAAATTTGTTCCCCAAAATTAAAAAAAATTTTTGAATTAAAAACAAAAAATAAAATTTTCATTAACCATATTTTTTCAAAAATAATTTCAAAAAAATTTATAAAAAAATTTTTTCCACAAAAAATTCTACTCTTTAAGTTTCTAGATTTTTTAAACAAATGCATAATCTAATTTTTTATATTTTTTTAATCTTTTTTAAATTTATTTACTTTAGAGTGGGTCCCCTATACAAACATTATATAATTTTCTTATAATTTTTTTTCTCATTAAAATTATCCCAAAAAATATATAAAGTTTTGGGGGTATAGTTTCTCCATATAACGCAATTTCCTGTTTGCTTTCTTCTCCTGAATATTTTTTTACTGAAATGAAGATATCGGAAATGAATGACGCTAAATTAAATTTCCCATATATGCTTATCAAAATCAAACAAACAAAAAATTTTTTTTATTCTTTGGTTTTTCTGAAAAATTAATTTAAATGGAGGGATATAACTTTCAAATAATTCCATTATATAATTTTTTAATTTTTGGCCTTGCTTAATTAAAATAATTTTTTAAGTTTTTGCTTCTTTAAGTAGCTTTCCGGGAAAAAATTTTTTCTTATTTTTTTTAAAAATTTAAAAAAAAAAAATTTTGAAATTTTTTAAAAAATTCTAAAAAAATTGCCAAGACTTAGGTCCAAGGCCGCACTTTAAAATACATAAAAACCGAAACACCCCCCAAGAAAATATATATTTGCGACATGAAATGATCAAGCTTTTCTGTGATAGCTTTACAACAGGGATGGATAATTTTTAATTTTAAAAAGCGAAAAGCGGAAGCGGATCTCAATCCCTGCTCTACATCCTTTATTTTTAAATTTTAAAAATGTGTGAATTAATTTTTGTAAATTTTTAATTGACCAGTCTATCTTTTCTAAATATATTTTTTCATCTACTTTGACTAAATTTTTTAAAATAATTTTTTAAAATAATTTTTTCGGGGTTTTTAAACTTGTGTATTTTATTCTATATTAATTTTTAAATTTAATTTTGAAAAAAAATTTAAATTTAATAAAATTTTAAATTTAATGAGTGTATACCTATGAATTAGACTAGAGGGAGGAAAAATTAATAAATTAAATTTAATTTATAAAATTTAATTTACCTATAAAATAAAAATTTTTTTTTTAATTTTAATCATTTTAACTCCCTCAAATAAATTCTTTTTTTACGTAATTAAAAATGAATCCGACTCAAATCCCTCTACTAATTACGTAAGTATACCTATTTTATTTATGTACTTATTTTTAAAATGATGATGATGAAGCCTCTGCGCAATTAAAAAATAAAAAAATTATTTTTACTAAATAAAAATAATATTTTTTTGTGGACGTAAATGGCTCTCTGAGATTATTTTTAAAAAAATAATAATTGATGCAAAAATTAAAAAAAAAAAGTATTTTTTTTAATGAATTATTTTTTAAAAATATACGTAATTATTTTTATGTTTTTTACAACAAGGTATTTTGTTAGGGAATATTTTTTTTTATTCCTAATTATTTTTAGAAGGGCATTTTAAAGGTTCCATTTTAGTGTGGCTAATAAGGACCGGACTGGGAGTGTCGTACGAGAATCGAAATCTCAAAAGATTCTAAATCATGATAACCTCGTCTCGGTCCAGTCTCTTTATTAAAAAATTTTTTTGAATTATTTTATTTTTAAAGGGTTATTTGGTTCCATTTTAGCGTACTGTTGGTATTAGTTTTTTAAATATTTTATTATTTTTTATTTAAAATTTTTTTATATTTTCCCATATTTGCAACATAACAAAATTTTTTAGTTATAAAAATATTTAAAAAATAATATCTCGCAATTAATTTGAAAAAAATTTTTTTTATTTAGCAAACAAGCATTTTTGTCTCTAATACCCTTTATTTTTAAAAGCTTTAAAAAATTATATAGCTTCAAGCAATTTAAAGACATCTTTAATATTTTTTTATATTTTTTAATGTCTATAATCGTCATATATATTTTTATTTTTTTTTCATTAATTTAAGCTTTAATTTAAGCTTTAAATTTAAGCTTATTTACCTCCACACTCATTATTTTTGTTTGCATTGAAAAATGCTGTTTGGTATTTAATATTTTTTTAGTTAAAAAAATATACTGTCAAATTTCATTCTTTAATTACCCCCTAAAGATTGAAATATTTTATAGTTTATAATGAATTGCCTATTTAATTTAGTGACTGTTGCGGGACGGGATTCCGCGCTGGATTTTGCGGGATACCGCTCCCATAATCTCGCACTTTTTCCGATCTGCGGGATTTTGCGGGATTTTGCGGGAGTGCGGGATTTTGCGGGATTATTCCCGTGGGACTAATTCAAACTTAGTGTTCGACCACCAAAAATATGTTTAAGAATATGTATATTTTAAAGTGAGGAGTGTAGCTAATCTTGGGGGGAGGTATTTAAAATAAGGTTTCTTAGTTTAAGGTTCCATCACTAAAATTCTCGGGTCAAGTGTAGCATTTCTAAAATAAAAATCATAAATCATTCAAAATCATTAAGGGTCCATTCAGGTTTTGGATTTTTTAAAATTTTTTGTTTATTTTTAAATTTCTATTTTTATTTAAAAAAAAAATAATTTTTGAAATAATTTTTTATTTTAATTATTATTATTTTAAAAAAATATTATTTTCTCTCATTTTCCATTTTTAAACATTTCCTCCTTCATTTTTGACATTTTCCTTTATAAAAAAAAGATTTTGTTTTTAAAATATTTTTTTTTGTATTTATTATTTAATGAGTTTCTTAGAATTTATAAAACACAAAAAAAAATTTTTTTCACTAATTTATTTTTTTTAATTTTGAATATTTTTTCTATTTTTGTTTTTTTTGTTTTTAATTCTACTATTTTGTGTATTTTGTGTTATTTTGTTATTTTTATTTATTTTCAGAATTTTGTGCACTTGATTTTATTTTTACCTATATTTATCATTTCCGTTTATTTTTGTATTTTCTTGTATTTTACTTTATTTTCAGAATTTATTTTCAGAATCTATTCTGAATTTTTTTTTGAATTTTTTTCAGAATTTATTTTCAGAATTTATTTTTCAGAATTTATTTTCAGAATTTATTTTTCAAAATTTATTTTTCAGAATTTATTTTCAGAATTTATTTTTCAGAATTTATTTTTCTGAATTTATTTTCAGAATCTATTCTGAATTTTTTTTTTTGAATTTTTTTCAGAATTTATTTTCAGAATTTATTTTTCAGAATCTATTTTCAGAATTTATTTTTCAGAATTTATTTTCAGAATTTATTTTTCAGAATTTATTTTCAGAATTTATTTTTCAGAATTTATTTTCAGAATTTATTTTTCAGAATTTATTTTCAGAATCTATTCTGAATTTTTTTTTGAATTTTTTTCAGAATTTATTTTCAGAATTTATTTTTCAGAATTTATTTTCAGAATTTATTTTTCAGAATTTATTTTCAGAATTTATTTTTCAGAATTTATTTTCAGAATTTATTTTTCAGAATTTATTTTTCTGAATTTATTTTCAGAATCTATTCTGAATTTTTTTTTGAATTTTTTTCAGAATTTATTTTCAGAATTTATTTTCAGAATCTATTTTCAGAATTTATTTTCAGAATTTATTTTCAGAATTTATTTTTCTGAGTTTATTTCAGAATTTATTTTTTCAGAATTTCCATTTTTATGAAATTTTTCTGAATTATTTTCAGAATTTCAATTTTTTCAGAATTTCAAAAATTAAATTTTTAATAATCAGAATATTTTCTGTTATATTTTATTTTTTGTAATGTTATTTTATTTATGTTATCTCCAGTATTTTATTTTTTTAAATATTTTTGTGTCTATTTTTTTTTATTTTTTTTCTATTTTTTATTTTTGCATGTTTTTAAAATCTTCTTCCGCTTTTTTTTTGTACTTTTACTGTATTAACTATTTTTTTACTAATTTATTTCCTTTCAGATATATAATAAATACATATACCCTTTTTAATACATTCCAAAGCAAAATTATTTAAAAAAAATTTTTTAAATATTTTTAAAATTTTTAAAAATTTTCCAATGCTTCATAAAATGTTAAATCAACAAGAAGAAGAAGAGCAATCTTCTATTGCTTCTGTTTTCAACAGAAAAATAAAAACAACAGAAAATACAATTTTTAATCACCACCAACAGCAACAGCAACAACCAAACAAAAATCCAAAACCTTTAAAAAATACAACAAAAACACCAAAAATTATCTCATTGTCATTCCCCTTATTCTTCTTATTCACCATACTAGTAGTAGTAATTTTGCCATCATCAACCAATTGTTCGTCGTTGGAATCTTCTTTTGAAGGAGTACCTTCAAGTAGAATTATTGGATATCCTTTTATTTCGTTTGAAGAAAATAATAGAGGAGGAGGAGGAAGTTTTGAGGACCCAAATAATAATTATGAGGATATTATTGAAAATAAAAAGAAATCACAAAGACAACGACGACTTTTACAACAATTAGTAGCTAATGAATTGGTTGCAGCAACAGCTGAAGGAGATGATAATGATGATCCTACTTATGGACAAACATTTCGTGGGGCGAAGAGAACTAAAGGTGAATAAGATTGACTAATTATTTGGTCAAAATTAATTGTTAAATAATACTAATAAAATGCCAATTAATTGGTCAAATAATAACAATTAACTGTTCAGAAATACCAACAAGTTACCAATTGAATACCAATTATTTGGTCATCTAATATAACAATTAATTGTTAAATAATACTAATAAACTAACCAATTAAATTCCAATTAATTGGTTAATTAAATATCAATTTTTTAATAAAAAATACCAAATAAGTTAACAATTATTTGGTTAATTAAATGCCAAATAACAGATGTCAAAATACCAATTAATTAGTTAATTAATTAAACAATTAATTGTTTAATTATACCAACAAATAACCAATTAATTGCTCAATTAACTAACAAATAATTGCTAAACAATATGAACAAATGGCCAATTAATTGGGCATTTAATGACATTATACGGTCATTTAATGACATTATACGGTCATTTAATGCCAATTATTTGACCAATATTGACAACAAAAAACCATTTAATTGGGCAACAATAAACAATTAATTGTAATTAATTGACCTTTTAATAATAAAATTTATTAAAAAAATAAAAATAAAAATTTCTGCAGATTCATCAACGTCAGGATTTGCCAAAATGGATGCCCTAAAGAATAACATGATGCGGGCATTAATAAATCTTAGGCGATATTAAAAAGAAAAATTGTTATTTTAAAAAAGATTTAATTAATTAAATGCTTTGCATTTTCTTTAAAATACAAAAAAAACGAAATTAGAAAATGTCAAAATTTATTTTATTTTAAAAATAAAGAAAGATCTCAACAACAAGATTATAAATTTGCGAAAATAATTTAAAAATATTTTTTTTATTTTTTAAAATTTTTCGTAAAAAATTAAAAAAAAAATTTTTACAAATTTTTATAAATTTTTAATAAATTTTTACAAAAATTAAAGGAAAAATTTTTTTTATTTTTGTAAGAATTTTTTAATAATTTAAAAAATAATTTTTATTACTGATGCATTTAAAAAATTAAAAAAAAATTTTTTTTTATTTTCCTAAACAATTTTTATTTTTTTTTAACTATTTTTTGAAATTAAAAAAAATTTTTTTAAGTCTAATATTTTTTAATTTAAAAATTTTTAAATTAATTTCAAAAATTTTTTTATTAATTTTTAATATTCTTAAATGATTTTTATTACAAATAATTCATTTAAATTATCAAACAAATTTTTTTTATTAATTACTATCTGACCAAAAAGACTGTGACATAGTAAAATAGAGTAAAAATTTTTTAAGTCTAATATTTTTTAATTTAAAAATTTTTAAAACAATTTTTATTTTTTTTTTAAATTATTATTAAAAAAAATAAAAATTGTTTACTTCTTTGCAACTTGAATTTAAAAATAAAATTAATTAAAAAATTAAAAAATAAATTTTTTTTCTTCAAATTAATTATCTGTGACACTTGGTGAGACGAAAAATCATTTTTTAAGAATTTTTTTTTTTTTTATTTAACGCAATAATAATTTTACAAGGCCGGAAGACATCTTACACAAAACAACCTTGAGCAACAACTACCGCTTGGGTGTTTGGGAGAGAAATTTTATTAGTTGCGATTCGACATTGAAAAATTTAATTTAAAAAATTATTTATGCGGTTAATTTAATAATTAATTATTAAAAATTATTAAAGAATTATTTTAAAATTATTTAAAAAATTAAAGTACCCCTATTGTAAATCTCTTAGCCCCGGGTAAGCTTGGATCCTGCAATCTCCTGGCAGTTTTACTAGAAACTTTCTGTCACCACGTGTAGGTGGCCTACTGACTAAATTATTAAATTATTGAGACGCCCTCCAGATAACCATTCTCTATTAGTAAGTATTTGAAATTGGATCTTCCTACCCTCTTACAATCCTGGATTTATTGTAACGAGCTTTCACTAACCACGTACATGTGATCTTATTAAATTATTAAGACGCTCCTTCACCTTATTTTCTTTAACTTATTTTAAACCCTCCTCTAATAAGCGTTTATAATGCTGGTGGATCTTCCTTGCCTCTTACAAAACCTGGCAGTTATTGCCAGTAGCTTTTGCTGACTACGTACAGAAGTACTCTTTTCCCCCTCCAAGTCCTCCCCTCTTTTATAAGAAAAAATAAAATAAATAAAATTGTTTAAAAATTGGACAGTCAGACCTCTATTTTATGAAATAATAAATTTTCTTAAATTTATTGTTTAAAATTTCAAAAAGAATTATAAATAACAATAATAATATTTTTTAATTTTTTACTTCCTTTTATTAATTTAAAATTAATTTTAAAATTTTGTCTAAAAATCAAAATTTAATTTAAACTTTTAAACTCCCCTCCAATGTTTCAATCATTTTTAAAAAGTGATTAATTAAATTTTATTTTATTTGGAGGGGTTGCTGACGTTATTAATAAGTGTTCTTTTAAAGGGTTGGGGGATAATTTGTCTTCGATTTTTTTATTTTTTTATTTTTTTTTTGAAATTATTTTTAATTTTCTTGGGGGAGTAATTAATAGTCTTTAAGTGTTCTTAATTGGTGGGGGATAATTTTGTCTTCATTTTTTTATTTTTGAATTTTTTAAAATTTTTTGGGAGAGAGGGGGTGTAATTAATATGTAGTCCTTAAATAAATTTTTTGGGGTAATTTGTCTTCTTAAAAAATTTTTTTTTGATTTTTTTTTAAATTTTCTTGGGGGAGTAATTAATATTCTTTAAATAAATTTTTTAACTTACTAATAAATTTACTTTTAAAATTAGAAAAATATTTTTAACTTAAAAATATTTTTTATACTCCTTTTTTAACAAATAAGGAAGTACATCTTGAATTAGACAAATAATTTAATTTTTTGTTTTTGTTGACCTTTTTTTAATAATTTTATTTTAAACTGGTAACTGATGGGAGGAGGAGGAGGAGTATTTTTAAACAATTTAAGGAAGTTAAAAATTTTTTATTTTTTTCAGTTAGCCCAATAATTTAGACTATAAATAGAAATATTATTTAATAAAAAAATTTATTTTTGGCCCTCTCCTTCCCCCAAATTAATTATATTTTTTGGTAACTGGTGGGCGCTGCATTTAGACAATTTAAGGAAGTTGAAAAAATTTTTTTTAAGTTAGAAAAATTTTTTTTTATTTTTATCCCAATTTTTAATAACTAAAAATATTTTTTTATTTTTAATTTATTTAATAAAAATATTATTTTCTGGCTCAATCCTTCCCCCCAAATTAATTATTTTTTTAACTGATGGAAGGTGTATTTAGGCAATTTACGGGGGTTAAAAAATTTCTAAGTTAGTAAAAAAAATTTTAATTTTATTTTTAATTTTTTGGCCCAATCCTTCCCCCCAAATTAATTACTAGTATTTATTATTTTTTTAAACACTTTTCTTATTTTTATTCTTTACATATTTATTAATTTGTCCACTCTATAAAACAAAGAAAAAATTTTTTTATAAAAAATAAAAATAAACATGTATATATGTCCACCAAACAATAAGAACAACAACAAAAACAATAAAGCTCTCATCTTGTTTTTGTTTAAAGTCGGCGATTTTTTTGGGAGGAAGGGGGATTTTTATTAATAAAAAATCCACTAAAAACTATTGCTACTTGCGCGCATCCCTTTATATTTTTCTCTAAAGCAATTAAAAAATAAATGACCATTAATAAAAATAAATTGAACACTCCTTGCCCTAGATATATATTAATATTACGTTTGATTTACTTGTTTTATTAATTAAGCTAAAAAGAGTCCGCAAACATTGTCCGCAAAATATTTTGTTTCCGATTTTTATATTTAAAAACAGAATATTGAAAATCTGAATTTAGTGGATAAAACTTAAGTTTACAAAATTAGAAATTAAAATTTAAAATTAAACTTGTAAATCAGAATTTAAATTATAAGAGTGAGAACTTAAGTTTGTAGCATCAGAATTAAATTGAAAAATAAAAATTTTCTAAATCAGAATATATTTTAAGAGTAGATACTTAAGTTTACAAATCAGAATTTAAAATTTAAAAATCAGAATTAAAATTGAAGTTTACAAAATATTAATTCTGATTTTGTAAACTTAGGTTTCATTTTCAAATTCAATTCTGATGCCCAAAATTAAGTGCTTTTTACACTCAAGTTTACAAAATCAGAAATTTAACTTTAAAATTAAACATTAAAATCAGAATTTTTAAACATAAATTAAACATTAAATACCAGAATTTAAGTTTACAAAACTAAAATAAATTTTTAAAAATTACAATAATTAATTCAATCATTGGAGAGAGTCAACCTGTATTGGGTAGGGGGAGAAAAGATGTAAAAACGCTGCTAAATAAGCAACTCGCGCACGGGTTTTTAACTATTTATTAACTTCAATTAGTAATACCAAATAAATTTTCGTTCCAGCTATTTTATTTTTACATCTTTTTAATTGCTTCCCACACGCGCGTAGGTGGGGGGGCAAAATTTTAAAAAATAATAAATGTTAGAGGAATTGTCTTCGGACTATTTTTGACCAATTTAGGCAAGCTGTCTGTTAAGTATTCTGATTTTATAATTTTTTAGAATTAATTACAATTTATTTTATTTTTGAGTACTTACTTTATTATTTTAACTGTCGTCACTAAATATGATCCAGTTCCACTTTTTTTTCTTTTTCTACTTCCCAAGCAATATCGCGCAAATAATGTTATAGCTTGCTACTATTAAGTGTACTTCCTTTGCTACTTTATCCTTTTTATAAAAAATCCGTAATAAAATTTCCACTTAATGGGATAATTAAATTCTAGACAAGATTTCTGATTTTGTAAATTTGTATTGTTATTATTTGCAAACTTAAGGTTGTGCTTTTTAATTCTAGAATTATAAGAGTTTCGATTTTGAATTTTAATTTTTATTTTTTAAACTTAAGTTTTCATATTGAGATTTAATTCTGATTTGCAAACTCAAGTTTTTTTAATTTAATTCTGATTTGCAAACTCAAGTTTTTTTAATTTAATTCTGATTTGCAAACTTAAGTTTTTTAAATTTAATTCTGATTTGCAAACTTAAGTTTTTTAAATTTAATTCTGATTTGCAAACTCAAGTTTTTTAAATTTAATTCTGATTTGCAAACTTAAGTTTTTTAAATTTAATTCTGATTTGCAAACTCAAGTTTTTTAAATTTAATTCTGATTTGCAAACTTAAGTTTTAATTTCAAGTTTTAATTTCTGATTTTACAAACTTAAGTTCTACTTTTAAACATAATTCTGATTTTTATTAAGTTTTTAATTTAATTCTGATGCTACAAGCTTGAGTTCATACTATTAATTTAATTCTGATTTTTGAACTTGAGTTCCTTCTTTTTAAAATTTCGCATACTTGAGTTTGTAAATTTAAATTCTAATTTTTAATATGTATAAGTTTCTGATATTGAATTTTAATTATTAAGGACCACCAATAATTACCAAATAATTTTACTTAAAAAAATAACAATTTATTGTTGTTTGTAAATTTCTTTTTTTGTTATGTAACAAAAAAAACATAATATAAATTTATTGTTCCTCACAAGAACGAGCAGTAATTTTGGAGAAAAAGTAATTTGGGGGAAGGGATAGATTATATGGGGATTGAGGGAAATTGTTTTATTGTTTAGTAGTTTTGATTGAGGGAAAAAGACAATGAAAAAAAGTAAAGAAAGCGTGCAAATAATTCTGCAAAAATTGACAAAAATTAAAAAAATTGTTTTTGTTATATTTGCGCTGTTAATAAAAAAGGAGAAAATTAAACTGAAAATAATTTTTAATTATTTTTTAAAATAAAGGCTGAAAAAAAATATTTTTTTAAATTCATCCTTCATTCAATTTTGGGTTATAAATGACAACAACAAATGAAAAATCAAGTCAAAAAAATCAACAAAATTTAAATAAAGAAGATACAAATTCACAAGAAAGACGCTCAAGCAATTCGTCGTCAAATAGCACCATATCATCATTGGGTAACAGCACTGGAAGCGATTCTTTTGGAAATTCTACAAAAGGTTTGGTTGTAAAAACTTTAAAATATTCTGATGAACAACTTGCACAAACGACAACAAAAAAGTCATTTATTCCAAATTTATTGTTGGGATCAAATGTCTCAAAAATTAATCCAACAGCTAACAACCCTAACAACAATAATATCCCACAAAATCTTCATCCTTCACTAGTTTTGGATAATAAATGGAAAACTAATGAAAATTCTTGTGTAAAAAAGGGAAGAGAATTTGAAAGGAAAAACTACTTGATATGGGTAAGTGGTTAAAATTTTGAAGTTTTAAGTTTTGCGAAATTATTTTTTTTTAATTTGGCGTAATGTTTTTTAATAAGCGTCCCAATAACATATTTCACCAATACACATTTTGCCAATAAGGCTAAAAACTACATTTTTTCAACTAAGCCTTATTGGCAAAACGAGCGATTTCAGTCTTATTGGCAAAATATGGTATTGGTGAAATATGTCAAGCCTTTTCCATTTAAGTTGATTTATTGACATTTTAGTCACTATTTGGTATTATGAAAAGTTGACAAATTTTAATTTTGGGAGAGTTGACACTTTGAAAGTTTTCAACACGTTTCTTCTTTTCCTTCTTTATTTCTCTAATTTTTTACTATTTTTCACTATTTCAAGTTTCTTATTTTCTCTATTCTCTTATATTTTCATGTTCTCTTGTCTGCTTAATGTTGCATTAATTAGACACATTTTTATAAAAATTTTTTTTCTTAAATTTTTTCTTAAATTTTCTTCCTGTTTTATAAAATCTTTAAGAAAATTTAAAGCCTACAATTCTTTTTCTTGTTTTATTGTTTTCTGTATTTTCTGTTGCATAATACGTGGTTTTGTAGTTTTTAGTATTGAACACTCCCCTCTATTTTCTCCTCACAAAAATAGCTATTTTGTTACTTTTAGTTTTCTCCCCAAAAAATGATTTCTTTTGATTTCTTTAACACTGGTTAAGCATTAGAGTCTTTTTAACTTTTCTTTAAATAATTACTTAGATTACCGAACAATTTCTAGGAGATACTCTCTTATGTATTTCAGACTCTAATGTCACCTTCCTGTTATCTTGGGACACGCCCAAGTAGGCGCGCGGTCATAACGGCGCAAAGCCATAACTTGCTGGAAAATTTCTGGCCCTTATAAATTTTGGTGCCATTCTCTTTATCTCGTTGAGAGGAATCGTTTAATAATAAATTTGGTAGGATTCAGAACTCTTGAAGCAAGTTATGGCTTTGCGCCTTTATGGCCGCGCGCCTACTTGGGCTATACCTGTTATCTATTTTTCCCTCAAAAATTTTTTTTCCGTTATTTTTTATAAGCGCTTTATTTATAATCACTTCTTAGGTAAACTAAAAAATTGATAAAAAAAACTTATATCGATGCGCCCCTTTCGAGATACTTCAGGGGCCCGTCGTAGAAATAATGGGGCATCACAAGAACGACAATCACTTCTACAAGAAGAAGAAAAGGACGACGAAAAAATGGACAATATTAGCAATAAAAATTTTATTATTAATAATATTTCTGGAACTGATTATTCTTCAAAACAAGAAAAAGAAAGGTTATCTCTTATTGGTTAGTTTTTTTTATTTTTTTATTTGGGTTGGTGGTTCTGTCCATCTTTAAAAATTCAACAAAGGGAAACTTCTAATTTTTTTACGAAAAAATGAGAAATGACATGTACCCTTTGGACTAGATTTTCCTTTTTTGTGGAGAAATAAATAGGTTTTCTGTCAGTGGACATTATGTCCCTATTTCCTTTCCAGTAGCCAGGATTTTTTTTCGGGGACCACCTGGCTACGGGCCTGCTTATTTTAGTTGACGTGCCTTAACCGATGTGTACCCCCCTGGCTACTTGCCCCCTAATTTGGGCATATTTTCTTTTTTATCAAGTGGGACGTAATGTCATCCCTATTTTATTAGATTATTTTTACTAGTCTAATAATCTAATTTTTTTGTAGATGGACCAGCTTCACTCGACACTTCATCTATTCATCAAAACTCTTCATCAAAAAGTACTCCATTGCCATTTAAGCACCTTAAACATGGCAAAAATGATTATCGTCATGTTCCGCATACTCCAGAAGATTTGATAGCACACGAACCTAATTTTGGTGGAAATGCACAATTAGGATTTTATTATCCAGAATCTGCAGATGACGATAGTTATGATGAGGATAATGAAAATTTAAAGCCTGATGAGGCTATCATCTTTGCGAGGAAGGAGGTTTAATTTAATATTAAAATTGGAGTGGAAGGGTGTTAGTTTCGGGCGGATTTTGTTTAAAGTTATCGTGGGGCTGATAAAAATTTTTATATCTTAAATTGAGAGTAACCCTTTTCAATCCAACTCGTAAATGATGTTTAAATTTTATTTGAATTTCTGAGTGTTGGGTATTGGGGGCTTTTTGTGGCTCCGGCTAGAGCTAGCTCATGGACTATACCCAGTAAGGTTGGCGGATAGTTGGAAATCTTCTGATATCCGAACCGAAAATTTCCGGATATTTGCCTTTTTTCGGATCCGCATCCGTCAACCTTAATACCCAGATTTGATTTCTAACGATTATTAGAGCTCTATTCAGAAAGTGTTCTTTAAAAATTGTTTTACACAGCGGCCCAAAATCCGTATCCCCTCAAAATCTCTATTCCTTAAAATCTCTACTGGGCTAAAATGCCTTATAATCTCTACACAGCTAAAATGCACTAAAATCTCTACTCGGCTAAAAATGATTAAAATAACTATTCCTTAAAATCTCTATTCCTCATAATCTCTACACGGAAAATGCCTTAAAATCTCTACACTGCCAAATATAGGATAAAATGTCTATTTTTCATTGAAGCCTTTTGAGTATCAACGTTAAGTGCGGAAACATTGTTCTGATTTCTGGATTATCTTTTGATATTATTTTGCTTGTATAGTTTATGCCTGTGCGGATGAACCCAGCCAGGCATGTCTAGCAGGACGACAGCAGCCGCTTCGATACGATCAACGCAAGGAAAATGAACACGACCGCAGCGAAGCAGTCGTGTCTTATATTTTCGATATTTAAGGCGGATACAGGCGGATATGGCAGCCATTTTAAACCAATTGTATCCATATCCATTAACAAGTCTGGTTTTTCCAGCGAAGGATTCAGATGGTACTTTTGTTGAGACTCAACCGTCAATTTGCGCGGTGTAGAGATTTTAATTATTTTTACCCCAGTAGAGATTTTAAGGAATAGTTATTTTAAGGAATAGAGATTTTAAGCATTTTTAGCCCAGTAGAGATTTTAAGGAATAGCGATTTTAAGGAATAGAGATTTTGTATGGGAGCCCCAAAATCGTTCCCGCCAAGAATTGCATTTTTTACGTACTATTTCTTTCTCTGCATCTCTATTTTTTCTCTTTGTTTTACATGCACTTTTTTTGTATTTTTCATTTACTGCGTTTTAGTACATATCTCGTTTTTTACTCTTTTTCATTTTCCGGTCTATTTTTCTCGCGTGCTATTTCGCTTAAATTTTTTTGTTTGAGAGAGCCAACTTTAAAAGTCCATATCTCAGCTTAAAATTGTTAGTTTCAAAATCGCTCCCGCTATTCCGTGCAAAACTAATTAAAGAACATTTAGGCAAAAAATTAAAAAAATTTACCCATTTTTAAAAAAGTTGATAGGGTTTTACTGAATATTTGGAAGGATTTTTCTGAATATTAAATTGTAATAATATCGTAACAAGTCAATATTGTTATCAATCGACGCATCTCGACGAGATAAGTCGAATCATGCCAAATTTGACTTTATAGAACAAATTTAAGACTGAATTATGGCCAAAAATGTATAGATTTTAACGTTTTTCAAAGATAAATTTTGACCTGGGGTTCTTTAATGTGGAAGATCTACATAATTTTGTTCGTTTTTCATCGCTGATTCGTATAAAGCAAAAATTTGGTAAAAAGGACAACTTTGGAATAAGTTATGGCCTAAAATAGGACAAATTTTAACGATTTTTAAAAACTCATAACTTGGCCAAAAATCCATATTGGCTTCTCAAAACTTATAGAATTGTTTATCTACCTTATATCTACAAAATTACAAAATTTGAAAAAATTTGGGTGGGAGGGCCAAAAGATATAGGATATAGCCAATTCCCTTCATAAATGAGAGAATTTCTCTCTTTGACCATTTTGACTTTCCCCTCTTCTTTTCTCGCGGCTGACCATTTTACAATTTCCCCCGATGCTGACCCTTTTCTCTTCTCTCTTTTTTTACATGGCATTTTGCCCATTTTTCTTTTATTTACCACTTTGAAATTTTTAAATAATTTTTTTCGACACGAAACTTTGGAAAAAGAAAGGGGAGTAAAATTCTTGGCGGGAACGATTTTGGGCCGCTGTGTTTATCTTCGTATTTTTTGTGATTATTTTTTATTATTAAAGCTGTTTTCTTTTCTCTATTTTCCTTATCTGGATCTTTTTAAAAATTTTTCTTTCTTCTTCGCTATTGAAGAAACGATTTGAAAATTTTCTTTTTTTTTTTAATTTTAAATAAATTTTTAAATTATTTTTTGTTTAAAAAAATTTTTTTCTAGTCAATAAGTAAGCCTCTACGATGGGTACAACGTATGAGAAGAGAATTAAAAGACGATTTTGGATCAATTTTGTTGTTACTTTTGCTTTATCTTTTACAGGTTTTTTTTTGTTGATTTTGTCAATTTTTAAATAAAAAAAAATTTTTTTTCAAGGGTATACCATTAGGTTTAATAGGAGCAATTCCATTACTTTTGCAATCAAAAGGAATTACTTATGCACAACAAGCTGTTTTTTCTTTTGCATATTGGCCGTTTAGGTTTTCTTTTTTGAATTTTATTTTTAAATTTAAATTCTAATTTTCTTTTTTTCAATTTTTCGTTTAATTTTTTGGCTGTAGTGTAGTGTACCGGTGGTAAAAGTTCTGGATGTAACATATGTCATTCGATTCGTTTCGACGAGCTGAGTCGAATGGTACCACTCCCTACTTTAGGAAATAATTCTGGACCGAGTTATAGGTCCCGAAAAATTGAAAAACCAAAGGGGGGAGTAAGCTCGATTTTGGGGTAAAAAATTCGAATATGCAAATAATAGCTCATTCGAAAGAGCTCGTCGAGCTGAGTCGAATGACACCAAAATCAACGAAATCTGACTTGATTTAACAAAGTTATGAGCATTTGTTTTAGCTCCTTACCTTTGGTCTACGTGCAGGTTTTTGCTGGTACTGGAGCCCCAAGTACATCCAGAGCAAGGGAGATGGGAGTAGGTTTTTGTTACGAGCCCAGACCTAGCGCCCGTAGACTCCCCGCGAGGCGCGTGCCGCAAAACCCCGCGCGAAGCGCGGGGTTTTGCACAAGCGCCTCGCCGACGCCCCATAGGTTTATGTTGATTGTTTTTCTGTTGTAACTTTGTCCAAACTTTTACAATCATGATGATTCTGGTATCATTCGACTCAGCTCGACGAGCTCTTTCGAATGAGCTATTACATGCTTTTTCGAATTTTTGACCCTAAAATCCGCCCTATGGTTTTTGACCATTTCGAGCCCTATATCTCTACTCCAACTTGTTCAATCAAGCTGATTTTGGTGTCATTCGACTCAGCTCGACGAGCTCTTTCGAATGTGCTATTATTTGCATATTCGAATTTTTCAACCCAAAATCGAGCTTACTCCCCCCTATGGTTTTTCAATTTTCCGGGACCTATAACTTGGCCCAGAATCATTTCCTAAAGTTGAGAGTGGTACCGTTCGACTCAGCTCGTCGAGACGAATCGAATGACATATGTCTCGTCCCCAACTTTTACCACCGGTACACTACACTATATCCAATTTTTTAATTTAAAATTGGCACTTTTAGACTACCTCACACCTTTTTTCCGGACATATTTATTTTTGGGCTCATAATGGTCAGATGTAAAAAAGTCAATCATTACAAATTTTAATATTTGAAGACATCATATTTTTGAATACACAGCTTTTTATTCGATATAAGGGAAAATATGGATGTTCTGACCATTATGAGACCATTATGTCTATGAGTCCGCAAAAATTAGGTCCGCATAATTTTTGTCCGCAAAAATTTTTCTAATCAATTTTGGCCTAAAATTAAATTATTCAGAACAATTTTGACCTTAAAAATATTTATTTTTTCAGTATGAAATTATTATGGGCACCAATTGTTGATTCAATTTACTTTAAAACTATAGGACGTAGAAAATCTTGGATGGTTCCTTGTCAATATTTAATTGGAATTTTTCTTTTGGTTGTTTCTTATCATGTCCCAGAAATTATGGGATCGGAAGAGGATCGTGTAAATAGTAAGAAAAATTAATTTTTTTTATGTTTTTTTAATTAAATAGGGGACATTTTGTCCACTTGTGGATTTTTAATTTTTTGTGGGAATATTTTGTGTTATTTCTGAGATTATTTAGTTTTAAAAAATAGAAGTTAATTAAGTTGTCTGGTGGTGTAATGGTTAAGGTTAGGGTTGCGCCCCGAGCCTTCGGGGTTGAAAAAGTCGGGGGTCGGGGTTTTCGGGGTTGACAAAGTCGGGGTCGGGGTCGGGGTTGCTCAAATTGTTCGGGGTCGGGGTCGGGGCTGAAAATCATGTCGGGGTTCGGGGTCGGGGGTCGGGGTTGAAGTGAAAATTTACAAAATCCAGCATTTTTATCCAATATTACTGTGCAAAATCAACATTTTTATTAAAAAATCAACTTAATCTTCATTATCTTCACTTTCTAAATCTAATTCGTTATTAGTTGAAGGCGCAAGAAGTACTTTATCCAAGTTATCCTTCATAATCCCCAAACCCACAAGGTAACTCTTACTCCCCCTCTTAAAGGGAGTGAGGGGATATGAAGGCATATCAGAGGATTAAGATGGATATAATGGGATTTAGAGGGATTTGAAGAGATATCGGGGATTTGCAAGTATAACTGGAGAAATCCATCTATCCATCAATTTCTCCTAAAGCCTCTGTATCCCTTCATTGAGTTTAGCGCCGCAGGCAAAAATTTTGAGAATTTTGGAAGGTCAAGAGCCAGATCTCTTCCATTTTCTGCGCCGCAGGCGAAAATTTTTAGAATTTAGGAAGGCCAAGAGACAGATTTCTTCCATTTTCTACGCAACAGGTGAAAATTTTGGAAAATTCATGACTAGTTTAAAATTTCTAAAATTTTTTCAGGTTTAAAATATTAAAAAAAATAAATTTGCATATTTAAAATCAAGATCAAAGTTTAAAAATATTTATTTTTGAGAAGAAAAATTTTCTCAGTCTCATTTCAATCGATGTATTCGAACACCATACCTATCAAAATAGCTAGATGGGTGAAGTCAGTTAACCTAACCACTCGCCCACCGACCAACAAAAGGAAATAGGAGAAAATATAAATATTCATTTCCCTTTTCCTTCATATATTTAACATCAAAGTCCCGATCCCGTTCCGATCTCTAGTTAATTAATGCAGTTTGAGTCGGGGTCATAAAAATTTTTCGGGGTTCGGGGTCGTCGGGGTCGAACTTTCGGGGGTCGGGGTTTTCGGGGTTGGGAATGTCGGGGTCGGGGTCGGGGTTTTAGGTCAAAAAGTGTCGGGGTTCGGGGTCGGGGTTAGTCGGGGTCGGGGCGCAACCCTAGTTAAGGTTGTGGAATTTGTTTTTGGTTTGGGCTGGGTTCGATTCCACCTCATTCCCTGTTGCTTTTTTAACTTTCTTTTACCTTCTCAATTTATTTTTAATAAGTTTAGAAATATTTTTGTATCCGAGAAAATTTTTTAAAAATGTTCTAACAAATTTTTAACCTAATTTAAAATTTATTTTTTAAAGAAAAACCTCCCAATGTTTTCTTTCTAATGTGTGTTTTTCTTCCTTTAAACTTTTTGGCTGCAACACAAGATATTGCTGTTGATGGTTGGGCATTAACTATGTTATCTAGAAAAAATGTTGGATATGCTTCTACGTTTGTTTTTTTTTAATTAATTATTTTTTTAAATTAAAAAATTTTTTTTAAAGTTGTAATGTTGTTGGTCAAACAATTGGTGTATTTTTGGGAAATGTTGTGTTTTTAGCTTTACAATCTAAAGAATTTGCTAATCGTTTTCGGGCTGTGCCAGAAGAGAAAGGATTTGTTCAGTTAGATGGTTGGTTTTTTTTAATTTTTTTTTTGAAAATTCTTTTGAAATTTTTTTTTCCTTATTGGCTATCTTTGGGGGTATGCTGGAACTTTTTTTTTAATTTTATTTATTTTCTTAATACCTCTTCCTTGGGAATTTTTATTAAAAAATTTTTTGAGTAATTTTTTTTTGTTTTTATCTGTTTTAATTTTTGACTTTTTTTTCATTTTTTGGGGAGATACTTGATCCTTTTTTCTTGAATATTTTTTCTATTATTCTTTAAATCTTTAAACACTTCTTCCTTATTTTTCCTTTATTTTCTCCTATTTATCCATAAAAAAAATTATTTTATTTTTTGACTATTTTTTGCATTTTTGGGGTGATTCTTGATCATTTTTCTCAAATTCTTTTATTATCTGTTAAATCTTTAAATCCTTCCTTGTGGTATTTTTAAAATTAAATATTTTTTTCTTTTATTTTCTTCTCCCTATTTATTTAAAAAAATTTTTTTATTTTATTTTTAAAAATTGCACCATTCAAAAAAACAAAAATTCCATTAATATTTACAAATACATAAGTAAAAAATATTCTAATTATTTGATATTTTACATGTTAAGAAAGCTTCCTTGTTTCTCTATAATAATTTAGCATGTCCTTCCTAACCAATAAAAAGTATTGAAAATCATAATTTCACAGCTTAAAAAATTTTTTTGAATTTTTAAAAAAACAAAAATTTACCTTGTATTTTGATATTTATCATAAACTGTACTCATTCCATAACCTCCCCTATCACTTATAATTACGGCACTCCACCAATTACCAAAGCGGCTTTCTGCCATTTGTTTCATATGTCTAATAAAGGGAGAAATTTTTAATTTTTTTTCTCTGATTTTTTTTCTAATTTGCTTTTTAATTAAAATTTTTCTTTCATTTTTAATTTTTCTTTTTTCATCATAACCTACTATACCTTAAGAGATACTCGTTATTATTTGACCCACAAAAATTTTTTTCGAAAACCTGATTTGAAACCCAATTTTCGGCTTTTTCCCAACTTAATCCCCCTAACTGTCCCATTCCGAAACTCTCTACTTGAGACCCTAATCCGGATTTTTTTCCCGCCTCGAAGCTCGACAAGGAGAAAATTTTGTTTCTCCCGACCAGAGTTGCGTCGTAATTGAAATTTTTTTTTCGTAATCGTAATTCGTAATTCGTAATTTTAAAAATTTTTTCGTAATCGTAATTCGTAATTCGTAATTTTTAAAAAATTTTCGGAATCGTAATTCGTAATTCGTAACTGAAAAAATGCCGTAATTCGTAATTCGTAATCGTAATTCGTAATTTTTAAAAAATATTTAAATTAATTTAAAAAATCAAATATCAATAATAATTGCTGTTTTTCCCATTAATCCCTCCAAGTCCTCTTATTTTTCTAATATTATTTCACATCCCAATTAATATCCTGATATCCATCCTCTTAATCCCCTTAATTACCCTATATATCTTCAATCAATCATGCGAAATCATCGTCCCAGATTGAAGTTTGATATCATGTGATATCACTCTAACTCAATACTTATAAAAATAAAACAACCCGTGAAATTTTCCAAACCCCAACTTCTTTTAATCTCTTAATATTCTTGTTAATCTCAGATAAGTTTTCTGCGCCGCAGGCAAAAATTTTGAGAATTTTGGAAAGTAGGAGAAAAAATTTATTTGTTAGAGCAGAATTTTTAAAGTTTTTTCAATTTTAAGATATCAAAAAAAATAAATTTTCAAATCTAAAATCAACGTTTAAAAACATTTATTTTTGGAAAAAAATTTTTCTCAAACTACATTTCACAATCAAGGGTTTTTTTCTCAAACTACATTTCACAATCAAGGCCCACAAAATATCGAAGGAAATGGAGCCTGACTTCTAAACCACTCAACCACCAACCAACAAAAGTGAAAAAGAGAGAAAATATATATATTTTTTCCTCTTTTCATTCTAAAATTTAATGGCAAAATTTTCGTAATTCGTAATTTTTCCCGATATTTTTTTTTTTTTTTTTTTCTTTATCGACACAAATAAATAAATGTGAAACAATAAAATAAAAACTCCTGGATCCGTAGGGATCACTTATGGAGATAGTAACTTATACAAATACAAATAAATGGAATACAATAAGACATTTTTTTAAATGTTAAGTTAAAAAAATAAATATAAATGGACTTCACAAAAAAAACTACATGTAAATTAAATGTATAAAGGCAAGTATCAATCAAAAAAATATATATATAATAAGTCATGGTAAAAAAATATTCGTAATAAATTTAAACTTCTTTAAATGTTAGGAGTTAAGTAAGAGAGTGAACACGTGGGGAAGGGTTTTGTTGTTATTACACTCCATTAATTCTTTGCTTATAAATTAAGATTTTCAGTGTTTAATATATTGTCTAAAAAATTTTTAAATTGCGGAATAGTATCGATTTTTTCAATTTGATTTTTTGGAAGTTTATTCCATTTATCTATGACTCTATGAGAAAAGAAATGGTTATTGTGAGCTTGTTTTTTAAATATTTGATATCTGTGCATGCGCGGATTATTTCTATTAGGTTTTGAAAACATTTGTTCAGGCTTTATTTTATAGAACCCCTTTATAATTTTGAAGGTTGTCATAAGATCTGTTCTTATACGACGGATATTAGTTGGAGGGAGTTTGCATCTTTTTAGTCTTTCGTTATAGCCTATTTTTTGGTATTTGTATTTATATCTTAAAACTTTTCTTGTAAAGCTCCTTTGTGGTCTTTCTAATTGTTTATTAAGATATTCTAATTTAGGGCTAAAACTTTCTGTGGAATACTCCATAATTGGTCTAACATATGTTTTGAATGCCTTTACGTATGTTTCTATTGGTAATGTTTTGGGTAATATTCTTAGAATATTATTTAGCCTTATAAATGAGGACTTAGTAATTTTAGCTACGTGTTGATCAAATTTAAGCTTGTTATCTATGTATATCCCTAAGTCTCTTATGCTATTAACTTCTTCGATTTTTTCACCACTAATCTCATAATTAAACTTAATTTTGTTGTATATTTTTAGAACCTTAACTTTTGAAATAGAGAATTCCAGCTTATTATTTTTTGCCCATCTATATGCATTGTTTATAGCTCCTTGTAGTTCTAAACAATCTTTTTCAGTTTTGATTTCAGAATAAAGCTTAAAATCATCTGCATATAATTTAACCTTTATATTTTTTGGGATATGTTTGGGTAAGTCATTTATATATATTAGGAACAGCAATGGTCCTAATACAGTCCCTTGGGGAACTCCTGTTTTAGGCAAAAATGGTTGAGAGTAATTCTCATCTATTTTGACAATATGAGATCGATTAGTGAGAAAATTTGCTATCCATCTAATTGTTAAACTATCTACTTTAATTTCCTGTAATTTACTTATGAGTATTTCATGATCTACTTTATCAAAGGCCTTTTCAAAATCAAAGTATATAATGTCCGTACCTAATTTCCTATCAAGTGAGGTATACCAGTCCTGCATTGATAATAAAATTTGGAGTGTACACGAGCTTTTAGGTAAAAAACCAAATTGCTCTTCAGCAATTATTTTATGTTTATTAAGGTGTTCTAATAATTTATTCGCTATCAGGCGCTCATAAACTCTACAGATGGGGGATGTTAATGCAATTGGACGATAATTTTTTGAGTCGTTTACTGAACCCTTCTTTTTAAATATAGGTTTAATGTGTGCTGTTTTCCATAATGCAGGGACTATTCCGGTCTTAAATGTATTGTTATATAGAATTGATAGAGGAAGAGCTAATGGGGTAGCACATTTTTTTAGGAAATATTGATTGACATTATCAGGGCTATGGGATAATTTATTTGGGAGCTTCTTGAGTAACTTTTCTATTATATATGGTTCAAATATAATTTCTTCAGAACGTTCATCCATAGCTTCGAAGCTTGCTTGTTTATTGTTTGTATTTCCGCAAACCACTTCTTCAAAAATTTCTCTAAATTTTTTAGCCTTGTCAGTGTCTAATATTATAGGGTCGCTTTCTTCAGATTCCTTAAGTATTGGTATACCAGAGAAGTTTAGTCGATTTCTTTTCATTAATTTATGTATTTCCCCTATATGCCCTGATCCTATCTTTTTAGATAGATAATCATTTTTATACTTTTCTATTTGTAATTTACATTTAATTTCGAGACTTTTGTAATTTTCTTTACTAATCTCACCTAATTTTAGCTTTTTCCATGCATTAGCTTTTTGTTTGATAGTTTCTCTAATTTCCTTGGGATATTTTATGGGTATTTTTTTACCAAATTGTTTAAAAGGGATGAATTTTTGAATTGTTTGTGTTATTATTGAATTCAGTATTTCGGCCATATCCGAGGGGTTTTTGTTATTAAATAGATTGTACCAGTCATATTGAGCTAAATACCAATTAATAATTTTATATCTTCCTTTCTTAAATAATAATACTGTTTTTTTCTCTTTAGATTTTACCTTTTCGATAGGAAAAGTTATTTCAAATACTATAGGTTTGTGATCACTTACAACTAAATCATCGATAACTTTATATTCTGTAACTAATGGTTTATTTTGGAGAATTAAATCTAATGTATGGGCACTATTATACATTGTTGGATTCTTTATTATTTGATGTAAATTTAGTTTGTTAATTGTATTGTAAAAATATAAGCTTTGTTTATCTTTTGGAAGCGCACTCTCTTGCCAGTTTATTTTTGGAAAATTTAAATCCCCTAATACAATATTAGAAAGTTCACTTTTGTATTTTTGCTTTAGTAATCCCCACATTTTTTTATCATCGATTAATCTTGTATTTGGTGGTCTATAAAGTAAGTTGAACCTAATTCTCTTAAAGTCTGAGTAGATGTCGAAAGTAAGAAGTTCTTGGTTATATAAGGATAATGATAGTGTTGGAATGCTGATAATTTTTAGTTCCTTTTTATAAAATATACCTACGCCGCCCCCTCGTGCAGTATTTCTATCTATTCTTAAAAATTTATAATTATCTGATAGGAAAAGGGTCTGATCCGATATATTATCATTTAACCAAGTCTCACATAAAAATGCTATGTGGATTTTATTTTTAGTCAGATAATTTTCTAATTCGACCAATTTATATGCAGTTTTTAGTGAGTTAATGGAGCGAATATTATAAAGTAAGCATTTTAAATTGTTTAATTTTTTACCATTTTTTTGTGAGGTCCCTAAATCCTAGCCCGTGTTCACTGTCTTTTTATAATAAATTTTAAGATTACGATAACAGGCAGTTCCATTTCCATTTTTTTCATTAATCTCCTTAACCTGCTGTTTAAGGTAGTTTTGTAGTTGGAGTTCTGGTGGGGTTAAGTCCCTTCTTGCGAAGGGACTATGCCCACCTAGTATTGGTTGATGAATTGTTCTGTATTGACTGATAAACGATTGTGCAGCTGATGGTGTAGAAAATTTTACTTTTATGATGCGGTGATGTTTGTTTTGCTTTTTAACACCATGTCGTTTAACAGCAAAAGTCTTATCTTCCTTAAAATTTTTGTTATCCACCACTATTTGAACATTTTTTTCAATATTTTTTACGTCTTCTTGTTCATTTTCCATTTCTGGAAACCTTTCAATTACCGCATAAAAACTCTTCTTTTTATAAAGCTCTTTTAAATTTTCGTCAAATTTTGGTTGTTGGAGTTGCTCAATTGTTGTCGCAGCTTGTCTTATTTTTGGTGGCATTGAATTAGGGGGGCATCCCCATCGAGAAGTTGATTGTTGTGTTTGGGAAGGGAGTTGGTTGTTGTTGTATTTCTGGTGTAATTGTTCAAACAATGTTTTAATTGTTGTTTCAATAATGGGTGTCAGAAGTTGGACAACATTGTGGGTGATTTGCTCAAGTTGTGTTTGTGTTAAAATAGGTGTTTTATCAGTTTCACTTACAGAACTAATCGATTCGTCTCGCAGTCTTTTGTGATTTCCCATGGAGATTCCCCCCATGGAGATTCCCTTTTGTGATTTCCCATGTCTTTTGTGATTTCCCATCGTAACTGAAAAAACGCCGTAATTCGTAATTCGTAATCGTAATTCGTAATTACGACGCAACCCTGCTCCCGACCCGTCTTTTTTCTCTCAACCCATGTGTGACATTCCTCAAGTTGTGTGTATCTTATACTTATTGTTAGGGTGTCTGACTATAATTTTAATTTAATTATATATACTTTGCTTGATGGCTATATTGATGTGGATATACTCCAATAGTTTCAAGTATAATTTCGCGTAGTTTTTCTGATTTACAATTATCTTCTGAAAAATTTTAAGAAAAAATTTTTTTAAGAAATTATTTTTTAAAAATTAATTAATTTAACTAAATCCTCTTTCCATAGTTTCCATAGGAAATGTAATTAATACTGATGCAGCAATTAATAAAATTATAGAAATTAAAAAGGGCATACTAATGCTCTGAAAAAGAAAAATTTTTTTCGGAATTTTTTTAATTCTTAAATTTTTTAAAATGGCAAAATAAAAATGTGTTTTATGACCAAATTTAGGGTAATTTAAGTTAATTTAATTGTGTTGAAAAAAAAAATTTGGCATTTCCGGAAAGTTAAAAAAATTTATGAGAAAAATGATGAGGGAGAAAAAGTGCATTTTTTAAATAGAAAAAGTGAAAGAAATAGGAAATTGGGGTGGGGGAGTAATGACGTGAATTTGTTATTTTTTTATCTATTTTTAGTTCTTTTTTTTTTAATTTTTTTAATTTTATTAAACCGAAAAATACAAGGAAAAAGTGTGATATTTTTTTATAATATTTTTAAAAACAAATTTAAAAATTTTTTTGTCTTAAAATAAGTGAGAGAATTTAGAATTTATATAAATTGTGGGGTATTTTTTTAATTTAATAAAAAAAATTTTTTTCCTTATTTTTTAATGCTGCGTAATTTTTTAATTTTTTTTATTTTTAATTGATTTTATTTTATTAAGGGGAAAATAATTCTTTAAAAAAATTTTTTTTTATAATTTTTACAAAATTGTCCCAACGAATAAAATATTTTTGCGCAAAAATCGGAAAATACGGGAATAAAATAAAAATTTAATGAGGATTGAGTAAATGAGAGAATTGATGAGTTACGCGACCAATAACCCTTTTTCTTCCGTTTACGAGTTTGTTTTGATGGTGGGGCTTTTTTATTTATTTATTGGCCCTCTTAGACTATTCAAAACAAACAAAAAAATTTTTCGGAAGGGTTATAAAATGACGACTTTTTTTCTTTTAATTTTTAATTTTATTTTTATTTTAAATTTTTTTTTGAATTTTTAAATTAACTTTGGGAAATTAAAAAATTTTTTTCTAATTAATTTATTAATATTTCTTCAGGATTTGTCTTCTTTTGGGGCATTATCTTTCTAATTACTACAACTCTTGTATTTATTTTTAAACATGAAATTGATCATTCTGTTGAACAAAATCCTTCTTCAACGTATTTTTTTTTAATTTTTAAAAAAAAATTTTTTTTAATTTTAAGAGCAGAAAATGGAAATAAAGGAAGTGATGAAGAAAAAGAAAAATGTGAAGAAGAAGAGTTGTCTTTGGGTGTTAAAGAAACATATACAGTTTTGGCTAAAATATTATGCCTTAAACCTATGCTTGTAATGATTGTTGTTTTGCTTACTGGAAAGGTAATTGGGGGGAATTATTTATTTTTTTAATTAAATGTTTTATTTTTTTTTTAAGATTGCGTTTGCTGCTTCTGATGGAATGACTGGTAAAATAAATAAACTTATTTTATATATTTTTAAGTGTTAAAATTATTTTTGAGATTGTAATTTAAGTTTATTTAAATTACAAACTTAAGTTTAGTTAATTTTGTAATTCTGTAAAATTGAGTTCTAGTCCAAGTTTATTTTTTATAGACTTAAGTTTATTTAATTTTACTAGCTCAATTTTAATTTATTTTGTAAACTTAAAACTTGACGATTGTATATGAGCTTATTTGAATTTGTAAACTTAAGTTTAATTAATTTTATCAACTTAAGTTTAATTAATTTTACGAACTTAAGTTTATTTAATTCCATGAACTTAAGTTTAATTAATTTTACGAACTTAACTTTAATTAATTTTGTAAACTTAAGTTTAATTAATTTTGTAAACTTAAGTTTATTTATTTAAATTAATTTTGTAAACTTAAAACGACAATTGTAATCCAAGTTTAATTAATTTACAAATTAAATCAGAATTTTTAAACCAGAATTTTAAAATAATTATTTAAGTTTACAAATCAATAAATATAAGTTTATTTAAATTTACAAGCTTAAGTATGTCATTTTATAAACTTCAGACAAATATTTTTGTAAACTTAAAGCTTGACAATTATAATCTAAATTTACAAACTTAAAAAACTTAAAAAATATTTTTCATTTTTTTCTTTTTCAGACTTAAAATTAATAGCTGTCGGAATAACAACAGATAAAATAGCTAGCAGATCTCTATTTCTTACCCCTCTACATATTGTACTTCCTTGGCTATTAGGCAAACAAACTGCTGGTCCTAAACCTCTCAACGTCTTTCTTTGGGCATACCCTTATCGTTTAATAATGGGTGTTGTGTTTGCTTTACTTGTTTATTGGACTCCTTCATTTAAAGAATCATCTGGTGATTATTCCTATTTTTATTATGCAATATGGATGGGGGCTTATTACCTTCAACAGGTTTGTTTTTAAAAATAATTTGGATGGCATGGCTGAATTCTTTCCCCGGGTCTGCCTTTCATTTTCCTTATTTTTCGTGGAGTATCACCTGTGATTGCAAACTTATGTTTATTATTTTATTCAAACTGCAGTGCTTCTTTTAGAAATCAGAATTATATGTAGTTTTACAAATCAGAATTTTAAGTCTAGCTGGAACTTATTTTTTATAATAAGCTTAAGTTTGCTAATCAGAATTCTAAAAATAATAAACTTAAGTTTATAAATCAGAATTTCATTATTATAAATCAGAATTTTTAAGAATGTTATTTTAAGTTTGCTAATCAGAATTTTTGGAATAATAAAAAACTTAAGTCTGCAAGTCAGAATTTTTGATTAAAAACTTAAGTTTACAAATCAGAATTTTCAAGAATGTTATCTTAAGTTTGCTACTCAGAATTCTAAAATAAGAACTTAAGTTTACAAATCAGAATTTTCAAGAATGTTATCTTAAGTTTGCTACTCAGAATTCTAAAATAAGAACTTAAGTTTACAAATCAGAATTTTAATTTTCAGATAGCTTCTTATTGTATATTTCTTTCAATGATGGCTTTCAACGCGCAAATATCTGATCCAAAGGTTAAAAATTTTTAATTTTAAATTAATTTAAAAAAATATTTTCTTAGATTGGTGGAACATATATGACATTATTAAATACTTTAAATAATTTGGGTGGGAATTGGCCAGTAACTCTATTTTTGAGTATCACAGATTTTTTTAATCGAAAAAATTGTGTTGCTACAGGGACAAAATTGTAAATTTTTTTTTTAATTTTAAGAAAAGAAAAAAAATTTTTTTAAAGAATTCTTGGTGCCTGTAATACCAAAAAAGATGAAGAAATGTGTATTAAAGGTGGTGATGTTTGTGAATTTCATATTGATGGTTATTACATTTCTGTTGGAATATGCACTATAATTGGTTTATTGTGGTATAGAATATTTTATAGACGTATTAAATATTTCCAAAAAATTCCGAGACAAGAATGGAGAGTTATTAAAAATAAATAAACGGGGAAAAATGACGTTGTGATTTTTTAAAAATATTATTATAGCTTTGAATTTTTGTAAAATTTTAAAAGTTAGAGATCGAGAAGGGTGCCAAGGGGATCTTGGGATTCTTGGAGGTTTTTTCTCCTTTAAAAAATTGAGATTTTAAAAAAATTGAGGGTTTTCTTGAAGGTTTTTCTCCTGTACCTTGGATTCTTTGATTAATTGACAGTTTTAGATTCCAGGCTCATTTTTGCCTTAAAAGGTACTTAAGGCTCTCTTGGATGTTTTTCTTTGGCGGTAGTTTTTTTCCTTTACCTAGAGATTAATAAATAAAGTTTATAAGAGTCCATTCCTGAGCTAGCTGTTTTAAAAGAAATCTCTCGATCTTTAAAAATATTCTATGTTATACATGGTGTTTTATTTTTTTAAAGGGTTGGGGCTAATTATTATTTTTTTGGATAATTAAATCATATATTTATATATATTTTTTTAATTTTTTTCTTCAAAAATTTTCTTTTTTTGCATATATGATTTTTTTATAATTTCCACATTCGTTGTTTTTATTATGCGAAATATATTTTTAGGCCTTTTTAATTGTGATTTTTAAATTAAAAAAATTTTTCTTTTTCAATTGAATAAAAAATTTACTTTAAATAAACTTTATTATTTTATTTTTTTTTTGGTTGGATAAACCAAAGAATTATCTCAAAATATTGGCTTAAATGGGTAAATGTAAAGATTAATGGTCCCTAGAAAAAAATAAAGAAAATGTGCTAGTTATACATTTTTGAAGCATGCCAGTAGGAAATCGAGTGTGCTGAATCCGAATCTGAGCTTAGAATTTGTTTATTTCGCAGCCCAGACCCGAATTCGACCAAGTCGAATCCGGGGTAAAAAATTCGAAATTTCAAATCTGATGTCTAAGCGGACTCAGCTCTTCGAGCTGAGTCGATTGTTATCAAAATTATTACGTTTCAACATCTTTAGACTAAGTTATGGTGTCTGATTCATATACGGAAGTCTAACCAAGTGTGTATTTAATTGATCATAGCTCAGTCTAAAGTTGTCGAAACTTAATAATTTTGATACCATTCTACTCAGAATAAAGAGACGAGTCTGAATAACCATACTATCGTAATTTCGAATTTCTATCCCGAATTCGGCTTTGTCTAATTCGAGTCCGGGTTCGAAATAAACAAATTCTAAGCTCAGATTCGGACTCAGCACACTCAATTACCTACTGGCAAACATCAGAAATAGCAAAAAAGCACTTCTTCCGCATTTTTTTCGGGACCAGTAATCTTTACATTTACCCTTAAATGTTAGTTTGGCATCTGTTGAGACGTCTTTACGGTTCTGACCCTTTTTAAATATTTTTCGCTGTTGGACATTTTGTCTTTTAGATATTCTGTATTTTTGAGATTTTTTTTTAATTTTACATTTTGACAAGTGTAAATTTATTTTTGTTAAATGTCAAAGTGTAAACTTTTTTTTGTTCAATTTTTGTTTTTAGTTCTAGGAATTTCTGCCATATTTTCACTTCTAATTTTTCTTTTTCTACCAATTTTTAGTGTATTATGCATTTATTTGAAGTTCCTGAACGCATTTTTGACTACACAATAAATCAAGTTGTTACAATTTTCTACAATCGCTATCCAAATTCATTTTCTAAACATGTCATTTCTGAAGATGTAATTTCACGGGAAATTAAAGGAGGGAAGATTATTACAAGGAAATTAATTGTTAAGAGAGGTTTGTTCATTTATTTTTTAAAGAAGGGCGTAATTGTTTTTTAATTACCTGCGAGGAAAGGAAAAATGGAGACGAACGGCACGGACAGACGTCTGTGTTTGGTCTGACCCGAGTCCGTCCGTGTTTTGTCTGTCCGTGTCCATCCGGCTCATTTTTTCTTTCGATTTTTCACCATTTTTTCTTTCGATTTTTCCTTTCCTTGCAGGTAATGAAAAAAACGATTCTGTCCTTCTTTTCGGATAGGGCCGGTTTTTTTATTATTTTTTAAAAGGAGAGAGGAGAATTTCCTTGTTTTTTAAAGGTGCCGGTTTTCTCAAGTCAGTTCCTCGTTGGATTTCTAGACAGACTCATGTTGCTTTTATGCCAACTTTGGAAGAAAGCATTTTCGATGTGAATGAGGGGACTTTAATTACACATACAAGAAATGTTTCGTGGACAAATACTTTGGATATGACTGAGACCTGTACTTACAAAAAATTGGTATTCTTTATGTTTTTAAACGGTTTAAGTGCTTTAATGTCCAAGTCTTTGAAAATCTGCTTAAGTCTGTTTGAAATAAATGGGGTATTTCATTTAGTGCTGACAATGAAGTCTTTCTGAAAATCGGTATCCATCCCTAAATTTTCTGCGTATCGGGAAAACGAATCTGGGCAAAATGCTTCCAGATCCGTGCGGTTCTTCATGTTCAGTTTTTTGTGATTTAAAGATTTCTATGAATGGGGTGTTTCCTTTAGTTTGTACGAATCTGTCCTAACTATGACCATAAATTTTGTGATGATAAGTGTCTTCCCTTGTCAAAAGTTTTCTTGTATACTTGAATAAGAAGATTTTTAAGAATATAGATTTTATTTTTTAGCCTGATTCCAAAAGCAGCGTTAAACGTATTCTCTCCGTTAAAGCAAATTGTCGTTTCTCCAATTTAGTTGAACAATTTTTGCTTAAATTGTTTCGTAAATCTACAAATAAAACTTTGAAGGGATACGATGAAAAGTTGATTGAAAGGTTTTCTTTTTTGTTTGATTTTTAAATAAAAAAATTTAAATTTTCTATAGATTTGGACATCATACTTCAACACAACAACCTCATCCAACTTTGGGAGGAAATCAAAAACAACAACTTTCTGAAAGGGCTAGTGATTTAATTAAAAAACATCGTGGAGCTCGAATTGGAAATGGTTAAGTTAAAGGAAAAAATTTATTTTGAAGAAAATTTTTATTCTGCTTGGGAGGAATTGTCAATGCCTAGGTTTACCTTCAAAAAATTCTTTTTTTTTAAATTCCTTATATAATTTAAAAAAATACTTTTGTTCTTTCATTTGATAGGGTGGTGTTTTTCTAACAAAGAATTTTCTCTTTTAAACTCAAAATCCTTTTTGATTTTGTGATTTTAGAAATATTTATTTTTATGATTTTTTAAAAATTCATTCCATTTTACACCACTCATCAATGTTGGTAATCTTATATCTATTTAATTATTTTGACTTATAAAAATTCGTTTAAAAAGACGGATTGAATGTTTGGCACTCGTTTGGATAATGATAAAATCATCGGAAAATTTTAAAAAACTTTCGATTTTGTTTGGGGATCTTGACCAGATTTTTGTCCTTCAGTAAAGGAAAGATCCAATATCGATTTCTAGTTTTTTTTGCGGACATCCTCAAGCCCCACTCCTTGATGTTCATTGACACTTGCCGAATATTTTAATCTCAGAATCTTTAAATTGTTCAAAATAAAAAAAATTTTTATGAAATTTTTTTGAACAATTTACCTTTTAAACAACATTTGTTTTTTGCTATTTTCTCTGTTGAATTTATATAAACACTTAAAAAATTATTTTTTCTTTTTTTTATTTAGAGGTTTTTTTACCTTTCAATTTTTAATTACAATTATTTTAATTTTTTTTTCCTTTTTAGATTTTTAAATTATTTTTTTTTGGTTTAAAAATTATGAATTCATCTGTTGCTCTTGTTTGGAGAACTTTGTGTTCACTTAGCATTCTTTCACTTGCTCATTGTGCTTATAGCGCTGCTCAGGTTTTTTTAAATTTCTATTTAGTTTCAGTCTTTCATTTATTTTTTGATAACCCTGGTGATTCCTAGACCGGGTTTTTCATTTTTTGGTGAATCTCGTTAGTAACCTTTATAATTTTGTTTTTTCATCGCAATGGTGTAACTTGATTTATAATTTACTTGGAATATCGGGGTTTATAAGCTGAATTTTGGCTATATAAGACCATACTCGGGCTTCTTTCTCTCAATATTTTTCTCTTTTTCCTCATTTCGGGGTGGGAGGTTTAACCCTCTCATTTTTCCCCTTGGCTAAGCCCTTGTCGGACCATATTTGGGTGTCAGATTTGGTAACTAACAACCTTGTGATTGTTAGTCTCGAGCTCGCGATGTCTTGAACCTTTTCGCTTAAAAATCTTTTTCAATTTTTAGCATCGTTCATATCTTCGTTTAATTGGACAACCATTTACTTGTTTACCAATAGATTTGTTGTTTCAAACAATTATTAGTCTTTTAATTGCTATGGTTTCTACAGCTTTTGTTGTTGGGGAATTTCAACCGATTCGAGCTGATTTTTTGGTTTTCTTTTTAATTTTTAAAAATTTTTAAAAATTTTTTTAAAAAGACTTCAAAAAAATCTTGGGATACAATTGGTAATTGCCCTTCTTTTTATATTTTTGATCATCGAGGAAAATGTTTATTGCCTAAATTTGAGGTTGATGAAATTTAAGGAGGAATTTGAAAAGGTTTATTTTTATTTTAAAGAGACAGATCTCTTTCTAGTCTTTTTTATAATTATTTGTCCAATTGAAAAATTTTTTAGATAGTTAAACCTCTCTTTATTTTTTGACTTTTTGTGGCTATTTCAAAAAAAAGATTATTTTAAATAATTGTGTATAGAATTTAAATTTAAAAAATATTTTTTAAACACTCGGGGAGGGCTCTGTTGAATTTTTCTGAGTTTTTCTTTTAATTTTCCAAATCGTGTCAGGCTTCTCTCTCGATGGGAATCTTTTTTTGGATTTAATTAGACCTCTTTTATTTTTTTAATTCGAAAAGCATTTTAATTTCTTTAAAGTTCCTTTTTTATTTTTTGTTTCTGAAATCGATTTTTAGTTTCCCTTAATTTTTAGTTTCCCCTATTCCCTTAATAAATTTAATTCTATACACAATTATTTTATTAATACAGTCAAAACCTTATTTTTAAAATAACTTTTTTTTGAAAAAAAAATTTCTATTTTATATAATCAGGGGTGTCTTTGGGTATCGCTTAAGTAACTTTCACATATTCCTTTTACTTGTTGGCCTGCCAAATTTCGAAAAGGACCTCTTCTAATGAGGTTTTTTGACTGTATTTTTATTCTTTCACTTTTTGTTTGTCTTCAAAAAAATTTTTTTCGTCTAAAAATTCATATTTTTTCTCCGAAATAATTTTAAAAATATATTCCACTTAAAAAATAATATTCATTTTATTTTTTACCTTGACTTCATTTTTTTATGATTTAAAATTGTTGTTATTCCAATTTTAATATTCTAAATTTATTTTTTTTTCTTTATTTGTACACTTTTTCTCGAGTCAAGGATATGACCTGTGTGGTGCAGTGGTTTCGTCCCTGTTTACCATAGTCCAAGGTCGTGGGTTCGAATCCCCGTCTAAGTTTGAATTCTTTTTAGTATTTTTTTGTCGACTTTTTTCACTTTATTGTCTCTGAAATTGTTCTAAAAAATTTTTTAAAATTTATAAAAATTTTTGGAAAATATTTTTATTTGATTTTTGGTTATTTCTTCTAATATATTTTTTATAATCTTATTTTTCAATCATTTCTTTTTTTAATAATTCTGTTTCTATATTTAAATGTTTATTTCTTCTATAAATAAAACAATAAAAACAATTCAAACAAAATTAAAATCATCTCCACAACAATACCAAGAAGCTTTAAATTATTGTGTTAAAATTGTAAAAGAAAGGGATTATGAAAATTATTTGGCTGCTTTATTAATGCCCGAAAATGTTAGGGCAAAAATATTTACGGTTTTATTTTTTAAATTAATTTAAAAAATTATTTTATTTTAATTTTAAAGATTTTGGCGTTAAATGCAGAAATATCTACTTTGAGGCATAAAATAAAGAGGCACTCTGGCGTTGCAAATATAAATCAATTGAAATTTTGGAATGATGCGTTAAATTCGTTGGCTAGAAGAGATGCTTTGTTGCCTCGGTTTTTTATTCATTTTAATTTTTGGGGATTTTTTATGGCTTGGGGTTTTTGTAAAGCTTTTCATATTGTTGTCTAGTATTTTGAACTATTCTCGGTTTTACTAAAAGATATTAGTAAGCTTTATTGCAAAGTTTAGTTATGATTCTGGGTGTCCGATTGGTAACGTTTTGGATTTCCCCTTTATTGAGGTGAAGGTTCGATTCCTCTCTTGGATATGTACCTTTGTTTTTCGCTTTTTTGTTCTAAAATTCTTGTAAAATTTTTCTTTTTTAATTTTCCCAGGCCTTAAAATTTTTTCTTGAAAATTTTCGACTCACCTGCTCCCCTTTAATTTTTTAAAAAATTTTACACTTCTAACAAAAAACTTTTTTCTTTTCAGTCAGCCAGTAATTCTCGCCCTCCAAGCATTTTACAATTTTCCCCAACAATCATCTACAGAATTTAATTTATTTTTAAATTTAATAAAATCAAGACAACAAACTTTGGGTGATCGTCCTTTTGAAAATTTAAATTTTTTAGAAAATTATTGTAAATTACTTTATGGCTCTTTAATTTTGCTTCAAATGAATTGTTTAAATAGACAAGAATTTCAACTTGTAGATGAAGCAAAATTGGAAAAAGTTGTAAATTCAATAGCTTGTTCTATTGGTATATTAACTTTATTGAGGTTTTTTCTTTTTCTATTTTTTAAAAATTAAAAACAATTTTTTAGGGCAACCACTTTATTGTTAAAACATGATGGAATTGTACTTCTACCACAAGATGTGACAGACCTGCATGGGTTAAATGTGAATTCAGCTACTCGTAGTGGGCCTAATGCAATGAAAGATGTTGCTAAAGATTTGTGCAAGGTTTGGAAATTTTTTAAAATAATTTTTTCGTTAGTTATTCCTTGATTTTTTGAGCAAGTTTTGGGGACAGGATCTAGGGGTTTGCTTTTTCTTGTTGATTATACCTGCTTATCTTAGCTTTGAGCAGGTTTTGGGGACAAATCTAGGGGTTCACTTTAACCTGGGGAGTTTCCTTCAACTCAGGCTTTTTTCGAGCTTCCTAGGTTTTTCTGAATACATCCCCAGACTTTTATCCTCTTATTTAAACGGGGCAAGACCATTGGTAAACTTTAAGGGATGCTTCTAAACGTTCTCCGACTGATGTTCTTCAGTCCTTGTCTTGTCCAGTCCTTCCATTATCCGTATTTTCGGCTGGGAGGAATTTCTTTGATAACCAGCAGCATTAAACAGCTCGTGTTTACCTATGCTTATGTTCCCTTTTCCCCTAGAAATATTTATTATTTTTCTAGATAGCTTCTACTCATCTCAATTCTGCTCGTTCCTTAACCTCTTCAATTCACCCTTCTTTAAGGCCAGCCTTGTTAACAGCAGGATTTCGTTCGGATTGGATTTTGAAGGTTTTAGAAAAATCTAATTTTAATTTGTTGGATGTTCGACTACATAGAAGACAACATCCTTTTGCTGCTTTAATACTTTGGTGGAGATATAGAAGAAGAATATTTTAATTTGTATATTTTTGTTTTTTTGTTGTTTGTTTTAGGAAAAATAAATTTTTAAAATTAATTATTGATTTTATCGATTTTTTGGAAAAATAGAAATTTAAAAAAATTCATTATCGATTGATATCGATTTTATCGATTAGTATTGATTTTATCGATTTTTTGGAAAAATAAAAAAAATGTAAAAATTAATTATCGATTTTATCGATTAGTATTGATTTTATCGATTTTTTGAAAAAATTAAAATTTTAAAAAATTAATTATCGATTTTATCGATTAGTATTGATTTTATCGTTTTTTTGGAAAAATAAAAATTAAAAAAAATTAATTATCGATTGATATCGATTTTATCGATTAGTATTGATTTTATCGATTTTTTGGAAAAATAAAAATTTTTTAAAAATTTATTATCGATTGATATCGATTTTATCGATTAGTATTGATTTTATCGATTTTTTAGAAAAATAAAAATTTTTTAAAAATTTATTATCGATTGATATCGATTTTATCGATTTTTCGGAAAATTTAAATTTCTAAAAAATTAATTATCGATTGATATCGATTTTATCGATTAGTATTGATTTTATCGATTTTTCATACTTTGTTTAGTAGAAAAAATGTAACTTAGTATATGTGCGACAAAATGTCTCATAGATGATAATGCGACATAATGGTTCATGATGCATAATGCGACAAAATATCACATAGCTCAAAATACGACAAATTGTCTCCAGCTTAAAATGCGACAAAATGTCACGTAAAAAATGCCGACAATTATAAAAAATATTTATCAGCAATAAAAACAGCAGAAGCAGCAAAAAATTTGAGAGAGACAATTAAAATAAGGGGTTTGGCAAGGTTTTTTTGGAGAGATTATTGTAAGAAAAATAATTGGGGCTAAGTTTGGAAATTAAAATTTTAGGTCAAAAAGCTAAAGAAATATTGGGCTCTTTCATAGGAGAATGATCATCATTATTGTATATTTTTCATTTATTTGACAAGTTTAAGTCGTTTCAAATTGCAATTTTTGCTGAAAATTTTAGAAAATTTTTTTAAAAAAAATCCGAGACAAACCAAAAAAGATGTGATTCCAATGGGTAACAGCCTTGCCCTTCAATTTTTGAATTGAGCTTTAATCCACAATCTTCACATTTGTAACAGTCTAAATGGTAGCTTCGATCCATTGCAATTACACGAGCAACTTCTGTTTCATTGCCGCTAGGGGCGATTACCTGACAAAAAGAGGAATTTAATTTCAATCTCGGGGTCATAGTTTGGATCATAACTTTTTTAAATCTTAACCGATTTGAATGATTTTTGTATCAATAGACAGCTTGGAATTTGTGGATCATTTTTCCTACTAGGATTTATCTGATCAGATCAAAATACATAAAGTTACAGCCGGATAAGTGAACAAAATCGTGATTTTCAATCCTTATTGGGGGAGAGGATTGAAAATCACGATTTGATAACTGATAAAAAAATTAAATTAAAAAATTGTTAACGAATCTAATTATCGAAAATTAAATTTAAAAAAATTTTCTAAGTTAAAAATAATTGTTTAAAAATGTTTGGGAGTGGAACGGAATCGAACCTTTTACCCTATTTCCTATACACAAGAAAAAAGTCCAGCACGCTAACCACTATACCAACACGCAACTTATCAAAATTCGTTAATTTTACCCCAAATAGTTTAAATTAAAAAATCACTTTAAGGCAAGAAGCACATCTTGGAGAAAACCTTTCATGGAAACAATCAAGACAATAAGCTGAATTTTCTGAATCCACAGTAAATTGAATTCCATCCAAAGATTTTTGACAAGTAGGGCAGACAAAGCATTCTGGGTGGAAAGCTTTTCCGAGTGCTCGAAGAATTTTTCTGAAAAATTGAAAAAATAAATAAACAGAAAAAGGAGAAAATGGAGCATCTCCTTCACTCATTGTTCGATCCATAACTTTTTTCAAACTCAACCAATTTTAACAAACTTAAGACCGATAGAAAGCTAAGAATGTCCTCATTATTTTCTTCCAGAACGATCCCTAGCTCTGACTACTCTTAAAAAAGTTGGAAGCTTTTAAGTGCGGATAATCGTAATTTTCTGACTATAACCTTTCAATATTATCAGCCTAACTTTTTTTAAATGGTTTTTAAAATGGACCCAGATAGGAAAAAGAATCCTCTCACATCCAGAGCTGTTAATAGATAACAAATTTATTTGAAACAATTGGAATTTAAAAAAAATTATGGATCGGAAAAGGATCGGAAAAGGGGGTCAGGAACTTAACGATAATGCACCAAAGAGAAAAAACACAAAATTCAACCCAGAAAAATTCAAACCAGAAAATATAACACAAAAACAAATTCAGAAGAAAAATCAGAAACTCAAATTAAAAATCCCTCACTGTGTAATAGGCATTTTACATTTGCCACATTTCTCAAGAGAATTCATATAATCAACTTGACACAAATTTTTTCCATCAACAGCATAGAAAGAGCAACCTTAGTTAAGAGAAAAAATTAAAAAAATTTTTTCCTAAAAAAAAATTTACCAGCCAATTGTTTTTGACATTGATCACAACAAAAACAGGTAACGTGATAAGGCTGGCCTAAAGCGGTTACACCTGGGGGATCTCCAGAAATTTGTTGACGACATTTGGTACAATAATCTTTAAGAGGAAGAGGAAATTAAATTAAAAAATTTTTTTTTGATTTTAATTTAATTTTTAGAAAATTAAAAAAATAAATCCCTAACCAAGATCATCAGCCATGATTTTTTAAAAATTATTATTTTTGATGATGGAAAAATATAGAAAGATAGGTATATTTAAAAATTGAAAAATATTTAAAAAAATATTATATTTTATTGTCCTTATTAACTAAAAAATATTAAAAAAATTTTTAAAAATTATAAAAAAAAATTTTCTAAGAAAATGTAATAGATTAGGAGGTATTTAAAAAATTAAAAATAATAAGTCAAAAAATTGAAACAATTAAAAAACGAATTAATTAGTGTCTTTAAAAACCCAAAAATAATTATCTACATAGAAAAAAAATTTTTTTTGTAAAACTATTAATAATTGGAGATTGGAGAGGTCTTTAAAACCACCCCCCTTCCAAAAGGAATAATTACCCACTCAAAAAAAATTATTATTTTTTTTTTCTGATTTATCCCCCCAATTATTTCTATAAATTCTCTCAACTTAGACAAATTACGTAAATATACATTTTATTGTTAGCTCTAAAAATGCTGTCAAAAAATATTTTTTTTTTCGTCAAGTAAAATTTTTTGACAAAAAAGAACGCCTTTTAGAGACACGTCCTTATAACAATCCTTGCCTTTCCTCCTTTTGTTCTTCCCAAGGGGATAAAGAAGAAAAAAACTTTTTTTTGGGAGGAAAAGCTTGTCAAGTCTTTTTTTTAAGTAAGCGAGAAAAAAGAAATGTACACAAAAAAAAAGAAAAATTAGCGTAAAAATGTTTTTTGGGAGGAAGTTGAGGAGAGGAAAAGCAGATAATATTTATATTTTAGAGGAATAAAATCAGAATAAAAATATATAAAAATAATGAAAAATGAGGGAGTGTATTTTAACAAAAATCAGAATTAATAAAATAAAAAAAGAAAAAGACAAAAAAATACAAATATCAGAATTATAGAAAATACAAAAAAATACAAAATAAAAAATCAGAATTATAGTAAAATACAAAAATCAGAATTATAGAAAATACAGAAAAATAAAAAATAAAAAATCAGAATTATAGTAAAATACAAATATCAGAATTATAGAAAATACAGAAAAATACAAAATAAAAAATCAGAATTATAGTAAAATACAAAAATCAGAATCAATAAAAATACAAGTTAAAAATACAAGAAAATACAAAAAAAAAATAAATAAAAACACAAATAAAAACCAGAATTCAAATCAGTTAAAATTTAAAAAAGTTATGCTACAAAATAGGGTCTCGAGAGTGAAATATGGCAGCATTTCTCAATCATTTTTAAAGAGGTTTTATGTTTTGTTGGAAAATGAGAGATCAATTTACACATATTTTTGAGTTTTAAACTTCTGGAAAATAAGGAAACATAGAAAAATGATCAAAAAAATGATCAAAAATTAATCGAGAAGAAAGCATTAAAGTATGAGAAGAATTATAAAATCAAGGGAAGAAGAAAATTGAGAAGAGGAAGAAAATGAGAACGGAAAAATTTTTTAAAAGAAAATTTTTAAGAAATAGAAAAATCTAAAAATAAGGTTAGGTATGAATTATCTTTACCTAGAAAATTTTTTCTTGATGAATAATTTTTTTATGATTATGTAAACGGTTGAAAAAAAGAGAGAGAAAGAATTTAAAAAAATAAAAGTGATTCGTCGAAAAAAATTTTATTTTGAAAACGAGAGTGTTGTATTCGAGAGGTGGTGATTTAGCATATGAGAAGGAAAAAAAATTTTCAAGAAAAAAAAGAGAAAGACATCTGCTTTTTAAAAAGAAAAATGCATGAATCGGTTAAAATAAAAATAAAAACAGTTGGTTATGAAGATAACTAGTTGGTTGTTTGCTGGAATTTTTTTATCCCTCTCCTCAAATCTTCCAATTAAAAAAACAAATAAATAAATGCTTGTGTGTTTGTTTTCGTTAAAAGAAAAGATGTGTGTTCAAGATTAGATAATATTTTTAAAAGATAGGATCGATATTTTTAAAAAGAAAAATTTTAAAGAAAAAATTTTAAAAGGAAGATTACAAAAAAATAAGAAAATCTAAAAAATCCCAAAATTTTTAATTAACAAAAATTAGTAAAAAAAATTTTTTTTTATTAAATTAAAAAATTTCTCTAGAAATCTCTTAAAATCACAAAAAAAATAAAATTAATTAACAACTCTTCAAAAAAAATTTTTCTTAAAGTTCTCTAAAACTTCATTTAAAAATCTCGAAAAATTTTAATGGAAAAACTTAACAAACTCTTCAAAAAAATTATTCTTTTTTTCAAAGACGCAACAAACAATAAAACACGAATACACCTCTCACACACCAATTGTTCTTCCAAAAAAAAATTTTTTTAACTGCTTCAAAAGAATTTTTAATTCCCAACAAATTCTTTTTTAAAACCAGCTGTTCCCTAAAAATACTTTTTCTATTCAATTTTTAAAAAAATTTTTAAGTGCCAAAATCCTCCGAATAAATATAAATTGAATAGAAAAAAAAAGAACGGGGACAGATACTTCAAAAAAAAATAAATATTTTCTAGCAAATATTTTCAATAACAAACCTAACAAAACTCTTATAATTATTTTTGTTTGATTGTTAAAAAATTAATAGAATAATAGAGGAAAAAAAATAAAAAAAGGAAAAGAAAAATAAAAACAATTAAAAATAAATTAATTAAAATTAAAATAAATTGAAAGAAAAAAAAAATAAAAAATAAGAAGAAATCATTAAAAAAATTCCTAAAAAAATTGAGTTGAAAATTTAAAAAAGCATATGATTCTTTTTAAATGCTTCAAAAAATTAGACTTTTTAAAATAATATCAAAAAAAAGAAATAGGTAGGTATCAAGAGACTCATCAAAACTGGATGAGGAATTAATTTTTAAAAATTATCAAAATTAATGAAGATTGATATGAATAGATTGAAAATCATAAAAAAATTGAAATTAAATAAAACTAAATTTAGAAACAAATTAAAAAGGTTAAAAAAAGTTAAAATTAAAATTTTTTTAGCCATTTCAGGATTAATACAGAAATGAATAAGAAGAGTTAAAAAAAGTTGACACACAAAAGGATTCGAACCCACGGCCATTTCGACTAGAAACCAAACACTAAACAACTACACCACAACAACAACTTATCAAAACTTAAAATTTCTCGATTATATGAAAATTGGAAAAGAAAGAAAAAATTTTTAAAAGAATAAAGAATAAAAAATAAATATATAAATTATTTTAAAAATAAGAGAAGGAATATTAAAAAATAGAAAAAATGTAAACAAAATATAAATAGGTAAAACAGGTTTTTAAGCAAAATAAAATTTAAAAATAAATTTTTTAAAAGTATTCTAAAAATAAAGGAGAAAAAAGAAAAAAAAATTTTAAAAATTCACCAAATTAAAAAAATAAAATATTTTAAAAAATTTTAAAAATCCGTTAAAAAATTTTCTTAGGAATTTCTCAAATTCAAAAAAAAATTTCCCAAAAATTTTTCAAAAATAAAAAATTTCGCTTACTTTCCCCAGCAGCTCCATAACCACTACGCATTTTCCATTCCATTTCTTTAATTAATTGATCAACTGAATCTTCTTCTTTATTTTCTTCCTTATTTGAATTAATAATTTTTTGTTTATACGAAACAAAATTTTGTAAAGATGGGGGAGGTTCTGAAGTTGAAGAATAATTGACTGGTTTTTGTTGTTGATTGGCAACACGTTGACGTTCAGTTAATCCTTTAAAAAAAATTTTTTTTTATTTTAAAAATTAAATATAAAAAATTCTCAACCTTAGAAATACAACAAAAAACATTTTCAGAAAAATAAAAATTTATTTGAGGCTTTTAAAAAAATTAGTTGACCACCAAACGGACTCGAACCTTGGACCTCTCGAAAAAATTTTGTAAAATTAAAATTTTTTTCCTGTTTTAACTCTCTCTGTTCACGCTGGAGGAATCCAACTCATTATCAGATTCGTCGATTCTCCACTCACATGGATGAGAAAAAAAAACTTTGAAGAAAAAAATTTTTTTAAAAGGGAGAGGGGGTCGAAGGTTCGAGTCCGCTTGGCGGTCATTATTTTTTAAAACACTCCAAATTCCTAATGCTTCCTTAAAATGTCCATCTAATCATTTTTACTCCCCGAAAAATTTTTATTCTCAATTCCTATTAATTAAAAAAAATTTTATTTTAAAAGTAAGGGGGTCGAAGGTTCGAGCCCGCTTGGCGGTCAACATTTTTTAAATACCTCAAATAAATTCCTATACCCTTCCTAAAATATCCCAGCCATCAATTTCAATTCCCCTATTATTTAATTAATTAAAAAAACCTTGATCACGCAATTCCTTAACAAAATTATCAACATTTTGTTTCCTCAAGTGAATACCTCCTCCACTTCCATTACTCGTCACAAATTCATTTTCCCTCCCAAAATTATTTTCTCTTATTCCACCACCATTTTGTCCTGTCATTAAAGTAGCTACAGGTGTTTGTGTTGCATATGCATGAATATAACGTTTTGGGTCATTAATTAATTGTTGTTGTGAAGAAGATGACTGTTGCTGTTGTAATAATGGTGATTGACGATGATTAAAAGTTGTTTGCTGTGAAGTTTGTTTTATTAAAGAATTTATTGGAGATGGTGTTGGTGAATATGATGATTTCTTTAAAAAAATATTTAAATTAAATAATAATTTTAAAAAAGTCCGCAAAATTTTGTCCGCAAAAATTTTTGCGGACACGAACCCTAATCCTATTGTTATTATTTTATATTTTTCCAAAGGACGGTTTACTAGAAAGTTCAAAATACCCTCTTTAAAATAAATAAAAAATTCTTTTACCGGTCCAAAATTAGTTTGTCCAGGTAAAGGCCCAATTAATTGTATAGGTATTTTAATTTCCATATTTTGCTTCTGCTGCGGTTTATATGAATATTGTTGATATTGTTTATTATTATTACTATTAAAATTGCTGCTTTGCTGTTGTTGCTGTATACTTGGACTCATCTTTAAAAAATTTAATTTAAAATTTATTATCCGCAAAAATTTTTGTCCGCAAAATATTTGCGGACAAAAAATTTTTTTATTCAAAAAATAAGATCCAAACCGAAGGGCTATATCCGGAGTTGACACCGAACGCGGGAGATTGGTGGGGATAATCGTGCGTAGCATGTACCTTTAGGAAAAAATTTTATTAAAAAATTATTTCGCAAATTTCTCCCCAACCGTTGTTCCGGTTTGATGCTGGGCCAGCGTGTCATGCTTCGGCTGATTCTTCAAAAAAATAATTTTAATAAACAATTTTAAAAAATAAAATTCAAAAAATCAAGCAAACCTGCCAATATCTCCCAGAAGCCAATTGATCCGATCCGTCCAAAAATTGTTCCCGTTCATATGGTAAAAGCGATTCACGGTAGACGGTCGGGCGCAAACGTTGCGCTGCGTGCTGTAATGTCTCAGGGTGAACGCCGGCAAATGGAAGCGATCTTTCCGGAGATTCTATTTTAAAAAAATAAAATTTTAAAAAAATTATAAAAAATGCATAAAATTTTTGTCCGCAAAATTTTGCGGATTGTCCGCAAATATTTTTGCGGACAAATTTTTAAAAAAATATAAAAATTTTTACTGGCGGTTTGAACGCTCCTGATGTTGTCACGATTGGTTGATGTCCTCCAGCTAGAGCCCAATATCTTTGAGGTGTTGAGTGTAGGGGGTGGGGGAGGGGGCGCTGGGGGCGGAACGCCCGTTGCTGGTATGGTCCCAGAATAGTCTTTAAATAAATAAATTTTTGCAGAAATTAAAATCAAAAAAATACCCATGCAGAATCTTCTGTAGGAAGTTCAACAACAGGATCAAGTCCGTGACCACTCAAAATTGGTGTATCCAAAAAAGAAGAACGGTTTAATCCACGAGGAAGGCCACTTCAAAAAAATATAAAAAATAAATCTTAAAAATTGAAGAAAATTTTTTTAATGAAATTTGAGTAAGGAGGGAGGGTCAATGCTGAGGACAGATACCATTTAATTTAAAAATATTTCCTTAAAAAAATTTTTTTGAAATAAAATTTGAGCAGAGGAGAGTCATTGAGGACCAGAGGTGGGTCGGAACACTCAGAGGTGTCGGAAATCGGAACTGGCTCGAAAGTCGGAACTCGAAGATCGAAATTCCGACCCACCTCTGTTGAGGACCAACTACCAAGAAAAAAAAATATTTTTCGCTTATAAAAATAGAAAAATATTTTTTTTCTTTTAAAAAGTTATTTGATTAAAATCAATAGGAGATGACACACACAAATATTTATTTTTATTAAACAAAGAATGCCGGCATATTAAAAATAAAAATTTAAAGGGGAGAGAAGAACCACTAAACTACACCACTTATATGCTAGTTTAAACACCCTTCTCTTCCCTTCTCTACGGGATTTTTAGGAGACCGAGATCACAAAGAGAAAAAGAAAAGAGTGATTTATTTATATAAATAGACTTAAAATATTTATTTTTAGAGGAGTAAATAAAATATTTTATTTTCTATTTTGACAGAAAGAAGAATTTAGTTTAGCAGTTTTAGTTGATCAACCAAGAGGAGAGAAAAGAGAGAGGATATACATAAATACAAGTGAATAAAAACAAAATTTTAAAAAAAAAAATTTTGTTTTCTCTAATAAATATATTTGTTTGACATATATTCATATTGGGAAAAAGGAAAAAAAATTTTTCTTAAAGTTTAAAAAAAGAAAAAAGTTAAAGAATAAGAGAGGAGAGGGGGGTCGAAGGTTCGAGTCCGACTGATGGTCAACATTTTTTCAAACACTTTCAAATAAATTCCTAACAAGGTTAATGGGCCCCAGCAGTTTGATGGCTTTTTTTTCTACAACCCAAAAAAAATAATTTTCATAAAAATTTTTTTAATAATTTTTAAAGATTGGTTTTTCTTACTAAATAAGGTTGTAATCTCTTACGAGGGTGTGGGGAACTTATTTTACGAAAAAACGGAAGTTGTGGAGGGAATTCTGTTTCAAAAAAGTCCCTTTCCTAGAGGATAAGGGTCGACTTCTATTTTAAATAAGGCAACTAAAAATATTTTTTGAATTATTAAAAATTAAAAATAAAACAGAAAAAACATATGGAAAAAATTTTTTAGAGAGAAATCCTATTTTAAATATTTAAAACCAATTTTTCAGAAAAAATGATAAAAATGAGACTGACTGGAAAGTCATTAAAAAATAGTCATAATAAAAATGTCAAAGAGAGGGAGAGATGAGAAAAAAAATCAGTTTCCGTTGCGCTGACTCATAAATAGATTTAAATAAATAGAATAAAAAAGGGAAATAGAAAAAATTAAAGAAGAGGGGGAAGAAGAAATCATAATTCCTAAGCCGAAATTCATTGAACAGAATTCCAGGAAAATTCATAAAAATTGGGAAAAAAATTTCCCAGTAGAGATAGGTATTTTTGAAAAGCCTTGGCCTGTTCCTGGGCTCTGGGTTTGATTTATTGACATGACCCGAATCATGGACTCGTAGTCCAGGAAAACCCAGGAAGGTAAAAAAAAATGCCCGGGCCGGGACTCTGGGTACAGGAAAACTCCAGGCCTTGGTCCAGACCCAGGCCGATCTCTGGTTCCCAATACCAAATAAAACCAGGCTAAAACTTAAAAATCCTTTTTACAGATAAAATTTTGAGAAACTTTTGGGAATTTAGGACACCCAAAATACTTTCAAAATTAAAAAAAATTAATTTTTTTTTTCTAAAAAACCTTTTAGTTGGCGGCACAAAAAAGTAGTGCGGAAGTGGTGACAAATGGCTCATCTGATTTTTAAAGGAACAACACAAAAAATATCCAGGTCAGAACGAACTTCTTTTTTTATTTGTGTTGTTGTATCGCGCTGAAGTAAAAAAAATATTTAAATTAAAAAAAAATTAGGGAGGAAAAGTATTTTAAAAAAGGTATGGTTTAAAATAGTGCCTAAGGAGTTGAAAGGAGAGACATCGATATGGACCCGAAAAATTCTCAGAAAAATTCTGATTTCAAAAAACGAGAATCCAAGTACAATTTTTATTGATAAAAATAAATAAACTCTTTTCTTCCCTTTACACCTCTTTTTCAAGCCTAGCCAAGAAAAAAAGAGAAAAGCAGACTTGCACAGCATTTTTACTAAAAATCTTTAGCTTATTATTTTACTATTTTTATGTTCAATCAGCGATTTCCGACTAAAAAAATTTTCTTCAAAAATAAATAAATAATCTACACTTTTCTCTCCTTCATTTTTTCTTTGTTTATTCGAACATGTGTCGTCAAACATTAATTTTTCCCCCGCCCCCACAATGTTATATACTAATGCTATAAAGCTCATGAAAAAATACTAAAACGATTGATAGGAGGGAGGATATTAGGAAAATAAATAAATATAAAATGAAAAAAATCTGGGAAGTAGCAGTCTACAAGTAAGATAAGGACGGCGATTACGAATATTCGAGCCGAAATTTTCGGTGCGGATTAGATTTCGAGATTTTTGAAAAGCTTGGGCCTGTTCCTAGACTCTGGGGTTTGATTTATTGACCTGGGCCGGATCCTGGGCCTGTAGTCTGGGAAAAATCCAGGAAGGTCAAAAAATGCATGGGCCTGGACTCTGGATACATATGTTCGATTAGTCCGAACCTTTCCGTGGTAATTTATTCCTTCGTCCATCTACAGAGCCTTAAAAAGGGGTGAAGGAGTACCTTTTTCTTTTGGGTCATATTAAATAAAAAAAAATAAGAAATAAACTAACCGAATTTGCATTTTTAATTCATTATTAATCGGAGCTACAAGTTTTGACCAATTCTTCTTTAACGGAGTATATCGATGTGGAGGTACTGAAACTTTCCTCATTTCCCAGTTAACATTATCCTTTCCTTTTTTACCATCAGGCTGGTCAGCATTAGTAGAAAGTTTGAAGAGTTTGCGTTTCTTGTTGCTCTAAAAATAGAAAAAAATCTCAAAAAACTCATTCAAAAATTCTTTCCAAAAATCTCCCAAAAAAATTCGGGTACAACCCGACGTACCGCGAGCCAAATTACCACCTAGCTATAACTTTGTTCGAAATTGTCGAATCCATGGCGCCTTGGTATGGTTGGGTGCGGTTCGACCAGCTGAATCGAACCATACCTGGGCGTCACGGATCCAAAAATATTGAACAAAGTTATAGCTCGGCGGTACATTGGGCTCGCGGTACAATGGCCAAAAAGTTCTTTCAAAAATTCAAAAAAGAAAACCTTTTTAGTCAAAATAAATCCATCATTATTATCCCCACCATCCTCCCCATTTATTTGTGGCTCTTCAATCAACTCATCATCAATATCTTCCAAAGGAGGTATTTCTTCCAACAGCTGGACCAACTCCAGCTAACCAACGGATTTCTGCTGATTCTTGTTCTTCTAAAGCATACTCATCAAATAGACGGTCTTCCCGCAACAATTCACCGGCCTAAAAAATGATCTTGAAACCACAGTAAATAATTAAAAATAACCTCATAAAAATTTTCAAGGCTTCTGGATAATCTCTCAAAACTAAAAATTAAGTAATTAAAAAAATTTTTAAACATAAAAACAACCTACAAAAAGATTAACCATTCAAAACAAACAAAGCATTGCATCTAACCAATGGACATTTGATGTACGTCTTCTAGTTTGACAAGAACTTGGCCACCATCCAATTGGCTTTAACATTGGGAACGGATAAACTTATTTAGGGGAGAAACTTTGCGGACAAAACTTGCGAATTTAATAAAGTAAAAAAGCTAACCTCCGAAGAGACCACTTGAGCTTTTGTGCCCAGCGATCTCCGAAGAGACCACTTGAGCTTTTGTGCCCAGCGATCTCCGAAGAGACCACTTGAGCTTTTGTGCCCAGCGATCTCCGGAGAGACCACTTGAGCTTTTGTGCCCAGCGATCTCCGAAGAGACCACTTGAGCTTTTGTGCCCAGCGATCTCCGAAGAGACCACTTGAGCTTTTGTGCCCAGCGATCTCCGGAGAGACCACTTGAGCTTTTGTGCCCAGCGATCTCCGAAGAGACCACTTGAGCTTTTGTGCCCAGCGATCTCCGGAGAGACCACTTGAGCTTTTGTGCCCAGCGATCTCCGAAGAGACCACTTGAGCTTTTGTGCCCAGCGATCTCCGAAGAGACCACTTGAGCTTTTGTGCCCAGCGATCTCCGAAGAGACCACTTGAGCTTTTGTTGTGATGCTGTTGTTGCTGCTGCTGAAGTTGTTGCTGATGTTGTTGTTGTTGCTGCTGTTGTTGTTGCTGAAGTGAAGACTGAAAAAGATTGGCTATATTTTTTAAAAATTGAAAAAAGCAAGTCTTGTCCGCAAGTCATTACTCCCCCGACCCCCTCAAAAAGGTTAATCCCCAAAAATAAGGAAAAGCCATCATTCTGTTGTAGAACATCTTTGCGACAACAGAGGAAAATCAATAATCCTGAAAATCAATAATAACGGAATGCCAAAATAATCGCCAACAGAGTATTATTTAAAAATTTACTTTATTTCTCTAGAATACACTATTTCGCGAAGAACTTTAAAATGTAAACTCAAGCTATTTCAAAGTGTAAAAAAGTAAAATATACAAAAACAATCTAGTCACTCTCCCAAAATTTTTTATATTTGACAATTTTCAATGTAAATTTTATAATTTTCAGGGATTTAGATTAGATTTTCAGGGATTAGATTTTCCCAAGCTAGAAAAATAAAAAAAACAAAATTTCTTTCACAACAAAAAATTTTTTTGGCATTATGTCACTTTATTTTTAAAAATGACATTTCATCCCAAAACTAAAAAATCTTCTAGCCTTCGGATTTTTACTTTTTTCATTAGCTAAACTCACACCTATTCAATTAATGATTAGCAACAGTGGTATTGATCCTGAAGCCGACGACAATTCATCCCCTACTAATTTCTCTAGTGGTCGACGAGAAGCTAATGAAGGAAGGAATTTATTGGCTTTTTGGTTTTTTTTAAATTTCTTTAATTAAAAATTTTTTTAAAGGTTACTTGGTTTATGCAATAATTTTGGTTATGTAGTGATGCTTAGTGCTGCAAAAGATATTCTTGAAAAATCTGAAGAATCACCAATTGATAGTGGATGCGTTGTTAGTTTACTTGATTTTTAATTTATTTTATTTAAAATAAAGTAGTGGGGGGTGTCCAAAAATGTAAGAGAAATTTTTCTAAGCTTTGGAACTCTTCCCGGAAACATACAACAAATTTGAATTTTTGCGGACAAAAATTTGCGGACTTTTTTAAACTTGCGGACAAAAATTTGCGGACTTTTTTTCAACTTGCGGACAAAACTAAAAATACAAAAAAATGCCCAAAAATAATTTTCATAAACCCTTCCATATTTAGACAGACACAAAATACATCAAATGTTCAACCATATCTACTGGTGCAGTTCTTCTCGCTGACATTTTACCTTCCCTTACAATAAAATTGATAGCTCCATTCACGTTACAAGCAATTCCTTTTTCATTGAGACACTTGCTGGTTGTTAATTTTCAAATTTTGAGTTATCTACTTGTTGCGTATTCGAATACTATTTTTGTGGGAATTTTAGGTTTTTTTCTTTAAAAAATCTTATTAAAAAATTTTTTAAAATAAAGGCGTGGTTTTCGCAAGTCTTGGTGCTGGTCTTGGAGAAATTACTTATCTTTCGCTTTCTTCACATTTTCACAAGTTTGTTTTCTGGTTAAAAAATTTTTCAAGTCATAAAACCCTTTCAAATCAGAAATTTTTGAAAAAATAAAAATTGCGGACAAAACTTGCGGACTTTTTCTTACACAGACCAGAAACCTTGAAAAAATTAAAAAATATATTTTTCAGCGATGTAATTTCCTTTTGGTCTTCCGGAACCGGCGGAGCAGGAATTTTTGGTTCTCTAGCATTTGCCGCTCTTACAGACCATCGAATGCTTGGATTAAATGCAAAACAAGCTTTATTAGCCATGCTGGTTGTTCCAACAATTTTGGCGCTTACCTATGGTTTTTTGCTTCAAAGTCCACCTTCAACTCACAGAGTGTGGTTACGTTGGCCTTCTTTTAATGGAATGAATATAAGTATTTTTGGAAGGAGAAGGACAGGATTTTCTTCGGTAAGAAAAATTTTTTTTCGAATAAAAAATTTCTTGAAAATTTTTTAAAAAAATTTCCGACCAAAATTTTTTTGAAAATTTCAGAAAATTTTTGAAAAAATTTTTTATAAAATTTTTTTTCAATAGACCACTACAGAATCCTTTACTTCATCCGCTGAAGATGATTTACAAAGACTTTTACATGGAGATCGTTTAGACGCACGTCAAACTTTACGTAAAAGTGTTTGGAGAAAAATTCGAATGGCCAAAGTATTTTTTAAAAATTTTTCCAAAAATCTCCCATCAATTTTCAGCCTTTATTACGCTTTATGGTTCCCCTTGCAATTGTTTATTTCTCAGAATATTTTATTAATCAAGGCTTACTTGAATTACTCGTTTTTAATTGTGCAACTTCTTTTAACCTTAGCCCTATGCAACAATATAGGTGGTATCAAGTACTCTATCAGGTAAAAGAAAACACAAAAAAATTCTGATTTGTATTTTTGATATTCCGGAAAAGTTTACAGATTAAACTTAAGTTTGAGTGTTTGCTTGTATTTTCCGGAAAATAATTCTGATTTAAATTCTGGTTTATTTAGAAAATCTTGTATTTTCCGGAAAACACATAATTCTGATATTTGTGTTTTCTAATAAAAATAGATTCTGATTTAAAAAAATTCTGATTTTAATTCTGGACTCCCTAGAAAATCTTGTGTTTTCCAGAAAATTCTGATTTGTGTATTTTCCGGAAAGTTTTAAGTTGTGTGTTTTCTAAGAGAAACAAATTCTGATTTAAATTCTGTTTTATTTATTACTCTCCTAAAAATACTAGGTATGTATTTTCCTTCCGGAAAATAAGTCTGATTTTTGTATTTTCCGGAAACCTTCAACTATTCCCTATCTCTTTAAAAATACACAAATTCTGATTCTTTTATTTTTAGCTAGGCGTATTTATTAGCCGTTCATCAATCAAATTCTTCCCAATAAGAGCATCACTACTTCCATCACTTGCCCTTCTTCAAATTTTAAATGCCTTGCTACTTTTCTTTGAATCCCTTAATGGATTGGCCCATTTACCACATATTATTTTACTTATGTTTATTATTTTCTATGAGGGATTGTTGGGCGGTGCTGCTTATGTTAACACATTTAGTGCTATACACAGAACGGTAAAAAAAATTTTTTTTTAATTTTTTAAAAATTCAAAAAAATTTTTCAATAATTTTCAAAAGGTCTCAAAAGCAAACCGCGAATTTTGCATAAGTTTTGCTACTATAGCTGACTCTTTGGGTATTGTTTTTGCTGGTTTTTCTTCAATTTATGCGCATAATTTTATTTGTGATCATCGCTGGTAAACTAAGATTTTTTTGATTGACACCCAAATTTTTGACCAAATTTCTAGTGATATGTATCAAAAACGGATATTTTTTAAATTCTATACATGGGTATTTTAATTACCTTATTTGTATTTTTTTATTTTTAAATATTTAAATAAATTCTTTAATTAGTATAGTTTAGTAACACATCCCGGGATAGGTCGAGTCATTCTAAACCCATCTTTTTTCGATCCGATACATGACCCAATTTGTTCTTAACTCGGTTCCTGTTCCTGACTCCATCCCTGTCCCGGTTCTGGACGATTCCCATTTTTATTGGTTTCATTTACATAACCGGTTCAGAGAACCAGGAAGCCACTGATCATTAAGAATTAGAAACATTAAAATATTTTTCTTCAATAAAAGGAAAAAGAATTATTTCGTCTCATTTTCTAACGTACATATAAGCGCAATAAGAAGGTGCATAATATCAGCTAATTTTTTTAATAAAAACGATTTTATGCACTTCTAATCGCGCTTTATTTTGAACGTTTTTTAAGACTAGATTGAATGGTCTACAAATTAAGGAAAAGATCAGGAAATTAAAGAAAGGTCAAGAATTAATATTTTTAAGAAAAGGGCCAAGAATCAAAAAAAATTTTTTAGGCCAAGAATTATTAAAATTCTAAAATAAAAATTAAAAAGCCGTTCTTAAAAGTAAAGAAAAATGGAGATAGTAATTATAATAGTTAATGTTTGTATAACACAATTTAGAGAGATAAGCACTAATAATATTCACAATCAGAGTCCCTCCCCTCCTCAAATATATTTTAAATAAATATTGGAAAATCAAACCACTTATTAATAATTGACCGGGCAATTAAGTAAATATATAAAAATATTTTTTTTGTATTTAAAATATAGTTAGAAAAATTAGAAATGTTTTAGAGAGAAAATATGAAAAAAGAATGCCCACAAAATTTTTTAGTAAGAGATAGAGCAACAAAAAAAAATTTTTATATTCCTTAAAAATTGGTACATTTTCCTATTTTTTGATAAGAGTAAAGAAGAAAATGAGACGAAAATTTTTTTCCTTTTTACCTTTCCCCTTATAAAACCGCCACCTTTCATTCATTCTCTTATCAGTTCACTTTAAAGGGAAAGACTATAAAATATTAATTTTTGTAGTTAAACACCTCTAATGGTTAAAAAGGAGGTAGGGAGGAGGTAGTGTCAAAACTTGAAAAATTAAGGTTAAACTGAAAGGAAAATATGTAAACCCCACAATTTTCTTATGATTTTTAATTGACATTTTTTTAAATTACTTACAACAAATATTATTATTTTGGCATTATCTAATTCCAGACATGTTCACGGATACGGATAATATCCGTGGGTATGGATATGAAGACATTTGGCCCTTTTGAAAATTTTTGAGTTCTGACCACTTTGAGAGAAAACCAGATACATCCGCAGACGCCCGCGGGCCGATATGGTCAAAAAATCGCGGATATAAACGAATACGGATATACCCAAAAATTTTTAATTGGATACAGATATTAAAATCTGTAACCGTAAACATGCCTTCTTAATTATAAAAAAATAAAAAACCTTTTTAACCTAAACTTTAATAGCTGGTGAAGATCCATTGTGATTTTCAATCCTATCAATTAAACCAAATTCCAATGCCTCGCTAGCACTCATAAAGCGATCCCTTAATTATATTTTCTCATCAAAAAATTTTAAAAATAAAAAAACCTGTCCAACGTCTCAGCAATTTTTTCTACTGTTTGCCCTGTATGATGAGCATAAATTTCATTCAAACGTTCACGATTTCGGCTCAATTCTTCAGCCATAATTAAAACATCAGAAGCCATTCCCTGTGCACCTCCAGAAGGTTGATGGACCTTTAAATTGGAATTTTTGAAAAATTCAAATTTCAATTAAAAATAAACCATAATTCGTGCATTTGGTAATGATACACGCATTCCCTTCTCTCCCGCTGCTAATAATAAGCTTCCCATTGAACATGCTTGTCCAATACCTGAAGAATAAAAATTAGAAAATAAAAAAAATTTTTCAAATTTTTTTTCACTCACACCAAGTTGAAACTGGCGCAGAAATGTATTGCATCCTAATTAAAAAAAAATTTTTTTAATTAACAAAAAAACTAAATTTTCTAAAAATTTTTAAAATTTCTTTAAAAATGTTTTCAATAAATGAAAAATTTCTAAAAAAAATTTTTTTTGACCAAATAAAAAATATTCAAAATTACGTGTCATATATGCCTAAGCCTGCAGTGACAACACCACCTAAAAAATTAAAAAAAAATTAATATAATCCCTTTTATTAAAAAAAAATACCCGGACAATTTATGTACATATTTATCGGACTTTTTCCACTTTCTCCTTGAAGAAACAACAATTGTGCAATGATCGATGCTGCTGTGTAATCATTAATCTGTCAATAAAAAAAAAAAGAGAAAATGCAAAATTGAAAATAAATTATAGTTGTAATATTAGGTTTGTGTTTTCCGGAAAGAATAAATTAATTTAAATTTGTGTTTTTTCTGAAAAATAATTCTGATTTTGTATTTTTAATTTGTATTTTATTCTGGTTTTGTATTTTCCAGAAATACATATTTTAATTTCAGAAATTCTGATTTTTTAAATGTGTTTTTCTGAAAATTCTGGTCATGTATTCTGACTTGTATTTTTAGTTTTATTCTGGTTCTGTATTTGCCGGAAACATTTTCCAGAAATTCTGATATTGTTTATTTAATATTGTGTTTTTCTGAAAATAATTCTGATCTTGTATTTTTAGCTTTCATTATTTAATTCTGATTTTGTATTTTTAAATTTAATTCTGATTTTATTTTTTCTTATGCTTAACACATTATTTTTGTTTGTATTTTCCGTAAGTAATATTTATTTAAAGTTTTGTGTTTTTCTTTTAATTCTGATTCTATTTTCCTTGCATTTTTAAATATTCTGATTTTTGTATTTTTCAAAAACACATTTTATTATTTTTAAATTTTATTCTGATACCTGCGACATAACGCAAATAATCCTGTCCTTTAACAATCGAGAATAAATGTCGTAAAAACGTTCTAAAAAATTTAAAAAATATTTTCCTCCAAAAAATAACTTACCAACACGTCCATCATTGTCGAGAACTTAAAAAATATTTTTTAAAATTAAAAAAAAAATATTTTAAAAAAACCTAAAGGAACCACTCCAGTCCTTGAAGGTGATGATAGAGAAAAAGCTCTTCTTGTAATATTGCGAAATGAATTAGTGATAAGCATTTTTTAAAGAAATATTTTTTGAATTTTAATTATCAAAATCTCTGGAAAAAAAAATTAAATTAAAAATTATCGAATCTCCCAAAAAGTCGAATCTCCAAAACTCGAATCTCCCAAAAAGTCCGCAAGTTTTTATCCGCAAGTTATTTAATATTTACTTTGTCAAAAATAAAGAGAAAAAAAGAGACGATAAAATAAATTTAGTTTCGGATGAAATAAAAATTTGCAGATAAAAACTTGCGAATTTTAGAGAGCAAAAGAAAAAGGAAAAATATAAAGGAACGATTAATCACGTTTCTGCAGAGTAATCAATTCTAAATTAATAGAGAAAAATAAGGGTGGGGAGAGCGCGTGTTAGTTAAAAATTGTTTTAATTATTCCTTCTCATTTTTGTTAATCACGAGAAAATAAAATCGAAAAAATTTTTAGACAATTTTTAGAGAATTTTTAGAAAAATGTGTTCACAAAGGGATAAGGTTGGTCACCTCTCATAAAAAATTATTAAAAATAATTTTTCAGGAAGTTTTGAATATGATTTTGAACCCAAATTTACCCTTCAATTTTGAGAATGAAAAGGAGAAGGAAGAAAATAAAGGTTAGAAAATTTTTGAAAATTCTAAAAATCCAAAAAAAAAATTTTCTAGAGGATTATTCACATTTACAAAATTATAAAGAAAGTGAAATTAAAAATTTGGAAGGTGTAAAGTTGGCCGAGGAAGAAAAATTGGAAGAGGCTTTGGAGAAGTTTAATAGTGCTATTGAAGTAATTTTAGGAATTAAAAAAATTTTTTTTCATAAAATTTGAAAATCAACCGAGGGAAAAAATGGAAGAGAAAAATAACACAAAAATTTCAAAATTTTAAAAACAAAAAATTAAGGGCCAAAAAATCAAAAAACCCTAAAAATAAAGACAAAAAGGATCACTAAAATCCAAAAAAAAAGGTTTAGGAAATAATTTCAAAATTTAAAGGACAAAAATGGCACTAAAAACTTTTTAAAAATGCCTAAAAATTCTAAAAAAATTTTAAAAAATCGAATAAAATCCTCATAAAAAATCCGAAAAGATCTTAAAAAGCCCCAAAAAATCCATTCTTAAAAAAATATAATTAAACCTGCAACTAACTCCTTTTTAAAAAAATTTAAAGATTTGCCCACAAAATCCATCTGTTTACAACAATCGGGCACAGCTATATCTTCTTATGAAAAAGCCTGATGAAGCTCGTATTGATTTGAACAAATCACTTGAATTAAGTAAAGGCAAGGGTAATTGCGCTGCGCAAGTATATGTTCAACTTGCTTTGATTCATCGTTTAAATGGAGAGGAGGAATTTGCAAAGGTTGTTTTCCTAAAATCTAAAAAATTTTTTAAAAATTATTTTCAAGATTGAATTTGAAAAAGCTTCAGAATTGGGATCTAGCTTTGCCAAAAAACAATTGGTAGCTATGAATCCGTGAGTTTTCTTTTTTTTATTTCAAAAAATTTCAGAAAAAATTTCGAAAATTTTTTTTTTCAAAAAATTTCGAAATTTTTCATTTTTTCAATCAAAAATTAAGAAAAGTAATGAAAATTAAAAATAATTAAAATGATTATTTAGAAAATCAATTTAACAATAAAAAATAATTTTTTAAAATTTATTTTTTAAAAAAATATTATTTTAGATATGCAGCCATGTGCAACAAAATGCTAGGAGAAATAATGGTAAAATTACGACATGGAGAAGGAAATGATTAATAAGAAAAAAAAAATTTTTTCTTGACTATACTAAACAATACTAAATAATTAATATTTTTATGGGAAAAAGAAAGGAAAACTAAAAAAAATATATTAGGGTGATTGGAAATTTTTTAATTTAGTTTGTTCACTTAAAAGGGACTATCCTTTACTGTGATAACAAATTTGATATATTTTTTGGTATCATTCGATAGAGGACCCCAGACTTCCTATTGCAAAGTGATATCCGTTTTCTTGCAAAATGACTTTGGACCAAGTTATGGCCAGTCAAAGTTGGACTGCTAAAGTCTGGAATTAAGGACCAAATGGGCAACTTATCTCTTATATTTTTCCACATAAAAATTAAAAAAAATTTCCAAAAAATTCACCCCAAAATATTTTTTAAATTAATATATTAACAATTATAAGTCTCATTACAGAGAACAGAAAAAAGGGAGGAAGATCCTAATAATAATTATGAATTAAATTGCACTATACATACATACTTTTTTTTAAATATTAGATTAATTTTAGGCAGTCACTCGGGAGTATTTTGTTGATTATGCACAGAAAAATAAAAAAAACTTGATATACTTATGTAGAGATTTTTCTATGCCAATTAGAAGTTTTTTAGTCATCCATACTGTCCCTGTTCACCTTAAAAATAAAAAAGTTAAATTCCAAAAAAAACTTTTAAGGAAACGTTCTAGTCTGGTCCTTCAAATATAAAAATTTTTCAAAAGACGAAAAAAAATTTTTTTGACACAAAATATAATTTAAAGAACAGATGCCATGTATTCTTCATTATTGAAGGAACCGTTCTATCAATTCTTTTAACTAAAAAATATTTAACCCCCTTGAAAAAATTTTTAACTCAAAAATAATTCAAGAAAAGATCACCACCTAGTCTTGTTTCAAAAAGATTTTTTTTGATTTATTTCCGAAAAGGAACTGTTTCCATCTATCCCCCATTAAAAAATATAAAAAAAATAAAAACCGGTGGAAACGGAAATCCATGTGTCATATCCTGTGCTGGCCATTCATATGTCTCATTAATTAAATCCTCATATTTGACCGAATATAGTTGAGATCTAATAAACATTTCTTTATCTTCAGGTTCAGGATATAATTTTGCTGTTCCATCTTTGTAACATTCATCGGCAATTTTTATAGCAATTTTGATAGAAATTTCTTTAATATCTTTAAGTCGAGAATAAATACGTCCTTCTGCTAAACATTTGTCGCTTACACATTCAGCGACAGTCTTTTAAAAAAAAATATCATTAAAAATTTTTTTAAAGAAGAGTTTATGGAGCAAATCAGGCTAGCGGGAGTCTATTGGAGCCAAGCCTATCAGAAACCAATCATTTCATAGGAAATCTAGATCTAACAAGAGCCCAGTCAATCGCAGGGCTTACAACTAACAATAAATTCATAAAGGGAGGACCTAGAGTTCAAAAACATTTCAGTGTGTTCATAAGGGCTTTAGTTCCAAAAAGTCAGTAAAACCGATAACCTAGCTAAGATTCTGGCAGACTAGGCTCATAAGTAAACTCTAGTCTGCTCTCAAATCTAGTCCTTAAAAAACCCAAAAAACATTTTAAAAATAAAAAAATACATTAGCAGCTAACAAAAACAGATTATTGTTAATTGTAGACAATTTAAATAAAATTGCAGCCAATGCAATACCCGGAAATATATAAGCATTATTTCCCTGTCCAGGTTTATATATGCGACCATGCATTTCAACATTTTTGAATGGACTACCAGACGCAAAAAGAACACTTCCCTAAATTTTTTTAATTATAAAAATCTTCGAGGGGTTGACTTCGATATGGTCGAAAAAAGTCGTTCAAAAAAGCTCGTCGAATAATAGAAAACCAGTCTGCGTTCGTATATGGGCCGGAATAGAAAAACTGAAAAATCAAAAAAGCATAGGGCGACAAGTTCTCTCAAATGAGCAACGAATTTTTGATCCCAAAAATCCGGTTGCCTCCATGGTTTTTAAACATTTGGGGTACGCCTATAACAAGAGAGGGAACGAGAGCCTACGAACTCTTTCGAATCGCTCATAACAAAGTCTAAGAACTCACAAATCAAATAAAATATTCCAAAAAATTTAAAAAAAACCTTGGTATATCTAAAAGCATTTTCTGCAGTACATTCAGCTTTATCTGTTGGATTTGACAACGCAAAAATTATTGGACGCAAATTTATTTCTGCCATAGTTTCAATAATTTCTCTTGTAAAAGCACCTCCAACAGTTGATGCTCCAATTAATGCATTAGGACGAACAGTTTTGACAACTTCCAAAAGAGAACGTGTTGGTTCCATATTTTTAGCAAATGGAATATGACGATCTTCAATATTTTTGCGAGAGGTTGTTATTAAACTGGAAAATTAGGAAATCATTTTTGAACTAAAAAAAAATTAAAATTGACCCAAATTTATTCCCACAAAAATTCTTTAAAAATTAAAAAACCCAAAAATACCATAAAAAATGAAAAAATACAAAAAATTTTCCAAATAAAAATTAAAAAACCACATTCCCTTTATTTTAAATATATCCAGAATATACCCACTAATCATTATCTGTAGAAGCTTGTTTGCGTAAACTATAAAGAAATAGAGAAGAAAGATAAAAAAATAAATCAGAAAAGCTCTTTAAAAAAATTCTGAATTTATTTTAAAAAATTAAAAAAATATTAAAGAGCTTTTTGAAACAATTTAAAAAATAAAATTTAGATAAAGAATCTTACTTAAACTTAATTGAAAAAATCAAAATTAAATAATAAAGAAAATACAAAAGAATAAAATCAGAATTCTAAAACAGCTTTAATTCTGAAATTTAAAAATTTCAGAAAAAATTTCAGAATTAAAACTTATTCAAAAAACACAAAATAAATACAACACACAACCTTTCCGGAAAACACAAAAATTAAATAAAATCTCAAAAAAATACAAAATAAATACAATCAGAAATTAAATAAAAATCAGAACTTTTCCGAAAAAAATACAAAAATAAAGTTCGAAAATACAGAAAACCTTAGCAGAATAAAAATCAGAATTTTACAACTTTTCCGTAAAAATACAAAAAAAACACAGCGAAATAAAAATCAGAATTTTATTAATTTTCCGAAAAACACACAAACGACTCTTAAAAATACAAAACAATAACTTACCTATATTATTACCTATTTTCATTTAACCAGAATTTATTTCAACCTCCCAACCCAACTTACCTTATAGAATTTATTTTTAATAAAAAAATTTAAAAATAATTTTTTTTTTCACTTACCCATCAACATCCATCAAATAAATTTTTGAACAAGCATCTTCTTTTGATAAACCTTCATTTTGCATTTGTAATACAACCATTTCAGCAATACCCAAAGCTGCCTAAAAATCACAAAAAATTTATCAACGAAATTTAAAATACCCCTCCAGCACCCAAAAAGACATAGGAACTTTCAGACATTTTCTTTTTTGTAACACGTGTACAAGCAAGTAATCCAGCAACAACTACAGAAGCTGTTCCTTGAATATCGTCATTGAACCTTTGAAAATTTTTATTTAAAAATTTCCAAAAAAATTTAAAAAAATTTACATGCAATAATCATCCCGATAACGCTCCAATAGACGATAAGCATTTTTATTGCCAAAATCTTCAAATTGAATTAATACATTTTGGCCATACCTAAATCAATGACATTTTTTTAAAAATTTATTCCAAAAAAAAAAGACAAACTTCTTTCGACAAGCTTTCATAAAATTATCCAAAAGTGTATCATATTCTGGTCCAGTAACTCTATTGCGACGTAAACCAATATAGAAAGGACTGAAAAAATAAGATTTAAAAAAAGTAAAATGGACATTCTGTCCCAAAATCCAAAAATAGACAATTTGTCCCAAAATCCAAAAATGGACATTCTATCCAAAAAAGGACATTCTATCCCAAAATGCAAAAATGGACATTCTGTCCCAAAATCCAAAAATGAACATTTCATCCCAAACTACAAAAACGGACAATTCGTCCCAAAATCCAAACATAAGCATCTTGCCCGTATTAAAATTTATTTTAAAATTTAAATTAAAAAATTCAAAAAACCAACTCATCCAGCAATTCCTGATTATCAGTCCCAACATCAATTAAAACAGGCAAACACCACTTAGGTTGTATACCAGCCAAAGCAACATATAAAGCCAATTTCCCAACAGGAATGCCAATTCCGTAAGCTCCCAAATCGCCTAATCCAAGAATTCTTTCTCCATCGGTGACAACAATAGCTTTGATTTCGTTGAATTTCCAATTACTAGAGAAAAATTTTTTTTGAAAAATTTCCGAAAAAATTTAAAAAAACCTCAAAATTTGGTATATTTTACTGACGCTGTTGTCGTTTATAGTAATGTAGACACCTCTAAAAATTATGAAAATTTTTAAAAAATTCTAATCAAAAAAATAGACTTTGGATTTCGATAAATAAAGCCAAATTGCTGACATGCCAAACCAACAGTTGGAGTGTAACTAAAATAAAAACAAAATTGAAAATAGAATCTTCAACCAAAAAACATACACTATCGGCATCAATTCCTTCAAATTATCACACAAAACACGGTAAAATAATTTCTCGTTTCTGTCCTAAAGAAAGATTTTAGAATTAGAAACAGAGGTTTTATAAACTTTGGGCCAGGATTCTGGGAATAGAAACAAAGACAAAATGTGGAGGTAAGGAGTCCTGGCCCCCATCCAGGAAACAAGAATTGTCTTATTGTTAGACTCTGGAATTCTTTCCTGAACTGGAACCGGAGTCTAGGAATCCTATCCGGAGCCAAGAAGAACCAAGAAAGCTCAGAAAATGCCCAGGTCTGACCTCTGGGTAGAGGAAATCCTTCTCCTAACCCTTCATCCTTACATAGAATCAAATTTGAGACCTGAAGCGCATCCAATTGAATATAGCGGGCCAAATCATTAGGCTGTTTACGCAATTTAGAAATCACTCGGTAAGCCTGTTGTTCTTCTGTCATAAACGCTGGAGGCAACAGACCATGAATTCCAAGATATTGGCGTTCTTGGAGAGAGAAAGCCATTCCCTTTAAAAAAGAAAAAATCAATGAATTCGAAAAGAAAAAAACCTTATTCAAATCAGGAGACTTGAGCAAATCAACGCCTCTAACACTTGGAGTAACCCGTTCAGCTCGATAAAGTTTATAGAGAGCCTTCTGCTTTGGATCTAAAAATAAACTTTAGGAAGAAATTTAAAGTTAAAAACCGTCCAGATTCCATTCACGAGTAAGGAATTGAGTTGTCGAAAGAAATCTAAAAAGGGGGATAATGAAAATTAGGACGAATTTTAACCTTTCTGACGAAGCCAAGAGCATGTCGAGACGAGACGTTTTAAGAATTGACCCAAGCATTTTTGTGGCTGTTAATATTCTTCTAAAACAACCTAGAATTAGATAAAAATTAAATTTTAAAGAAAAAAAATTTGTACAAAGAAAAAACAGGACCAAAACTCAACAGAAACAACAACTTAAATAAAGCAAAAATTAAAAAAATTTTTTAGAGATTTTTAATAATTCGACACTATGAAAAAATACATTTTTACTTTTTTAACTCAAATAAATTTCAAAATGTCGACTTTTAATTTTGGTCAAGGACGCTTTTCCTGGCTTACTCATCGGTTTTTGCTGGGTTTTTTCTTTAATTATCAGCTTTTAATTTTCTTTATTTTTATTTTCAGATTTAATCTCTCGTATTTTTACAAATTATATTTAAAAATGACTGCCTCTACAGCACTTCAAAAGGCTATAGAACTTGTAACCCGTGCGACTGACGAAGACAAAAATAAAAATTATGAGGAAGCATTGCGGCTTTATACTGGATCTTGTGAATATTTTATGCATGCTTTAAAATGTAAATTTTTTAAATTTTTTCCTTGTAATTATTGGTCTTTAATAGGGTTGGCGGATCATCGGGTATCCCCGGATCCGATATCCGAACCGAAATTTCCGGATTTCCTAATTTTTTTGAATCCGGCAACCTTAATCTCTAATTTATTTCTCCCACAACTTCTCTTTTACGACTTAAAAATCTCTGAGAAAAATTCCGACGATTCCTCCCCACACTGATACTCTATAAAAATAATAAAAACATAATTTTGTTTAGATGAATGCCAAGCTGAGCGTCAAAAAGAAATTATTCGTGAACGAATGCAAGAGTACATGAAACGTGCTGAAGATTTGAAGGTCTTTTTCTTTTTTAATTTTGGATGAATTTGAGGAAAATACCGAATTTTTTTTTCTTTTTTCTACATCCCTTTGCCGTCGTTTTCTTTTCTCTTATCCTTTGTAAAAATTTTTTTTGGATATTTTGTCGACGTCTCTTTGTCCCTCCACTACCCCTCAAAAAATTCTAAAATAAATTTTAAAAAATATCTCTCTTTCAGGATCACATCAAAAAGACCTCAAACAACTCAAAAGGAGGCAAACGTCCAGTTAAAGAAGACGATAAAGATTCTAGCGGTGATGAAGAAGATGGAAATAAAAAATTTCAAAAGGCTATAAATAAAGCTATTGTAGTCGAAAAACCAAATGTTAAATGGGAGGATATTGCTGGGTTAGATGGTGCTAAAGAAGCGTTGAAGGAAGCTGTTATATTGCCAATAAAGTTTCCACATTTGTTTAAAGGTTTGATGTTTTTATTTTAAAAAATCTTAAGGGTTAGGATGACGACAATTTTACTTATTGTTAGGTTCCCTCCCTTTTTAAAAATTTTTTGGATGAGTTGCGCTGCTTTTGGAATATACGCCATGTTCCAAAAAATTTTTCCAACAAATTTATATTTAAAATTATAGGCCCCCAAAATCCCCCCCTCCAATTATGTATCTTTTCACCATTTTTCCCCAGTTTTTTTTATAAACTGGATTAATAGAGACACTAGAACAAAGTGTTGTGTTCCAGCTTTTTTGGAATACATATACGCCATGTTCCAAAAAAATTTTTAAACAAAAATTTATTTAAAATTTTCACTAGGCCCAATCTCCCTCTAAAATCATCTCTCTATTTTCCTTCAATTTTTTTATAAATTCTGTGTAAGCCCAATATGTTGATTTTGGTGAGGGTGGTGGTGGTGATGTTGCTGTGCTTGTGCCCCCATAACACTTTTATGTGCTCTAGCAGTTAAAGCCATATCCTCCTCTTTCATTTGTGCTAATGAAAGTCCATAAAGTAGAGGAGAAATGGCTGAAGGGGCATAACCCAAAAACATTGCCAGAACAGGAATTGCCGAATCTGGGCCAAAGCGCCATGTTCCACTCATTGTAATAACATAAAATGGGACTTGAAATAAAGGCCTGGAAAAATTTTTTAAAAATTTTTGGAATTTCAAACAATTTTTAGAAATTACCCTGCCAAAAAAGCATAAACCAAAAATCGACTTTTGTAAAGTCCAATACTTTGAAACACAATAGGAGAATGATAAAGTATTTTTAATACTTTAATATACGAATAATATGATAGGCCAACAGGTAGACCCACACAAAGAATAAGTAGATAAGTTAAAAATTTGTAGCTGTAATCTGTACTTCCCCATACACAGTGTCTGAGCACCTAAAATTTTGCAAGATTAAAAAATTTTTGTGGAAGACTGTCGGGCATTTTTGGGATTATCTATGCATAGGGGATCATGCTGGTCCTATTTGCAAAAATCTCGTGGATTTCTGACGGTTTTGGATCATAAGTCAATTTTTCTGTCCTAAGATGTTCCCCAGTTTTCTGTCCCCAAGATTCCTTCCCAGACATAACTTCCAAAAAATACGATTTCTGGGCCATGGATAGTTTTTTGTCCCCCAAGATTCTTTCCTATTCATGTAACCCCAAGAGAAATTTTTCAAAAAAATCCTTTTACCGGATCATGCACCACAATATGCGAATTTGTAATACACGGTAAAGCTATTGTAAAAGCTACTATCCAAGCTAGCACGCATAAATAAGCTGGGGGAAGGCCAAAAAGTTGGGCATAATGAATGCGAGCAAATGTAAGTAAATGAACTCCAGCAATGCAAAGGGTCATAAAGTGAACAACCGTCCATTCAGAACACATTAGAAATGTCTGTAAAAAATTTTGGAATTTTTTTTTGGAATTTTTAAATGAAAAAACCTGAATTCTACAAGCCATATTATTATTAGGCCATAAATGTGTTCCAGACCACAAATTTGCCAAAAATAGGGGGACCAAAACTCCAAGTCCAATCATATTAGTAACACAAAGATGGGCAATAAAATGGGAAGAAACAAAATTTCTGTATAATCGTCGACAGCAGATGTAGCTTAGCAGCATTAAGTTGGCTAAAAATCCAAATGCAGCAATTGCGCCTAAAGGGAAAACTAGTGATTGATAAGCGTAATTTTGTTTGTTGTTATTGAGGATTGGATTTGTGTTGTTATTATAATTTATTTTTGAAGAAGACATTTTTTGAAGCAGGCGGAATTTATTTGCTTTTTTTTCAAATTGTAAAACAGGCGGAGTTTTTTAAATTGAATTGTAAAAATGTTGTTGTTTTTCTCTCAAGTTTTTATATTTTTCTGAAGCAGGCGGAATTTATTTTACAAATTGTAAAATAGGCGGAATTATTTTTTCTATTTATTTTACAATTTGTAAATTAAACTTTTCAACTTTTTTTTTGCTTCTTTCTGCCCCCTTCTTAGCGCTTTTAAAAATACACAAAGGGGAAAAGGACAAGGCAGATTTATCGAATAGTCTATACACTTGCTTTTTCTAGTTTTAATGCTAACAACAAAAGCAATGGCCACAAAACAAAATAAATATATATTTTGTTTTTAGTTAGAGAAAGAGAAAAAGCACCAGGCGCCTTTGGGGACATTTAGGAATTCTTTTTTTGGGGGGGGGGGGGGGGGGGGGAAGCTTTTTTATTTTTCTCCCCTTATTTTCTCGTAGGAGAAACAAAATATTTTCCCCAAAATTTCTCGACCAAAAAAAATTTTTTTTTGGGGAAAAAAATTTTTCCCCTTATTTTCTTTTTTGTCATCCCTTTGGAATATTAAAAAAAATTTTTAGAAAAATTTTTTATACCTTTCAGGAAAACGTACACCATGGCGAGGAATTTTACTTTTTGGACCACCAGGTACTGGAAAGTCTTATATTGCCAAAGCTGTTGCAACTGAAGCTCAAAATTCAACATTTATTTCTGTTTCCAGCAGTGATTTAGTTTCAAAATGGCTTGGAGAATCAGAAAAGTATCTAAAATTAAAAAAATTTAACTAAAATAATTTTATAGACTTGTTCGACAGCTTTTTGAGATGGCACGAACAAATAAACCTTCCATTATTTTTATTGACGAAGTTGATTCTTTGTGTTCATCAAGGTTTGATTTGCTTAGAAAAGATTTTTTAACCTTAAAAAATTTTTTTTTCAATTAAAAAAATTAATTTTTCAGATCCGATAACGAATCCGAATCTGCTCGGAGAATAAAAACTGAATTTCTTGTTCAAATGCAAGGTGTTGGCCATGACATGGAAGGAATTTTGGTTTTAGGTATTTTTTTAATAGAAATTTCAAAATTTTCCAAATTATTCTTTCAGGAGCAACAAATATTCCATGGGTTTTAGATGCTGCTATTCGACGTCGTTTTGAGGTTTTTCTCCTTTTTAAAAATTTTTTAAAAAATTTTCCCTCCCTTCAGAAACGCATTTATATTCCTCTTCCTGACACAAATGCTCGTAAAGACATGTTTAAATTACACATTGGAGATACACACACAAGCTTAACTGAATCAGATTTTAAGGAATTGGCAGTAAAAACTGAGGGTTATTCAGGACATGATATTTCTATGGTTGTAAGAGATGCATTGATGCAGCCAGTAAGAAAAGTTCAAGATGCTACTCATTTTAAACGGGTTTTTATTTTTTTTAATTTTATTTTTTAAAACTATATTCGGAATCTATGCATAGGGGATCATGCTGGTCCTATTTGCAAAAATCTCGTGGATTTCTGACGGTTTTGGATCATAAGTCAATTTTTCTGTCCTAAGATGTTCCCCAGTTTTCTGTCCCCAAGATTCCTTCCCAGACATAACTTCCAAAAAATACGATTTCTGGGCCATGGATAGTTTTTTGTCCCCCAAGATTCTTTCCTATTCATGTAACCCCAAGAGAAATTTTTCAAAAAAATCCTTTTACCGGATCATGCACCACAATATGCGAATTTGTAATACACGGTAAAGCTATTGTAAAAGCTACTATCCAAGCTAGCACGCATAAATAAGCTGGGGGAAGGCCAAAAAGTTGGGCATAATGAATGCGAGCAAATGTAAGTAAATGAACTCCAGCAATGCAAAGGGTCATAAAGTGAACAACCGTCCATTCAGAACACATTAGAAATGTCTGTAAAAAATTTTGGAATTTTTTTTTGGAATTTTTAAATGAAAAAACCTGAATTCTACAAGCCATATTATTATTAGGCCATAAATGTGTTCCAGACCACAAATTTGCCAAAAATAGGGGGACCAAAACTCCAAGTCCAATCATATTAGTAACACAAAGATGGGCAATAAAATGGGAAGAAACAAAATTTCTGTATAATCGTCGACAGCAGATGTAGCTTAGCAGCATTAAGTTGGCTAAAAATCCAAATGCAGCAATTGCGCCTAAAGGGAAAACTAGTGATTGATAAGCGTAATTTTGTTTGTTGTTATTGAGGATTGGATTTGTGTTGTTATTATAATTTATTTTTGAAGAAGACATTTTTTGAAGCAGGCGGAATTTATTTGCTTTTTTTTCAAATTGTAAAACAGGCGGAGTTTTTTAAATTGAATTGTAAAAATGTTGTTGTTTTTCTCTCAAGTTTTTATATTTTTCTGAAGCAGGCGGAATTTATTTTACAAATTGTAAAATAGGCGGAATTATTTTTTCTATTTATTTTACAATTTGTAAATTAAACTTTTCAACTTTTTTTTGCTTCTTTCTGCCCCCTTCTTAGCGCTTTTAAAAATACACAAAGGGGAAAAGGACAAGGCAGATTTATCGAATAGTCTATACACTTGCTTTTTCTAGTTTTAATGCTAACAACAAAAGCAATGGCCACAAAACAAAATAAATATATATTTTGTTTTTAGTTAGAGAAAGAGAAAAAGCACCAGGCGCCTTTGGGGACATTTAGGAATTCTTTTTTTGGGGGGGGGGGGGAAGCTTTTTTATTTTTCTCCCCTTATTTTCTCGTAGGAGAAACAAAATATTTTCCCCAAAATTTCTCGACCAAAAAAAATTTTTTTTTGGGGAAAAAAATTTTTCCCCTTATTTTCTTTTTTGTCATCCCTTTGGAATATTAAAAAAAATTTTTAGAAAAATTTTTTATACCTTTCAGGAAAACGTACACCATGGCGAGGAATTTTACTTTTTGGACCACCAGGTACTGGAAAGTCTTATATTGCCAAAGCTGTTGCAACTGAAGCTCAAAATTCAACATTTATTTCTGTTTCCAGCAGTGATTTAGTTTCAAAATGGCTTGGAGAATCAGAAAAGTATCTAAAATTAAAAAAATTTAACTAAAATAATTTTATAGACTTGTTCGACAGCTTTTTGAGATGGCACGAACAAATAAACCTTCCATTATTTTTATTGACGAAGTTGATTCTTTGTGTTCATCAAGGTTTGATTTGCTTAGAAAAGATTTTTTAACCTTAAAAAATTTTTTTTTCAATTAAAAAAATTAATTTTTCAGATCCGATAACGAATCCGAATCTGCTCGGAGAATAAAAACTGAATTTCTTGTTCAAATGCAAGGTGTTGGCCATGACATGGAAGGAATTTTGGTTTTAGGTATTTTTTTAATAGAAATTTCAAAATTTTCCAAATTATTCTTTCAGGAGCAACAAATATTCCATGGGTTTTAGATGCTGCTATTCGACGTCGTTTTGAGGTTTTTCTCCTTTTTAAAAATTTTTTAAAAAATTTTCCCTCCCTTCAGAAACGCATTTATATTCCTCTTCCTGACACAAATGCTCGTAAAGACATGTTTAAATTACACATTGGAGATACACACACAAGCTTAACTGAATCAGATTTTAAGGAATTGGCAGTAAAAACTGAGGGTTATTCAGGACATGATATTTCTATGGTTGTAAGAGATGCATTGATGCAGCCAGTAAGAAAAGTTCAAGATGCTACTCATTTTAAACGGGTTTTTATTTTTTTTAATTTTATTTTTTAAAACTATATTCGGACCTTATTAGGTCCAGATTAATTTTTAAAATTTTGTACCCAGTCTTTTTCGACCCGAAACCAGACCTGACTTTTTTCCCTGCCCGGCATATTCCTATCCTCAGTCCCAATGGTTTATGATTTCTAATTTCTCTATAAGACGTCTAGAATTTTTAACTATATTCGGACCTCAACTTTTTTCCCAGCCCGGCATGTTCCTATTTTCAGTCCAGATTCAAGAAAGTCCAGATTCCTCAGTTTAAGAAACATTTTTTTAAATTTAGTTGGATGGGGTCGGATTTCACGATACTCGGACTTTTTTAAAACTAAAAAATAATTTTCTTTTTATTTTAAAGGTTAGTGGACCTTCCCCACTCGATGCAAAATTGATAGTTCATGATTTATTGACTCCTTGTTCGCCTGGTGATGCTGGCGCTATTGAAATGTCATGGTTAGATGTGCCGTCTGATAAATTGAGCGAGCCAGTTATTTCTATGGTTTTTTTTAATTTTTAAAAATCAAAAGAAATTTTTTCTTAAAAAAGAATGACATGATCAAATCATTAATGAGTACAAAGCCAACAGTTAATGCAGCAGATTTGCACAAATTAGATGAATTTAAGAAAGATTTTGGACAAGAAGGATGAGTAATATTAAAAATGTATGTATTTAAAAATGAAGAGGAAGGACAGAATAAATACTTTTAATTTTATTTTGTAAAAGTGTTTGAGGTATGAATATATTTTTTTGCTTAAGTTTACATTCATCTTTATACATATTATTTAATCGAAAATAAAACTTGAAACACACATTTAACAAAAAATAAACTTGAAACAGAATTACAAAATAAACTTGAATTGTGAAAAATAATTAAAAAAAGATAAAACCTGAAACAGAATTACAAAATCAGAAGAAATAAACTTAAATCAGAAATTCCTTCTCATATCAGAAGAAAATAAAACTTGAAGCACTTACAAAAACAGAGAAAATAAACTTACTTGAATTTAAAAAAAAATCAGAAAAAGAAACTTAAAATCAGAACTTGAAGCATTTACAAATTACAACCCCCCTTACATTGCTTTTACCCCTTCCTCTTTTCACCTTATTTAAAAGCAACAAAATACACACACAAGTGAAAGTGATTATTAACACATCAAAAGCTATCAAAAAAAACTGCAAGCGCCGGTTAACACACAAAAAAATCTCCCTTTCATTCAGTTAGTAACGCTAATTCACCTTCAAATATATCCTGCTTAAAATTAGGTCATTATATCATTCGAGAACAAAAATCACACAAAAATACACCTCAGATTTTTCAAAAATTCAAAAAAAAATTTTACCCCTCTAAAAATGATTCTATTACCATTTTTATTATTTTTCCTCTCTGGAATTTCTGCTGAAACCCACAAATTTCATCACTGTTTTGACCGTTACAATAACCACAAAATTATTGGGGGACGATTTATTATACAACCCTTCCACAGCGAGTGGAGAATTGGAGGAGGAGAAGCTCGTTGTATTGGTAAAAAAATTTAAAAATTTGAGGCTAATTAAAAATGTCCAACAACCAAAAATATGACAAAATGCCCAATAACCAAAAATATGACAAAACGCCTAATAACGAAAAAATATGACAAAACGCCCAATAACCTAAAATATGACAAAACGCCTAATAACCAAAAAATTACAAAACGTCAAAAATTCCCCTATTTTATCCAGATTTCTGCATCAGATCTCTAGTAAGTTTAAGCTTTTTTAACTAAAAATAAAAACAATCCAAGAGCCGATGTGCTTCAATAGTATTTGACAAACACGAACACATTTGTCACTATTTTTCTATTGGTGGACTAGACAATGTTGTACCCGAAAAAGGATTTGTTTATTTAAGCCTTATATCTAAAGAGTGTATTGTTGGCTCAGAAGAAGATAAATCGGAAGCAAATCAAGAGAACAGAAAAAATACAACAAACACAACAACATCAACAACCCCAAAAACAACAACATCCTCCTTCCTCTCCATTAATTGTAACACCCAAAAAGGACAAAGAAAATGAAACAAATCAAAGTATCGAGCCTTTAATGGAGGGGAAGAAACAAACTTCCAAGTTTTCTAAACAAGAAGTTGAACAATTTTTGTTGAATGAGGAACATTTTACAAAACTCACAACAACTGAGAAACCACTAGTGGAAGTAGAAACTGAAGGTAAAAAAAGTTTCTGTTCAAAGTAGGGTAGCAAAAACCCCGACCCTAATCCCTAAGGCTCTACCCCGGCAAACCCCGATCCCCGACGATCCCGCCCCCTAAGGCTCGGGGTACTACCCTAGGTCAAAGAGGCAGTTGAGACCTCAAAATGCCCCAACGTCCTCAAAACGCCTCAAACACCCTCAAAACGCCTGAAAATTCCCCTTTCATAAATTTCAGATTCAATCAGTTTTCTAGAAGAAATTGATAGAGAATTAAGAGAAAAGGAAGAAGAAAATTTAGAAGAATCAGAAGAGGAATTGGAAGAAGCTCCCTTAAAAGAAGAACAAAATTTAATACTAATTCCAACCCTTTCAATGCTTAAAATAAAGAAAAGAATAAAAAATGAGGAGGAAGAATTAAAAGAGATTAGAAGACATCCAAGATTAGACAATTCTATCAACAATAAAAACAATAGAGTTGACAATTATTTAATTAAACAACAAAATCGAGTTGGAAAAATAAATAAATTGAAGGAAGAAAATGAAGGTTTCTTATTAGAAAAAAATAAATTTTCCCTCCTAAATTTTTCATGGAAGACCTCTCCCTTCAATAATTAATTAAAAAAATTCCCATAATTCACCCCCCTTTCTTAAGACCCATGATATTTTTTTGGACGTAGTAAACTATCAAAAATATTAATTCAAAAAAACAAATGTCAGAAAATAAGCCTTTAAAAAAATTTTTTAATAGAAAATCACCCCCTTTTCAAACCAATTCAATAAAATAGTTAAAGACTCAAGGGCCGATTCCCCCTTTAATAATTTAAAAAAATTAAAGCTTTTAGGTACATGATGAAGACATGTACTTCATGAAGACATCCTCCTCCCTCCCTTTTCAATAATAAAAAAAATTAATTTACCCCCTCTTTCAAGGCTGTGGCACTGGAAAACAAGCAATTTGGATAGCTGTAGAAAATGCACGTTTTAATCCTAGCTTAATCCAATCCTTCTCCCCCACCACCAACCATGACACCATCAGCCAAACCACCACCTCATTCACCACAGAAACTCCCAAAGAATGTGCCAAATTTTGTTCAAACACAACAACCACCTTCTTTGACAATTTTGGACGTCGACGCCGTTGCAATGCTTTTTCCTTTAATGAAAATGAAAAATTATGTCAACTTGCCTATTCAAATGTTGAGTTTCCGTCGATGCTAGTTCAAACAACAGAAGCTGATTTTGTACAGAGAGCATTCAGGAGGCTTTGTTATGGTGGTAAGAGAGCTTTTTTGAAGCGTTAAGAGCTGAAAGGACTAGAAAATTGTAAAATGTCCAGCACCTAAAAATATTTCAAAACGCCCAGACCCCAAAAATATCTCAAAATGTCCAGCACCTAAAAATATTTCAAAACGCCCAGACCCAAAAATATTTCAAAACGTCCCAACCTCTAAAAAAATTTCAAAACCCCCAAAATTCAATTAATCCCCTTTTAGCAAACTTTTCCCCCTTCTCTGGCTGCTCCGACTTCTTATCGTTTATGGACTACAAACTAAACGACGTTGCAATATCACCCAAGGAATTATACGATGGTTTACCAAAAAATATACAAGGATTGTCTGCTTGTATAGAATTGTGTGTTTTGGCTAATGATTTTAATTGTTTGGTAAGTTAGAAAAGGAGGAAGGGGGTTAACCCGAAAAAATTAAAAAAAATTTTCGTTGGTGTAGTTGGAAAAATTTTAGTTTCACAACTAAAATAGGTCGTGGGTTCGAACCCCGTCAGGGAGAATAATTTTCAAAAAAATTTTTCCGGACTTCTTTCATTATCTCTCTCTACTTTTCTCTCAATTTTCACAAAAATTTCCTTCTTGGTGTAGTTGGAAACGTTTTAGTTTCACAACTAAAATAGGTCGTGGGTTCGAATCCCGTTACGGAAAATATTTTTTTTTATTTCTCAACTCATTTTTAGAGTGGATTTTTTGACACTTTAAAAGGCAGATGTTTACTTTATAATGTCAATAGCCTAAGTAACCCTAGTGCTTTTTGTAAACACAATGGGAATGGACACCAATTATATTTTGAGGTTTTTTTTAAATTTTCCCACTCCAAAAAAAATTTTTTTGAAGAATGGGTGTGCTGAATCACACAAAGACGTTACAGAATAAAGTGAAAATTTACTTATTTTTATTAAAAACAAATTTCTATAAATATATTTATAAATTTTTTTGAATTAAAAAAAAATGAATTTTTTGCGTTAAAATTATGCTATATAACACAAACCTCGACCATTTCTAATTAATTAACACAATTATAGATTTATATACCCATGTCACAAACAAAATATGTGTAATTATATTCCTCCACCTCTCGATTTTTCTCCAAGATGAGACAACTTAAAAAGTATAAAAAATAAAAAAAAATATCAAAAAAAGTCAAAACTCATTTTTATATACCTCCCTATAACAGAAAAACATGTCTTAAAATGAAAGGCAGCCTAAATTGAGGGGCCCTTAAATTGGAGGGTAGCTAGAAATGAGCTTCGATTGCATTTTTAAATAAGAAACCTGTTCAACAAAGCATTTTGGGCTAACCATTTCTGTACATCCATAAGTTATTCTTTGTATTGATGGTTTTGTTTTTGCCCATTCAATAACATTTTGATATTCTACATAATTACCTCCACCAACTACAAAAACAATTACATCTACTACTGGATATGTTGAACGTAGTCCACTTTAAAAAATTTTTTAAGTTTAATTTTAAAAAATTCTTTTTTCATATATTCTTATAGCCCTAAAATCTCCTCTTTAATTTAAAATAAATTTATTTTTTCCCACTTACTTAACTTATAGTTATGCCCAAAAAACACTTATAAACTCAACCAAAAAATCACAACTAAACTCATTCAAAAATTCACAACTTTTTAAAAATTAAATCTAAAAATTTATTTTTTTAATATTCTTAAAGCTCAAACTCTCCTCTATTTTTTGATATAAAAATTAAATTTTAGTCTTTACTTAAACTAAAGTTATAGGAATTTTAAAGTTGCTAGTCTGACTAATTTTCCCACAGAAAAAATAAAACAAATTCCCCTGTATTTCCCTTGGTGTAGTTGGAAATGTTTTAGCTTAATCACAATTATATCAAAAATAGGTCTTGGGTTCGAACCCCATCGATAGAAAACGGTTAAAAAATTATTTTTTAACTCTAAAAAATTTTAAAAAATTTTCCAAACCCTTAAAAATTGGAAAAAAATTTTCTTAGGCCCCTAAAAATTTTTAAAAACTTTACAAAACTCTTTTATCGATCCTTGTGTCAATTTTGGGTCGAAAACACGAAACTCATCAGCTCCATCCAAAGCATTACTAGAACCACCAACACTTAAACCTGTTACAGACTGCATTCCTCCACTAACTTTAACTTCAGTTAATTGTTCTATCATCTTTTGGAAAAAATAAAATTTTTCAAAAAATTTAAAAAAAACCTTAGTTAACGGCAAACTATGCTTTTTTGGAACTAAATTTTTAACTCCTTCCATCACAAATTTTGAACTTTGATTCAACAATTTTGAAAACATTCCAACTGTTTTGGTTCCAGCTCCCAAATGTAATTCTGTATGTCCACCAACATTTGAAAAAGATCTTTAAAAATTAAATTTATTAAGGAGATGATTACTTTTTAATATTCTCAAGGCTTTAAAAATGAAAAAATAATAGAATATCAAAACATAATGACTGTTTATTCAGTCAACTAGCTTGTAAAATAAGACTTGTAAAATAAATTCGGGGTTGAAAAACTGAGTTGTAAAACCAGATTAACTAGTTTTGAGCAAACAACCCCCAATTAAGGTTACGTTACCATTAGGGCTGGGTTTCGAGTCTTTTCTTCGGGCCTCGTTTTTATCGGGCCGGTACGACCAAGTTATTTTTCGGGCCAAAATTTGATGCCCGACTCGATCTTTCGGACCGGGCTCCCAACCCTATTTACCAGTCAATCACAGCACATTTACTAAGTTCTTTAACCAACTAAAAGCTACTAGTTTTACCCACTAAAAAATATTTAAAAAAATTTAGAAACCTCAATTGTCTAACAAAATTTAAAGCATCTGGACTTATTCCCTTCTCTTCAAAATGAGCAAGTATTTCACGTTGTTCAGTCTTAAATTTTTATTTAAAATTTTAAAGAAATACAAAAAACCGTGCTTAAATTTTTAGAACATGCAGCAATTAATGCAAAACGTAGTGCATCTTCATTAGCAGTACATTCACGTAAAGATTCCATTAATGGTAAATCTGTTCAAAAAACATTTAAAAACTCCAAGAAGCGACCAAGGAAAAAACGGAGGCTCAGTAAAGGTACAGAAAATTACGGACAACGATACCTACAGGGGATGACACTTGTTCAACCCGAAAAATTTTTCAACACGGAATAGGATCCAAAGAAAATTTTTTGAAAAAATAGACCCGACCATTCTCTGAAACCCTCTTTGTAGGCAATAGAGTAAATTTCCCAGAAATTGCCTAAAAAAGGTCAAAGAACATCCAAAAAAATCCTACTAGAATCAGGCTCAAGGCAGGCCAGTAGCCAGGATTTTTTCGGGGGAGGGGGAGGAGGAAGGAATTCCCCCCTATCCCCTGGCTAGGGCCTGGATCAAGGTCCCTTTTTAGAAAAAACCTTAAAAAAACAAAAACAACCAACCTTGCCCAGTCAACAATTTTTCTTCAGTTTCATACAAAATATCCAATTTTCTACTTTTTATATTATCTAACAAAGCTGTAGCTACATTTGTATGTAAATCAATTAATCTCTTCTTTTCTAACAATTCTGGTAATGAACCTACAGCACTTGAAAGTTTATTCGTTGCACTATCAAGTAAAAAGTCTGATTCGTTTTCGATGATTGTAGAGCCTTCAATTCCCTTAAAAAATTAAAATTTGACACTTCAAAGCGTTGACGATTTAAAAATTGGGCGTTATAAACAAATGACGTTTTAGAAGGTGTTGTGTAGTGGTGACACTACTATAAAAGCCACACTAGGCGTCAGTCTAATTGGATCATACTAGCTCGGCTAGTCCCTGATCTCCTTCGTCTGTCCCACTCTATCCCTTCGCCTACACATTGTTATTTCTACATTAGATAAATTGTTATTCTATTGCACGTCTACATTCGTATACCCTCGGACATAACAGAAGGGTACAGCCCAACTAGGCGCGCGCCCAAGTAGGCGCAGAGCCATAAAATGCTTCAAGATTTCCGAATCTTTCAAAATTTAGTATTAAAAAATTCCTCTCATCGAGCTGAAGAGATTGGTACCAAAATTGTTAGGGTCCAGAAAATTTCCGGCTAGTTATGATTTTGCGCGTACTTAGCCGCGCGCCTATTTGGGTGTGTCCCTTTTAAATTGACCGTTTCGAAAATTAAAACAAAAAAAACCATGGAATCCTTCAATCTTCTAATTTCTTCTTCATTTTTTCTATATGCTTCCAAATCTTCTTGTATAGCTTCAGCTACCAATGGGAAAGCACTTCCCTTATACGAATTAAATAATTTATCTTCATTGCTAAATTCATAATCTTTTTGACGCCCATTTTTATCTTTCATTCTAATTCGATTTAAATCCATATCCTTTATAAAAAATTTCAAAATAGATTTAAAAAATATTTTTCAAGTTTAAAATCATTAATTTAATAATTTTAAAGCTTTTAAAGCCAAAAACAAGCAAAAACACACACTAGGATTCGAACCCCCTACTTATTTCCTTAAGAATCCAGAACACTAACCATTCCACCACCTAGCAACACGAAACGATATCTACACTAATTAACCATATAGAAGGGATAATTAATCAGAAAACTCCCCAAAGCACCTAATTGTCGAATTTTTTTAATTTAAAAATTATTTTGGGACCAAATGTCCCCCTTAAAAATTTCAAACCCCATTTATTCAAAAAACACTAAAATCCCCTCAAAAAATTAAAAAAAACCCAACCAAAATATCAGCAATCATAGCCTGATAAGTCCACGTATGGTGCAGCATTGTTGATAAATCCAAACTTCTATCAGCAATAACCAAAACTGGGCGATGAATATTTAAATGACTGGCTCGGACATTTTCTTGAGTGAATAAATTGTTACGAGCATCACGCAAATTATCACGAATTTTTTGATCCAATTTCTGAAAAAAAAAATTTTTAAGTGGGCATTTTGAGACACTGGGCGTTTTGAAAACTTTTGGGACTTTGGAGGGCCATATCCTGGCCAGATCAAAAAAGAGGCAAAAACGGCTCAAAATCCTCGCTAGAAAGGGCACATTCTCTATCGAATGAGCCCGGTCTCGACCATTTTTAGGTCGAATACTTTGCAACCTCTCCTTGTTAGACGTTAGAAAAATTGGGTCATTTGAATTTAAAAAAATCAAAAAATAAGGTCAAGGATCCAATAACCCTTTTAAAAACCCCAAATTAAAAAATAAAAAAAAATTAAAAAAATTCAAAATAAACCTCAGCAACTCTCTCAGCCGCATTATTCTTCGGACATTTAATTATAGGAACAACACCCAAAGTTATACAAATAGAAAAAAGACCATTAGCGATACTTGAAATTATTTTGTTCATTGATTCATCACTGGCTGATGGATTGTTTAAGGCTTAAAGTGAAGAAATTAATTTTTGAAAAAATTTTTCTAAAAGGACATTTGGTCCCAAATTAAAAAAATAAAAAAAATTTTTTTACCAAAGAAAGAATAAGGGCTAGTTTGTGAATAACGACTCAACATAAACAAATCGTCTTCTAACGAGATAAATGCCAAGAATTGATCAGTGACCTGAAAATAAATGTTGAGATTTTTTGTTGTTAGACAAGTGACATTTCATCCCAACAAATAAAAAAATTTTTAGACGAGATTTCCTCCCAAAAATTTTTTAAGACAAATAATAATCCATTCCAATAATTAAAAAAATTTTTTTAGAAAGATGACATTTCATCCCAACCCGAAAAAATTTTTTAGCCAAATAGTGACACTTGATCCCAATCCAAAACTTTTTTAGACGGATGACAATTCATCCGAAAAAAAATAAAAAATTAGACAGATAAAACGTCACGAAAATTTTTTCTAAAAGGGTGACATTACATCCCAAAAAATAAACTTCCCCATATGACATTTGATCCCAAAATTCATAAAATCCAAAAAAACCTTTTGTACTTGTTGCACAATTCCTCCCTCAACAGCACTCAACGCCAAATCTTCCAATAAGGGTCTCGGCAATGGATATATCATATTAAAATAGTAACTATCATACATTGATTTTCTCAAATCATTACAAATTATTTGAATATTCGATTCTGTTGGCGATACAAAATAAACTGCTGGAACATCCGGCAATGTTTCTCTTTGAGAATTTAGATGCCTAGAAAAATAAGAAAAAAGATAGGAATCAAAAACTAGCAGAGATATAGCATGGTATGAGCCAATACCCTCAGACTTTCCTATGCCGAGAAAAGTTCCCAGGCAGTTTTGGCTCGGCTTATTCCTGGGAAGCTGAATCTGGGCCAAGATCAAGCTGGCCAATGCCAGCTGTCCAATTCCAGACATTACTGTTCCCAGAAATAGCCTCTGACATTTCTTCTTGTCTAAAATTTTTTCCAAGTCTGTTTCCTGGATTACTTTTTTCGGAAAATTCCCTGGACTACATCCAGGATCTGAAATAGACTACTGGATTTCCAATTCATGTCAGTGTTGAAAACAGGAGTATAAGGCACTTTTTTGGGTGTAATTCAACTCCCACACTCGGGAAGCCCCAACCAACCTAACCCGAAAAAGGTCGGCGTTCGGTGCCGGGGCTAAATAGGGACGAGGGCCAGACCTATTTTAAACATCAAAAATCAAATAGAAAATAAAAAACAAACATATGTAAAGTAACTCCAGCTTCTCTAAGTTGTTTAACATTTAGAAGGGGCGAAATAATATCTTGCCCATCAGACCTGGGCGAAACTCCAAATTTTTTTCGGACGAAACGAAACGAAACAAAAATTTTTAAAAATCGTTTCGTTAACAAAACGAAACGAAACCGTCAAAATTTAACGAAACGAAACGAAACAAAACGAAACATTTTAATTTCGAAAAAAATCTCAAAAATCTGGATAATTTTATTAACTACACAATTTTAAGCATGTTAATTGGCCATAATGACATATAAGTGATCGTAAAATTATGTGGACCATAAATTGTGGTCCCATTAGCCAATTTTTCTCTTAATCTCACCTAAATCTAGAGTTTAGCGGTATCGGGATTTATAGAAAAACCGGGATCTGGATTTTGGAATGGTGATACCGATCCCGACACGTGATCGGGATTGGTCGAAATTGTCGCATTACCGAATGAGTAATTGACGACAAAACTTTTGGATTATTAAGCCAAGGTCCTTCCCTTCAAAATATGCAAAAAGATTAATCTGCGGATACTTCCAGTACGGGCTCTAAAGATATTAATAAGGGGGTCAACTCTGTACCCCCTCATTAGCTCCGTTAATCCCACAGATAGACTGATTAAACTTGTAAAGAGATAAAAGCAAAAAATTGTGTTGATCAAACGTTTGTAAGACTTCAGGGTCAATAGGTCATCAGTGTTTAGGTTTACAAGGGGGGTCCTTTCTGATCTCCGCAGGCGAAAATTTTGAGAATTTTGAAGGCCAAGAAGCCAGATTTCTTCCTTTTTTAGCGGCGCAGGCGAAAATTTTGAGTATTTTGAAGGCCAAGAAGCCAGATTTCTTACTTTTTCAGCGCCGCAGGCGAAAATTTTGAGAATTTTGAAGGCCAAAGGGGAAATTTTTTTAGTTTTGGATAATATTTTGGCTTAAAAAATAGGTAATGTTTCGTCAACGAAACACAGGTGTTTCGTTAACAAAACGAAACGAAACAAATTAAAAAGTGTTTCGTCACGAAACGAGACGAAACAGGAAAAAACATAACGAAACTAACGAAACAACGAAACGAAACGAAACGTTTCGCCCACGTCTGTTGCCCATACCCATCAAATATCAGCAATTTCCATGTTGGTTCAACTGCTAAAGATTGAGTAAATGGTTGGTTTAAGTTCAGCAATTGTTTTAGAGCTGCTGAAAAATTTTTAAAATGAAAAAATTCCTGACATTTTTAAAAAACAAAAAAACCTGTTTGACGAGAACGAAGAGTTTCCATTAATTTTCTGAAGCAAAAATCGAATAAAAATTCAATAACAAGCTCTCTACTCTTTTTAAATCTAAAATTTGTTTAAACAAAAAAGTAGGTAAACTGTTGGACACTAGAGATCGAGATTTTAAAAAAGCCTGGACTGTCCGGTTCGGTTCGTTGACCTGGACTGGATCCTGGGCCTGCAGTCCAGGAAAAACCCCAGGCTTAGGAAAACCCAGGAAGGTCAAAAAATGCTTGGACCTGGACTCTGCATACAGGAAAAACTCAGGCCTTGATCCAAGTCCAGCTCGATCTCTATTGGACACTACAATAATGACACCTCATTAATATACTCTCGCCTAGATAAAACAAAATAAGGTCAGATTTTTCCTCCCTGAGGAAGCACAATAATGGAACAGGTATCCGAGGCTGCTTATGACAAAATTAAAAAAAAAATTAATATAAAAAATGTAAAGGTGAAAAAACACAAATTCTACAAGAAAACGAGAAAGAAATAAAAATTTTTCTAATTTCAAAATGGTAAATTTCAAAATACAAAATATAAAAAATGCCAAGTATATAAAATGCAATGAAACACATGCTCAAAGTTTACATAAATCGCCCATTTTTGAGGTATTGATCTTTCATTTTCAACGACATTCTTTTTGTAAACATGGCTACAATGAATTTTGGAAGGATTGAAATAAATTCCAACTGAAAAAAATAAAATTAAGAAAATTCTAGTCAAAATGTCGAAACCCCAAAAATATGTCAAAATGTCGAAACCCCAAAAATATTTCAAAATGTCGAAACCCCAAAAATATGTCAAAATGCCGAAACCCCAAAAATATTTCAAAATGTCAAAACCCCAAAAATATTTCAAAACGTCGAAACCCCAAAAATATTTCAAAACGTCGAAAACCCCAAAAATATTTCAAAATGTCAAAACCCCAAAAATATTTCAAAATGTCGAGACCCCAAAAATATTTCAAAATGTCGAGACCCCAAAAATATTTCAAAATGGTCAAAACTAACATTAAGTTGATGAGCAAAACACCCAGTAGTTTCTTTAATTAGTCCAATGCTGTGTATTGCTTGGCCAACAAATTTAACTGGGGTAGGTTCAGTAAATGAAGGTTTTGGGTTTTTAGTCATATTTGTGGCTACTACCCCTGGGCACACTGTTTGTATTGTAATTCCTGTACCTTTGTATTCGGCTTGTAAAATTGCAGAAAGCCATTGGGCATATCTCTGAAGGAAAGAAAATTAAAAAAAAATTCATGTCAAAATGTCGAAATTTTTAAGAGTAACCTTTGAAGCAGAATAAACAGCCAAATAATACCATTCAAAATAATTTATAGTCGAAGAAATATTAACAATAATTCCCTTCTTTCTTGGGATCATTTGTCGCAAAATGTAATGTGAAACAATTGTTTGTGGCAACATATTAACTAGCTATAAATTATTAATAAATGTCGAGCCTCATTATATAGGGGGCCCATCAGTCATAGGGGGCCTCCCTAGGAAAAAAATTTTTTTGGAACATTTTGGGGTATCTTTTGGAGGCTGGGGGTGACACACAAGATACCTATTGAGGGTATTTTATAATTTCTAATTTTTCAAAAAATTTTATTTACCGCCATATCCGCCAATTTTTTAATTCCACCTTCAGTCTTTTCAAAACGTTCAGGATATTCGTTGAACATTCCAACATTATTAACTGAAAATTTAAAAATAATTTTTTTCTTCTCCAAATCTAATTTTTTCTTAAAATAGAATAAAAATAAACCAAATTAAAATCATTTCCCCCCAAACGGATTCGAACCCACGACCCTTTCAGTCATAAATTCCCAAACTTTTCCAACTACACCAAAGAGGACAAAAAAATTTTTTTTGAAAAAAAATTTTTTCTTCCCCAAATCAAATTATTTCTTAAAATAGAATAAAAATAAACCAAATTAAAATCATTTCCCCCCAAACGGATTCGAACCCACGACCCTTTTAGTCATAAATTCCCAAACTTTTCCAACTACACCAAAGAGGACAAAAAAATTTTTTCTTCAAAAAAATTTTTTTTCAAAAGCTTTTCAAGGAAAATTTTCAAAAAATTTTTTAAAAAATCAAAAAGTTTTCTTACTCAATATTCCAATATCCACATCATCAATTCTATTCAAAATATATTTATTATAATCCTCCAAATTTGGATTAGTAAAATCAAAAGCTATTGTTCTCACTTCAATTCCTTTAAATTTTTCTCTCAATTCTTTAGCTACATTGTCCAATTTTGATTGTGAACGTGAAATTATAATTATATTAAATTGTTTTTTGGCTAATTGATTAACATATTCTTTTCCAATACCGTCAGTTCCACCTGTTATTAGGGCCCATTTTGCACCAGCCAATTTATGCAAATTTTTTGGGAAGGGGAAGAAAAATGGGAAGAAAATTCGAAAAAGGGCACATAGAAAGGCAAATAAAATATATTTTAAGAAAATAATTCCAAGGATTGCAACTAATATAAAATCCATTTTTTTAAATTCCTAAAAAAATATTTTTAAAAATATTTATTTAAAAAATAGGGGGGAAATGATTAAAAAGTATTCTTAGGGGTTCAAAAAAATTTTTTTAATTTTCTAAATTTTTAAAATATTTTTTTCATGAATTAGAACGAAAATAAACCCAACTAAAATTATTTCCCACCAACCGGATTCGAACCCCCCACCTTTTACTCGTAAATTCCCAAACATTTCCGACTACACCAAAGAGAACTTTAACACAAAAACAATTTAATTCTTGTGAATTTAAATGCCCATAACTTTTCTTTAGATAAAGATAAAATTTTGGTTTAAATTTGATAAAATAGAGGAGAGTTTGGGCTACAAGAATATCCAAAAATTAAAGTTTTAATTCTAGTTTATGCTAATTTATTAATTTTTAAAAAGTTAAAGTCAGAATTTTTGAAGAAAATGACATTAAAAATTCCTATTTAAAAAGATTTTTCTTAAATTTCCGAAACAAATTAACTTATAAACTAAGAAAATAAAAAAAATTAAGAATTAAACACGTGTCCTTCTCCTCTCCTTTTTTATATAACAGACACAACGCCCCTCGAATTCTTATAGAACACACTACAAATTTTGTAGTGTGTTCAACAACAACAACAACAAAAAATGTAACCCCGCCTGAAATTCCCTTATTCTTTCTTTTCAAGAAAGAAAGAATTAAAAAAAAAGAATTATAAAACACAACCTACAAAATATAAATTTTTTTAAAAAAATGAGAGAAAACCTGTCCCATAAAAATTATTTTTATCCCTTGTCATTAAAGGGGGGGGGGGGGGGAATAGGGGAAACTTTACTAAAAAAGTTGCGGCCTTAATCTAAAATTTAATAGTACATACATTTTTAAAATTAAATCAATTTTAAATTTGACGAGATTTTTTAATTGAATGAAATTTAAAAAAAAAATAAATTAAAAAAAAATAAATTAAAAATATTGCCTGAAATTTCAAAAGTCGAAAAAAATTTTTTATCTTCGTAAAAAGCGTTGTGGGTCCCAATCCTATAACCAAAAAATATATTTAAAAATGAAAAAAAAATAATAAATTTAACCAAAGGATTTTCAATAGCAGGTCCATTGTGCACAACATGAACAGTTACACGTTCATTAAATAGAAGTCCATTAAGTAATTTTGGAGTAAGCCTTTAAATAATAAAAAAAATTTTAAAGAGAATTTATAATTTTAAAGAAGGGAGAAACATAATTGAACCAAATAAAATCATTTTACACCAACCGGATTCGAACCCATGACCTTTTACTCACAAATTCCCAAACATTTCCGACTACACCAAGAAGAACGTTGATAAAAATTAAACCAATGTAAGTTCCCAAAAACTAAAAAATCCTTATTTATCGAAAGATGACAAAAAACCCAATTTAAAGGTAAAGAAAAGCTCCCAAAGAGAAAGACAAAAAAAAACATCCCTCAAAATCACCACTCATTGTCAACACATTTTCCGCCTAGAAAACAACCCCAGTTCGTCCCCCCTCCCCCAAATTTTTTAAATTAAAAAAACCTCCTTACAAAAAATATTGTGTTTTTTTATTATTATTTCCTCCTCCTCCTTCATTATTATCCAATAATTTAACCATCATATTAAAAACAGCTCTTTCATTATTTGGATCCATTCCTTGATTTATTTCATCAACACAACGAAAAGGTACAAAACATAAATTTTGTAAAGCCATAATATATAACATTGTTGAAACTGAACGTTCTCCTCCAGATTGTGTTTGTGGATTTAATTCGCGAAGACATGTTCCATTTCGAAATTTTACCATTATTTTAATTCCATATTCAGATATTGAATACTTGGAAAAAATTATATTTTAAGAAAAAAATAAGGAAAAAATTAAAGAAAAAAACATCCTAGGACCACCAAAAAATTTTTTTTAATTTTTAAATTTAAAAAAATTCTTATTTTCGTAAATTAGAATAAAAATAAACCAAATTAAAATCATTTTCCAACAAACGGATTCGAACCTAGGACTTTTATCCACAAATTTCAAAATATTTCCAACTACACCAAAGAAAATATTATAACGAAAAATTAATTTAAACAAAAGGAATTTAAATGCCAATAACTTTTCTTTGGATAAAGATAAAAATTTGATTTAAATTTCATAAAATAGAGGAGAGTTTGGGCTACAAGAATATCTTAAAATTAAAATTCTATTTCTAGTTTAAGCAAAGTTATTAATTTTTAAAGTAGTCCAAGTCAGGAATTTTTGAAGAAAATGGCCTCAAAAAACCCTCAAAAAATCCCTTTTTAACCCTACCCAAGGTCAGGAAATCCTCCTGGAATAAATCATACACTTAGGGACCAAAATCAACCCCTTTACTAATTAATAAAAATTAAAAAATATAGATACTTTATTTTCCGGTTCATCAAATCTAACTTCACCAACACATCCAAGAGTTGCAAAAAATTGAGAAAATTTTTCATTAATTGAATCAATCATTGGTCTAAGTTGTTCTAACCATGAAGCTAATTCTGTATCCATTTTATTTTTCCATCTATCATTCTAGAAATAAAATTATAGAATTTCAAATCAATTAAAAAAGAACCTTCTCTGTAGCTAAACGTATATTTTTTACAAGAATTTCTCTTTCCTTCAAAAATTTTTCGTATTCATCTGCATCCTAAAGAAATATTTTTAGTCATTTAAATTAATTTTTTTCGCAGATTAGAATAAAAATAGAGCAAATTAAAATCATTTCCTACCGACCGAATTCGAACCCTACACCTTTTAATCATAAAAGTCCCAAACATTTCCGACTACACCAAGGAGGACATTGATCAAAAATAAATGGAATCATGGGTCCCAATTTTTACCCCTCCTTATTACTAGAGGAAATGAGAGGGAGACAGGTTGTAAAATTAAAAAAAAATTTTTTAAACCTTTTCAGTTCCATCTTGTCTATCTTTTGAAGATTTTTTCCGTTCTTCAGCATTTTTTAGCTCTATACTTTCCAAGTCATCAGGAATTTGCTTTTCTTCAAATTCCTATAAATCAATTAAAAAATTTTTTTTCCTTCCTAATTTTCAAAAAAAAACCTTCAAAATTTTTTCAAATTTTCTTTTATCTTCATTAGACACTTCCCCTCCACTTCCAGGTGGTAGACATTCAGCAACTTGTTTAAAAACAGATTTTCGATATTCAACTTCCTCTTTAGCATCTAAACGTCTTTTTAATTTTTGTTGATAATCTTCCTAAAGAAATTTTTTTAATTTTTAAAAAATTATTTTTCACAAAAAACCTTATTCGTTTGATGAATTTGGTCATAAAAATCTTTTTCTGCCTTAAGTTGTTTTAGTCGAGATTTTAATCTTGCATGTTCATCACAATTTATAGCTATAGTATTTATTGGATTACGTTGATTTTCCTATTAAAAAATGAATTTTAAAAATTTCAAAATGGTCAAAAATCCAAAAATGGTCAAAATTAAAAATGTCAAAATGGTAAGGTTCCAAAATGGTCAAATTCATATAAAATCAAAAAAGTATTTTAAAAATTAAAAAAACAAACCATAGAGTCAACAATCTTTTCAAAATCACCAATCGCAGTCTCCAAAATTTTATTTGAAGCTTCATTATAGGCTGCTTGCGCTGCTTCCAAATTAGGTTTTTCTTTAGAATATTGGCTCAATTTATCTTTACATTTTGCTGCATAGTGACGATACCTTTCAATTTCATCACTCTTTTCTTTTTCCTTTTTCTGTAAAAAAATTTTTAAAAAATTTCTTTATTTCTTAAAAATGCTTATTCACTATTTCTTTTAGAAACCATATGGGATCATGTTGATTTTCTATCAATCAAACATGTTTTTTTTAAATCACCTTTGAATAAAAAAATAAATACAGACAAAACTTGCGGATTTCTTTAAAAATTTTTTTCTTAAAATTCGGTTCCAGTCTGGTTCCTGAGCCTAATCAACGCAAAAACTTTTTTATTCGACTCATTAGACCATAGAAGTTGATTGGACTCATATCGGACTCATTGAAGTCAATGAAGACTTATAAATTTTTGTTAAACCCCACCACCCCATAAAAGTTGATTGGTCTCATAAACTATACCAGAGCCAAATTACACCTTTACAAACAAAATTTTTTAAACTTCTTACCATTTTTTCTCTATATTCTTCTCCCCGCCTTTTAAAATCTTCTTTAGCTTGGGCAACTTTTTCTTGTCTTTCTTTAAGTATTTCCTTGTCTTCTTGTAATTTTTTCAATTCATTATCAACATCAATTAAAGATTTTGTATGTTCCATATCAAAGCGTGGATTATTATAAATTATTGTTTTACGGTCAACATATATTTTTTTGGGATTATGACGTGAAGAATAAACTTCAATCTTGAAAAAAAATATTTAAAAAAATAAAAAAATAGAGAGATTGACACCGGGCCGAGTCCAGGAACTTCAGGGCTTCCGGAGTTTTTTTTTATGAAACCCCCGGTTTGGTTTGAAGTAAAAGCCGGATAGCCCTGCCGAACTTCAATAAAAAAATAAAAAGAAAACCCTCAATTGACGAGTTAAGAATAGTTGAAATTCTGGATTAATTTCTCTTGCAGCTTGACAGATACGTTCATAATTTTCTTCAACTTTTTGACCTCCAATTAACAGTTTGTCCATCTAAGAATTAAAAAAAATTAATTTTAAATCCAAAAATCCGTAAATCCTATTTTAATATAAACCCTAACTTTTTCAAAAAACTAGCAAGCTGATATATGTATGTTACCCCGGATCGATGCTTCGCCCTATTTTTTAATATTCATAAATCCCCATCCTAGTAAACATTTTTAAATGCCATCCAGTCCCTTTTCCGTTCAATTAAAAATTTTTTTTGAACTTTACTAGCCAGCTGATCTCCCTCCCTTCCTTACAACTACTATAAAAAATAAATAAAAAGAATCACAAACACTATATAATCCATTTAAGTAAGCACCAACAGGACTTGATGATTTAAACAAATTTAATAAAAAATCGACAAAACCCAATTCACCAAGTTGTGGAGATATTTCTACTTTAGTTTCTTCAAAATTTTGAATCTAAAAAAGAATTTTTAAAAAATCTTCAAAAAACTTAAAAAGAAACCATTTCTTGTGAAACAATGCTCGAATCAATTTTAAATTTATTTATTAGCAATTCTTCATCTTGAGAACACGAAAAAATAAAAATACCCAAATCACGTGATGCAACAACATTATTGAACAAAACAAGATTGTTGGCATTAGGGATATGAACTTTAAAAAGGGAAAAAATTTTCAAGTTATTTTTTAAATTAATTTTTTCAAATTATTCTAGCGGGTATGATGCCATAATATCAGACACCAAAATACCAAACCTCAAAAAACACAAAAAAATACCAAAATTTGAATAATTAACAATCAACCACCTTTCACGTTGATGGAGCAACCCCTTCATTCTTATTGAAACCAAGGGCCTAGCTGAGAGGCTTCTGGGGCTAAAGCACCCCCGCCCGAAATGGGGAAAAAGGAAAAATCTGAGGGATTTAGCAATAAAAGCCTCACTGAAATCGACCCCTTGCCTACGCCCTTAATTGAAACCAACCTACCAAAGTGTTTAGTATTTTGGCAGTTTTTAAGGGTTTTGGTATTTTGGTGTTTGGTCTTACGGCTCGTAACCTTCTAGGGACTTAAATTAAAAAATAAAAAATTAAAATTTTTCTTACCATCCAAATACGGAACATAAACTTGTCCTCTAAATTTTTCTCTATTTTTTGTATAAAATTCCCAAGCATCTGGAATTGCTGGATTATTGCGAAATTTGACAAGATTTCTTAATTTTGTTTCCATTGAATTACGTTGAGAATTTTGATTTGAATGAAGCTCTAAATTTAAAAATAAAAAAAGTTTTTAATTAAAAAAATCAAACGATTGTCAAGACGATAATATATCTTTTGCTTTTCTGTAATTTCAAGTTCTTCTTTTTTTATTTTAGCATGTTCTGCATATAATTCATCTTTTAATTTGGGTAAATTTTCATCAGGAGACTTAAAAGAATTAAAAATTAAAAATGAAAAGAAATTCTGATTTTTGTATTTATATTTTATTTTTAAAATTCTGATTTTAAATTCTGATTTAATTTATATTTTATAGTCTAGTTTGTATTTTCTGTGTTTCATTTAAATTCTGATTTTTGTATTTTCCTTAAATTCTGATTTTTGTATTTTCCTTAAATTCTGATTTTTGTATTTTCCTTAAATTCTGATTTTTGTATTTTTTTTTAAATTCTGATTTTTGTATTTTCTTTAAGTTCTGATTTTTGTATTCCTTAAATTCTGATTTTTGTATTTTTTTTAAATTCTGATTTTTATTAAAGTTGTATTTTCTGATATTTAAATTCTGATTGTTTAATTTTGTATTTCTCTTTTAATAATTCTGATTTTTTAATTTTGTATTTTACCAAAGTTTAAAAATTCTGATTTTTGTATTTTCCTTAAATTCTGATTTTTGTATTTTTTTTAAATTCTGATTTTTGTATTTTCTTTAAGTTCTGATTTTTGTATTCCTTAAATTCTGATTTTTGTATTTTTTTTAAATTCTGATTTTTATTAAAGTTGTATTTTCCGATATTTAAATTCTGATTTTTTAATTTTGTATTTTACCAAAGTTTAAAAATTCTGATTTTTGTATTTTTCCCAAATTTAAAAATTCTGATTTTTGTATTTTTCCTTCTTCAAAAAATACAAATAAAAACACTTACAAATTTCTGAGAAAGTGTTTCATAAAAATTTTTGTATTTATCATATTCTTTAGTAATTGATTCTTTTTCTTTATCCCATTGAGCATATGTATTTTGTACTTTTTTTAAAGTATCTGCTGCTTTTTGTAACTTTAATTTAAAAAATTAATTAAAAATTTTTTTCTAAAATTTAAAAAAAAACCTTTTCATCCAATGAATTATGACGTAAAGCATCTTCAATTTTCTTTGTTGCTGTTTTATTTGTGTTTCTCTTAAAAAAAATTTTATTAAAAAATAAAAAAAATTTTCCCTAAAAATAAAAATATTCTGCTTTCTCCACAAAAAATCTTATTTTTTTCTGAAAATACGGAAAAACATTTTGCTAAAAATTGGTTAAAAATTTTTTTTCACGAAAAAAAAATTTCGAAATAAATTTTGAATTATTTGAATTTTTAAAAAACACTTCTTTAGAATTTTAAATAATTTTTTTTCAATTTTCTCATTAAAAAAATAAATTTCCTTAAAAATTGTCAAAAAATTTAAAAAAAAATTTCCAAACCAAATCTGCAATTTCTTTTTCCAATGATTCAATTGTTGCCTCAACATTTTTAATTGATTTATTAACCGGATCCAATTGTGCTTTAGATTCGTTAACTTGTCTATCAGCACTATCTACACGTTCCGAAGCTTCTTTTAAGGCATCCAATTTATTTTGGTATTCCTGGAAAAATAATTTTTTTTGGAAAAATGTTGAAATTTTTTGTTTGAAAATTTTTCAAAAATTTCGTGGGCATGGAAGGAAATTTCAAAATTAAAAAAAATATTTTTTCTAGAAAATTCAAAAAATTTTAAAATCCTAATAAGCTTCGAGTTCTATAATTTTTTACAAAAATGGAAAAAATCAAAAAAAAATTTTTTGACCCCTAAAAATTTTTTTAAAATTTTCCGAAAATTTCCTTTTCAAAAAATATTTTCTCAAAAAAAAAATTCTCAAAAAAATTTTTTCAAAAAAAAACCTCTTACAATTAAAGCCTTTTTAATTTCCAACAAATTTAATATTCTATTTCTAGCAGCCCATTCTTTATAAGCATCCGCCCTCTGCTTTTTAGTTTTTAATTCTAAATCGACTTGTTCTCCTCTTTTAATAAGTTGATCCAATTCGTTTTGAAATTCTGAACCTTCAACTGATTGTTTTTCCAATTTTTGATGTTTCTCGAGTAAATTTTTTGGTCCAGCCTAAGAAAAATTTTTCCAAGAAATTTTCAAAAAATTTTTCAAAAAAAAAACCTTTTGTGTATTATACAAAAGCTTTTGAGGTCCTTGTTCAGCAAAACTTTTAACTTTATCCTGGGCAAGAAATGTACAAGGATTGTCCACCTGAAAAAAATTTTTTAATGTAAAAAATTGTTTGAAGCGATTAGGGAAAATAATTAGAGCATGTAAAAAATCAAGAGATGGCCGGGGGCCCTCAGAGTCTTTTCTTCTCTCCCTGTCTAGGGTTGCCAGCTCGCTCAATCCGAAACTCGAAAGATCGAGCGAGCCGAGGCCTTTCAACTCGAAAAGGAACCTAACCGAACGTCGGCTTGAATCGAAAACGGCAACCCTACTACTGTCATCTCCCCCCCCCTTCCAGAAAGATGCTCCCTCTGATTTCAAAATCTTTCATCTCCAGATACTCTCTCATCTTCCAGAGCTCGAAACCAGTTGCCTTTTTAACTTCGTTGAAAGTTCGTGGATGCAGAGTCCCTGGCCCACGTCTTTACTAAACGCTTCAACTAACACGTGCTGGATACTAGGCTTGGAGATAGTTTGATGTAGAGCTGGTCACGGATACTGATTTTGGTTCCGTATCCGGATATTTACGGCAGATATCCGCAGGTCTTGTTGATGTACCAGGTCTGGTTTGATGTAACCGAGTTTTTGAAATAACCAAAGCTCGAAACCACCAAGCATTTTTTGAGCTTCCTTGATATTTCCTGGACTTCAGACCCAAAATCCAGCACAAGTCACCGCCAAAAAAATTTATACAATTTTCGACTCTCAATTTTCACCGTCCTCATTTCCTCGCTAAAAAATTAAAAAAAACCTGTATATTATATTTTCCACTTTCTTCTTTCAATTCAGACTGTTTTTTATGCCTTCCATCAATCGTATACGTAGCAGAATTTTTATGAGAAACAATATTTATGCAAAAGGCTACAGCACGACCTCGGCTAGTATCCCAGCTTTACAAAAAAAAATTTTTCTATTTTTGAATTCAAAACATTATTACATAAAAACCTCAACAGATCCTTCATCTTTTCCATGCATAACAAAATCCGAGATATTATCTGACCGTCCCAAAATTTTCGGAGAGCCTCCCAGAGCCAAACAGATGCCACAAATTATTGAGCTTTTGCCTAAAAAGAAATTTTCAAATTTTTGTTCACTCGTTTTAACAGTACTTGTGGGTCACCCCAAAACAGTGGGTTACCCCCCCCCCCCCGTTGTGGGTTACCCCAAAATGCGGACTCATAATGGTCAGAAAATTCATAATTTTGTTAAACCTAAAAGCAAAGCACAATTAGTCGAATAAATTGGTTGGGGGAAATATCAGGAGTCATATTTCTCCTTCGTTTTTATATCTGACCATTATGAGCCTACATTAATGTATCGCTAAAAACTGGTTTGGGATAACCCACAAGTACCTTGCTAAACATAAAAACCTGTTCCATTCGGTCCAATTATGACATTCAAATAAGGACCAGGTCTGCATTCAACATAATTGTATGTCCTGAAATTTAAAGTTTTTTTACTTTAAAAAATAGTCCAAGTCTCACAAAAAATTTTTAAAAACAATCTTGTCAATACATCCATGGCCAAGTTGTCGATTTACAGCAGGAGGAATTGTTGATTCATAATCTTCTTCAAAACTGTCTTGAGGTTCAATTTTATTTTCTTTGTCTTCAGAGATTCGGTTCATTTTGAGGCAAGTTTGCAAAGCAACTGTGAATAGACTAACGGAAAAAACAAAAAAGAACGAGAAATTCACGGCAAAAATGAACAGCAAAAATGAACAAGTAAAAAAGAAATTTGTTAAAATCTTTAAAAAAATGAAACAAATTGATTTGACTAACAAATTTATTCTCAAAAAACTAAAGTGAAATATAAAAACCACTTTTTTATAAGTCAACAAAAAAAACTTAAAGAATTTTAAAAAATTCGAAGTGCTGCCATTGAAGTTGCTTCTTCTTACCCACAACAATGAGAGTTGTGGTTATTGATGGCTCGAGGTCATAGCGAGGCTCTCCCTTCTCGTCACATAGTGGTATGGTCGAATAGAAAGACTTTGGAACAATTTTGAGAAGCGCATCCTTGGCATAAGTCAGATCCGCATGAGTTTCAAACTTGAAGACATTGTCCTGGAAAGGACATTTCTCTCCACCATGTTTTCCCTACAAAAGAAAGCATTTAATCAACTAAACCAAAAAATTAAGCAAACCAATTCGCTGACAACCTTTTCCCGATCAGCATCAGACACGGTTTTCGAGAAGTTCAAAACCAAAATTGGGTCATCATCGGTAAAGGTCATCTTTGAGAGCCAGAGAGCAAGTTTCTCGTCTACATGCAACTTGTCAATAATTGCAGCTTGAGAGAACTTATAAAGGTCGTCCTGGCACATCTCATTTCTAAAAACAGAAGATCATTAAAGCAGATTGTGTTAAAAACAAACGAGTTTCCAGAAGAACCACCACTCAAGTCAAGAGATTCAAGCGACATTTTTTTGATTTTGTTGTTTGAAATAAATTTAAGTAAAATGATCTATAAAAAAATTAAATTAATAAATAAAAAATAATTGATGAGAGAAAAAAAATTTTAAATGAGAACAAATTAAAGAAAACCCAGGTTTAAATAGAGCTGAAAAAATCAATAAAAGGAACACAGCTTATCAGGTCAAATGTCAACTCCGCCCACACCCACCCAACCAAAAATTCAAATGTAAATCGATTAAAGCAAAAGAGAAAACAAATCCCTTTGACCATCTCCCCTAATAAACCATAATTTCTTTTTTTTCTCTCCCTACTTTCTCTCACTCTATACACAACGCCAACAGAAAAATTACGGGTAAATTCGACAAAATCAAACGACATAAATAATAAGCTCCTGTGAATTTTCCCTTTTGCAAGATTTCGATAAAATTGGGACTGATTTAAAAAAAGATCGGACTATTCCGTTATCCCTGAAACTTTTGCGGACATAGACAGAATGGTCAGTTTTTCTTGTGATCATTCAATGTGAGATTAATAAAGAAAAGTTTGAGTACAAACCGAAAGAGCCTACATCTTTTGAAGGAATATGCCAGCCTTTAAGCATGGCAAATGCCAGCATGGGGCATGGAGATATTGTTGTTGATAATTGTTTTGTTAGACCCTGAAATTTGAAAATTTTTGGGGTCAAAAAATTAGAATAGCTCAAAAAAGAACAGCGCAAAAGAGAAAACAAATCCCTTTGACTATAATTTCTCTTTCTTTCTCTTCCCACTTTCTCTCCCTATAAACATAACGCCAACAGAAAAATTTACGGGTAAATTTAACTGAAAACAAACGACATAAATACGCATGAGAATTTTCCCCTTTGCGCAAGCCTTTCGATCAGCCTGGGAACAATTTGAAATAATTTTTGAAAAAATGTTCTCAGGCGTTTTATGCCTCTTTCAACGTAAACAAACTTTCAAAAAATTTCAAAAGCTATAAAACAAGCTCTTATTTAAAATTAAAATTAACGTAGTTGTGTTTTTTTTCCAATGTAAAAATAAATTCTTCTCCAAAAAATAAATAAATAAAATAACAAAATAAATTTAGAATTGAGACCAATCTTCCAAATATTTGAAAAAAATTTTTTTTGAAGTTTTTAAAACCACGGATGCCAAGATGGATCCATTCTACACAAATTATCTGACAGTTGTGCCTGCATTAATAATTGACTTGTTGCACTTGAACCATTTTCAATGTGCGAAATTGCTATAAAATTATGAAAAAAATTAAAAAATTAAATCAAAAATTAAAAGGGTCTTGAATCTGTTAAATTTCAAGATTTTTGGTACTTTGGTTAAGTGGGTAAATTTCTGGATTATACGAGGCAGGTTCGAACCCTTTCAGTTCCAAGTGCTTTTTAAAATGTTAAAAGGGTCTCATACTGCCAAATTAAAATTTTTGCCACTTTGGTTAAGTGGGTAAATTTTAAAATTTTAATGGGAGTAGGTTCGAATCCTTTCAGCTTCCCATGCTTTTTAAATGTTTATTAAATCATCCAACACAAAAATAAACCTATTTAAAACTTTTCAAAAAATTCCTACATACAAACCTTTAATTCGAGTAAGCACTGTATCCACTGCACGTTTAACAGGATTAACAATATTCATTTTTGGGTCTTCTTCAGCAGCTTTAGAAAAAACATCCCATAAAATTGGTCTAAGCCAAATTTCCAATGTTTTTGTATTAAATGAACGCGCAATTGCTATTAAAGCACCAGCAAGATGACCTTTAAATTAAAAAAAAATTTTTTTTGAAAAAATTAAAAAAAAATAAACCTTCAATAGAAGCATCCAAAAAATGTGAAATATTACAAGTTAATCGAAAAGGTACAGGTCTATTTGCATCCAATTCAACTTTAAAAAAACATTGTTTAATTATTGAAAATTTTTTTTTAAAATTAAAAAAAATTTTTTTTATCACTTTAAGCTTTTAGTTCCAAAAAATTTTTCAACAGAAAAAATTTTCCAAAAAAAATCTCCCTAGTCCATTTACAATAAAAAAATAAAAAAAAATTTTCGCTTACTAAATCTAACTTTTCCTGCCAAAGTATCACAAACTTTTTTAGTCAAATCAAATTTATAATCAAGAAAAAATAATTGTGCTGTAGAAATGTTTAATATTAATCCATCGGGTGACATACTTGAAAGGAAAAATGCATATTCACAAAGTCCCAATAAAGCAAAATGGATGGACAACTAAAAAAATGTAGGAAAATTTTTCAGAATTTTCAAAAAATTTCAAAATTTTTCTGAGAAATTTCGGAATTCTTCAGAATTTTATTTCAAAAAATTCTGAATTTTTCAGAATATTTTTCAAAAAAATTCAGAATTTTTTCAGAAAAATTTTCAAAAAATTTCAGAAAAATTTCGGAATCTATCAGAATTTTTTGAAAAAAAAATTCTGAATTTTTCCAGAATATTTTTCAAAAATTTTTGAGAATTTTATTAAAAAAATTCTTTTTTAAAGAAGAACCTTTTTCCTCGCATTCCACAATGATTCTGCTTCTGTATATCTTGAATACATCCATTTTGACAATAAATCTCGCTTAACAATTATTAGATTATTGTTGCTGCTGCTATCCATTAATAAATCTGTTCCTCCTCCACCATTAGAAATATTATTAAATAATTCATGAAGATTTTTATGCGAATATCTTTAAAGAAAATTATTTTTTAATTATTTTTTTATTTTTTACGAAATTATTTTTGAAAAATTTTATTTTAAAAAAGAAAAAAATCATTTGGAGCCGAAAGGATTCGAACCTGCCCCCTATAATCCAAAATTATACCACTTAACCAAAGTGGTAAAATTTTTTATTTTGGAAAATTCCAACCCCTTTTACTTGTAATCGCCCTTAATTTTTAATTACAATATTTTTTTATTATTCCTTCCATCTCAAAAAAATAAAAAAATAAATAAAACCTTTGTTCAGCTAATCTTCCATAATAATATTCAACAATATTTGAAGACGTTAATAATGATTTTTCTTCTTGTAACATTTCATTTAAAATATCACCAAAAATAACAAAATTATCTGAAGAAGATGAATTTGTCATTTTAGTTATTGAAATTTGTGGACATTCAATTAAACGAACATTTGAACCAATATGAATAATTTGTGGAATACAAAATTGAATAAAACGTTGGGCTGTATGCTTAAAAATAAAAAAAAAAAATAATTTTTTTTTAAATTTTTTAAATTAAATTTGGATAAAAAATTTTTTTAAAAGTTTTTAAAATATTTATGAAATAAATATTTTTTGACAATTGTAGAATTTTAAAAAAAAATTTTTTTTAATCCAGAAAAATTTTTACAAAAAATTCCCTTAAAAAATTTTCCACTAACGTTAAAAAAATAGAAAAAATTTTTTTTAATTCTGGAAAAAAATTTTCTAAAATATTTTTTCTTCAAAATTTAAAAAAAAAATTAATAAAAAAATCAACAAACCCTAGATTTTGAAAATTCAACATTTAATAAACAAAATAATTGAAGTATATGTATTTTTGTAGAATCATAACCTCCACAAACATTTTCTAATTGAAAAGTATAAATTTTTCCATTTAAAGAACGAAGTTTTATAACACGACAAATTGTTGATTCATTATGTATAAATTGATCAAATATTGGTAAAAATGAAGCTATTTGTGCGTTACAATTTGATGAAGTTGTTGTTGTTGTTGAAGCCTGGTTAAATAATTTTAAATTTTATTTTTTTGTTTTTTTAAGTTTTTTCTAAAAAAATTTTTTTAGAAATTTTTAAACATGTTTTATTTATTTTTTTATGTTAAATTATTATATGAACTTATAAAAAATCATTTGGGACCGAAAGGATTCGAACCCGTCCCCTATACTCTAAAATTTACCCACTTAACCAAAGTAACAAAAAATTTTATTTTTTGCAAATTAAAGCCCCAGACACCTTTCTCATTTAATTTTTTAACTAAATTGTATAAAAAAATAAACAAACTCGATAACCACCAACATCAAAACCTGCACTAAAAACATCAATTAATGCTAGCGAACTTTTGAATTTTGCCAAATATTTTGCATGATCAATAAGACGTCTGTTTTGAAAAAATAATTTTAAACAATTCAGAAAATCACAAAAAAAACCTCGATCCCATATTATTTTTCAAATAATCACTTATTTTTAATATAGATTTACGCAAAGCACTAGCTACACTAAATAGTGAAATTTGTTTTTGTTGGTGTTGCTGACTGTAATCTCTTTCATAATAATTTTTTAAAAATATAAAATTGTCTTGTAATATTTTACAAATCTGGAAAAAAATTTTTTTTGGTAAATTGAAAAATTCTTATATTAAAAATAGCATTTGGGACCGAAAGGATTCGAACCTGCCTCCTATCCTCTAAAATTTACCCACTTAACCAAAGTGACAAAAATCTTGAAATTTGGCAAAAAAAAGATTTTCTATTTTTTTCTAAAAAATTGCCTAGAAATCTTTTTTTTGATTCCCAAAAAAAATTTTCTTCAAAATATTTAAAAAAGAAACCTTTTTTTCTTCATCTTGTTCAGTAAAAGCACTAGCAAAATTAAAATAATTTGTAATACAAGAGCATAATTTTTGTAAAGTTTTAAAGTCAATTATTGTTGAGGTAAGATCAGCTAATTTTGTAAATTGTTCACTAATAAAAAAATTAAAAAATTATAAATTATTTTAAAAAATCAACTCACAAATGACATGATGAAAGAATTTGTCTAAATTCGTTTAATAACTCCTGAAAAATAAAGGGGGGAAATAATTAATTCTGAAAAAAAATAATTCTGAATAAAATACAAAATAATTCTGGTATTTTCCGGAAAATACACGTTAATATTCTGATATTTAAAAATACAAAGAATTCTGATTTTGGAAATCACAAGGAAATCAGAATTAATTAAATAAAACACAAAAAAATTCTGATTTTAGAAAAACACAAGGAAATCAGAATTAATTAAATAAAACACAAAAAAATTCTGATTTTAGAAAAACACAAGGAAATCAGAATTAATTAAATAAAACACAAAAAAATTCTGATTTTAGAAAAACACAAGGAAATCAGAATTAATTAAATAAAACACAAAAAATTCTGATTTTAGAAAAACACAAGGAAATCAGAATTATAGAAATAAAATACAAAGAATTCTGGTTTGAAAAATATAAAAGAAAATTTTAAAAATTCTGAATGTATAATTCTGATTTTTGTATTTTAATAAAAATACACAAAATTTTGATTTTACAAAAAAAAAATCAGAACACTTACTTCTAACGGGGAAATTGGAAAATTCTCAAAATCAAGCATAATTTTATTTAATGCATCAATTTCAATAAAATTATTTTCACAAATACAAAATAAAATTGAAGCAAGTTGATTGTCAGTGTTATCCATAGTTGCATTTATTGATGAACTACTAGTAGATGGAGAAGCATTATGATTATTATTAACGTTGCTATTGTTATTATTTTGAAGAGATAATCTGTCTGAAAAATAAAAAATTTTTTTCAAAAAAAAATTTTTTTTCTAATTTTAATTAAAAAATTATTTATTTTCGAAAAAAAATTTTCGCAAAAATTTTTTTTAATTTCACCAAAAAATAAAACAAACATTTTTGTAAATATTCTGTAACATTTTTTGAACCCAATACAATTCTCAAATCATAAAACATTTTTTGAGGAAAAGCTTTACCAATACATTTTAAAATATTTAAAATTGCTGGAGAAGGTCTTTGTTGTGCTTCCATTAAAAGTGCATTAAGCCTTTAAAAATAAAAATTATTTTTTTTTAATTTTAAAGAATACAAGAATTATTCCAGAAAAATTTAAAATATTCAAAAGATTTTATTTGTTAAAAAAAATTTGTAAAAATTAAAAAAATTTCTACAAAAAATAATTTAGAAAAAATTTCATTTGAAAAAAATTCAAAAAATTTATAGAATTTTTTTAGTATTTTAAATTAGGAAAAAACGGACAAATTTTTTTCAAAAAAAATATTTTTTAACTACAGAAAATCCAAAAATTTATTCTAGAAAATTAAAATAATTTTATTTGCACAAAAAATTTTCAGAAATTAAAAAATTCTCTCCAAAAAATAATTTAGAAAAAATTTCATTTGGAAAAAAATCCAAAAAATTTTTGAAAAAATTTTTAGTAATTTTTTTTAAATTCCTGAAATTTGGAAGAAAACAGAAATTTATTTTCCAAAAAAAATTTTTTTTTAATTTCCTGAAAAAAAAATAATTTTTTAACCAACCAAAATAACCAATTTGAAGGATTTATTGTTTCATTATCAACATATTTTTCCAACAATTCATTTAATGAAATCAAAATTTTTTCAGATCCTCCAAAAGATGTTAAAATTTTAATTAACCATAAAAATTTTGCAATTGATAAACGGGCTTTTAAAGGTGATGGAGAAATTTTTGCATGTTCTAAAGTACAGGCAATTGCTTGAATTCCAGTTATTTGTGCAGAATTTTCATTTCTTTAAAGAAAAAATTTAAATTATATTTTAAAAAATTCCAAAAATTTTCCAAAAAAAAATTTAAAAAAAAAAAACAAAAAATTTCAAAAACCTCAGAAAAAAATTTTTTTGAAATTTTTTCAAACCCCATCCTTCTACTTTTTCAAAAACAGAGTCAAAAATTCTAAAGAAAAAATATAATAAAAAAAACAAACATATTGCTCATAAAAATGCTTGTCAAAAAATCTCCCCAATGTTTCCATACAGAAGTTCCTCCAAGTAAATCATGATCAAGTTGTGCTGCTGCAGAAAATGCACGACCAGCTTCTTCTCTTCTTTAAATTAAAAATTAAAAAAAATTTTGTTAGAAAAAAATTTTTTTTGAGTCAATTCATGACAACACTCATTGTTCCCTCCCCTCCAGAAATTACAGATCAAAAAATTCATACTCCCCAAAAATAATAACGTGACAAACGGTAAACCTACGATGAATTTTTTTATTCGTAAACAGCACAAACACGTAAAAAATAATTTTGTCGATTCTTATTAAAAAAAATTTTTTTTGAATATTTAAGATATCCAAAACCAAACCGAAGAAACTAAGATCGAAAAATCATCAGAAACCGAAAATCATAAAACCGAAAAATCATCAAAATCGGACACAACCCTCTCCCCCTCTCAAGGGCGTAGCCAGGAAGTCAATTTCAGAGTTGATTTCAGGAGGAAAAAGGCTAAAAATGGGGTTATTCAGCCATCCTAAAGAACCCCCTCTAACAACAAAAAAAATTAAAAAAACAAAACAAACTTGTCCAATTTACTTAGTACAATTCCTTTACAAATCATTAAACGAGATATTTGATCTCTCTTCAATACATTTAATTGTACACCTTCAATTAACGTTAAAGCTTCAATTAATGCATCCTGTGCAGCATTTATTGAACGTTTTACAGACGTTGTTGATGTACTTGATGATTGTATAAATTCGTTACTTGAAAGGCGTAAAAGACATTTTATATGTTCTACTAATTTTAAATGTATATCTATTGGATGAACTAATATTGATGAATGAAGCCTTCAATAAAAAATTATTATTAAAAAAAAAGGCTCTATCTTAGGACATGCGTCCCATAAACTTTTATGCGTCCCATGAAAGTATATGCGTTCCATAAACAAAAAAATTGGATTTTTCTTGGTGTTGGAAAGTAGGGGTATGGGTCCAAAACATTTTTGCATGTTTGGGACATACGCCCACTGGGTCTGGGACCGTTCCTACCCAATCCCTCGAAATTTCTGAAAGTTATAGCCAATTTTTAAAAATTTCAGAAAAACGATTTTAACTTTTAGAAATTTCGAAAGATAGGGTAAGGAACGGTCCCAGACCCAGTGGGCGTAGGTCCCAAACAAGAAAAAATGTTTTGGACTTATACACTACTTTCCAACACCAAGAAAAATCCAATTTTTTGTTTATGGGACGCATAAAAGTTCATGGGACGCATGTCCTAAGATAGAGCCAAAAAAATTTAAAAGTTCGCAATTTTTTTATACAAAGTTATATGTATATTTTAACTCTGGTGTCTAGCTTATATAAGTCAAATTAGCATTTGTCTATAATAAAGCCTTATGAATATACAATTCGCTTAAATATCCCCTAATAGAAGCCCATCCCTTATAGAAGCTATATAATATTAAAAACCAACACAAGGACCTCCTCCATTTAAAAATAAACTCCCAAGGAAAAAAAGTCGCCGGATATCTTTTTCTAAAGGCTCTGGGTGGATATCCAAGGATCTGCCGACCATAACTCGAGAATTTAAGAAACTTTAAAGGCCAGAAGCAAATGAAAAGATTTTTTGATTCTTACCAATAAGCCCATAATTCTTATGATGAGAAAATAAAAAATAAATATGACTTGAGGATAATCTAGGGATTTTCAAGCCTGATCCGGATATGGGAAAAGCCAAAATAAAAAAAATTTTTAGTTAAAAAAATTTCCCAAAAAAATTTAAAAAAAAATCAACAAACTTATTTAATTCATTTTGTGCCAATTCAAGTTGATTTGAACGTCTTAACATTCGTGATAATTGAATTTGTGTTTGTGCAAGTGTATGGACTGGTAATGTTAATAAAGATTTTTGATCAGTATTTTCATAAAAATTTAATATTGAACAAAAAAATTGTGAACGCCAAATAAATAAATCAACTAGAGAATTTAATTGATCAATATTTGTAATTGGACGACTTCTAAAAAAATTTTGAAAAAAAATTGTAAAAATAAAAAAAATCGAAGAGGTTTGTCGGAATGTAACAAAGAACCGAACCGAAGAATTGAAAATTTTTCAGATCTTCTTTACATATATCCTAGGATTTTACAAGAACACACAGACTTCATACACAAACCCTAACCTATTTAAACTATGCCAATCGATTCTCTCAAAATATATTTGGAGTACGTCAAAGAGAGATACGTCAAAGAATGGCGTACCAAAAATCGACAAAATTTGGCACTTTAAAAAAATTTCTGCTGAAAGTGTGTGTGTGGGCTTGAGATATTTCACTATACGCAATACTTATTCTTCACGAAAAATTAGGAATTTTTTTTTCTTATGAATTTCTGATTTTCAATGGTACAGGGAAAATTTTGGGAAATCCTCAAGAATAAGGATCCTAACTTGTCTGAACTCTTGAGGTATACAAATAACCATAATTTTCCCTATACCCGATCCCTATACCCAATTTCCCTATACCTAATCCTTATTCTTAAAAAAATTAAAAAAAAACCTCCAAGATTTTAACAAATGTTTAACAGAAGTATTTAAATTATTTGATGATGAAGAAGAAGATGATCCATTTTGTGAAGGAAAATTAATTGATTGTAAATTATTATTTACAACATTTGCAGATTCACAAACTTCATGTGTAAAATGGGCCAAATTTAAAATTTCCAAATGTGAATGTGAAATTATTGAAGGCAATTTTTTCCAATTTGTTATCAACATTTTATTTATTTCTTCAAATGCTTTTCCATCTAATTGGTCAAAATTAGCAATCTGTGAAAATTTTTTTTTGAAATTTATTTTATTAAATCTAAAAAAATATTTTTTTGGTTTTTTTTTCAATTTTGAAATTTTTGAAAATTATTTAAAATTATTCGAAAAATTATTTTAAATTTTTCAAAAAAAATCTTTTTCCATAAAAATTGTAAAAAAATTCAAGAAAATCATTTTTTTGGATTTTTTTGAATTTTAAATTTTTTAAATTTTTCAAAAAATTATTTAAAAAATTTTCAAAAAATTTTTTAATTACAAAAAATCTTAAAATACATCCAAAAATTTTTTTGAAAATTTTTTAAAACCTTATGACATTTTTAAAAATATTTCTCTAAATCTTCATTGATTTTTATGAAAATAAAAAAAATTCAAAAATCAAAAAAATTCAAAAATTAAAATAAATTTTTCCATAAAATTTTGAAATAAAATTCAAAAATAATTTTTTCCACCAAAAATTATAACAAAAAAAATTTTCAATTTTTTCTTGGAAAAAATTTTTTTTGAAATATTTTTTAACAATTAAATAAATTTAAATCTCTTAAATGAAAAATACTTACTTTAATCATTAATTTGTAAAGAGACGATTTTATTGTCATTGACGGATCTCCAGCAGCATCAAGTTGAATTAAACAATCTCTATATTTTTTAATTAAATTTAAAAAAATTATTTTTCAAACTTTAAAAGCTTCCAATCACTCAAATGCCAAGCGGTTTCTGTCAATAAATTAATATTTGCAACTTCATCCGAATTTGAAAATGCTTCTAAAGATGTCCAATCATTAAGTTGTTTACAAGAACTAATTAAAATAAAAAATTATTTTTTATTTAAAAAATGTTAAAAAAATCTTTTTTGATTACAAGAAAATTTGAAAATCAGTCCAAAATTTTTTTAAATTTTTTTGAAATTTTTTAATTTATTTTTTTAATTTTCAAAAAAAATCAAGGAAATTTTCAAGAAATATTTTTAAAAATCTCAAAAAGTTTCTTAAAAGAATTTTCAAAAAATTAACCAAAAAATTAAAAATTTTCCAAAAAATTTTAAAAAAATTCAAAAATTTCAAAAAATTCTTTAAATCTTACTCAATCCAACAATTTTCAAATATTTGAAATTCTGATAGTATTGCAGGTGTTACCGCATTTAATGAATCAGATTTAAATAATTTTTCGTTTAAATACAACATTAATTTTTCTGCTGTTTCACGAGCACGAACATAATCGCCCTTTAAAAAATTTTAATTTTTAATTGAAAAATTAAAAAAAACCTGTTGATAAAATGCTAAACATTTAATTGTTTTTTCAAAACATGCACGCTTTCTCCATACAAAATTGTATTGATCAAATTCATTTAGCAATTGATAAAGTCTAGTTAATGAATCAAGAGTATCCTTCAATAGAAAAAGAAAATACCAATTGTATTTTATTAATTCTGATTTTTGTATTTTATAAATTTATTTTTAAAGCAATTCTGTTTTGTGTTTTTGTCGTATTTTTAAATTTGTTCTAATTTATGTTTTACTGTTTTATTCTGTTTTAAATTTATATTCTGGTTTGTGTTTTTGTAATTAATTCTGATTTGTGTTTTATCTTTTTTATTAAATTTTTATTCTGATTTGTGTTCTTTAAATTTATTCTGGTTTGTATTTTCTTTTTCAGATTTTTATTCTGATATGTATTTTCTTTTTTTTCTGATTTTGTTCTGGTTATTCTGGTTTTCTAGCTATTCTGGTTTATTCTTGTTTGATTTTCCCTTTTACCTAATTTATATTCTGATTTTGTGTTTTATTCTTTTATGTGTTTTATTCTGATTTTGTGTTTTCTTTTTTTCTGATTTTGTGTTTCTTTTTTTTCTGATTTGTGTTTTCAAATTTAAATCAAAAATATATTACCAATTTTTCTTCTGTTAAATTTGTTGCAGCATTCCAAGCTGACGTTGTTATTTCACCGCCAATATTAGAAATTAATGCTTTCTTACTTATCGCAATTTTTTCTAATTTTAATAGAGCAATATGCCAACATTTAAAATTTGATCCAACATAGCTTAAAACAACTGGGTCAATTTCAATTTCAGGCTTTTTACATTTAATTAAAGCTTTTAATATTGTTGAAATAACAAAATTTTCTTCTTTATCTTCCTCAAAATAATCTTCTTTTTTTATTCCTCCATTTTTTGTTGTTGTTGTTGGTATACAAAATGCTGATGAAGTTAAAAATGGAGTTATAAAAGAACAAATTTTTTCACGTTCATTTTCGTTTAAATTGGACCATATTGATGTGAATAACTTTGAAGAAAAAAAAATTTTTTTCAATAATTTTTCAATTAAAAAAATTTGTTATAATTTTTTAATAAATTTCGATCAAATTTTTATTTTAAAAAATTATCGAAAAAAATTTTCTTCAAAAAATTTTTTAAAATTTTTTAAGTTAGAAAAAAAACCTCAATAAATGTTTGTTGACATAATAATGGATCAATATAAAGTAAATCAACAAAATTTTCTATCCATTCAGTTGATTTATTAGCATTTAATAATAAATTAATTAAATGTGCAATAATTAAAGATGAGGAAGAATTTGTTGTAGAAGAATTTAATAAATCCCAACGTTCATTTGTAAAAATATATATTAATCGAGCAAATAAATTGGGAGGAAATAAACGTTGATGAATTGTGAAAAATCTTTTTAAAAAATTTTTTTAATTAAAATATAGTCAAAAATCTCATTTTTGGAGATATACTCTAAATTAGTCGAACCTTTCTATCTTTTAGGATTCGATTTGGAGGAATCAGACCTGTTACAAGATGAGGACTAACAAATAAGCGATGTTCTCTGTTTGCCGTAAGGTATGAGGACCTATGCCAAGCACCTCATCTTAAATATCCTTTCAAAATTAGGCAATCCTCTGTTTAGGATTTGATTTAAAAAATTAAGGTTGACAGAAGATGAGGACCCAAGATACCCCTCTATTTAAGGTACACCTCATTATAAGGCTTATCACTTTTAAATTTGGTTCCCTTCTGGATAGGGAACAATGTGGCCGCTATGTAAAGTACACCTTATACCTTCAAGGGAATATTCAAAAATGTGGCCCAACTACAATTTAAAAAATCATAAAAAAAATTTCTCCAAACCTTTTACGAAGTTCTTTATCCACACAACATAAACCCCAATAAAATGCTGGTTGAATAATTTCAATATTTAATAATCCGTCACTACCACTCAACATTAAAGACGACGAATTTTCATATAATAAAATTATTGCATTTAAAAATAAATTTTTCAATTCAAAATTATTTGTTAATCTTGATTCTAATGTTGAAAAAAGTTTAATCAAAACTTGTGCTCCTAAACTTTGAATTTTAATATTTGGTTGAGGAGTTGATGTAATTTGTTGTAATTGTTGTTGAAATGGTTCAGAAATTAATTGTACTTCTGATGTAAGAATTTCTGTTGCAATCTTTTAAAAATAAAATTTTTGGTTACAGTGGGTACCGCTATAAGATATCCTGAGGATAGCCACAGGGTTTAGGTTAAGCAAACTGTCTAATTGTAAACCTCAAGGTTAAGAAGCTATTTATGAGTTGAGGGGCTGTTTAGACCTCACGGTTGGGGACCTGCCTGTTTTATAAAAACAAAAAATAGCCTCAGAGCTGGAGAGCTGTTTAAAGGTCGAGGAGTTAAGCTTCCAAAGCTGGGGAAGCACTCATTTAAAAAAAAACGGGTAGGTGCTTGAGGCGCTTACTATTTTAAACAGGGTGCTTCACATTAAAAAACCCTTAACATAAAATAAAAATTTTTAACCTCAAGAAAATCTTATATAGTGAGGTCCCAGAATTTTATAAAATAAAAAAAAATAATAAAAAAAATTAAAAAAAAACCTTAATAACATTTTCAATTATTTTATCTGCTGCTCCCTTCTCAATTAAAGGTATTATAACAAATTGTACAATAGTTTTTTGTGCTTCAGTATTAAAATAACGAGTACGTGAACATAATAATTCTAAACATATTGAAAGTAAATCACCAATTAATTTTTGTGCTTGTAAATCATGTTGTTGAATTGGTGTAATTGCTGTTGTAGCAGAATAAGTAAAATTTGTTGCAACATATTCACGAACAAGTCTTTAAAAAAAGTTTAAAAATTAAATATTTAATTAATTTGTTTCAGAAATTAAAAATAATTATATTCCAGAATTAATTTCAGAAAAAAACACATTTTATTTCAGAATTTTAACAAACATTTCAGAATTAATTCTGAAAAAAAAACACAATTTTCAGAATATTGACAATAAATAAAACACATCAGAATTATTATTCTTTCAGAAACACATTTTTTAGAATTAACAGAATATAATAAAAATTTCAGAATTAATTCAAAAAGAAAACACAATTTCAAAATTAATTCCGGAAAGAAAAAATACATTTTTTCAGAATTTACTAAAACACAAAAACATACATTTCTTAATTTAATTTCAGAATTAATCAGAATTAATATTGTACAAGCATGTATTTTTCTATTTTTTATCAGAATTTAAAAAAAAATCAGAATTTTCTAGCATTAAAAAATATTCTGATTTATAATTCAGCATTAAAAATCAGAATTATAAATCAGCATTAGAAAAATCAGAATTTTTTGGCATTAGAAAATATTCTGGTTTATAATTCTGTTTTTATATTTTATTTCAGAATAGGTTATAATTAAAAATCCCCCACCTTTGTAATAGTTTAACAAATGATCCTAAACAAACAGTTTCCAAATAATTAGATTGTGCTGAATGCATTAATCTCAATAATGTTATAACTGTCATTGGAGGCGAAGCCGTTAAAGAACAAGCATAATTATTAAATGCATCATGAATACAACGACTAATATGTTGATTAAGTAAATCAAAATCATTTAGACCAGGAGGAGGTGTCATTGACGCTGCATTATTTTTTGTTGTTTTATCAAGAAGTTTACCCAAAATATTGTATGTACTACGAAGAATTTGCTATAAAAAATATTTAAAATTTAAAAAAAAATTAAAAAAAATTTTCAGAACATTTCAGAAAATTTTCAAAAATTCAGAAAAATTTTCAAAAAAAATTTCTGAAATTTTTAAATAAATTTTCTAATTTAATTGACAAGAAAAAAAATAAAAAAAAATTTACTTGAGAATTGCTATAACTCATACAACAAATTAATGATCTTTGTAATGGTCGAAATAAATCTACAAGCAATTGTTGAGACTAAAGAAAAAAAAATAAAATTAAAAAATATATTATAATTCTTTCCAAGGTTTTCAGCTCGTTCAAAGGTGAATGAATGAGGAAGAAAATTACCAAATAACTAGGTGATTTTCTTTCTCATTCATTCACCTTTGAATGAGCCAAATTTATTATAATCTCCCCTTTTGTTTTAATCTTCTGTTCTCGTTTGTTTGATCGTTGAGTAACAGAGAACCTGCCGACAAAAATAAATTTCCCGATTTCGGAAACGGGAATTCCCGAAATTCTTGGTGAGTGAATGGGTGCCATAAGCATACACATATGTTCTTTTTAAAGAGAAAAAAAGAAGGTAGAGGAAATTCCAAAAAATATTTTTTCTTAAATATTTTTTCTTTCAAGTCGTATATAAAAAACTCAAAACAAACCAAATGAGGTATAATATTCGAAAGAACATCCAAAGTTATATTAACTAATTGAAGTTGTTGATTTATTGCAGTTTCATTTGCTGTACTAAATTGTTCTGGATTTGGTAGTTGTAATTGTTTCTCAAATCTTTTAAAAAAAAAAATAAAATTTATTTATAAAAATTATTAAAAATTTAAAAAAAAAATTTTCTGAAAAATTTCTCTATTAAAAAAATTTTACAAATTTGTCCGAATAGTAACAACATTTCCAAAAATATTTGGTTTCAAAGCTACACGTAAAAGAAGTAGAGCACGTCCTAAAAAATTAGTTTAAAAACAAACAAAAATTTTTTTTTTCGTTTTTACTATTAATTTGTTCTAGAGCAGAAGATCCTCCACCACTACTTGTAGAAAACTTTAACAAAAAAAAATAATTTTTAAAATTCAAAGAAAATTTTATTTTCAAAATACTTGATCTGTAGATGTAGCCATACGAAACAAAAACATAATTACAGTATCAATAAAATTTTTATCCATCTCTTTGTTTGAATCAGGTGGTAGAGGAATTGAAGGCTACAAAAATAAATAAAATATTTAAAAAATTTAAAAAAATTATGAAAGCTAATAATTAGGAAGGACAACGTGGTAGTGGTAAGGTTGGTTGGGGCTTCAATTTTTAAAAGCCAAAAGCAAAGAAAAAAGAAAGATGAAGTACATGTTTGAGAATGTATCCCCTCCTATAGTAATAAGTTCAACCAGATAATACTAAAATTGGACGGTGACACCGCTATCTCATAAACAAAAATCGCATTTAACAAGAAAATTTTTCGAAAATCCTTTTTTAAATTCTCGTCTTTTTTATAAATCCAAATCCAGTTTTTAGGTACGGAAAGTATTTTAATATTTAAAATAGAGTTATAACACAACCCTTCCCCTCTCACACGGCGTTAAACAAATTTTTTGACAAAATTTTTTTAAATTGAGATTTTAGTTATGGGTGTCTGACTCATATAAAAATTCAACCAGAAAATAAAAAAAAACCTCATTTTCAATATTACTTGAAGTACTAGGTTGTTGTTGTTGAGCAACATTATCATCATTATCATCACCAAGTTCTACTACAACATGTTCAACTTTACAATTAGAATTACTGCTCAAATTTAATTGTTGTTGTCTATCCTGTTCCCATTTTATAACAACTTCACAAAATTCTAATAATAAACGTTTTGTTTCTAAACCAATTTGTATTGACATTAATTTTTGTATTGAACTTAAAATTAATTGTGACATTGAATGACGAACATAATAAAAAACTGGAAAGTAAAAAAAAAAATTTTTTATTAATAAATTACTTTTAAAAGTAACCTTTATATTGTCGAATTATAATTTGTCTGAAAATTAAAAAATAAATATTAAAAATGTTAAGAAATTCTTTCTGAATTTTTCAAAAATTCTTTTTTTTAATTTTTCGAAAATTTTCTAAAAATTTACTAAAATTTTAGGAAAAAACTTTTCGAAAATTTTTTAACAAAATGGTCGAAAAAATTTAAAAAATTATTATTTAAAATTATTTTTAGAGTATTTTAAATTTTTAAAAAATTTTCTAAAAATTTTTAAATTCCGAAAAAATTTTTTAGAAAATTTTTTTGATTTTTTTTTTATTTTTCCTGGTTTCCTGAATCTTAATCTAAAAAGCCCAAAATTTTTTTTAATTTTCAAAAAATTAGAAATTCCTGGTTTCTTGAAAAAATTAATTTTCGAAAATTTGTATAAATTCCAAAAAAATTTTCAAAAAAAAATAAAAAATCTCCCTTACAAGCAATGTATAATTTGTAATCCATATTGTTTAGTTTCTTCAATCATAACTTTTTTAATTAAAGCTTTTAATTGTGAATAACCATCAGTCATACGTCTAGTTACTGCTGGGATTAAAATATCCAAAGATTTACGAACCATTTCTTTATTATCCTAAAAATTAAAAAAAAATTTGTTTTAATTTTTAATGTTAAAAATTTGGGAAAATTCTTATTCGAAAAAAATTTTTGAAAAAATTTTTTTTTGAAAATTTCCTAAAAATTTGCAAAGGCTTGAGAAAATTTCCAAAAAATTTTTTAAAAAATTTTCAAAAAAAATTTTAAAAATTTTTAAAAAATTTTCCGAAGATTTTGAAAATTTTATATAAATTTTTAAAAATTTTTTAAAAAATTTTCTAGAATCTTTCAAAATTTTTTTTTTGAAATTTTTCTAAAATTTTCTGAAAATTTTTGAAAAATTTTCAATAAAAATTCTTCAAATTTTTTCTGTATTTTTTCCAAATTTAATAAAAAAATTAAATTTTTTCAATCACAAACCTGTTGATATGCTTGTATTAAGCTATTCAAAACTTGTAAAATTATTGTCCGATTAATTAAAAATTTATCAACAATGTTTGCAATAAGAAAAAGGCCAGCATATTTTTCTGTTAAATCACCACGAAAACTTTGTTGTAAAGAAGGCCAACCAAAACTTTAAAAAAAAATTTTTTATTTAAAAAATAAAAAAAAACACATACAGCATAAAAGGTCGAAGATTACCCAATTCTTGTTTATTTCCTTGTTGCCTTAAAAAATTTAAAAAAAATTTTAAAAAATTTTAATATGTAGGACTATGGTGTAGTTTAGATGACCAAGAAGGTTTACGCGACAAAAAAATTTATGAGACCAACGAAAACTTATAAGTCCATTAAAAGGTTTGTGAGCATTAAGAGTATGGTGTCGGAGCATGGAAAAATTTAGGCAATCCGGAACCCGAAACCAAAGAAAAAAGAACTGAAAAATGCCTCGGTTCTTAAGTTCAATTTCGAATTGACAACCCTAGTTAAGTACATTTTTGCGTCCCCATATTACTGAAACAAAAAAATGATCAAAATTATTTCACGCAAAAAAAACTCGTTGGACGCATAAACTCTAAGCCCTAGAGCCGAAAAATTTTTTCTTAAAAATTTTCCAAAAATTCTATAAAAAAACAAACTTTTTTGAAGCATCATAAATATGTGTTGAACATTTTTGAACAAATAAAGAACAAAAAAGATACATAACAATAACTAATGTATGACTTAAAGATGTTCGATCTGATGTTGCTTTTTGAATTACTTCACGGCATAAAATTAATACAATATTGTTTTGTTGTGAATGTTTTTGATCATCATCTATCATTGATGTTGATGGAGAATCTGATGATAATTCTAAAAAAAATAAAAAAATATTTAGAGATTTGAAATTAAATTTTAAAGGAGTAGGAAGACAAGGAAGGCCGAAAGGCATTATTGACTGGAAGGCTTGTACCAGGGGGCTCCCGTCTTCTGCTTTACTAAATACGTCAGGCTCATCCTTGGCTTGTACCTCGAGAGATAGCTTTCAAAAGCAAGGCAAAACTTGGCAAGTCATAAAAAGGCAAGGCACTATCTTGCAGGGGAAAACCCGAATCAAGGCAATAATAAACGTTCTTGTGAGATAATATTGGCCTATATAACGTCCTTGTTGCACCCAAAATTTTATAAAACAAAAAATAAAAAAAAACTAAAAAATAAACCAGATGTTTGTGGAAGAGGAACACCACCAACAACCAAATCAATTTCATAATTATCAAAAGCAAAAGAAAATGAAGGAGCAACAATATATTGCATAAAACGTACCAAATGCATTGAATGTCCATTTTTTGGGTCAGATTTAAGAAGGTTGATAACTTTGAAGAAGGTAGCACGACAAAGAGATAAAGAAATTTTCTGTAGGGAAAAAAAGAATTTTTTTAATTTAAAAATTTCTAAAAAATTAAAAAAATTTTTTTTTAAATCCAAAAAAAAATTTTTCAGATTTTTCAAAAAAATTCCAAAAAAAATTTCAAAAAATTCCAAAAAAAAATCACTCTTACCGGCACAATTTCCTCTTCAATAAATTGTTGTAAAAATAAAAAATCTGAAGCATAATTTCGAACAAATGCAAAAGTCAAATCATATAATAAATCAATTATTTCATCTTCAGACGATAAAATTTCAGAATTTTCAACAGTTGTTTGTAAAGCCAATAAAAATTTTAATTTAGTTAAAATTATACGAGCACAATAAATTGGAATATCAAATTTATTTTCATCCAAAATTTTTGGTGGTATAAAAAATGTTTCTTCTTCTTCCTCCTGTGGTAAAGTTGATAATAAATTGGCAGCTTCTTCGTCTGGGAAAATTTGCCCAACAGAATGACTATTCTAAAAAAAATAATAATTTTAGATAAAAAGTCAAAACCTCATTTTTTTAATACACACCTTTAAAGCGCAATACCACAAATACCCCCCCCCCCCTAATAATGAGAATATCTTGAATAGAGGAGGTATCGCTTAAGGATTAAGTTGTGGTACTAGGTACTAGGAAAATCTTTAAAATAAAGAAGTGAACCAAAAAAAAACGAAACGAAAATTTAGAAAATTCAGAATCGAACTAAATAGCCAAAACAAAAAATCCTCGTCTTTCGGCTTAGTTCAAACCCGACAACATTACTTACACCCATTGATTTATTAAAAGTAAAAAACCCCAAATTTAAATATAGGAATATCTATCAAATTTTAGAAGTATGCCATATTATTTTTTCGAATAGGAGTCGTCTAAAAATGAGGTGGTAGTGAGAGGCTTGACAGCATAATAAAGAAAAATTAAAAATAAAAACCTGAAAATTTTCTGAAAGCCATAATTGCCTTATTGAAAATATTATATCATTCCACAATTGAATATAATTATTAGAAAAATCATTGCTATCGTTTAAAAGATTATGCTTCTCAAAAAATGTTGAAAGGAAACGAAGAAAATTAAGCATAAATTTTTTGTTCATAACATTAGAAATCTTATCATTATTATGCTAAAATTAAAAAAAAATTAAATGCTTTATTTAAAAAATTTTTTTTGTTAGTTTATTTATTTGTTTAAAAAGTTGTCTCAAATTTAACAAAAATATAAACTTAAAAAAGATATTTATAGAAGCCTATTTTAATTTAGTATTATTTTTTTAAAGTTTTACGTATAAAAACTTTAAAAAAATTTTAAGTTAAAGAAGGAACAAATTTAAAAAAATTTAAACACATAAAAGAAGGCAAGACTAAACATAAAATAAAAATTTTAAAAACCTCAAGTAATTCATCTGTAAATTGTTGCAAAATTGATAAATTATCAGCTATACAAAGTCTAAAATTTGTTGCATCTTCCATACTTGTAAGTAACTAATTAAAAAATTTCTCTAATAAATTTTTAAAAATTAAAATTTTACCACAAGAAAATTTGTAGCAAAATCATTATTAAATACTTCCTTTGTTAAAATTGTTATAGGATAAAAATCACTTGAAAATTTAGACAAGTAAGAAAAATAATCATTTTGCCAAGTAATATTCTGCTGAATAAAATTTTTTTGAAATTAAAAAAAATTTTTTTTTTAGTTTAAAAAAATTTTTTGAAATTTTAAATAAAAAACCTTTGTTGTAAAAATAGATAAACATTCAGAATAAAATAAAAATAATTTTTGTAACAATTGTTGATCCAAATAATTGACATGGGTAAAAAATTGTAAAGCATTAGAAATACATTCAACATCAACAATGTTTAAACTATTTGAAGATAAAGAAGCATCAATTAATATAAGAACATCCTTCTGAAAAATTTTTTTGATAAAAAATTTTTTTTAATTAAAAAAAAATTTTTCTTACCATTATTAATTCCAATTCTTCCATTTTAAAATTTCTAGTAGAATATTTAATCAAAAAATTAATTTTATTGAAAAATGTTGTTGAAATTTCCAATTTCTTGTTAACAAAATTATTAATAATATCTTCAAGTTTTTGGTTTATATAAAAAATATTTTCAGAATTATTATATTCTTCTAGAATCTAAAAAATAATTTTTCTTATTTTTATAAGTAAAAATTTTTTTTTAATTTCAAAAAAATTTTTTCAAAAAATCCTAAAAATATCCTACCAAAAACAAAATTTCTTAAGTAAAAAATTTGTAAAAAAATTTTTAATTCAAAAATTTTTTTAATTTTGGAAAAATTTTTAAAAAGAAATTTCAAAAAATTTTCCAAAAAATCTTAAAAATACCTTACCTTCCCAATACATTCACAAGCTTCTTCCTTTAATTTATTTTCATTTTTCATTATTATAGCATTCTCAAAAATTGTTTGAAATATTTGTTCCAACAAAATTTGTTGTTGTTTTTGATGATGCAAAAATTTTGGAATTTGTATTGAAGAAACAATTGATTTGGAATATGAAGCAATATTAAAATAGAGAAGAATAAGGGCTTCTAAAAAATAAGAAAATTAATAATCAGAATTATTAAAAAATCAGAAAAAAATCTAAAAAAAGGGAAAATACAAAAATTCAGAATTTCTTCTTAGAAAATCAGAATTTGAAAACACAAAGTATTTTTAAAATCAGAATTCAAAAACACAAAATATTTTTAAAAATCAGAATTTAAAAATACAAAGTATTTCTAAAGATCAGAATTATTTTAATAATTCACAAAATTAAAAAAAAATCCAAAAAACTTACTCAATGCAATATTTCGAAGTGATTCAAATTCTTTTGTTGCTTCACCAGAAAAATCATCATTGCTAATAGAAGAGCAAATTTTTAGAAGATTTCTAGCAAATATCATACATTCATAAAGAGGAATATCAATATTAAATTCATCAATTTTTGAACAAAAAATAAAAAGATCCTTTTAAATAAAAAAATAATAAATTAATTTTTAATTCGTCGGACTTAATAAAAAAAATTAGAATTCTTTAAAAGATAAAATGTGGGTTTAAAGGGTTGCCAGAAGGGCGGGGATTAGACTAAAAAATTTTCCAATTTTTTCCCAGACCGCCAAAAATTAAAATTTTTAAAAAGACAATAATTTAATAATCAGAATTTTACGATTTTAGAATATTCTAATTATAAGATACTTCACAGCGAGGTGTTTTTTATAATGAGGCTCAACATAATAAAAATAAAAAAAACTTACAATTCCAGCAATTTTACTCTTTTCAGAAATTGTAACAAATTCTCTTATAGACTCCAAAATTTTTGTTCTCAAAGATTCTTTAAAATTTTTTAAAATTGAATAAAGAGGTAAATTTGTTCGAGAAGATAAAGAACAGATTAATCGAAAAATCTGAAAAGCACAAAAAAATTTTTAATTTTTTTAAAAAATCCCTTACCTCTTTTCTCAAAATATAATCTGGATCATCAATAAAATTTATTAATTTTGATACAAATTGATTTAATAAATCAATTGATACAGTTGAATTAGAATTATTTGGAAAACAAACATTTAAAAGTAAATCTATAGTTTTTGAAGAATAATCTAAAGCACCACTAGAAAGTTCATTTGATAAATCAGAAATCATCTAAATATTAAAAAAATTTTAAAAAGATTGGGTTATTTTAAAAATTATTTTAAGACTTTGGACAATTTAAAAATTCGAAAAAAATTTAAAAGGCAAGAGTTACTTCAAAAAAACAAAAAAAATTTTTTTAATTTTTCAAAAAAAAATTTCAAAGGTTAGGGCTACTTTTAAAAAATTAAAGAAAATTTTTTTTTAATTTTTAGTCATTTTTAAAATTTTTTTTAAAGGTTTGGGCTATATTTAAAAACCAAAAAAATATTTTTAATAAAAAAAATCTAAACAAACTTGAATACAAGCTTCAACAATTTTAATACAATATTTTTGTACTAATAAAGGAGGATAATATTCAATTATAAGCCTTAAAGCAGTACATCCTCCAAGTTTAGAAAACCATTCACAGCTATAACAGAGTAATGTAATCTTTTCAAATAAATATTCAAATAATGGAAATTGACAAATTTTTTCAACATTTTGTTCATAAATAATATTTAATGTGTCAATAATTATACGTAAAGCAAGCTGAAAAAAAAAGAAATTGTAATTTAATTTAAAAAATCAGAATTGTCATTTTAATTAAAAATTCTCATTTGATTAAAAAATCAGAATTTTGATTTTTTAAGGTTCTGATTTAATTAAAATTTTGATTAGAAATTCTGAATTAATTAAAAATCAGAATTCTAATTTATAAATCTGATTTTTTAAAATTCTGATTCAATGAAAATCAGAATTCTGATTAAAAATTCTGAATTAATTAAAAATCAGAATTCTGATATTTTTAAAATTCTGGTTTACTAAAAATCAGAATTCTGATTTTTTAAATTCTAATTAAAAATCAGAATTCTGATTTTTAAAATTCTGATTAATTAAAAATCAGAATTCTGATATTTTTAGAATTCTGATTTAATAAAAACCAGAATTGTATTTTTTTTAAAGTAAAAAAAATTTTTTTACAATAGCAGCATGACAATAATCTTTACAAGGATCAGACAATGTTTGGGCTATTACATCAATTAATACAAATGAATCCATTGAAAAATGATCTTGATAAAAAAATTTTTTTAATAAAAAATTAAATATAAAAAGAAACCTTTCCTATCATTTCCCTCAAAAATTCCATTTATAGTTAAATATTTAATAACAACTTTAAAAAATTCTAAAAATTTTTCTCTTGTTTCAACATTAAAAACACAAATAAAAATTCCTTTTAAAGCATTTATTGCCAATTCTCTTGAATTTGAATCAGAACAAATAATATACATTTTAGTTGATTTTTCATCAAATTTCTTAGAAATATTGTCAACAAATTGGGAAGAATTTTTAATTGATGATTTTTCAATAGAAAAAATTTTTAATAAAACAAATTTTAATAAATTTGCTGCAGCAAGTTGATTATATGAATTTGAAGTTGTTGTTGTTTGGTTTCTGAAGCAAATTTAAATTTAAAAAAAAATCAGAATAAAAATATAAAAAAATACTTTAATTAAATTCTGATTAATTCTAATAATTAAATACTAATTAAATTAAAAATCAGAATTCATAATAAATTAAAATTCTGATTTAATACGAAAATGAGAATTCAGATTATTATAAATTCTGATTTAATACAAAAATGAAAATTCTGATTATTATAAATTCTGATTTAATTAAAAACAAAATTCTGGTTATTATAAAAATCAGAATCTATAATAAATTAAAATTCTGACTTAATATAATGAAAATTCTGATATAGTAATTAAAAAATCAGAACTACATATTAAAACACATTTTCGAAAATACAAAGAATAAATCAGAATTAATATTTAAATCAGAAATTTAATTAAAAAATAAACAAATCAGAATTCTTTTAAAGTGATTATTAAATTAATATTAACCTCAATATTTTACAAGCAGAATTAACAATTTGATTCAAATCAACAGTACATTGAATTAATTCTTCATTATTTACTAATTCTTCATTATTATTTTCAATTTGAATTTTATTAAATGGTAAAATTATTTTTGGCAATTTTTCTTCATTTTTATTTATTTTATTAAAATCTTGTATATTTTGAGCATCCAAAAGTATTTTTCTATTTGATCCACCAAATTTACCCAAAATTCTAAAAGCAGTTAATGATGAATGAGAATCACCATGAGATACACAATGCCATAAACCTTTCATTAATGAAGCACGTACAGGTTGCATATGATCATAAACTAATAACAAAAAAAATTTTCCAAAAAAAATTTTTTTCTAGAAGGTCAGCCTCAGGGAAAAAGACAACTTCAAAGCCATAACTAACAATAAACTTAAAATGTCTTGACAAGTCGATTTTGCTATGAATTCTTAGGGGCTGAGACAGCCTATGGAGAAGTGATGTCACAAGTTAAACAAAACTCAGACTTCTTCAGACCCAACTATTTTTGTCTCAAACCGTGACATCCCTGCTATAAAATTATTTAGGGACCCCTAACTTTCATAGAAATATTTTTAAAACCACTCAATAAAACATACAATATTCAGGTTGTAAATTATCAACACAAAGTTCAAGTGTACGTAATCCTTGTTGAACTAATGTTGGAGAACCATTTAAAGCACAAACTAAAGGATCCATTAAAAGAGGTAAATAAGGTAAAAGTGAAGATAATCGTACAGGAACTGTTAAACATAATTCAACAAAAAGTTCATGAATTGATTGTAAATGAGATCCATTTTGAAGACGATTCTAGAAAAATTTTAAACAATTTTTTAATAAAACAATTATAAAAAGAACCAATTGTTGTAATATTGAAGGTAATAGAGGAAGAAATTGATGATACATTTGTTCATGTGTTCCACTTCCTATTGATCTAAACAATGCTCGCAAAAGAAGAAAATAGTTGGTAGATTCACGTGCTTCTAAAGCATATTGCATTGATTGTTGAATTATTTGATGAAGAAAAGGCTGTAAAAAATATAAATTTATAATATTTTTTGCTTATAAAAAATGTTGGGACCAGAAGGGGTTCGAACCTAGAACCTATTAAAAATGAATTTAGTAAATATCCCACTGAACCACAAACAAAAATTTAACAATAAGATGACCCAACGCCTCTCTAATCAAAAGCCAACCAAATTTCTAAATCCTTATCGAAAACTGAGTTTTTCGAACCTGACCTAATTCCCAGGGGTATATTATTGTGATGGCCGAACATTTCAAAAATCCCTTCTAAAAAATAAAAAAAAACCTTTAAAATAGTATCACAATCGGAATTATTTGATGAACAAGAAATTGCATGAAATACAAGTTTAAACAATTTTAAATAAAGTGTAGCCTTATCATTATTTGCTTAAAAAAGAAATTTTTTTTTAATCTAAAAATTTTATTTTAAAAAACCTCCCAAATCTGGCAATTTTGTTAATAAATATTTAACCAAAATTTGTCCAGTTTTATTCATAGTTGCAGGATTTGTAAGAAATGTACTACAAATATTTTGTAATATTGGATTGATACTTATACGTTCAATAAGAAACTGAAAATTTTTTTTTCAATTTTTAGAAAAATTTTAATTTTCAAAAAAAAACCTCAATATGTTGTTCAAGTACACGTTCAAATGAAAATGATCTCATATTTGTATACTGAAAAATTTAAAGTAAAAAATTTTATTTAATTAAAAAAGTGCTAAAAACGGACAAAATATATTCTATAATATTTTTAAATAATTAAAAAATCCTTGGGACCCGAAAGGGTTCGAACCCACAACCTATTAAAAGTAAAATCTAGCCATTAACCCACTAAACCACAAAAAATAAAAATAAACAAACAATTTATTTATTTATTTATTTATTTACGCCTTGATGGCGCGAGTCAAGTCAAAAAACAATAAAAAACGAAATCAAGTAAAAAAAATATATATAAAAACAAAATCATGTCAATAAATTAAAAAACAAAAAGAATGTAAATAAATAGTATATAAAAAAAATTATAAGTATAAATTTAAATTTAACTTAATTCAGCCTCCGAATTGCGGGAAAAATTAATATGTGTTATGTTTTTTGCGAAATTTTTGTAATCTAATTTTCTAAAGTATGCTGGTAGTTTATTATAATACCTTATAGTCCTTACAAAAAATGAATTATGTCTAGTAATTGAGGTGCATGCTTTATGTGATATTTTGTTTTCGTCCCCCCTTGTTTTAGATGGAATGATGAAATAGGGGTTATTTATATTTATTGGGCTTAATCCTATGCAATGCTTGTGAAAGATTTTAAGATCTGTTATAATTCTTCTATTCTCTAAAGAATCTATATGATATAATCTGAGGAGTTCAGAGTAGTTAGGGATTTGTTCATTAAGTTTTATATTATGCTTGCGGTTATATACCATCCTTACGAAATCTTTTTGAATCTTTTCTATTTTGTTAATGTATTTTTTATAGTAAGGATTCCAGACAGGAGAACTAAATTCCAATATACTTCTTACATATGTGGTGAACATATTAATTAAGAATCTTTCATCATTAGATTTTAAGGACCTAAGAATTGTATAACTAATTCTCCTAGCTTTATTACAAATAATGTCGATATGATTATGGAATTTTAACTCATGGTCAAAGAAAATACCCAAATCCCTTACAGTTTGATTTCTACCAATTTCTGTTATGTGTGTATCTTCTATTGTATAAATGGTGCGAGGATTTTTAGTGCCTAGATGTAATATATTACATTTCTTTATAGCTATATCCAATCCGTTTATTTCTGTGTATTCGGAAAATTTTTCAATAAATTCTTGCAAAGGGTTTGAATTGACTGGATTGTCTTTGAAAATGTAATACGCCTTAATATCATCTACATATAGTTTAACAGTTACATTTTCTGTATAACAGAATTCAGTTAAATCGTGTATATAATATAAAAACAATATGGGACCAAGTAGGGAGCCTTGCGGTACTCCGCTTTTTATGAGCCTTTTTTCAGAAAAGGATTCATGGATTTTTACAGAGAAAGTTCTATTGCTTAAATAATCTTTGAGCCATTTAGTTAGAGTATCTGGAATATTTAATGATTTTAATTTACTTAATAATCTTTCGTGGGATATGGTGTCAAATGCTTTTGACAGATCGAAGTAGATTATATCTACGGATTTTTTATTTTCTAATGCCATTGTAAGATCATCCATAACTTCTAGAAGTTGGGTTGTTACGGATCTACCCATATGGTATCCATGTTGCTCTTGTGGAAAAATTCTGTTTTTCCGGGCATGTTCAACTAATTTAGAGGCTAATATTTTTTCTAAAATTTTGGCAGTTGAGCAGAGGAGAGAGATTGGTCTAAAGTCGTTAGATTTTTTAGCTTTTGGAATCTTTTGAATTGGAACGATTATACTTTCTTTCCAGAGATCAGGTACCTTTTTTGTCATTAATGATAGAGAGAATAAACTTAAGAGTGGATATGCCAATGTTTGTGCACAGTTTTTAAGAAAGATATTAGGTATATTATCAGGTGATGTGTTATTCTTATTATCTAATTTTGTTAAATAATTAAATATATCGTAAACTGAAAAATCCATGTAATCTATTGTATTCAATAGTGGGGAAGTTTTGTTTGTAATTTGTGTGTTAGTCCCACTGTTTTTAAAGACTGAACTGAAATGAGATGCAAGTATGTTAACTTTCTGTTTATTTGTGAATATTATGTTATTGTGATCGTCTACCATTGTTGAGTATTTCAAATTTTTTGATTTAAGAAAAGCGCCAACATATGCGAATTTCTTTTTTGGGTGGGGTATTATTCTTTTTTCTTTATTTTTCCGAAATTTCAGCATCTGTTTCCTTATTAGATGAGTTACCTTCAAATAGTTTGGCCTATTCGTTTTATGAATGTTTCGTTTCCATAAACCCTCTTGAGTGTCTAATAATTTTGTAATATGAGTCGGTAATCCTTTTAGTTTATTTTCTATAGTTAAACAGGGTATAAAAAAGTTTATAGTTTCGTTAATTATGTCAGAAAAATTTTTATAGTTGATGTTTATATCATTGGAGTGCCCAAATATGGTTATCCAATCAATTGAAGCTAGGTATTGGTTAATTGTTTTATAGTCCGCTTTTTTAAAATCCTTGATATATTTTGTTGGTTCATAAGTTATTATTTGTTCTAGTTCAAAAATTATACTGTTATGATCCGATGTTGAGAAAGGGGGTGCTATTTCTAACTTGTGTATTAAGTTGTGTGTGTTAGTAAAAACAAGATCTAATATATTTTTTCCCCTAGTACCTTGAGAGACAAGTTGTATTAACTGTTGGCTATTAGTAAACTCACAAAATTCGTTTTCAATCTGAGTGGTGTGTGAAACGGGTAAGAATTGTTCCCATTCTATTCCAGGAAAATTAAAATCTCCCAACATTATACACGCATTTTCAGTGGTGCAGCAGTATAATATATTTTCCAAGAAATTAGAAAAATCTTGTGATTTTTGAAACCCAGGGGGCCTGTAAACAGCAATAACTCTTATTGTTTGGAGTTGCGGTAATAACAAGTCGAATGATATTAGGTTGAAACTATTTGTTTTTAAAATTTTGGACTGTTTGAACGGTAATGCCTTATGAATTAGAACGCAAACGCCGCCACCTTTTTTGGATGGTCTGTCTGATCTTAAAATCTCATAATCTAATGTATGTAGAATAAAACTATCACAAATTTCTTTATGAAGCCAGGATTCGCTAACGACTATGATTTGGTATATATGGGTGCTTAGCAATGACCGAAATTCATTCATTTTATTTAATAAACTACGAGCGTTAAAGCAAATGCATTTTATATTTTTGGATTTTTTAAAATTTTTCTTTTTATTTTTACAGTTCTTATTGATTATTTGTACGCAATTCGGAGTTTTTTGGGCTGTTTTATAAATTGGCTGACAAGTTAGTGGGAGGAGATTAAGTTTTTTGAGTGTGGATTTGTATTTATGGTTGTGCGAAAAATTGGGATCTCCTCCCGCAAAATTACCATACCTGCATATATAATGAAGTCGGCACCGGGATGCGCCTTACGTTTTTCATGACACTCTTTAATAAGAATAGATCGATTGGCAAGTTCTGTTTTGGAAAGGGACTCTCGCAAATGTAAATGTTTGTATTGATTTTTTAGAAATTTTTTGCCTGAGAGTGCCTCCCGAACAGCATATGAACAAGGAAATTTAATTTTAATTGGGCGAGGTTTATTTTGATTAATTTTCCCCATACGAAAAATCCCACTTGGCAAAGCACTTGAAACCTTACATTCATTTAAAACCTGTAAAACTCGTTGTTGATCATCCTTAGCCTTCTCCATTGATTCGGCTTGTTTACTTTCTGGTAATCCATTAAGCACGAGACAGTGGCGTCTTTCCTTCTCTTCCATTTCTTGCCTAAATTCACCATATTGAAGTTGGTTAGATTGTTGATTCCCAGTTTGTTGTTGTTGTTCCACTATCAATTCAGAAGTCAATGTTAATATCTGCTGCATTTGGGTCATTAGAATTTTTACCCACGGAGGTGTTGTGGTGTCGTTATTCATTTGTTGTAAAATTTCTTGAAAATTTAAATTATTGATTTGCTCAATTAGTCGTGAGCGTTTGTCGTTAACTGATGTGCCAGATAAATTTAATGGCGTATTTGCATTTCTTTTTGTGGATGTTGATTGATTATTTATTGACGACATTTCCATAAGTTATTACCCAGAGTAATGTAACTTAAATCCTTTTCTTCTTTTGAACGTACATTTGAACTAAAATTTTATAAAAAAAATTGAAAAAAATATTTTCTGAAAAAGACCTGATTTTGTGTTGATACACATTTCCTAATCCTCCACTTTGCATTAAATTTGATCCAATTATAAAAATATCCAAACAAATTAGTCCATTTGGAAATAATTCTAATAAACAACGTTCAACTGTTGAAACAACTTGAGGTTCTGTAAAAAAATTTTTTAATAAAAAAATCAGAAAAAATTTTTTGGTTAACCGAAGAGATTCGAACCCTCGACCTAGTAAAAATAAATTCAAAAGATAACCCACTTAACCACAAAATTAAAGTACACCTTGATTATTTTTTAAAAATTACCAAAAAATGCCCACTTTACCACAGAATCCAAAAATTATTATTTTTTAAAAAATATTAAAATAAATTCTAAGACACGAAAGGGTTCGAACCCACACCCTATTAAAATTTAAAAACAACCCACTTAACCACAAAAAAATTTTTTACAACCTTGTTCAATTCCAATTTCCTTGAGTGCTATAACCATCATTTTTATTGGTTGAATAATAAATCTTTTTAAAAAAATTTATTTGATTAAAAAAAAATAAATCTTTAGCTAACCTCACTAAATTTTTACAATCATTTAAAGAAAGAGGTGAAATTGGATCTTGCCAAAATGTAGCACGACTTGCCTCTATTGAAGATGACTAAAAAAATTTTTTTAATGTTAAAAAATTTTTTTAATAAATTTTTCTAACACTTTTTTCCTGTTTTTGCCCTCCTCCTCCACCTCCAGTATTTTCAATTTCTTGTGTTTGTTGTCCTTCAGTTAAGACAATTGTTTTACTTGGAGATTGTAAATTTTTTTGTTCTGTTGTTGATTTAATTTGTTGCTGTTGTTGTTGTTGAATAATATTACTTTTATTATATTTTTCTTTAATTAAAGGTAAATGATAATTAGCAATTAATTTTGCTTTTCGAAGAAATGAATTGATTGAATTACAAAGAATTAGACGCTGCTATGAAAAATTTAAAAAAATAAAAATTTGTGTAATTCTGAACCTTATGACCCTCCCTTATTTGTGAACAATCACACCCCCACTTTGTATCTCATCATCCGACTTGATGACCTAACATCCATCCCGTGCGAACCAAAACCAGGCAAGTAGCCAAGGGAGGGGGGGGGGGGCATGGACGCAGAAAAATTTTCCCCCTTGCCCCCCCCCCCCCCCCCCCCCCCCCCGAAAAAGATCCTGGTTACGGGCCTGCCCACAACACCGCCTTATGACCCCTAATTTCCTTAATGAGTTCATAATCTGACTCCGTGGACTAGGATGAATTTAGTCCCCCAAATGCATAAGGATTAATCACAGATAATAAAAAATGAGAGTTATAAATTCAAAAATCCCCTTCAAAAACCTTACAATTTCAGTTCCATTCTCTTTTGATTGTATAATTAAAGGTTCAATTAAATTCATCATCAATTTTCCATACATTGTTTGTACGTAAGGTAAAAGTTGATGGTCATGTAAACACCGAGAACAAAGAAAAAATATACTTTAAAAATTGAAAAAATTGAAAAAAAATTTAAAAAAAAATTCTCACTGTTTAAGTAAATGTGGAATATTCATTCTAACATGATGTAATATGTCTGCAAGCAGTGAATATGACTGGTTTCTTAAAAAAATTCTTTTTAAATAATTATAAAATAATATTTAAATTCATTGTTAGATACTGGTTCGACTTCAACTTATTATTTCCAAAAGTAAAATGGGAGAACGATCAGTGTGACAGTCAGTCATAAAATGGGACGATCAGTCAAAAAATGACCGTCAGTCAATGAATGACGATCATCAAAAAAGGACTAGGTCAGTCAAAAACCGGACGGTCAGTCAAAAAATGACAGTCAGTCAAAAACCGGACGGTCCGTCAAAAAATGATGGGCAGTCAAAAAAGGACGGTCAGTCAATAAAGGACGGTCAGTTGGAATATTAATAAAACAAAGAGTATTTGTCGCATGTAATCTACTGGAATCCGACAAGTTCACCAACAATTCTTGACGATTTTCCTATGTTTTACTAACCCGGAAAAATCAAACAAAAAATCCAGACAACACCTGGAAGCCCACTATTTATTACAAAAAAAATTTTAAAAGAGAAACCTCAACTGATCCTGTGAAGTAAATGAATTTCCTAGCAAAGCTTTTTCATCACACATTTTTGGAATTAATGTAATAAAATTTGTTTTAAATTCTGATTGGAATAAATATTTTAATGACATAAGTAATTCCCTTCTTTGAATTATTACTTCTGGATGGAATGAATCAATTAACATTAAAATTGCATCTGTGATAGATTTTGTATGTTCACTAACGACTGTGGCAATCTATTTAAAAAATTTTAATTTTTAGAGGGTTTAGAATTTAAATATAAAAGAATTAGAATTATTAGGAAGGAAAAATCACTATTTTTTGACAGTCATTTAAGGACGTTCCCCCAATTTTACTCAAAATTATTTTTTTCCCGCAAAAAGGAGCATCAGTAAACAGTCGAAAAATCAAAAAGAGATAAGAAAAGAGAAAAAACCGAAACTAAAAATTTTTTCGAGACAAGACTTAAGACTAACAAGGTAAGGGGGTCAGAAGGAAAAAAGCAGAAGACTGGCAATAGGCTTATTTCCCCTGTCCCCTTTGCCTGCTCTACACGAGGATACAAAAAAAATGGCAATTCTTACAAAGTTCGGAATGTTCTCTTGTAAGATTACAAAAAAACACTAAAACCTCCCAAACACAAAATAAATTTTAAATTAAAATAAAATTAAAAAAGACCTGTGCTTGTTTTGCTGTATAACCAATAAAAGAAAGTGCTCTAACTTGAGAATTATGAAATTCATCGACCAATTCTCTATTATAATTTTTTTCTAACTTCAAATGTTCAGGCAATTTAATATTTATATAACGAAGAAATATTGGTATTAAATCTAAAACTTCTCCAAGTAAATGTTGACGATGCATTTGAATTAATACAAGAAGAAAAACTGACATTTCTGCCAAAACTTTTACACTTTGGTTTGCTTTTGGGATTAATGTGTACTGAAAAAAATAATTAAAAAAAATTTTTTGGAAGTTTTTTGATGGATGCCAACCCCGGAAGTCGGACATAAAATTTTGGCGTGTTTTAGAAATGGAAAAATTCGGAGTTTTGCGTCTGGCGCTCCATTGAAAAAATTTTGGCAGCCATCCCTGATGCCATCAATTTTTGGCGTTGACACGGTTTGGCATTATGGATGTTTGACATTAGGGCTTTTAGCATTTTTAAATTTTTGCATTACTGGATTTTCGAAAATAATTAGAAAATTAAATTTCAAGAAAAGTTCATAGAAATATCGACACAGCCGGTAAAAGAAGCCAAAATCCCTTCAAAAAACCTTTTCAAGCATTGGAGTCACACTCTCATCACTTTGTTGTGGTTGGGAAAAAGTAAGTGGTGTAGTGAAATAACAAGTTCTCAAAGCCTAAAAATTCAAAAAATATTTTGAAAAAATTCTTGAAAAAAAAATTTATTTAAAGAAACCTCCACAACACTCTCTTCTATCGTTCTTTTTGAAGTTGAAAATGGCTTTTGTAAAAACATTGATTCATTTGCTGTATGTCTCAACATTTCTGTATAAGCATTTTTCCATTGAATAAAAAAGCTTGTCAATTCTGATGCAAATGCTGGACGAAATGTTTTGATGTGATCAGTAAGGATTTTGATTATTAATAAAGCATTTTCTTCATTTTCCTTGAAAAATTTTTTTAGAATTATTAAAAATATAAAAATATTAGGACAAATTTCGCGATAAAAATTTTATAGACAATAAGACGATGTCAATGTCGATCGTAGAAAAAAAACTAGAAATGGGCCTTTTCAGTCAATTAAAGAAAATAGACACTTAAGCCGGCAGGATCACCAATCCTTTACAAAGGGTGGTCGGTTCTAGGAAATTTTCAAATAACAGAAAAAGAAGAATCGAACCGAAAAAGCATTGGTTCTTCGGTTCAGTTCGAGCCAACAACCTAATACCGACGTCCTTAAAACAACAAAATTCCTCCTAATTCTAGACCTATTCTCTTGCTTATGCTACATAAGATAAAAATCAAACCAAATAAATAAGTCGAAGCAATATTTGTTGAAGACTTTTACCATAAGATTTGACAACATCGTTTGATGATAGACGAAATAACAATTCTAACATTAATTTACGTAGTTGCTTTAAAAAAATTTTTTTTAATTTGAAAAAAATAAATTTATAAATTAAACCAATGTATTATTTTCAGCAATAAATTGTGGAGAAGTTTCTTGTAATAATCTCATAAAAATACATATAAGGCCTTCAATTAAAGATGAATAAGCTGAAGTTCCAAAAAGCTCATCGATATTTTCGTTGATTTCCTAAAAATTAAAAAATGAAAATTTTTGGGACAAAATGTCATCTCGACCAAAATATGTAAAAAATCTTTAAAAAAAATTATAAAAACCTTCAAAACTTGAAATTTAACATCATCTCTAGGAGCTTCACCCAATGTATTTATTAACATATTTAAATGAACTGCCAAGGGTGGAACTGAAGAGGATGTTGACGGCATTGATGAAAATATATTTGCTTGTTGCATTCTTAGTTTCTATTGGAATTTATTGCTAAAAATCCTATAACTAGAAAAATAATTTTAAAAATCCTAACGGAAGCCAAAACTGTAAAGAAGGCGGGGATTTTTAGCGGACCATTTCCGTTGACAATTTGCTTTGAAAATGACTCAAAAATGACTCAAAATGGTCAAAAAAGAAAAATAAAGAGAAGGAAAGAGGAAAATGTCTCATGGAAAAGTCGCAAAAAACCCCGGCCGTGCCATCTTCAAAAGTGTTGCTCAAATTAGTTAAGATGAATTTAAAAAAGAACAAAAAGAAAAAATATTAATAGAGTATTTATGAACCCTCTAAATTAAAAAAAAACAAAATTTCGAACAATGCTTTAACAAGAAAATAAAAGAAAAAAAAAGTAATAAAAAAAGAAGCCAATATATATACGAAGAAATTTTCTGATAGAAGAAAAATTTCTTTAAATAAGAATTTGTCGAAAATAATATCAAAAAATAAAAAATAAAATTTTTAAAATCAAAAAACCCCCCAAAATACTCCAAAAAAAGTTTCGACAAATTCTTACAAAAAATTAAACACAAAAAAATAGCGGGAGCAGGCCAACTTATCGCGAGCCCAACTTACCGAAGAGCTATAACTTCGTTCAGAATTATCAAATCCGGGACAATTGGTATGGTTCGATGCGCCTCGACGAGCTGAAGCGAACCATACCAGGTATTCCAGGATTCGACCATTTTGAACAAAGTTATAGCTTTGCGGTCAGGTGGGCTCGCGGTAAGTTGGGGTGTACCAGAAATAACATATATTAAAAAAATGAAATAGTATATTTATATTTCGCATATTATTTTTTAAATCACATTTTTCTTTTTTTCTTTCCGAAAAATACAAAAACAAAAAAAAGTCATTTTTAATATTTTTTAAAATTTATTATACCTAACCAATAACAACTTTTCCACTATCTTCTTTTCCTTTTGGACGAGGTTTGCCAGTTGTAAATGGAATATAACGATATCTTATCATATGCATAATTTGTCTTTTCATTGTAAGACATGTCAACACTTAAAATTTTTTAATGAAAAAAATTGATTTGAAAAAAATAAAACTGACAAGGGCTCATAGCTTTTCTCCGAATTTTTTCAGTTTCCCGGTTGATATTATTCGATAGAGGACCCCAACTTCTAGTTAAGTTAACCTCTAACTAGAAAACGTTCGGAAGCAGAACCAAATACACGAAAATATTTCTGTTCAGATTCGGATATACGTTGATTTCCTAGGATTCTCCAACAATACTTCTAACTTAAACTAAAACGCTCACAACCACTTTATTCAGAAAATTTTTTTTCAAAACCCAAGACTTGGTGCTAGGACATGCAACCTCAAATTACTGTCAGAAACCCAGAACTTGAAGTTGTTCAAGCTCTTTTCTTGGGGGTGAAGGGAATTAATAAAATAAAAAATACCAATAAAATACATGACGAGAATTGGCCAAAATACAGGTACATCAAAAACCTCAAAAAAAGTGCAAGTAAAAGCAACAAGTGTTGACTTCATTGTTGATAACCTTAAAAATAATAAAAATTTATAAGTAAAAATTTCTAAATTAACCAAAATTTAAATTCAGGCAAACGCCGCATAAATGGCCGAAATTCTTCAGAATTACTTTTTGGCAAAACTGGGCCTTCATCATCTAAAAAATTTAAAAATTGGACATTTTTCTATTTAAAGTTAAAAAAACCTTCATCAAATTCCATAGCTGGATCAATTTTTGGAGTGAGAAAGGCAAGAAATAAATTTAAATAATAAATGAACAAAGCATATGTGACGATATAAAATCCCTAAAAAAATTTTTTTTAATTAAAAAAAAATTAAAAAAAATGAAAACCTGAAGAACAATAACTCTCCAAACAAAAATGAGTATTAATGACACAGCAATGACCTTAAAAAATTAAAAAATAAAAATTTTTTAAGAAAATTAAGGGTTGTCAGTTTAGTAAAATTTCATTTGGACCTTTAAATATTTTTCTGAGAGGAAGAAAAAAATGACCAAAACAGACAAAAAGGAGAGTGTTTTGGGTTTCCGTGGGACTTCGGGATGAAATTTGGCAGACAACAGATCATACCATACTTCTACATATTGTGAAATTTTTTGTCCCACGGACACCCAAAATCTCCTTTGAAGTGAATTAGTCAAAAAAGGAGAATTAATCAGAAGCAAAACTGGTCGAAACAACCAGCGTGGTGTAGTGGCTAAGAGCCCAGACTTTCAACTTAGGGGTCTCGGGTTCGATGCCTGTTGGGGTGTTTGGTATTTTTAAAGCTGTTTTGGTACTACTCTTAATAACAAACATACGAATCGTGGGAAAAACCACGTCTAAACAATCCCCTCAGAAAATCTTGAGCCAGTAAAGTAGACTTGTACCAATAAGAATTCCTTAATAATCCCCTCAACAACAAGCCAAAACCCAGAGGTTTAAAAAATAAACAACTAACCCAACGAATAGAAGTGTACGGAGTGAGCCTATCCAAGTAGTATTGATACTGCTAAATTTGTAAAAAATTAAATTAAAGCAAAAAAGAGGAAATAAAACTTACAACCCCTAAAGACGAGAAGAAACGAGAACAAAGTCCTGGCTGGTCCCGAATATCGTCCATTATTTAGTTTTGTCTAGTTTAGACTAAAAAAGAATAAAAATGAGTTGAACACAACATTTAAAACAAAATTAGAAGAAAAAAAACAACAAAATTTGGAAAAAACGAAAAAATTAAGCCAAGTTGGAGGGGTAGGGGACGATTCAGTATCGCCGATTCAGTATCGCCAATTCAGTATCGCCGATTCAGTATTGGCCGATTCAGTATTTGGGCTTTTTGGCCATAACTTTTTGCTCGATCAATATTTTGGGAATTATTATATATGATTTGATAGGTCTCAGGGTGCTGCATCTTTTTCATAATTGGACTGACCTGATCTTATCACTCTACAAAAAGTTATCACTGATAAACGACGTCACAGGCATAAAAAATCGGTTTTCACGCTGTAACTTTTTTTGTGATCATCCGATTAGATCGGGCCAATTATGAAAAAGATGTCAAATCTCGAGACCTTTCGAATGATATGAGAATTATTCGAATCAGTCGAATATAGGGAAAGTTATGGCCATATACTGAATCGGCGGATACTGAATCGGCGATACTGAATCGGCTATACTGAATCGGCGATACTGAATCGTCCTTAACCGAGTTGGAGTTTACTTGTAAAAATGACGCTCTCTTTTTCTTTACCTCTTTACTACAACGTTACTCTTCTTATTTTCTTTCTCTATCTTCTACTATAATGTTAACACTGTCTGACTTTTTTTTTCGTTTGACAAATAAATTAAAATATTTCATTTCACCTAATATCAATTCGCCCAGTGGTGGGATTTCTTATGTTTTGTCCCTTGTTTTTCCCCTTGTTTTTTCCTCTGTTTTCTCTCTTGTTTTCCTATGTTCTCTCATGTTTCTTTTGTTTTTTCCCTTGTTTTTCCCTTGTTTACCCTTGTTTTTGCCCCTGTTTCCCTTGTTTTCTCCTTGTTTTCCCCTTGTTTTTCCTAATTTTCATTTGTTTTTTTTATCAATTTTTGTATCCCATTTTATCTCCAAAATATTTATTTGATCTATATTTTTGTTTTTTACTCATTTACTTTTTTTTTTTTTATCAGGAGTGGTGTGACCACAAAAATATTCCTTCTATTTATTTCCCTCCTCCTTATCTTCATTTCCAATCGAACCACTGAATTTTCTTCTGCTCATTTTATTATTTACACTAATTTATATTTATTTTTTGTGACATTTTTCCTTTTTTAAACCTTAAATAATTAATTAAAAAATGTTTTTCCCCGAACGGGTTCGAACCTTGCCCCCAAATCCAAAAATTTTCCCACTTAACCAAATTGACATTTCTCTCAATTTCACTCAAATTTTCAATTTTTTTCAATTTTCAGTATGGTTTGCCCCTTCTTTTTGACAATTATTGCTTATGCAGCTATCGCTTATTTTGTTAAACGCATTTTGACTTCAATATACAACATTGTTTTTCCGTTTTTATATGCCGTCCCACAGAATTTGCAAGTTTTGGCTGGAGCAAAATGGGCTGTAATAACAGGTGGAACTGACGGTATTGGAAAGGCATATGCTAATGAATTGGCCAAAAAACAATTTAATATAATTATAATTTCGCGTTCACAATCAAAATTGGACAATGTAGCTAAGGAAATCAAAGAGGAATTTAAAGAAATTGAAGTGAGAACTATTGCTTTTGACTTTACAAATCCAAAATTGGAAGATTATGAACAGCAGATATTTGCCAAGATTGATGATGTTGACATTGGAGTTTTGGGTATTTTTTATTTTAATTTTTTTGCGGGGTTTAAAGGGGGTCCTTTGATTTTTTGGAATTTTTTAAGACGGAATTTTCTCTTTGCTGACAATTTGCTCCATTATTTTCCTATTTACGAGTCCAAGGGGGTTGGTTCTACCAGAAAATAAATAAATTAGTCATCGCTTCACACTTATCCTCAAATTTTTCTATTTTTAGGGATTTTCTAAAGTGGAATCTTTTTAAAATATCCAATCTCTTTTGGCTGAATGAGCTCCCCCTATTTTTCCCCAGATACGGTCCTAATGGGCTGACCTACCCAAAAAATAATTTTCTCGTTGAACCCCTCACTTATTTTAAAAAATTTTTAATTTCCAGTTAATAATGTTGGGATGAGCTATGAATTTCCTGAACGCTTTGAACGTGTTCATGGAGGTATTAAACGTGTTGCTGACATCACTGTATTTTTTAAATTTAACTTTCTTTTCAAATATTCCCCCTTTTTTAAGTTAATCAACACTTTACCGACAACTATTCTTACTCATCATATTCTTCAACAAATGGCTAAACGCAATAGAGGTGTAGTGGTTAATGTGGCTTCTTCAGCTGCTAATTTTGACTGGTTTTATTTGGCTGTTTATAGTGCTACTAAGGTTTTTTTAGTTTTTTGAAAGGGTTTAGGTCCTTTGCTCCCCACACCCGTATTTTTTTAGAGTCTAGGATCCATTTTGTTCTCCTAACCCACACTTATTCCTCCCTGGATTTTTTTAAGTTTGACTTTTTAAATAAGTTTTGGAGGAATACTTTTTTGGAGTTTGAGGAATACTTCTGAATCTTTTCCGGACCGAGGTACTCTTCCTTCTCTCTTCCGAGGTACTCCTTCCTATCTCTTCCATTTTTTAATTTAATTTCTCCTTCAGAAATATGTCACTTGTTTGTCTTCAATTTTGCGTAAAGAATATGCTGACACAAATATTTATATCCAAACAGTTTGTCCTATGATGGTTGCCACAAAAATGGCAAAAATTCGACGTTCTTCATTCTTTACTCCTTCGCCTGAAAAATTTGCTAGCGAAGCAGTTCGAAGTATTGGCTTAACTGATGAGACTACTGGTTGCTTGGCACATCAAATTCAGGTTTATTTTTTTTTATTTTAAATTTTTTTGGGATTTTGGGGAGGGTAGGTTGATAAAAGAATTTTTGGATTTTTCAAAAAAAAATTTTCAAAATTTTTAAAAAATTCCCAAACCCATAGAAAATCCCCAATTAATTTTCTCATCATTTTTAAGGCTGAAATTATGTTTGGCTACATCCCTGACTATTTTCTTAACAAATTTATTCGAGACAATTCTTTGTCAACTCGTAAGCGTGCCTTGAAGAAAATTGAGAATTCTGCGAAGACTGAATAAATTTTTGTTTTTTTTTTTAAATTTAATTTTTAAATTATATAGGAGAGCATTTGTAATAGATGACATTTTTTAATAAATAAAATTATAAAAAAATTTTTTCTTTGTTTTGGGGGAGGTAAGAGAGGTTTTCTTTCCTCTCACCCCAACGGATTGGCATTCGACTAGTTAAAATTCTGATTAAAAATAAGGAAGCGTTTCCTGCTTCAAGTTTAATTTCTAAAATTAATTCTGATTTTCTGGGAAGGGGAGGAATTTTTCCGGAAATTTAAATAATTCTGATCCTTCCGGGAAAAATGAAATAGAAATTCTAATTGTTCTGTTGACTGGCTAGAGATCCCTAGTTACTAGATACCACTCTTCCGGAAAACTTAGTTGAGAGTATCTACTTTCGGAAAACATAGGAGAGTCAAGTTTCCATCAGTATTCAACCACGCCTTATTGATTTTCCGGAATGTTCCCTATTTTAAATGTTCGCCAAACTATTTTATTTTTCAATGCCAATTTGGCGAAGTGTCTTTAATTTACTCTCTCGTTTCAAACAATTTTTTTCTCTAATTTTGTTGTACAACCGGTTGTTGTTTTTGTGTGTTTTTGAGAGTGTTTTTGTTGTTCGTTTTCATGTTTTTAATCGTTTTTACGTGTGTTCCCCATCCCCTGACCCGCGCGCAGCGAAAAAACTTAAAAATTAAGCTTAAAATCTTTAAAAATTAAAAGTTTTTTTACAAAAATCTAACCATTTTTTTCATTCAGCACAACCAGCAGACTTCAACATGCTGTACGTGGAGCAGTGTTTTTTTATTTTTTTTATTTATTTTTTAAATTTTTCTCCAAAAATTTCAAATTTTTTCAATTATAGTGCTCATCATGGTGCTCGTCATGGCTGGAAGAATATGCTCTGGAGAATATGGGAGAAGCATGGAAGCTGTGGAAACCCGGTGTGGTTAATTTTTTTGAGTTTTTGCTTTTTTAAGCAGATGTGTTCTGCATGGTGGTTGGTGCTCTTCATGTTGGCTAGCTCTTCTACATGGTGGCTGTCTTCTCTTCTGGCCCAACCGGGTTTTTTTTATTTTTAATTCTTTTGAAATTTTTTGTTCAGGCGAAGCTGCTCAACTTATGGCCAGATGGGGGCCAATGGTTCGTGGAGGGAGTGTGGACAGGTTTTTGGGTTTTTTTTTGTTTTCTTGGGGGTTTCGAATGTTCTTTTTTTTTTCGGGGGGAGAGGGGGGGGTGGTTCTTTTCTTTTTGGGGTCTTGATTTTTTAAATTTTTTCGTTCAGCTGTGCTCAACATGGTTGGACAATGGAGGACTATGGGTGTGGTTTTTTTTTTAAATTTTTTTTATTTTTTTAAAATGTCTTCATGGTGGCCTGCTTGCTCTTGGTGGTGGTTTGGTGGACGTGATGTGGTGGACGTGATGATCTTTTTCATTTCTTTTTATTTTAGCTGGTCTCGTCTACCTGGCTCGTCTACATGGATGGTGGTCTCGTCTACATGGTGGATTGGTGGAGGATCTTCAGAAATAGTAAGTTTAACAAAAATCTAAAAAAAAATAAAAATGCGAGCCAAAAATGCGAATGCGCGCTTCCCTCCCCTTTCCTCTATTCGTTTATGCGTTTTCATTTGTTTTGTCTTTTGTTTGTTGTTGAGAAAAGATTAGAATGGGCGGAAGGTATGGAATGTAGTGGTGAATGGATGGTTGGATCAACAGCAGAAACAATGGATGGACCAGCAACAGCGAAGATGTATCAGCAATGGGTGCTGATTTGTGCTTCATGTGGTACAAGGTTTGTGTCCCTGACGAGAGGAAAATTTTGAGCCTGAGGGTGGCTCCCCTTCATGCTTTTTATTGATTGTTATCGATTGAATGAAATGCCTGTCTTTAAATTTAATTTTTGGCGTTCTGTCATTTAAAGATAATTTGTCACTTCACTATTTCGTTAGGTAGAGAAAAAGAGCGCAGAGAGAGCATTCTTTGGGTTGCATTTCTTTTTTCGTATCCCCTCAAAATCTCTATTCCTTAAAATCTCTACTGGGCTAAAATGCCTTATAATCTCTACACAGCTAAAATGCATTAAAATCTCTACTCGGCTAAAAATGATTAAAATAACTATTTCTTAAAATCTCTATTCCTCATAATCTCTACAAGGGTAAAATGCCTTAAAATCTCTACACGGCCAAAAATAGGATAAAATGTCTATTTTTTCATTCGGAAGCCTTTTGAGTGCCAACGTTCAGTGCGGAAACGTTGTTCTGATTTCTGGCTTATCTTTTGATATTATTTTGCTTGTATTGTTTTTGCCGCTGCGGATGAACCCAGGCATGTCCAGCGGAACGACAGCAGCCGCTTCGATCACCGCAAGCAAAATGAACACGACCGCAGCGAAGCAGTCGTGTATTATATCTTCGATATTTACAGCGGATACAAGCAGATATCCGCAGCCATTTTTAAATCAATTGTATCCGTATTCATTACCAAGTCTGGGTTTTCCAATGAATAGTTCATATTTTACACTTTTGTTGAGACTCTACCGTCCATTTGCACTGTGTAGAGATTTTAATTATTTTTACCCCAGTAGTGATTTTAAGGAATAGTTATTTTAAGGAATAGAGATTTTAAGCATTTTTACCCTAGTAGAGATTTTAAGGAATAGCGATTTTAAGGAATAGAGATTTTGTATGGGAGCCTCTTTTTTTCTCTACCTAACACCGTATTTCTTTTTCGCGTTTTTCTTGCATTTTTTCCTTATTTTTCCCGATATTTCTAGCAATTTCCGTGTTTAAAATTTTCATTTTTTTAGATACTCTCAATTATTTTCCTCTATTTTCCTCCAAATTGATCAACATTTTCTTCTAATTATCTCCTTTTTTGTCAGGCTTTCGGATGTCAAAAAAAAACTGATGAAAATGCCAAAATTTTTATAAAAATTCGATAGAGGCTTTTGATGATTTGAAGAAGACAGGACGATGGTTGTCAGGTTTGCAGTAATTTATTTTGGTATTTGGGGGTCTAGAAATAAGGAAATCTTGTCCTTTATACCATTGATAGAGCAAATGACTGTTTACCGCCCTACCACCATCTTTTGACGTTCCACCACGGCTACCCTACAACTCATCCAATCCTTAACTCATCTAACACTTAACTCATCCACACGGCCAAAAACGCTCAACTCATCCAATCCTCAACTCATCTAATGCTTAACTCATCCACACGCCCAAAAACGCTCAACTCATCCAATCCTCAACTCATCTAATGCTTATCTCATCCACACCCCCAAAAACGCTCAACTCATCCAATCCTTGAAATATCGGCCGGTTGAGTCCCTAGCCGGTTGAGTCCCTGGTCAGTTGAGTCTCAACCGGCCCAAGACTCAACCGGCGGTAATCAACCACTCAAACGGCCGGGACTCAACTGACCAGGGACTTAACCGGCTAGAGACTCAACTGGTCATGGACTCAAACGGCCAGGGACTCAACTGGTCATGGACTCAAACGGCCAGGGACTCAACTTGTCATGGACTCAAACGGCCAGGGACTCAACTGGTCATGGACTCAAACGGCCAGGGACTCAACTTGTCATGGACTCAAACGGCCAGAGACTCAAACGGCCAGGGACTCAAACGACTGGTACTCAATAGTCTCGTTCCAAAGGATTGGATGAGTTGAGCGTTTTTGGCCGTGTAGATGAGTTAAGCATTAGATGAGTTGAGGATTGGATGAGTTGAGCGTTTTTGGCCGTGTGGATGAGTTAAGGAATTTTAGCCGTTTAGATGAGTTGAGCGATTTTGGGCGTGTGGATGAGTTAAGTATTAGATGAGTTGAGCGGGCACGTCCACCACCAACTTCCTTTTTTCACCATTCTCTACAGTCTTTTAGTCCTACTTACACATCTCCCGTTTCTCCTTATATCATTAATAAAACAAACGGTTGTTGGCCTCCCTAACACCAACTTCTCGCCTCCAACTTCATTTTCTTTTGACGTTTTACAGTCTTATAGTTCTGCCCATCTCCTGTTTCAGACTCGCAACTTTCTCCTCTTTTGTTCTGCTACTTTTCTTTGCCTACTCGGCTGCTCCTCTACAATCTACTTTTGATGTTCTTTTGCTACTGCTCTTTAACCTACTCGTCTTCTTGATCAGCTCGAATTGCTCTTCATTTTATACCTAGGCTATTAGTTACGACTAGTGATTGGCTTGGGTCAGGACCGAGGCCTGGGTTTTTCCTTTACCCAGAGTCCAGGCATTTTTGACCTTCCTGGGTTTTTTCTGGACTACAACTCCAGGTTCCGGCCTAGGTCAATAAATCAAACTCGGAACCCAGAACAGGCCCAGGCTTTTCAAAAATTCCGATCTCTAGTTACGACGAACCCTCCTTCCTTCAAAGAATTTTGAAAACTAGATTGTGATTCGATATCGTTACTAGCCCTAGGCATTCTTCATGATTTGGCCCAGAACGTTTGGAAGAATCGTCTAGCTTCCATTTCACAAACTTTAATTGCTGCTAGTCTATAGCCTGACAATAAAAAATCTCTCCGGTTTACCTCAAAATAGTTCAAAAATATTTTTCTTCATTAATTATAAACCCTCACAAAAAATGAGTGATTGACGTTAACTTGAAGGAAAAGTTTTTCTCCTTTTGTCTCCTCAAAAGCTTACCTTAATTAATTTATTTTCTTCCTTACTTTAAAAATATAAACAAAACAGCTGTCTAAAATTTGTGTGATTTTTAGATAAATATGTGGGGAAAAATTTTTTTAATTTTAAGAGGGAAGAGAAACAGCAGCCCCTTTTTTGCCCTTTCCAGATTTTTAAGAAAAATAATGATTGTTCTATTTTTATTTTTTAATTATTCTAAAAATCTTCTAGCATCGTCTAGCATATTTTTAAGAATTTTTTTAGATCGAGGAAAAAATAGTTTAGGGATTCTCAAACTCTCGGGAGAACTTAAGAATACGGCCCACTCTCGAACATTGACAATTTATATGTCATTTGAATTAGCTTCGCGAGAAGAGTCGGATGGGTACTTTATGGATACCCCCCCCCCCCACACACACACACACACACACACAATCTGAGGATTAATCTTTTATTTGTGTTTCATTTGAATATGTCCCAGGGGATTGAGTGAAATTGAGGAAGAATATTTGCCGTTATGTACATAAGGAAAACTCTGAGGCTCAAACTAGGAGAGGGGGGCTGAATATTCATAAAATACCTTAGGATAACACCAAAATTTTTTAGTGGTTTGTGGCCCATAGTTGAGACCGCTCGTTGATTTTGTCGTCATTCGAGTGCCTCCCGCCGAGCTCTTTCGAATGACTAGTAAAATTTGTCCGTATTGAGGGTGGCCTGTATTCTTACGTTTCTAGGAGTTCACCCCTCCCTTCCTCATTCAGATTTTTCGGAATTTCTTGAAATTTTTTTCTTAATTTTTTGAAAAAAATGTTTCCACCACGTCGTCATAAATCAACACAAAATAAACACCAAAAATATTTATTTCCGCCAAATGAAAAGAAAAGAGCAAAATCTGAGGTCTTTATTACCGCAAATAATAGCCTTCATGCTGACGGTGGCGAACAGCAGAAAAAATATTCTAAGAGGAGGAAGAGGCAACAAATTAAAAATGAGTAAGGAAATAGGTGTTTTTTAAGTGTTTTTAGGAATTTTTTAAAAAAATTTTTGGGAGAAGAATTTTTGTTGTTTTTTCTTTGTATTTCTGGTAGTCCGCACGGATTGTTCGAAAGTTTCCAGGACCACGTTTCCAGGTTATCGAAAAATTCCGCTTCTACTGTTTTTAGAACTGATTGTTGGGTGTACACTCCGTCAGGAACGCAGTTTTTTCAAGTTAGAATTTTTTGTTATCAAATTATGACTTGCGGACAAAATTTGCGGACATTAATGAAATCTGAAGAAGGCTAAATTTTCTTCAAAAAAATTTCTCACAAATAATTAGCTTGTAAAAGTGGCATGGAAACCAATTACCACAAACGTTCTTTGTTCTTTCTTGACTCTTTCTAGTGTCCCTTTTTTGTCTACATTTTGCTTTTGTTGGAGTTTGAAAATTAGTCATCTACATAACAATAAGACTGCTTGCAATTTTGAAAAAATTTTTTTCTGAATTCACACGCTCAAGCTTTTTAAGTCCTGAAAATATATCCCTCCACTCCCATCCCTTCTCTTCAATCCATTCCCCTCTGTTTTCCCCTCTAATCCATTTCCGTTATAAATAAAAGTCAGCAAGGCCCTAGCAGCTGTTCATTATCCTCTCTTAAAACGTCACTCATTTTCCCCAGCCTGGTGGGAATGAAATATTTCCTTTCTTTTTTTTCTAAAACAAGGGGGGTAAACCTATCAATATACATAAATATATTTTCTTTCTTTTTTGTTTTTGTGCCGGAATTTTTTTCTTCTTCTCTTCATTTGTGTCCCTAAAGGCGAAAAGAAGCTAAAATTAGATTGTTATCGATTTCAATTTAATTTTTTCTATTATTTTTTTTTAATTTTCCTAATTGATTTTGAAGTCAAAAACACACAAAGTTCTTCAAAAAAATTTTTCAATTGCCTTGTATTTTTTTCTAATTTATGCCTACTGGCGATTCCCTGAGATCTACCTCTTCTGAGCTTAATCCTCCATATTGGTAATTTTTTAATTTACAGTTTGGTACTATTTTGAAGCTGAGAGTTTGCTCTATCTTTTGGTATAATGTACAGGATTGTATCTTAATTTTTCTTAAAGTTTTGGGTCTTTAAATTTTTGGGGTCATTTGTCACCTTTTTATTTTTCCCCACAAATCTCCCAAATTTATTTTTTCCCAAATTTTTCCCCCCGACTATCTTGTAGCTAGGAGGCTGCGCTATCTTCTGATATAGACAACAAAATTATATCTCTATTCTCTTACAAGCTTTAGGTCCTCAAACTCTATGGGATGGTTTGTCCCCTTTTCTTAATTTTCCCTCAAAAATTTCTTTTAAGGGTTCCAGTTTGCACCAACAGTCTACCTTCATCAAACAAGTGTTTTCGTGCCTCCTCATCCCCACGTGTCTGTTTTTCTCAACATAATAAATACGAAGATTCTTCTACTGACGATACTGCCTCAACAAGTTTTTGCCTTAGAAAAAATCACAAAAAAATGTCTTCGGTTTCTTCGTCTTTTTCAAGGTTAAGAGGAACAAGTCTGACTGTAGATGAAGGAGAAAGAGAAGAGGACGAGAAGAAAGAACGGGAGAGAAGAGAGGAATCTGATGTTTCAATATTGGAAGAAATTGGAAGGAGAGAAGGGTCAATAAATGCTAGAAGAAATATTCAAAAACGTTCTTCAGGAATTTGGAATGATCCGGTTTGTTAATTTAAAATTAAATATTTTCTTAGGTTAGAAAAAATTTTTTGTCGACATTTATATGTCTTTTAGAACTTTTTGAAAATTAATTGACGCCAAAAGGGGTCGAACCTGGGACCCTTTCAAGTCAAAGTCTAACACACTAACCACTCAACCAAAAATTTAAAATTTTTTCTGATTTCTTTTCAAAATTTTTACGGATATTTGATGTCTTCTAGAACCTTTTAAAAATTAATTGACCTCGTAGGGGTTCGAACCTGGGACCCCTCCAAGCCAAATTCTAACACACTAACCACTCAACTAAAAATAAAATTTTTTAAAATTTTTTTTTCAAAAAATTTTTTTTAATTTAAGGTAATCACAATTAACGTTTCTGGAATGCGTTTTCAAGTATTTTATTTATTTAGAAAAAATTTAAAAAATTTTTCAGACATATCAAAGCACACTTGAACGTTTTCCTCACTCAATGTTAGGCAATCCAACAAAAAGACGAGCATTTTGGAATGAACAATTAAATGAATATTTTCTTGATAGGAGTAGAACATGGTTTTTTTTAAAATTTTTTTCTTATTTTTTTATTATTTTTTCAAACACAGTTTTGAATCTATTCTGCATATTTATAGGTATTTTTTGAATAATTTTATTTAAAAAATAGTGACCGGTGAAAAAACGCCTGTCCGGATTTTTTGTTTTATATGCAAATGTGCAGCTTCATACACTCTCTCGCATCGTGTCTACAAAAGTCCGGAAAAATCCGAAAAATAAGCACCGCGTTATAAAGAAGCCATTTTATTTTTTAAGCCATTTTACCACTCTTCTTTCTCTGCTGCTCTTTATTTGACCACCGGATTTTTTCGGATTTTTGTTAGACGAAATGCGAGATGTATGATGCTGCAAATTTGCATATGAAACAAAAAATCCGGACAGGCGTTTTTCACTTGTCCCTAAAAATTTTTTTTCATTTTTTAGAACTGGAGGTCAAGTAGTTAGGCCTGTTACTGTACCTGTGGAAATGTTTATTGATGAATTGGTTATTTTTTTTTTATTTAAATTGTTTGTTTGTTTTAAATGTTTATTTGTTGTTTTTGTCTTTTTTTTTAAATAAATGTTTGTAGCTATTCGTTTTTTTTGTCTCGTGTCTTCGTTGTTCTTAGGCAACTTTTCTGTTCCTTGTTTTTAAATTTTGTTTTGGTGGGTAGCACCAGGGTGATTATTACCTTTAGGGAGCATTTTCCTTCTTTTTGACTTTTCCGCGCTTTTCTTCTTCATGCCACCTTTTTGACACTTTTTTGTGTGGCCATGCCCCCTTTTGGTGATTTGTAAAGGTCCCTGGTTAGCACCCATAAAATTTTTTGATCACGACAGTTTTTTGGGTTTTTGGGAACAATATTTTGACGTTTAGTGTATTTCAGTCGAGTTTCTGAGGGAGGGAGTTTTGATGTTTTATCCAAAAAGAATTTTTCGGAGGCAATACTATTCTATCCTATTTGTTCTTGTATTTTTCGTTCAACTTTATTTTAAAAGAATTTTAAGAAAATTTTTTTCCCATTTTTTTAAAGTATTTCTATCAACTAAAAGATGATGTTTGGTCAAATTTTTGTGAAAGTGAAGGTTGTAGAATTGTTAAAGAAGAGAAAAAACCTTTAAATCCAACTCAAAGAAAAATATGGAATTTGGTTTTTTTTATAAATTTCTTTTGATAAAATAAAAAATTTTTTTAAAGATGGAACATCCAGATTCTTCATTTTTGGCACGCATTCTTGCCTCAATTTCTGTTGCTGTTATTATAATGTTTGTTTAAATATTTTTTTTTTATTAATGTTTATCGGTTGTCCTCTTCTAATTATTTTTCTGATACAAGTAAATATTACTAGAAATTTATTTATATTCTATTGTAGTGTTTCGCCGAAAGTCCCGGTTTCGGTAGGCGGAAGTTCCGGGATTTTTTGGTTCCTTTTCTGGCTCCGGTTTGCTGGTAAAGTTCCGGTTCCGGCCAAATTTTGCGGTTTCGGCGAAACACTATTCTATTGGTATAATTCGAAACGTCCTTGAAGTGAATTACTACCTTTTCCAAGAACAGAAATTTTTTTGGGTTCACTAAAAATATATTTTTTTTGTGGAGGGATAACTGTTAAAATACTGTTTTTCACAATTTTTTCTAAAATTTTTTTCCAATTTTTAGATAAAACTTTTCCTTCTTTTTTTAAAGTAGTACAGTCTCTTTTTGCCTTGAAAGCATTCCAGAATTAAAATCACCTACAGACAGGGAATGGTCTTCACCTTTCTTTTGGATTGAATTTTGTTGTTGTTTATGGTTTTCTATTGGTTATTTCTAAATTTTTTTTTAATTAAAAAAATTTTTTTTGTAGAACTCGTTATTCGTTTTATTGTAAGTTTTCCTTTATAAAAAATATTTTTTTGAAATTTTAAAATTATTTTTTAAAAATTATTTTTAAAGGTAGCACCAAGCAGGACAGATTTTATGAAGGTTAGGAAATTTAAAAAAATTTTTTCTTAATTTTTTTTTAAATTTCAGTCATTTTTAAATGTACTTGATTTTGTTGCAGTTGCTCCATTTTTTATAAATTTAATGTAAGAAAAAAAATTTTTTTTATTAATTTTTAGAATAAATTTCCTTCTCCTCTCTTTAAAGTTTACACGACGCTGAAAATAAAAATTCTTCATCAACATCATTTGCTGTACTTCGTATAGTTCGATTAGTTAGAGTATTTAGAATATTTAAATTAAGTCGACATTTTACTGGATTACAAGGTTTTTTTTAAATTTTAATTTAAAAAATTTTTTTAATTTTTTTAAGTGTTGGGAAAGACTTTCCGTGCTTCTATACAAGAATTCTTTTTATTGGTATATTTTTTTAATTTAATAAAATTTAATAAAATTTGACCTAAAATATTCTTTAAAAAATTTGAAAAGGTCTCTAAAAATGTTTAAAAATTAAAAAAAAAATTTTTAAATGCTGTGGACATTTTTTTAAGAATGTTGGGCGTTGCTGGGTATCGAACCTACACTCTTCCTTTCCACTACTTAATTTAATGGAAAAAATATAAAATTTGGTCTAAAAATTAAGAAAAAAATTTTTTGAAATTTTTATTTTATTTTTAAAATTTTTTTAAACTAAAATAAAAAATTTTGGGAGTTGCTGGGTATCGAACCCCACCCGTTCCTAAAGTAATTTTAATTGAAAATTAAATGTTTAACCACTTGACCAAGAGGAATAGTAGTGTTATTTTTAAGGCAGAGAGGGAAGAAATAGTATGGATATTTAAGAGAGACATATTTTTCAATTAGAAAAATTTTTTTTCTCGTAAAAAATTTTTAGAAAATTTTTAGAGAATTTTTAAGAAATTTTTTAATTTAAAATTATTTTAAAAAAATTTATCTAAAAAATTTTTTAAAGATTTTCTTCATGGGAATAGCTTTAGTTCTCTTCTCCAGTGGTGTTTATTTTGCAGAACAAGGAGAACCTGGAACTAAATTTACTTCAATACCAGCAACTTTTTGGTTTGTTTTAGCAACAATGACAACAGGTTTTGTTTAAATATTTTGAAGAATTTTTTAATTTTTTAAAGTTGGATATGGCGATTTGGTACCAAATGGAGTTTATGGAAAAATTGTTGGGTATGAGGGATTTTGGGGGAAAATTTAAAAGAATTTTATTTTATTAAAGTTCGTGTTGTGCTTTAATTGGTGTATTAACATTAGCTTTGCCTGTTCCTATTATTGTAAGATTAAAAAAAAATTTTTTTGAAAATTTTTTTGAAAATTAAAAACTTTGAAATTTTTTTGAGAAAAATAAGAAAGAAAGAATTAATGAAAAAAAATTTTTGGAAAATTTTTGGAAAATTTTTTTTGGGTAATGAGAAAATTTTTGGAAATTTTTTGAAAGGAATATGTTCAAAAAAAATTTTTTGAATAAAAAAAAATTTTTTGAATAATTTTTTGAATTCAAAAAAAATTTTTTGAATAAAAAATTTTTTTTGAAATTTTTTAGAAAATTTTTTTAGAAAAAAATCTTTCAAAAATTTTTTTCGAAAAATTTTTTCTAATTTTTTATTTTTTAAAGGTAGCCAATTTTAAACGTTTTTATCGTCAAGAAGTTATATTAGCCAAAATGTATGAACAAAATTCACGTCCAGAAGAAATTAGTGCATTTATTAAACAAAAAGGGAAACATGGAGGAACATTTAAAATTTCTATTAATGGAATAAAAAAAGAGGATGGTGAGGATGATACTGATGTTGAAGGAGGAGGAGGAAGAGGTTTTTTTGATCAACACAAAATTGGGGTTGATTCAAGCACTTTGTTGGTTTAATTGAGGGAGCAACTGGGCAAGAGATTTTTTAGAGGGAATGTTGGTGTGGTCAAAAGGAAGAAAACCCTCCAAAAACATACAAAATGATGGCAAACCAAAAAATTCTTCAATTAAAAACATTTGGCACACCTGCCGTTTGAGGGGCGCTCATACCATTGAGGCGCCGTGAAGACCAACGTGAATTTTTCTGTTAGGAGTCACCAGAGTTCACTAGCTTAAGCAATCAGGACCTTATGTCAAAATAGATTTGCAAAACCCCATGGGCCCGGTCACTTATCCCAATATAGTAAGGGCGTGAGTAAGTTTCGTGACCCAACAATTTGATTTAGAAAAGATATAATGTTAAGAAAACTGCGGCCCCCTCCAAACGGTAGGAGTGCCAAACATTTAAATATACTTTATTGTTATAATAATTACGGGTATATATTTTTTATTTAGAAAAAAATTAAAAATTTTTTCAACAATTTAACTTTAACCAAATAAAAAAATTTTATTTTTACCATTAAAACATAAATTCAAAATTTTAGGAAGACCAAAGAAAAAAAAATAAATTTAAAATGAATTTAAATTGACGAGACATTTTTTTCAGAGAAAAGAGAAATAGGGGAGAAAAAAAAATATTTTTTGTTTAAAAATGAAAATAGGAAAAAAATCCTTTTAAGTTTAACGTGTGGAGATGCATAAGAATTTTTTTAATTTTTTTCCTAAGAAAAATTTTTTTTAATTTTCTGAAAAAATTATTTTTCTTTATACATCTCCACTTTATTTTTTAAAATAATAATTTTAAAAATTTTAAAAGAGAAAGAAAAAATTAAAATGAGAAAAAAGCATGGAAAGCATGAAGAATAAAAGCGCAAAAATTTTTTGAATCGATTCAGTTTTTGGTTTTAAAAATTAAAAAAATTTCTCTTTAAAGAAACTGATTCGATTCAAATGAATATATTTAAGCATTAGAAGATAACTTTTTAAAAAAATGAGATGGACAAGATTGCAATTTTTAAACGAAAATGAATGATTTTTAAAAAATGCGCAAAAGAATTTTTAAAATATTTTTTAAGGTTTTAAAAAGAATTGAAAATTTATAAAAAAATTTTCAATGACGGAATTTTTAATGAGGGAAGAAAAAAATTTCTTTGCGATTTTTTAAAAATCTTTGCGGTTTTTAAATTTTAAAAGAATAAAATAAATTCATAGAAAAAATAAAAGAAAAAAATGGAAAGACAACAACAAATTCAAATTTTTTTGTTGTGTTACCTTATTGTTTTTTCAGACCTTTCTTTGGAAAAAAAATGTGGGATAAACAAAAATGAGATTCTCATGAGAATGAGGTCCTCCCCCCTTCCCCTTATGTCATTAAAAAAATAAAATTCTGGAAAAGGTTTTTTTGTTCGCTAACTTATTGGGTTTCAGGCCCTTCTGTCATTTTAGAAAAAAAATTCTGAAAAAAAGGCCCCTTCTCCCTTCTGTCATTTTTAAAAATAAAAAATTCTTAGAAAAAAGAGGTCTGAAAAAAACTTATTTTTTTTTGGAGTTGACTAAATTTAAAAAAAATCCTTATATCGGGAAAATTATCTTATCATTTTTTATTTTATCGAATGCAGCTATGCAAATCCAAACGTGAACGAACCGTTTTTTGATTACTTGATTTTGAGAAGACATGCCAAAAACGTAAAGTTTCATCACCAGCACCAGTAACAATAGATTCACCATCGGGAGACATTGCCTTTAAAAAAATTTGGGGAATTTTTTAGGAGAAAAATTTAAAAATATACCAAATATAAAACTCTTGATTGATGACCAGATAATTTTGTTATTGGTTGCATACTTGGATATTTCCATAAAATTACTTGATTAAATGAATAGCCATGTGTTGATACTAATTCTGGGCTGTGTTTAGACCAAGCAACATTGCAAACCTTTGAAGAGGTAAAAAATATTTGAAAAAATTTCAAAAAATTTTTTTTAAAAATTTATAAAAAATCAAAAAAATTTTCCCAGGTCTTGAAAATTAAAAAAAAAATTTTTTGAAAGGCTTGGAAAAAATTTTAAGGCTCATAATTTTCAAAAGAAAATTTTTTTCCAAAGGTACATACTTGACTCCCAGTCTCAACACATTGCATTGCTTGTCCAGTCATTGTATTCCAAAAGCGTAAAGATCGATCAGCTGTTCCACCACCACTGACTAGAACACTTGGATGATGTGGGGACCTTTAAGAAATTTTTTGAGATTTTTCAAAAAAATTTTTTCAGGTTACCAAGCCAAAGCTTTAACAGCAGCATTGTGTTCCGTGTAAGTTTGTATTGGTTCATTACGACGAAGACTCCAAACAAGCAATTGATTGTCATTACCACCAGAAGCCAAATATTCTTTGTTTGGGGACCATTTTAAACCGCAAACCTTTTAGGGTTAAAAAATTTTTTAGAAAATTTTTAAAGAAAAAAAACCTCTTGTCTATGAGCATTTAAACGTTTTTCAGTCACATTATTACTTTCACGCAAATCTCTATAAATGATGCAACGATCGCGCGAACCAGAACATATTACATTATCATTCCAAGCTAAACAACCAATACGCATTTCATGAACTTTTATATTGTGAATGCGTTTTTGTGTACGAGAATCCCAAATCTTTAAAAAGAAAAAAATTTTAAAAAGCTTGAAAAATTTTTGAAAAGCTCGAAAATTTTTGTAAAATTTTTAAGGGCTTGGAAGGCATTTAGAAAAATTTTTTAAAGTCGAAAAAATTTTGAGAGGTCGAAAAAAATTTTTAAAAATTTTTAAAAGGCTTGGAAAAATTTTCAAAAAATTTCAAAGGGCTAGGAAAATTATAAAATTTTTTAAGGCCCAAAAAAACCTGTAAAATTCCTTTATGAGTTCCAACAGCTAATAAATCTCCACGTTCAGACCATTGAACAGAAGTAACAGATTCACTATTTTCATTGCCCAAATCACATAATTTAATTACTTGACTATTACAAGCACTCCATAAATAAACACAAGTATTTAAACCAACAGATAACATATTTTGACTTGACCAATCAACAAGATTTAAATAAAAGTCATCTTGAAGTTCTGGAGCATCCAAAACTTTATATGGATTTTTTGGAACTTTTCGTTGTGGTTTTCTTGGAGATTTTAATAAACGTTGACTGTCTGGAAAAATTAAAAAAAAATTTTTTTAAAAAACATAGAGTACGGGGTTACTAACGAGAGACGTCCCCAATAGCGAGAAGGCCCTCCCTCCACGATTTTTAAAATCATTTCAGTATATGGAGTTGTCCATGAAAAAAGGAAGGCCTTGAGGTTTAAATTTTCAAGTGGTTCTCCATTGGAGTCTCCTATAGGAAGGATACCAATTCTTGACACAAACCTTACTGCATCAGGGAAAACTTTCAGGGATTCAGAAAGCTCAAATATGCCTGGGTCTTGAAATCAAGAAAGAAAACAAAAAAATAAACCTGCAGAAAGTGGACTTGATGAAAATAAAGGTGAAGCTGCATTTGCCAAACTACCACCAACAGAATTTGGCACTTTATGTGTATATTTGAACAAAGAATGAGGTGTACTTCGTTGTAAAATTTGGACACTATCGGTACTGTCACAATCACTCTTTTAAAAAAATTAAAAATTTTAGATTTTTTGAATGAAAATGGTGTGGGAGAGGTCGAGACTAACGATTGATCGGGCATGGACTGGGAGTAAGCTGGGCGAGAATTCAGGATATAGAGTCCAGGAAAAGTCCAATAAGTTTAAAATATGCTTGGGTATGAATTTTAGGTACAGAAAGAGGTCGCCATTTGGCAAGGACAAATTTGACCGGGCGGGATCCTAAGAATTTAATCGTGAAAATTAAGCAAGTTCCAAGAAATACAGGGATATGGGATATTGGGAAGTTACCCATAACTTGTCCTAAGCCTTACATTTCTTGGCAGGCACGTAGCTAGGGGAGGTTGGGTGTCTATCCCCCTTGATTCCTGGGAGAGAAAATTTTTAAAATTCTTACCCTAACATCAATAATTGAATGTTTCAACAATTCATTCTTCAACAACGCCCGATGAGTAACCGAATCATGTCCAGTTTCTTCCAATGGAAGTGCCCCAGTATTAGGTCCATTATTACCAACACTACCATTATTATTCATTGAATTAGATGAAGGTTGTTGTTGCTGTTGTTGATTTGGTAATTGTTGATTTGGTTGTTGTTGAGCTGTAGATGAAGTACTACTTTGGGTATTTGAAGCAGCATTTGTCTTTAAAAGAAGGAAAGGATAATTTGGGAAAATAAAGGGATAATAGTAGTGATCGAGCTGGGTCAGGACCTAGGCCTGGGAGTTTTTGGCCTTCCAGGGGTATTTCTGGGCTTGGGTTGACCCAGACCCCAGGAACATAATTTTCAAAAATCTCGATCACTAAATGATATTGTCGTCATTTAAGAGGGGCCCATTCTAGCTGTCCGGAGTCAGAACAAAAGAAAATATGGGAGCACCCAATTCAAAAAAAGGGGCCTTATCAAAAAAACAAATTAAAAAATTATACATGATCATCAAAAAGTTTTCTTGCTGGAATATTATTCGAAGCATCAGTCAATGGATGACTTGAAATTGATGCATATTTAAATGCCCATTCTTGTTCACTTTCACGTATAGGAATATATCTATCACCTCCATCAGGTCTATATTTTGTTGGTGTTGTTTGTATAGAACCTCTAGAAGTTAAATATTTTTGTGGTGAAATTGGTGGACGTTGAAAAAATCGACGTAAATAATCTTCATTCATTATTCTTTTTTTTTTTTGATGATTAAAGGTCAGATGAAGTCTTGAAAAAATAAGAAATTTACTGAAAAAAAATATTTTAATATTCAAAAGAATGAAAGGAAAACATTGGAAGCCTGAGGATACGCCCAAAACGGCGCGCGGCCATAACGGCGCAAAGCCATAACTTGCTGGAAACTTTCTGGCCCTTATCAATTTTGGTATCAAACTATTTAGCTCGATGAGTGGAATCGTTCAGTACTAGATTTGTTAAGATACGGAAATCTTGAAGCAAGTTATGGCCTCGCGCCGTTATCGCCGCGCGCCGTTTTGGGCGTGTCCCTCCGGAGCTTTTCTAAGAACTGGCAACCCTTACAAGATGAATTGAATTTTCAAAAGGTTTACAGTATTCTCCAAGGTATTCTCTACAGTATACTGAGGATACGACTAACTGAAGTCTTAAAATAAAAGTCTTAAAACCGGAACAAAAACAGTTATACAACACGAAAATAGAAAGAGAAAAAAACTTTAAAAAAGAGTGACCACAGGTCATGAGATTTGGCATAATGTCTATTTTTATTTTTATCGATTTTTCCTTGGCGTTATTTTAAATCTGAATTTTCCCTGAATTTTATTTTGTGTGTGAAAAAGTTTTTTTGTGGTTTTTTTTTTTTGCAAGTTTTGCGTGATGTAATTGATTTTTTTCTTTGTTTTATTCTTTAGTCTTATTTTACCTTATTTTAGCTTTTTAAAAATTTGTATTTTTAGAGGAATTTTTCTGCTCTAATTGGCTTTAAAAAAATTTTTTTAAGAACAAAATTAGAAAATGCTTAACAACGATTTTGCTGCCGTTCTGCTAGTTAAAAGAGAAGTTTTTTTGTATATGATTCCACCATTATCTGGAACTAAAGGATACAAGTAAAAAATTTTTAATTTTTTTGATTTTTTTTTTGAATTTTTTGAAATTTTAAAAAAATTTTAGGGCCTCTGATTGGAATTTGGCTAACCCTAATTGGACTGGTCGTTTACGTTTGGTATCTAAATCTGATGATGTTTTAGAAATTCGGTTGGAGGATAAGAATACGGGTAATTTTTTAATATTCTGTCTGTGGGACCAAATGTCACCTTTTTTTATTTTTCTATTAGAAGTTCATTCCTCAAGTTTAGTCACTATCTGACATTTGTTTCCCACCTTTTTAGCTTTAATAATTATTTTTGGTATCCTAGAAAAATATTAGCCGCACCTGGATTCGAACCTGTGCCCCACCGATCATATTTAACACTATTCCACTTAACCAAAAAATATTTTTAACATAAAGGTCAAGCAGATTCACTCCTCGAATTTACCCACTCTATCTGATATCTTTCATACTTTTCTAGCGGTACTTTTTGTTTTTGACATTTACGGTCACTTCAAGATTTTTTGCGGACTTTATTTGCGACAAATTTAAAAAAATATTTTTTTCCTTTTAAAGGTGAACTTTTTGCCAAAGCACCAATAAATCGGCTCAATTCTGTCGATTTTGAACCAGTTGTTGATTCTTCCCGTTATTTTGTTATTCGATTAAGAAGTGATAATGGACAAGCAAGATTTGTTGGAATTGGATTTTCTGACCAAAGCGACTCTTTTGATTTGAAAGTTTCAATTCAAGATTATTTTCGAAGTGCTTTAGAAGTTGAAAAGGAAATTAAAGCCGAGGAAAGTGGAGTTAATAAAATACCTGTTTTAGGCGAAGGTTTTTTTTTATTTTTTGAATTTTAAGATTTTTTTAATTTGCAGGGCAGACGCTTACACTCAATTTTGGGGTATATTTTTATTTTAAATATTTTTTAATATTGGATTTTAATATTCTTGTAAGGTTTATGTGTCAATTTCAGTCAGAAACATTACTACAAGCAGGCCCGTAGCCAGGATTTTTTTTCGGGGGGGGGGGGGGGGAATTTTTTTGCGCCAAATTTTTGGCGCCGAAGGCGCCAAAAATTTTTATTTTCAGCGCCGCAGGCGAAAATTTTTTAAATTTCAGAGGCCGTAGGCCAAAAAAATTCACTTTTTTGCCCCAGCCCTTCCCCAAATTTTTTCCTTTTTCCCATTTCGGGGGGGGGGGGGGGGAATTCCCCCCCTCACCTGGCTACGGGCCTGACTACAAGTCCTTGCAAAATTATTGCCCATAGTTGGGTTCGAACCTGAGTCCCTCGTACCAGTCAAATCTGACACGATTCCACTTAACCAGAAGTTAATTAAGTAGGTTCTTTGGGGGAAAAATTATTTTTCAAGCAGGGACATTGATACATGTTCTAGAAAAATTTTTGGCCTTAATGGGGCTCGAACCTGCGTCCCCATATCAGTCACAACTAAACACGATTCCACTTAACCATAAAATTTGAAAAAAAATTTGTTAAATAATTTTTAAAATTTTTTTAAAGAAAAAAACAATTGTCTCTAACGACAATCAACGTGTTATTTCAAATAAAGAATCTCCAAATAATTCTGGTTCAACAACAACAAGTTTTCCTCTTTTGCCTCCACCACCGCCTTCTTCTTCCTCTCCTTTAGTTCGGCGTTGAATAATTAATTTTAACTTGCCAAGAATTTTAAAAATTTGTTGGAGAATTTTTATCTTCATTTTTGTGTGTGGTAATTTCAAGGGTTTATTTTTTATTATATTTTTTGAAGCGGTCTACCTGTAATTTTTTTAATCAAGTTAATTGACCAATGCTTTCAGAATTACAAAAAATTCTATGGTTTTCGGGGTTTCTGTTCATGCTTCCAATTTTTACCAATTAATGCTTAAAAAATTTTTTAGGGGGTGGTTCCTGTTCTTTCTGCGGTAGTGATTCTCTGTGAGAGAAAAAAAACCACGGGAAACAGGAATTGGTTCGGGAAGATGACCTCGGGAATTGGGAATTTTCAATAAAAAAAATTTTTAAGAATTGGGAAGCCAAAAACTTGGGGAAAAATTTCCCGTTTCGGTAGTTGGTATCGGGGTACCACCGGTTATTTGCGGTTACTGGAATCAAGAAAGCATTGTTTGTAACACTAACTGACGTTGTCATAATATTCATATTCTTTATATGTATCCATATCATTTTTATATACCCAAAAAAAAATTTCTGTACGCTTTATAATTTTTTAGTTACGTTTTTGACTTGAAAAAAATTTTTTATTAAAAATTATAAAGCGATTTATAAATTTTATTTTAAATATATAACTCTTAAAGACTAAATTATTATTTTTTATTAAATAAAAATTGTGCGTGGATTAAAAAAAATTTTTTTTTGTTATCTCACGTTGTTTAAAATCAACGAAAATATTTTTTAAATGTTTTAAAATTTTTTTTAAATTATTTTTAGAAGAAAAAAAATTAAAAATGTCTGGTGGAAGTGCAACAATAACAGCAGTAACTCGTTTAAAAAAGGATTATCAAAAATTGGTTCGAGATCCTGTGCCTTATGCAATTGCTGCTCCTTTGCCTTCAAATATTTTGGAATGGTTAGGTTTTTTATTTTTCAATGGGTTCTTTGGAGTTTGAAATTTTTTATTGATATTTAAAAATAGTTTTAAATAAAACTTGAATTTTTTCTATCAGTTCGACTAGAAAAAATATTGGCCGTATCGTGGTTTGAACCACCAATCCTCTCAAAAGTAAAACCTAACATTCGTGCACTTTTCCAAAGAGTTTATTGAATTTTATTTGTATCTTTTCCTTTTTCCTTTCAAAAATTGATAAATAATTTTTAAAAAATGTTGGCCTTATTTGAACCCTTGACTTTGACTTTTGTTAAACCTAACACGTTTGCACTTAACCAAAAAATTAAATTATGTTTCCGGCGCTTACTTTCCCTCACTTTTGAAATCGTTGAATAAATTTTAATATTATTTTATTATTAAAATTTTTATTTTTTTCCAGGCATTATGTTGTCATTGGGGCTCCGGATACTCCTTATGAAGGTTATTTTAAATTTTGACTTTTTCTTAATTCAATTTTTAAGGTGGTTATTACCATGGAAAATTGGTTTTTCCACAAGATTTTCCTTTTCGGCCGCCGTCTATTTGTAAATTTATTTTATTTTTTATCTACAAAATTTAAATTATTTTAAAGATATGCTCACTCCTTCAGGCAGATTTCAAGTAAATACAAGATTATGTCTGTCAATATCAGATTTTCATCCAGTTAGTTTTTCTTTAATTAAAAAATTTATTTTTGAGATTTAAAATTAATTGTTAGTCATTTTTAAGTGTTAAAAATTTATTTTTAAATTTAAAAAATATATTGACCCCAGGAGGGTTCGAACCCAGCTCACTTTATTGAAAATATAAAATTTCCACTTAACCACCGATTTAAATTTTTAATGATTTAAAAATTTTTAAATGCAGAAAACCCCTCTTTTGATCTTTAAACATTTATATTACTCCTAAAAGGGTTTGAACCTGACTCCTTACTTTATTCCAGTTAAAAATTTTCCCACTTAACCAACAAATTAATTTATTAATTTTTAAAATTTAAAGGATACTTGGAATCCTTCTTGGTCTGTTAGCACAATTATAATGGGACTCATTTCCTTTATGAATGAAAATTCGCCAACTCTGGGTTCTTTGCTTACTTCAGATTATGAAAGGAGAATACTTGCTAGGTTTTTTTTGGGGATTTTTAGAAATTTTTTAAAATAATTTTTTTAGGCGCTCTCGAGAATTTAATCTCAAAAGTCCTCAATTTTGTGAAGTTTTTTCTGAACTGGCTGAACAAATTCGTTGTGAATTGGAGGAAGAAAGAGCTTTAAATGCTGAAAATAATGGGTCGAACGAAAATGTAAATAATCAAACAACAAGGTTTTCTTTTTAATTAAAAGGGGGATTTTGAGTAGTGTTGTCGTTTCTGGACCGAATTGAAGAACCGAGGATTTTTCTGTTCGGTTTCGGATATCCGAAGAATTCCCAGGAACCGACAACCCTAATTATGATATTTTTAATTTCTTCAAGAAAAAATTTTTTAAATCTGAAAAAATAAAATTTCTCGCGTATAGCTATTCAATGTTAATCCTAAAAATCCTCCCTCTTCTAAATTTTCAAAATCTCAAAATATTTTTTTAAATTAAAGACCATCCTCTTCATCAATTACTGCAAATTTACTTATGGTTACTGGTGTGGTTATTCTTATTTTTGCTGTTCGTTATGTGGTTTTGAATGCAACATCAGCCTAAATATATGACTAGAAGTTAATATAAAATTAAAAAAATATACTTTAAATCCTTCTGGTAAATATTTATAAACTCCAAATATTCACAAAATTTTTAAATGAAAGTCGCAAAAACTGCTATAAGTTTTTGGGCTTTTTTTATAATTATTTAGTAGAGATCGAGATTTTTGAAAAGCCTGTTCCTGAACTCTGGGTTTGATTTATTGACCTGGGCCGGATCCTAGGCCTGTAGTCCAGGAAAAACCCAGGCCCAGTAAAAACTCAAGAAGGTCAAAAAATACCTGGGCCTGGACTCTTGGTACAGGAATAACCTAGGCCTTTGTCCAGACCCAGCTCGATCTCTATTTAGTTAATTAACTACCTTTAAGCCAATTGAAAAAAATTTTTTTCCTCGTAAATAATATGCCACTACTCATCAGGGGTGTGCCTAAACAGATTTTAAAAATGCGAAAGGCGAAATACCCAAAAATAATGCAAAAATTCGGCGAAAGGCACACCCCTTCCACTCATGTTCTAGAAAAATATGTAATTGTTATAAAATTCCAAAAAATATATTATTAAAAATTATATCCTAATTTTTCTTGACGTATAAAATTATCAAGCATAAAATTTCTTCTTTTTCCATGTAAATTTTGAAAGGATTTTTTCCCTTTTTTTTTAATTTTTCTAAGATAATTTAATTAAAAAAAAATTTTTTTAGAATGTAACAAACTTTTTCTTTTCTCTTTTTTATTTAAATGCCTTTTGTATCAGCAATAATTAATAAATATGTAAATAAACGTCATACAAAATGGCTTCCTTTAGCTTTAATTTTTCTTTATACTTTTGTTATTTTTTGGTTTGGAAGGCTTTCAGCACAAATTGGAATGTTGGAAATTAATTCTTTTTTAGCTATTAAAAATCAAGGTTTCTTTTTAATTTAAGACAGTTTTAAAATAATTTTTTTTAGTTCCTCCAATTGAATCTCCTGTAATTTTGCCTTCAACTTATTTGATGGTTTTGATTATGACAAAAGCAGAGAATTTAGGTTGTTGAAGATTTTTAATATTTATAAAATTTTTTTTTAATATTTTAAAAGAATTTTAGAGGGATTTTTAACGAAGATTTATGAAAAAAATATTTTAAACCCCCGGCAGGGTTCGAACCCACAACCCCTTTTCCTTAAAACTTTTATTTAACCAACTTAACCACAGTAAATTTTTTTATATTTTCTGAGGACTTGAAAATCTCAAAAATAAAATTTTTTTACTCATTTTATTAATTCTACTTCCCTGCAAGGGTTCGAACCCACGACTCTTTTCTCCTAAATTTTTAATTTATCCAACTTAACCACAAAATAAATTTTAATATTTTTTTGATGGACATCTAAAAAATTTTAAAATAATTTCTTTTTTAATTTTATTTCTCTTAAAAATACTAGAATTACGCAATACAATTAGACAAACATGGCTGCGTTTATCCACAAAAACTCCAAATCTTTATATTCATAAATTTGTGATTGGAATGGATGGAGTTAAAAATAATCATTTTATGGAGGAAGAAATGAATAAACATTCAGATTTGCTGTTGGTCAATTTAACTAATGAATCTTATAAAAATTTGGCAAAGAAGACTTTAATGGCTTTTAGGTTTTTTAAAAAATTTAAAAAATTTTTCTTAAAATGTCAAGAGTTCAAAATGGTCAAAAATTCATTTTTTATTTTCCAGTTCAGTTTCTGAGCAATTCAAATTTGACTATCTACTCAAAGTCGATGATGACAGTTTTGTAAGACTTGGTGCTTTATTAAACGCATTAAAAGATATTGAACAACATCCGTTACTTTATTGGGGTTTTCTTGATGGACGTGCAAAACCTATGCGTGGAGGGAAATGGGCAGAGAATGAATGGCGTTTATGTGATAGATATTTGCCTTATCAGGTTTTTAGACTTTATGAAATTTAAAAATTTATTTCCTTGTCAGTGTTCGAACCCACAACCCCTTTTCCCTTAAACCGTAATTTTACCAACTTAACCACAAAATCAATTTTATTTTTAAAATCAGCTTGGTGGAGGTTATATTCTAGGCCAAAAATTAGTTGAATATATTTCAAAAAATGCTCATCTTTTTCAACTTTATCGAAATGAAGATGTTTCTGTTGGTGCATGGTTGGCTGGTTTGAAAGTTCGTTACGTGCATGAGTAAAAAATTTTTTTCCAAAATTCTTTTAATAAAAATCTTTATAGCCCACGATTTGATACTGAATGGACTAGCCGTGGATGCAATAATGAATATTTGGTTTGTTTTTAAATTTGGGTTTTTTATTTAAATTTATTTCCCTGACAAGGTTCGAACCACTTAACCACAAAGTGAATTTTTTTGATTTTTATACTTTTCGAGGGGGGATAAGAAATGGATTTTTAAGGTTTTTGGGGAAATTAATAAATTTATTTTGTCGGGGTTCGAACCTGACTTGATTCCTCACTAATTCCAAAATTTTACCCACTTAACCAAAAAATAAAAAAATTTTTATTTTTCAACAGATAACCCACAAAAAGTCTATGAATGAAATGCAGACATTATTTAAAAGTTTATCATCTTTTGGTGTTTTGTGTTATCCGAGCGAATATCGTCTTCGTCCATCTTACATTTATGATTTTTCCAAATTACCAAGTGAATGTTGTACAAGAAGAAATGGATCCAAAATTCCCTGAAAATTAATCTAGTTTTCTTTTTTAATAATTTTTAAATTAATTTTTAAACTAATTTTTGGTTCTGGTCCAATTTATGAGTCCTTTGTCAAAAGTTGAGTTCAAGGCGGAGTTGTTGGTATTTAGTGGGCCAAGCAGGGATGTGCCGAAACAGATTTTAAAAATCGAAAGAAAAAACACCAAAAAACGAAAATAAGGTGAAAGACGAAACGGCACACCCCTGATACCAAACTAGAAGAAAAGATTCATTGGACTCATAGACTATACCAGCGAATAATTTTTTTAGTAATTATTTTAGATCTCACTAATTTTTAATTTCATAAAATTTTTAAAAAAGCATTTTTATTTTTAAATTTATTTTTCTATAATTTTGTTTTTTAAAACAATTATTATATTTAGAAAATTTTTAATTTTTTAAATTAAATTTTCAAAAGTTTTTAAGCAATAAAGAATGTTAAATGATATTTCTTTACAAACAGAAACGGCATTAGTTTTTTTAAATGGCCTTTTAACAATTTTATTGAGAAATGCTTTGGTTCAGTTAATTTATAATGGGGGTGGAACAACAATGAATCAGGAGGATTTGAAATGGTTTGGATTAAAAAAATTTTTTGGGGGAATTTGAATTCATTTTTTTGTTCTTTTCAACTTTAGAATTAAAAATTATTTCCCTGCCAGGGTTCGAACCCACAACCCTGTTCCCTTAAAATTTTTCATTTATCCCACTTAACCACGAAATAATTTTTTCTATATTTATTACTGGCTTTTTGAAAATTTTAGAAATAATTTCAAGCATTTTATTAATTATTAATTCTATTTCCATGTCAGGGTTCGAACCCACGACCTTGTTTACTTAGAATTTATGATTTTACCCACTTAACCACAAAAATAAAATTTTATTTTTTCATTTTTTAATCTTTCCCCTATGGGGCTTTATAGTTCAAACTTTTTATTAAATTCTCAATTTTCAGGCATTTATTCACTCTAGATTTCCTTACAATTGTAATTCCAATGTTTCTTATTCAAACACTTCTGGCTGATTATTTGTTTATAATACTTGGAATATTTATAATACTCATTTTAATTATTTTAATTTTAAATAAATCAAAAGTTCCATCCAAAAGGTTTTTTTAATTTTTTAAAAACTTCAAAAAAATTTTTTGTTAAGAAATCGTCCACATGAAGAATCTCTTACTATTAATTCTCAAAACTCGAAGCTTCAATTTTGTGATCTGTTCAATTGTTGTAAACTTGTTAGGCCTGATACATGCCGAGCTATTTATAATTCACACACAATGTTTAGGTTTGGAAAAATTTTTTTTAAAATTTATTATAAAGAGTAGGGTTGTTCACAGTCGGTTAACTGAAAACCGTTGTTTGTGATTTTCAAAAACTTTCTAAAAATAACCGGTAGTGAACAACCCTAATTGAAAATTATTGACGTAAAACTTCTTTAAAAAAAATTTTTACTGACAAAAATTTTTTATGGACATATTTAATTTCGCATAAATGTTGGTATTTTTTCATGAATTCTTTGGCGGATGTAAACAAAACTTAGTGACTTATTTTTATGATTTTTGAAAAGGGTTTGCCATTTTCCTCCCAAAGATTTACAAAAAAAAATTTTGTCCGTAAAAAGAAATTTTTTTTCATTTTTTTTTGAAAATTTTTTAAAAACCTTTTTTTTCCACAGAGCTCTTCTTCTCAATACAACAGCTTTAGCAATTTTAGCTGTTGACTTTTCAATTTTTCCTCGAAGATTTGCCAAAACTCATTATTATGGTCAATCTTTAATGGATACTGGAACTGCTGCTTTTGTTTTTGTAAATGCTTTGGCTGATGAAAGTGCTGAAAGGGAAGGAAGAAAACCTAGAGAAAGGGCTTTAAAATCTACAATGTAAAAATTTTTTAGTTTGATTTTTTTTTTAAAGTCTGTAAGATTAACCAAGAAAAGTTAAAAAATATGACTGACCACCAACCGGACTCGAACCCACAACCCTCTATACCCTATGTTGGGGACTTTACCGACTTAACCATAGTGGTTAAATTCTGATGGAGTGTTCGGGTGGTGGTCGTTCGGTTATGTAAGTGTTCGGTTGGTAGTTCGATTAAAAAAAACTTTTTTGCGGAGAATCTTTGCGGACAAAAATTTTTTTTGAATTTAATTTTTATTTTTAAAGGAATTTATTCTTCTTTCGCGTTCCAACACTTTTGGTACTCGCATTACTTGGTATTGGGCGTTCATTATTTGTTCATTTGAGTGGATATGGACAGGATGTTACAGAGTTTGCTTTTTTATTTTTTTTTTATTTTGAAAAAATTTTTTTTTTAATTTGCAGACATTTTTGTCCGCAAAAAAATTTTTTTCTAAAATAATTTTTCTTTCTTTTTTTAAAGATACGGCGTTCATTGGAATTTTTTTGTTACTTTATTTTTCATTCGGGTATTTTTTTATTTTTTGAGAAAAAAATTTTTCTCCCCTTCTCAACAGATGTTTGTGGCAATTGTTCCAACACAATTAATTATATTTATTGGTTTACTTATTGGTTTAATTTATCAATATTTATTAACTTTTGCTGGTTTGGAAGGATGGTTATTAAAATCTGAATATGGAGGAAGACATGGTTTTGTTGATCAAAATCGGGAAGGAATATTTTCTTTGTTTGGCTATTTTTTCATTTATTCTGCTTCGTTTCTTTATGCAAAATGTTCAGCACATTTTTTGGAAAAGTGAGTGATTAGAAATCAGAAATTTTCTGCCAAAAAAGTGAAAAAAACGATTAACCATCGAACGGGTTCGAACCCACGACCCCTCCACTGTATTTTGGGAACTTTACCGACTCAACCAAAGTGGTTAAAACGTGGCAGATATGATTGTAGGAGTCCGTTGGGGTTCAAATTTATGTTTTGTAAAGAATAAAATATATGACCACCAGCCGGACTCGAACCCATGACCTATTTAGTCACTGTAGTCGGGAATCTTACCCACTTAACCACGAAAAAATTTTTACATGAATTTTTTTTTATTTTCCAGAGAAAAACGTCTTTCACTTGCACGTACTCTACTACTATTTCTAATCAGTATATTTTGCTATTTGTTACAATATTTGTTGGAAAATTATGGTTTACGATTGCAAGCTTCAAGACGTCTTGCGAACTTGACTTATTGTTTTGCTATGGTTTGTAAATTTATTTTAATTTTTTTAATTTAAAACAATCCACTTTGATTTTTCTTAAATTTGTTTGAAAAAATGTTTCTGAAACTTTATTTATTTATTTATTTATTTTTTCCCGGCTCACCGTGGTTAAGTCGGGTAGTGAATTTTTATTTTTTATATGTTCCCATAGATTAGAGGGAGGTTGTAGGTTCGAGCCCGGTTGGGAATTAATTTTTTTTCTAAATTTTTTGGAATTTTCTGGAAGGTGTTTTCAACCTTTTATTTTTTACCTTAAAAAATTTATTTTTTTCAAGTTGGCTTTATTTTCTGCTTCAACAATTTTGCTTCAAATTTTTCAATTTATTGCGCCAATGCCACGATCAAAAGGTGGACTTGTAGAAGCAATAAGTAGAAATGCTTTATTACATTTTCTGATTGCAAATTTATTAACTGGGTTAATTTTAAATTTTTTTTCCATTAAAAAAAAATTTTTTTTTTCAGATTTGTAAATATGTTTAGCGACAATATTTTAGAACTTAAAGGAATAGTAACTCAAAGTTTAATTCTAATCATATATTCATTAAATACCTCATTTTTAATTTATTTAATTCCAATAAGAAGAACCTCAAAATAATTTTTGAAAAAAAATATATAATTTAAAAAATACTCAATAAAAAAAGAAGGGCTTGAAGAAGATTTTAAAAAATAATTTTTGATTGTGGTATTATTTTTGTATTTAAAATATATGTATAGGTATTTTTTGATATTTATTTTATTTAATTATTTAATAGGATATTATATATGGTAAAATAATATATATTTATTTTTATTTAAAAAATAATTTTTTTATTTGAATTGTTCAAAAGAATATATTAATTGTTTTAATATTTTATAAAAATCAAAGGAGAATTTTAAAAAGTTGTATGATCAATATTTTTAATAGGGTTGAGGTTTTCGAGTTGGGCCGACGTTCGAGTCATTTTTTTCGGGACGGCCCGACCAACTCTTTTTCGGGCCAAAATTCAATACATTTTTCGGGGTACAGCCCAAGTAGGCGCGCGGCCAGGTAGGCGCAAAGCCATAACTTGCTTCATGATCACCGAATCCTATCATATTTATTGTTAAACGATTCCTCTAATTGAGCTCAAGAGACTTGTACCAAAATCGGGAAGAGCCAGAAATTTTTCAGCTAGTTATGGCTTTGCGCCTACTTGGCCGCGCGCCTACTTGGGCGTGTCCCCATTTTTCGGACCGGACCCCCAACCCTAATTTAAAATAATAATTAATATTCTTTTTTAATTTTATAGATTAAAAAATATTTCTAAAAGGACCTTGGAAGGATCAAACTTTGACTTTGGAAATTTTGGGTGAGCCGTTTATTTAAAAATTTAAAAAAAAGAAATTGCTAATTAAATTTATCAAGAAATTAAATTTTAAAATGAAAGCTATATTTGGTTTTTAAAAGCGAAATATAAGCGAAAAATGCAGAAACAACCATTAAAGAACGGTTAAAAATGGACGGAATCAAAAAATGGGCGATTAAAAAATAAGGAAGAATGGAGATAAAACGATTGAGGATTAATTAAGTGTCAGCAAAAATTTTTGTGGACACAAGTTGATAATTGTCTAAATAATTAAGGTTTCCATGGACCAAGGTGCAAAATTTTGAGAAAGCAGAAAATGCAAAATTTGGGAAGGAAACCAGGATGGAGAGAGAGAATGGAATGAGAATTTTCAAAAATTTTGTGCTAGGATTTTTCTCCGACGAAGGGAGAAGGGGCAAAATTTTTAGGGAGAAGCAGAGTCTTTAGGGGAGAGTGCGAGACTAGGATAAAGGGGACCAAAAAAAAGAAGGATAAAAAAATTTTCCCCAAACTTCTGTGGACAGGGGAACAGTCCTATAAAAAATAGAGCTAAAAAAGAAGACTAGTTTTTAAAGAAAAAAATGAAAGAGAGAAAGAGGTCTTTAAAAAAATTAAAAAAACCTGAAAAAAATTTTTCTAAAGGGAAAAGCTCTCCTCTAAATTGAACAAAAAAGTGAATTTCCTTTCTCTTCTAAAAATAGCCATTAAATGCTTGTATCACAATTGATTGCATAGGTCCTAATCTAATTAATTTTTTTCTAGTCAAATCCAAAAAAGAATTTATTGGGTAATCCTCTAAAGCATTTATAGAATTTGCAATAACCCTTCCATGCCATTTTTGATTTTTGCTGTTGTTTTGTTGAAAGAGGGGAAAAAGTTGTGATAGAGGTAGAATACGAGTTATTGAGCCAAAATTTGCAGCAAAAATTGTTATCTGTGAAAAAAGAGGAGGAATTTTTAGGGAAAAAATTTTGGGAATTTTTAAGAATTTTTCTAGGGAATTTTCAAAAAAATTTTTTGAAAATTTTTTTTTGAAATTTTTGCAATTTTCAAAAATTTCTAAAAATCTAAAAATTTTCAAAAAAAAAATTTTTTTCGATTTTGAAAATTTTTTTTTTTCAAAAAAAATTTTTTGGCAAAACTTCTTTTTGGCAAAATTTAAAAAAAAATTTAAAAAAAAATTATTTTTCAAAAATTTCAAAAAAACCAAACCTCTCCATAAAATTTTCTATCATTTTCTCTATTATTTTCAATATATCTACAAAGCAAAAAAGCATCATGTTCCATAGGTTTAGTAATATAAACATTGCCATAACGTAAAGAATTGCTATATTTTCGTAAATTTGAAAGCCTCAAAAAATTGCGAAAAATGTTTTGAGATATTTGGGAGGCCTAAGAAAATTTTTAAAAAAATTTTTGAAAATTTAAAAAAAAACCTTGGGTCTATTTAGGCTAGGGGAAGCTGTTGAAGTAAAATTGGTAATATTATTTGTTGAAGAGAAATGGGGATTTTCTTCTTCAATTTCATCAATATTCCAGCCAAGAGGGCCTCGTTGGGGAAACTGTAAAAATTGGAAAAATTTAAAAAAATTGAAAAAATCTTCTGAAAAATTAAAAAAAAATTCTCAAAAATTTTTTAAATTTTTCAGGCAAACCTTTCCTCTGCTCAAATCTTTTTGGCCAATTTCCTCTCCATAATACAACAACGGCGTTCCAGGCAAAATCAAAATTAAATGAATTAAAATTTCTGCAATTATTCGACTGCCAACTCTGGAAGCTAAACGTGGAGTAAAGGCATTTCCAAAATTCCAAACAGGCCAGACCTTTTTAAATTTTATTTTTAATTTAAAATCAGAAAATTCTGATTAAATTTTAAAAAATTCTGACTTTAAAAATCAGAATTTCTGAGAAAAATTCTGATTTAAAAAATCAGAACAAATTCTGAAAAAAATCTGATTTAGAAACAAATCAGAATAAGTTCTGAAAAAAATTCTGATTTGGAAAATCAGAATAAATTATGAAAAAAATTCTGATTTAAAAATCAGAGTAAGTTCTGAAAAAAATTCTGATTTAAAAATCAGAATAAATCTTGAAAAAAATTCTGATTTATGAAAAATCAGAATGAATTCTGAAAACAAATTCTGATTTAAAAAAATCAGAATAAATTCTGATTTAAAAAAATCAGAATAAATTCTGATCTCAAAAATAAATCAGAATAAATTTTTTAAAAAATTCTAAATTTTTTTCACACCTTTACTCGATCTTCATCCTTTTCCACTAAACCAGTAGCACTTCTTTCTTCATCATTTTTATGAAAAATTAATAAATCTGCTATAATTTCATTAGCACATTCCCCAATATTATTTCCCTTATTTTTTGATGAACAAATTAAATTTCCAGAAGCTAAACTTTGTAATTCTGTATTTACAATTAAATTAAGCGAAGCATGTTCTATTAATAACCGTTTTGAAGCTTCTGATAAATGGGCGTGGGAAGCAAAAAGAAAGCTTTAAAATTAATTATTCTGATTATGTGTTTTCTTGTGTTTTGATTTTTTTGTGTTTTTTTAAGTTTCTGATTTGTGTAATTCTGATTTTGTGTTTTTAATTAATTCTGGTTTTTGTATTTTGGTTAATTCTGGTTTTGTTTATGTGTTTTTAATAATTTCTGAGTGTGTTTTTGTTTTAATTCTGATTTTTAATAAAATTCTGATTGTGTTTTTTTTGTATTTTTAATTTCTGGTTGTGTTCTTATCTTTAATTTCTGATTTTTAAAAATTACCGATGTATTTTGTTTAAATTCTGATTTTGTGTTTTTAATTTTTGATTGTGTTTCAGGTATATTTAATTCTGATTTTATATTTATTCAAATATTCTGATTTTATATGTTTAATAATGTATTTTTAATTATTCAATTCTCTTCTGATTTCTTGTATTTTTAAAAATATTCTGATTTTATATTTTAAAAAATTTACATTTTTTCTCTAGCACTTCCTCCTCCTCTTTCATCATCTAAAAATATTCTTAATGAACGCAATATTTTTGCAATTTTTTCCCAATTTGGATCCTTTCCATCTTCACTTCTATGTAAATAGTCTATTGAGGAAAAATGAAATCCATCAATTCCTTTATTAATCCAAAAGCTTAAAGCTGCCTGAAATATAATATTTTTTTCAGAATTCATCAGAAATTCTGGTATTTTTCAGATATTCTGATTTTTATGTATTTCTGTATTTTTCTGATTTTGTTTTATTTTCTTAATTTTTTGTATAGTTTTGTAGTAATTTTCAGACATTAAATTTTAATCAGAAATTTTTTTGAATATTCTGAACTTATTTTTTTTCTTAGAAATTCTGGGGTTTGTATATTGTATTTTTCTGCATTTTTGTTTGAGTTCTCATGTGTCTTTTTGTGTTTCTGTTTTTTTCTGATTTTTGTTTCTGATTTCTTCTGACTGTATTTTTTATATTTTCCCTCAAGATTCTCCCCTATTTTTCAGAATTAAAATAAAAAAAATTAAAAAGAAAACCTTAATTGTATCAGAAACATTTTTATTTGTCCAATGTAAAACAGGCAAATCTGGACGGTCTTTAACATGGAAATATTTTAGTGTAGAACCACAATATTCTGAAATAAATTCTGAATTTGGTATTCCCCTTCTCCAAATAAAAAAATCAGCAAAATGAGCATCTTCCGGATGGGCTGAAGCTAAAGCACTTTTGTCAAACCAAGGATTTGAAATTGAAGTTAGGACAAGGGGAAAATCGATGAGGACACGAATTCCTGTTTTGAAAATGTGGATTTGTTTTCTTTGAATTTTGTGTGTGTTTATTTTTGATGAGGTTTTGTGTGTGCTCAAGTTAGAAATTGAGTTTTTTTTTTAAAAGTATGGATCTATGCTCCATTTATCTGAACCCGATCCTAGGTCTGTAATTCAGGAAAAACCATGGAGGCGAGGAAGGGGCCTTAGGCAAAAGAACCTACTTGATCCTATTTTTTATGAGACTTTTTGAGCCCTACGAAATTGATTTTTTATTTGAACCGGATCCTAGGCCTATAGCCCATTTTTAGTTTCTATTAAATAAAATTTTAAAAAAAAAATAAAAAAAATTTTCAAAAAAACCTTTTTTATGTGCCTTTATTATTAATTCATTAAATTGTTCAAAATTTCCAATTTTACTTGCCAATTTATTATATTCAATAACACCCAATCCACTCTTTTCAACACGCATTATTGGACGTAAAAATATTGCTCCAACACCCAAACGTCGTAAATAATCCAATTTTTGAATTATTCCAATTAAATCACCAATTTTGTCAGAATTTGAATCGGAGAAGGAAAGTGTCCAAATCTTTAAATTTTTTAATTAATAAATTTTTTCTTCTAAAAAAGCTTTAAAAAAACCTCATATATCATTGAATCTTTCCACCACTCTCTCGTTGTAAATTCACATTTTGGGTGAGAAAAGGTTATCAAAATGGCAATTAAAAGAGAGAAAATCCAGCCAAACCAAAATATTGAATAGAAAAAGCACCTAGAAAAATTTTGAAAAAAAATGTCCGCAAAAAATTTTTTGCGGATAAAAAAAATTTGTCCGCAAATTTTTTGCGGACATTGACCTACACACTAATTTTTAAAAAAAACCTTTTAATCCTCCATTTTGGATCATATCTACATTCATTTATTTCATCAATACTTAAAGGCCCTCGTCTTCTTGCTTTAGGAATAAATAATAACTTCCTTCCATCTTCACCAGCCAACGGATCAAAACATATTGGAATAGAATTATTTTCTATAGCAAAAATATAACTATCAGATTTTGTCGTAGAAATTCCTCCATCTTTCATTTTGTTGAATTTAAAGAAAACATTGTTGTCTTGGTTGTTCCTTGAACATTTAAAAAATTTTTTGGAAAATTTACTGAAAAATTTTTTGACAAAATTGAACGGGAATGTTTGAGACTCTAATGTACTCTTATGCTTATTTTAGATTTTTAATTGTAGCGATATTAGAGAAAGAGAATATTGCTCTTTAACAATAACTCATTGGGGGGATTTTGTTCTCTGACAGAATTTTTTCTCTAATTCTATTACATAGGTACCTATACACACTTTGCCGATTCCACATTTTGCCAATAAGGCTAAAAATCCGCGTTTTGTCAATAAGCTTATTGGCAAAACGTGGATATTTAGCCTTCTTGGCAAAATGTGGAATGGCAAAGTGTCTGAACACGGTTCAACATAAAATCTAAAATCAGCAAATTAGCAGTATATTAGAGTCTTGGATTTTTCATTGATTTTCTAGGGAATTTTGTGTACATTTTTAAAAAAATAATGATAATTCGATTCAAAAAAAATTTTTTTCTTTCCAATGTTTAACAATCATTTTTTTACATTTTCAGATTTCCATATCTCTTCAAACAACTCTAAAATAAATTTAAATAAAAATGAGTTCAATTGGTACTGGTTATGATTTAGCTGCGTCTACATTTTCACCTGATGGACGTATTTTTCAAGTAGAATATGCAGCTAAAGCTGTTGAATCAAGTGTGACTGTTATTGCTTTAAGTAGTAAAAAGGGTGTTGTTGTTGCTGTTGATCAACCAATTCCTTCAAAACTTGATATTGAGGTTTTTTGATTTTTTTTAACGGTTTGATTTGGGGATTGATTCAACCCAGTAACGATTTGCTTTAGGCCCATAACTGGTCGAAAAGTTGATGTTTGAGAAAAAAGTCCGGAACAGGGGTTTGGGTAACCTGACCCATCTCTGGTTAATGAAAAAGGGGAGATCCATCCGGCTAAGTAATTACCAGGTCGAAAAGTCGATACCTACCCGAGGGCTACACTAAAAGAGAAGGTTCTTGATGCTTTTTCCTATTAAATTTTTTTCTTGTGGTCTTCTCATAAATCAGCATTTTCCTGGGACATGTGAATGTTCAAAACCTTGGGGTTAAACTTTTAACTAGAAAATTTTATCTAGTCATATTTATTTTTTAAATTTTTTTTAAATTTAAGGGAGCAAATAGCCGTATAATGCGAATTAATAATAAAATTGGATTTGTTGGTTCTGGACTTTTTCCTGATGTTTTTGCTTTGTGTGATTATGCTAGGGATGAATCACGCAAATATTATAAAGAATTTGATAGACCTTTGACTGTTAAAAAACTTGCTGGAAAGGTTTCTTTGTGTTAATTTTTGGGAAGAAAATTGATTTTTCAAAAAAGGTTGCCGAGCATGTTCATATTTACACGTTGGGAATATCTCGTCCTTTTGGAGCTTCTACTTTTATACTTTCTTGGGATGAAAAGGTTGTTACATTTTTTTATTTTTAAAAATAATGTTTGGCTCCATCCCTAAACTCCGATTTTTTAACTAAATCTCCGACCCTTTCTAGCTCGACCTTTTTTGGCTAGTATAATTTTTTGTGAACCTCAAGGTGGTCTGGATCCAATCCTATCGATTCTCCTAAATCTGTCCGTTCCCTTTGACATTATTCTTCTGTTTTGGAGGTGAGTTTGTAACCGACAGCGATTGATCTGTGTCCGTTATTTTGCTTATCGATTTATCTTGGGGTGTTGAAAGTAAACTTAAAAATTAAAAAAGGTTGTTACATTTTTTTATTTTTAAAAATAAAGGTAGGCTCTTCAATTTATTGTATTGAGTCGTCTGGCCAGTGCTACAAATATTTTGGATGGGCTATTGGGTTTTGTTTATTTTTTTAGATTTTTTTTTAATTTTTTTAATAAAGAAAAAATGCTCAAGCAGCAAAAACAGAAATTGAAAAAGTTCAAGAAATTGATGGCCAGTCAAATTTGAGTAAAGAAGAATTAATTAAACGTGCTATACACGTTTTATTAACAACTAGAGAAGAGGGAACGACTGGACATCGAATTGAAATGGGTTGGATTGGTGAAGATTCCAATGAAGTTTTTGAGGTTTTTTTCTTTTTTTGATTGATAAATTTCCTCGGCCGCTAATGGGTATCGAACCTTGGTCCCTGAAAGAGGCTTAATCTCACATGTATCCCACTTAACCAAGGGATACAAAATTTTTGTTGTTTGCTCGTCTTCTCCATTTAAGACCCGAAAGAGTAGAATATTTTTTTTTTAAATGCCCATGACCAGCAATTGGTATCGAACCTTGCCCCAAAAAGTTGGATGTTTTAACCACTTAACCAAAAGGTACAAAAAATTTCTTTAGGTGTGCTACCCCCGAAAAAGTGTTTTTTATACCATAGGGAAAATTTTTATTTTTCTAAAGATCAGAAAAAAATTTATCTTTAAGGGAATTAATCAATCTGAAGTTGACAAATTGGAGGAAGAAGTTAGTCAACAAATGGAGGATGAGGAGGATTAAACTAAAAAAATCCTTTATGATGTTTGGAAGGAGGAATCTTGTGGTTGGGAAGGAATCTTTTGTTGACCAATATAATTAATATATTTTTTTCTACTACCTACTATTTTATATATTTGAGAAAAAACTAAAAGGTTTTCTTTAAAAAAATTTTTTGGTTAAAAGTGCGGTCTTTGAGGAAGGCTTATGTTAGTTAGGTAGGATGTTGGTAGGTTCAATTTCTGCTTACAGATGGGTCTTGTTACCAAAAATCTTTTTAGAAAAGGTTTTAATTTTTTAACTTAACCTTAAAAAAATTTTTTTCTAGTTTGACCCGAGTCCCTATCAGAAGAGATTTTGAAGACCCGACTTTTTTCTCACCCAGGCCCACCTCTGGTTCCTATTTTTTGCTTTTAATTAATTACAGAATGGGATTCTATAAAAACATTCTTTAATTATTTCAACAATTTATTCTCCTAAAAATTATTATTTTAGAAACAAATTTTAAAAAAGTGAATGTAACCACAAATGCAAGGCTTTTAAAAAACAAAAAAAAATTTGGGAGATATAGTGGTATAACATTTTTTGGTTTAGAGAGATTATTAAGGCAAATAAAAATACATAAATAAATATAGATATTTAAAGGGACATAAAAATAAATTAAAAATGCAGCTGCAAATAAAAAATAACCCTCATGAATAGAATTTTGATATATAATTGATTTTTTTGCATTAAGGAAATTTTTTGGAAATTATTTTTTGAGATTTTTTTGGATTTTTCTGAATTTTTAGAAAAATTTTTGGAATTTTTGAAAAAAATTTTTTTAACCCCCCTTTGAAATTTTTTCGAAAATTTTGATCCCCCTCGAAAAAAATTTTCAAAAAAATTTTTGGACCCTCTTAGAAAAAATTTTCAAACCCTTTAGACCCCCTTTAAATTTTTTTCAAAAAATTTTTGGACCCCCTTAGAAAAAATTTCCAGAAAAAATTTTTTAGACCCCCTTGATTAATTAAAAAAATATCACAAAAACTTGAGACATTGTTTTGGTACTGGATCATGTATCCGTTTACAGAGATTCTCTTCTAAAGCATAAAATGCATCATTTTCCCTTTGACCATCCAAAACAACCCATGGAACAAAATTAAAAGAATCACCGATAGAAATTGTTTTGTTTCCAGCGAGAGCGTGAAGGCGGCGGCCAAGTTTGCCTATAGAACAAGTCCATAATCTGAAAATTTGAAAATCAGAAAAGATCAGAATTTTGTTTTAAGAGACCAGAATTTATGAAAATCAGAATTTCTTTATTCTGGTTTTAGGAGATAAGAATTTTAATATTCTGATATTTAAAAATCAGAATTTTGGAAATCAGAATTTATGAAAATCAGAATTTTTGTATTCTGGTTCTGAAAAATTGGAAATAAGAAAAGAGCAGAATTTCTTTATTCTGATTTTAAAGGACCAGAATTTTTGTAAATCAGAACCTATGAAAATCAGAATTTATGAAAATCAGAATTTTTATAAGTCAGAATTTTTGTAAATCAGAATTTTTGGAAGTCAGAATTTTGTGTATTCTGATTTTGAGAAAACAGAATTTTTTTAAATTTCAGAATTTTTAACACAAGAAAACCTCCTTACAAATCAGAAGAAGAATGCCCATTTAAACAACTTCTAAAAGCTGCAATTAAATTGTCTTTGCCTTGAACACATCCAATTAAAGGAATATGGCTTTCTGGATCTGGTAAATGTTCTATTGCACAATTCATTAACTGATTCAATTCGCATTCATCTTTTCCGTGTTGGCAGTCACATCTGGAAAAATGAGAAGAATTTTTGACAAGAAATATGGGTATTTTAAAAATTAATTTTTAATAGCTATAAAAAACGGCTTCGACCACCAATGGGTATCGAACCTTGTCCCTAAGGAGACGCAAAACCCAGGCGTTTTAGCCACTTAACCAAAGGAGCATAAAATTTTTTGGGTGTGCTACGAGGTCGGCCCCTCTAAAAAGCATTTTTAAATAATAAAAAATGTCTTCGACCACCAATGGGTATCGAACCTTGGTCCCTGAAAAGATGTAAAAGTCGTAATTTTTAACCACTTAACCAAAAAGGCAAAAAAATTTTTTTTTGGGTGTTCTATGATGTAGAATCGATTCCCGGGATCCTATAGATCAGAAAAATTTTCAGAATAAAAAGTCAGAATTAATTTTAAATTTCAGAAAAAAATAAACTTGTAATCATCCTCTTCAGCTACACAACTAGCTTTTCCAAAAGGCACAAGAGTTACGTTTAATCTTCGTGTAGAACTCAGCCTCGACCAGGAAGGCAATAATTGGCGTCTGATAAAACCTGAAAAAGGTTTGGTTTAATTTTTATTTTTTTAAATTTTTTAATTTAAAAAACCCGTTGTGTCTGGACATTGTGCTTCCATATAAATTGTTACTTGAACAACATTTGCCTTTTTTGGTGGAGGTACAGCAACAGGCATTAATGGAGGTGGAGGTTGATTTTCTGGTTCTTCTTTAAAGGTCTGAAAAAATTTTTTTTTTAATTTTTAAATCTTTTTCTGGAAAGAATTTTTCTGGAAATATTTTTTTGAAAGTTTTTATAAAAAAATTACCCAGAAAAATTTTTAAAAAATTTTTGGTGTTTTAAAATTCTGATTTTTGTGTATTAAAAAATAAAATTAGCAACCAATTTAAATCCAACCGTTTCCAAAGAATTAATAAAAATATTAGAATTTTGATGAAAAATTAATAATAATTTGAATATTATATTTACAAAATCTCTGACAAACATAATAAAAAAAGGGGGCGCCGCAATCAACAGCAAACGCTTCTTTTTTTTCTCTTTCAATTTTTTTTTCGTCAATTTTCCGGACCAATTATTTTTTATTTAAATTGTGGGGAGAAGAAAATGAGAGAGAGATTTTTTAAAGAGATAAGGGTATTTAAAAATAAATAAAAAAAAAATTTTTTTGGTGGATATTTTTTGGATTTGTGGGGCTCTTATTTTAAAGTAAATTAAATAAAAGGAGGATGAGCCCACCCGTTTAAAAAAAAAATAAAAAATTATATAATGATGCAAAAGAAAATTAATTATATTAAAGAAAATTTTTTTCGTGTCAAAGAGTGAGTGATTGATGGATCAAGTTCATCATTTGGACGACAGAAAAATAAAAACACTAAAAATACTAGTGTTTTGACACTAAAAAAACTAAATTAATTGACACTAAAAAAATTGATTTTTGCAGAAAAATAGAGGGAAAATAAATTTTTCTAAAAATAAATTGTGTATTGTTGTTGTTTACGGATAATTAACAACACAATACACAAAAAATTAATACACTAATTTGTAAAAAAATAATAAAGGGGAAGGGGGTACAAAAATTGGCCAAAAAAATTTTTCTCTGGAAAAAACAAAAAATTTCTAACAGTTAAGCAAACAAATAAATAAAAATTTAAATTTCCACGTCGTTATATTTTTTGTGTTTTTTGGTGGTAATGGGTGCAATAAAAAAAGAGCCACAAAAATTATTCACATCTCATAAAAATAAATTCTTTCCCCTACCAAGAAATTTTATTTATGATTTCTCTCTTTTATTTAAAATAAATTGATTTGGCCGAATTTTTGGGCCAATTCAGAATTTATATTTAAAAAATTATTCCAGAAAAAAATTTTTTTTATAAAAAATATTCCAAAAAAATATTTTTTAATTGTGGGGGAGGCAAAAAAGATGACTAACCCCAATAAAAATTTTTTTAAAAAATACACAAAAATCAGAATTTTTTTAATTTAAAAAATTTAAAAAAAATAAAAACAATAACCTTACCATTTGATTATTTCCGTCCTCTTCAAATTTTGAATGTTGCCTGAATTTTTTAAAAATTGGTGGTGGCAGTAGTCGTTGTCTATGAGGCATTTCAACAACATTTTCAGTTAAAGAATTCCACCAAATTAAAAATAAAAAAGCCAAAATAAATAATAACAAATAAAATAGTGGCCTTGAAATTTTATTTTGATGGCGATAATAATGACGTAAGTGCATTTTAAATTTAATTTTATTAAATTATTAAGAGGATGTGTTGTTCAAAAATTAAAATTTTTTTTTATTTACATGCTTAAAAAGCTGAAAAAAATATTATTTTAAAAATTATACACAAGAGTTCGCGATCTTAGATACACCCTCCCCCTTAATAATACACATTCTCTCGATTTTAAATACCTACGGGGTTTTTTTTGAAGTGTTTTTGAACTACTAGAAAAGCCGTATCAAAATTTCGATTTCTGAAGATCTAAGCTTGTCGAAGGCTTTTTTTGATACCTTCCAAGATTTTGGGTACACCTTAAATTTACACAAACACACATTTTCCCAGTCTTGGTAATGAATGTGGATACAGATAATTTCAAAATGCCTGTGGATACCCATATCCATGACCCAATGGACATGAGTCCATTACCAAGTCTGCTTTTTCCGTTTATTTTGTGTTCTGTAAAATCGAGACATTCTCACTGTCTATTAAAAAAAAAAGAAAATTAAGCACAGGAAACGAAAAAAAATAATAATTTTTTCATGTTTGTATTTATTCTTTATACAATTCCCAAAAATAATTTAATATAAGAAGCTTTTTAAATAACACAAACATGTACCTATTCACAAATTGGCTAGAAGACGGAAAAACTAGTCCTATAAAAATAAATAAATTTGTAAGGAAGGAAAGAATGGGGGATGTTTTTTAAAATAATATTAAGTATTAAATTGAAAATCGATATAGTGAAATAAATGTTTAAAAATCAAGGGGGGAATCAAAGGGGGAAATCATATAGAACAGGCCCATTTAGGCGCGCGCCCATAGCGGCGCAGAACCATAACTAGCTTCAAGATTTCCGATTCTTTCCAAATTTGGTATTAAACGATTCCTCTCATCGAGCTAAAGAGATTGGTACCAAAATTGATAAGGGCCAGAAAATTTCCATCAGGTTATGGCTTTGCGCCGTTATGGCCGCGCGCCTATTTGGGCATGTCCCGGAAAATCATACAGGACATGCCCATAACGGCGCAAAGCCATAACTAGCAGTAAAATTTCTGGCCCTTATCAATTTTGGTACCAATCTCTTTGCCTCGATGAGAGAAGTCGTTTGATACTAAATTTGGAAAGATTCGGAAATCTTGAAGCAAGTTATGGCTCTGCGCCGTTATGGCCGCGCGCCTAATTGGGGTGTCCAGGGAAAATGATATAACTCTCTAATAATCGTTAGCGCGCATTTTATAAAATAGTGTTAAATGAAAAAAATATTATTTAGAAAAATGATTAATGAGAAAAATTAAATTAAAATGATTAATTAATTTTTAGAATTTTAAAAAGGGAAAAGAGAAATTAAAAAGAAAAAATTTTATCAATAAAAAGGGAAAACATAGTAGAAAAGGGGAGAAAAGTCTGCGCAAGAGAGAAAGAAACCAACAAATACAATTTAAAAGCTTAGAAAGGGAAGGGGGATATATAAAATCCGTGGCTTTAATCCTTTCCGGTTAATTATATTTTTCAATTGATGGTTTGGCGAAATGTTTATTTTTAAAAGACAGAAAATCCTAAAATGACATTTGATCCCAAAATTTTTTTTTGAAAATTTTTTTCGATTTTTCTAAATTTTTTTTGGTTTCTTTAGAATTTCGGAAGCCCTAATTAATTTTTTTTTAATTTAGGAATGTGATTGACACCTTTGCAAAGGTGTATAAAAGCCTCACCATAATTTTCCATTTAACACACACCAAGAAAAGAAGTTCATCATGCCATTCCTTTTAGTTATTGGTGCATCGATTATTGTTCAATCTATTCCATTCTTTCTTCTGCTTGTTCCTAGTGTGTTAACAAAGTGTTGCAAGCGAAAAAAGGTGAGTTTTAGAGATTATGTAGGGACAAAAAACTGTCCGGACAAAATACCGTTCGCAGAGAGAGGCATAAGAATCATTTTTAGGCATAAGATTCATGGTACTAACCAAGATCTAATAGCCGCAGAGTCTGCAAAAATTGACCTTTGATCAGCAAAAATCAAGGTCTTGATTGAGATCCAGGCAGATTTCTAGTCCAAACGGTATTTTGTTTGGATGGTGTTTTGCCCCTTGCCCCGTTAAATATTTTTTTTAAATAAAAAATTTTTTTAAGAGATTTAATGGCCACAGCCATTCAACAACAATTTCTTCAACAACCGACGAACATCCAAATGGATCAGATTCTACTCCTATAGAAAAAGTAGGAAAAGTTTCAACGTCAAAGTCGCCAAAAAATGTGAACAACAAGAAGGGTCTTGTGGAAGTTAAGAATCAGTCAAAGAAGACCGCAAAATCTGGCCAGGCCAATAGGAATGAAGAAAAACCTTTAAAAATTACACAAATCAAAATTCAACCAAAAAAGAAGAAAGTTAAAGAGCCAACACCTCCTTCAGTAAAATTAACGTTTGTTTATATTTAATTTTTTGGTAATTTTTTTTGGAATAAAGGGTAGGACTTTAACTGGTCCAAAGAAATATAGGACATTTTTGAGGTATTTCCGATACTTTTTTGGAATTTTCCAGTCAAATTTTTGTTTCAAATCCAAACCCGGATCGATCAAATCGAATTCCAAATTCGACTATGTCGAAGCATAGACGATTACCTAAGGGCAAATCTAGAAAATATTAAGAAAGCACTCCATTCTCATTTTTTCTTTAGACCAGTAAAAATCAAAAATCAAGGTTTTTTTAATTCCCAATCCCTAGAAATAATGATGATTAAGTGTTTTTTCGATTTTTGAGGGTTACCAATAGGTAGCCGATTGTGCTCTGAAGAGTCTTTTTCGGATTAGTCCTAAAATTATACCTGGATCATTGCCTTGATTTTTTGGTTTGAAGGTCCTGGGTTCTCAAATTTAGTTAGGGACAAGTTAAGGCCAATCTTTCCCTTTTTATGGGTTTTTTAAAATATTTTCCCTTAAATTTTTAGTGCTAACAAGCCATTAATTCAACAACGTATAATCGCTCTTAATACTTCTGGTTCAAGAATAACTCCAGTCTCTTCAAGTTCTTCCTCTGGCTCAAAATCAAACAAATCACTTAAACCTAGCTTGATTAAACTTAAAGAACAGAGACGTGAAAAGTTTGCTTCAATTATGGAAGTGGATGAAGATTGGGAAGTATCCAAGGATGCAAAGGTTTTTTAATACAGTTAGACCTCATTTAAGATACCTCGAAAACTGGGTACCCGATGTAAGTATAGGTTCGGAATTTGATTGGTCACTAGTTATCAGAGGCCTAAAAATCCGAGAATCCTAACAAATCCCTCTATCTTTCCACAACTCCTTTTAACTCATAATATCCCTATTTATCCCCTGATATTTCTCTTAATCCCCTAAACTGACTCGTTACGAAACTCGTGCTTTTGTCGATCCAGAACTCGATCCGAAGAGTATTTTGAAACCCCTTCCGAATTGACTCCCTTTTCTCCCTGTTGGCCACTGGGATGGGAATAGCTGTTGACCAAACGCAGACCTATTTAAGAGGACCTAAAGGCGGTGTATAAAGTGGGGTTCGACCAATCTTCAATAAAAATTTTTTAAGCCTCATTGTCTCGCATCGGCTGCTTCTCATCTTGGCAATCAACAATCATATCCAAATTTGTGGAAGCCGGTACATCATGAAAGTTATAGGGCAATGCAACATTAAAAAGGATTAAATAAAGTATATTTTATTGTATAAATAAAAATATTTGTTGTGATTTTTCACAATTTAATTGGTTTTTAATCTAATAAAGAGCTTAAAGAAGAATTTTTTTAAATTAGTAATGTTGATTTTTTCATTTGAAATATTTTTTTAAATTAATTTTGTAAGGAATTGAGAGGATCTTTTTTCAAGAGAAAGACCCAAAAGCCCTTGAAATACCAAACTGTTGTTCCAATTAGATATGGGGGAACTCCAAATTTTTTTCTGAACCAAACGCAACGAAAATTTAAAAATTTCGCTAACGAAACGAAGCATTCGAAATTTAACAGAACTAAGCATCTCGCCCGTGTTTATGTTAGTATCAGGCCCGTAACTAGGATTTTTTTTCGGGGGGGGGGGGGAAATTTTATTGCGCCAAATTTTTGGCACCGAAGGCGCCAAAAATTTTTATTTTTAGCGCCGCAGGCGAAAATTTTTTTAATTTTAGAAGGCCGTAGGCCAAAAAATTCACTTTTTCGGCGCCGCAGGCGCCAAAAATTTGATTTTCAGCGCCGCAGGCGAAAATTTTTTGAATTTTGGACCTCAAGAAGCCAGATTTCGTCCTTTTTTAGCGCCGCAGGCGAAAATTTTGAAAATTTCGAAGGCCGTAGGCCAAAAAAATTCACTTTTTTGCCCCAGCCCTTCCCCAAATTTTTTCCTTTTTCCCATTTCGGGGGGGGGGAATTCCCCCCCTCACCCCCCCCCTGGTTACGGGCCTGGTTAGTATTTTAAGCTTTTGGTATTATAAGATGTACCGAATCATTTTATAATGGGTATTGTAGGATTTGACTGTTTTTTTTAATTTAATCTTTTTTTAGAAAATGAATTCTTCCAAAATTTTAAATTTAAAAAATGAGGAAGAAGAAGAAGACCTAGAGGAGGATGAAGATATTGAAGAAGAAGATGAGGATGAAGAGGAAGAATGGTCATTAAATGATGAAAAAGATTTTTTGAGAACTTTGGGTGCATTAAAATCTCGTGATCCTGAAATTTATCAAACTGAAGTTAAATTTTTTAAAGAGAAGGATAAAGATGAACAGGAGAAGATAAAGAGGTTTTTTAATATTTAAAAAATAATAAACTCTTGGCTTGACATTTTTATTGAGATTTTAAGCAAGATTTTTTAATTGCTATGGGGTAGTCCGCAAATTAAAAATTGTGTTGGTTAATTTTTTCTGATTTTGGAATTTTAATTTCTCACGAGTACCTGAAAAATTTACATATTTTTTAATCGTATTTCTAAAAAATCTAAATTTTTATGGACTTTATTGACATAACGTAGGGGGTGTAGGGTTCGAATCCGCTCAGTGCCCAAGTATTTTTTTGATTTTCCCAATTATTTTTTTAAATTTCCAGTAGTGAATCATCCAAAAATAATTCAACAAAAAATTTACAACAATCAAAAATGACTTTAAAAGAATATGAACAAAAATTAATTATTGAAAGAGGAGGTAAATTAAGTGAAGATGAGGAGGAAGAGGAAGAAGAAAATGGAGAAATTTATAAGGAGGAATTAACTGATGGACTGAATAAAAATGATTGGGAATTGAAAAATGCGTATGATTTTTAATTTTTTTTGATTAAAAATATTTTTTTCTGTTAGATTTAAGAAGGCTTTAATTTCTGATGATGAAAGTGACGATGATGGAAATTTGTTAAAAAAGAGAATAAAAACTGAGGAAGAAAAGGTTTTATTTTTATTAAATTTTGTTTTTTTGTATTTTTGGCCTTCTCTTTAAAAATTAAAATATCAATCCGTTCGATTTTTTAAATAAAAAAAATAGTTGAGGTCAACCTAGATAGACTTTAGCTGCTTTTCTTTGTATAAAGTGTAAGAATTTAAATCGAAGATACTGCTCGTCTTTGGTACTCTTCCGACCTTTTGAAAGGTCAACCTTTTTTCAGAGTATAACACGAAACGGGATACCGTCCCGGAGTTTTTGGTTTTAAGAAACGCGAGATTTCCTAGATTTACGGAATTAATCCCATTGGAGCTCGTTCCGTTCGACTTTTGGAAAAATTTTTTCGAGTTTGCCTTACCCTTTTTAAGTATTCAAAAGACTCATGAATAAATTTTTTTTCAAGGCAAAAGAAGATGAAGATTTTTATGAATGGATTAAAGGGTCAAATCAAATGGAAGTTGAAGATAAACATTTGGTATAATTTTTAATTTTTTGTCTAAAAAGTAATTTTTTTAGAAAAAATTAAAAGAAAGATGGACAAAAAATGACCAAGAATTGGGTGAAGATGAACGTTTTTTGAGAGATTTTTTATTAAATAAAAAATATTTGGGAGACTCGAAGGAAGAGGAAAAAGGAAAAGATGAGAGGTTTTTTGAATTATTTTTTGAATTAAAAAAAAAATTTTTTTTAAGAATTCCAACATATGAAGAAATTATTAAAGATGAACAAGAAGAAGATCTTGCTGACCAATTTGAACAAAAATATAATTTTAGATTTGAGGAACCTGATCAAGAATTTGTAAGAAAATTTTTTTTAATTTGATACTTGAAGGGTTTTAATTTTTTTGGAAATTTTTGGGGATTTTTTAAATAAAATTTGGCAAAATATGGGGTATCAGGTTCGAACCCGTTCGAGGCCGAAATATTTAATTTTTACTTGGTCACTGTTTTATTTTTTATAGAAAACGGGGAAATGATCAAATATTAAAAATACTATTTTTTATCCAACGTTTTTATGTTTTTATTTAAAAAATTTTTTTCTGAGCTACTTAGGGGGTGTCAGGTTCGAACCCGCTCGAGTCCGGATAATTTTTTTGACTATTTTTTAAATATTTCTATCAATTTAATTAATAGTTAAAACAATATCCACGTACAATAAATGAAGCATTAAGAAAAAAAGAATCAAAAAGACATAAAAAATTGGAAGAAGAAAAAGAAGCCAAAAAACGTAAAAGAACGCATATTGAAATGGTTGAAGTTCCTTTTCGTTATAGACAAGTTGCTCCAAATTCTTTTGGATTGAGTACTGATGAGGTTTTTTTAAATTACTTTTTTTAAATGTTTTCTAAGAATTAAAAAATTTCTTTTGATGGGTATCGAACCTTTATCTATTTGGCGTTGGAGGGCTGAACATGACCCACTACACCACACGAACTAGGGAAGGGTTTTCTTCAACTAGGGAAGGGTTTTCTTCAGATTTTTTCAACAAAATTTCTTCAAGATTTTCTCCAAAAAATTTTTCTTTGATGTTTTAAATGTTTTTTTAACAATTACAATTATTTTCTTTTGTTGGGTATCGAACCAGTGCCTATTTGAGGATTGTAGCCTAAACGTAACCCACTACACCACTATTACTAGGTGAAGAAAAATTTTCATAAAAAATTTTCCTAGCCTTTCTAATGACTAAAAAATTTTTTAAAATTTTTTCAAAGATTTTAAATTCTGATGATCGTTGTTTAAATGCATGGGCACCTCTCTCAAAAATTTGTCAATATCGCGATGATACTGAAGAACAAAGACAAATTTTATATTTTGAAAGGAAAGCTAAAAACATTGAAAAGAAGAGAAAAATTTTGGAAAAGAAATTGAAAAGGTTTTTGTTTTAATTTAAAGAAATTATATTTAAAAAATTAAATTTAGTGAAGAAAAATCTGAGGAAAAACAAGACGGGAAGGAAGAGGAGAAGATGGAAGAGAATGATGATGGGGAGGGTGAAGAAGAAGAGGAGTATCAACAAGATGAGGAGGATAAAGGGGAGGAATATCAGCAAGATGAAGAAGAGGATTATCAACAAAATGATGTTGAGGATCATTTTCTTGATGCTGAGGAAGAGGAAGAATCTTTTTCAAATATTCCGAGTACTTCAAATAATATTGCTGGAATTCAGTCAAAAACAACAATTAAAGGACAGTCTATTGGACAAGAAGAAATTAAAAAAGGTTTTTTAATTAAAAATTTTTAATTAAAAATAAATGTGTGTGAGATAGAGTTTAGGGAGGAAGGGTTTTTATTAAGTAATAAATCTTTTCGAGTTCAGTTTAGTTTAGACTAGCCTCCGGTTGGATATGTAATCTGTTATTTATTGCTAAATGCTGCTTCGCTTTCAGGTGTCTTATCAATTGAGCTACTCATGGTATGCTCTTGCTTATAGACCTTAAATCCACGTCTAATTGTTTTTTAAGCTGGGATCATTAGATGGGAAGGAAAAATTTAGAGAAAATTTTTAACAAATAAAATTTAACTTTTTTAGAACCTATGGAATTAAATCAAGAAAAAAATGTTGGAAAATTAAATGAAGAAGAACAACGAAGAAGCAAGAAAAGAAAATTCATGATAAAGAAGGAAAATAAAAAGAAGAACAAAAAACAATTTAATGTAACAGAATTAAATAAAGAAAGACTTAAAGCTTATGGAGTTGGAACTATAAAAAAATTAAAAAGTATTCAATTTTGTAAAAAGATGGACGAGAAAGAGATGAGGAAGAAGGAAAAAATTAAAGAAATGAAGATGGTGGGGGAAGAAAATGGAGAGGGAAGAAAAAAGAAGAAGAGGAAGAATAGAAGGAAGAGGAACAAGGAAGAGAAAAATAATGAAGGGAAGGGAGAAGGAAATTGAGGAGGAAAAAAACTAGATGAGACTTTGGAAGGATTTTTTAACAATTAAGGTTTGTTTGTTTTTGGCTTATTTCTGATGCTAGAGAGGAGGAAAAAAAGGTTAGTTTAACTTTTTAAATATCTTAAAAAAAATTTTTGGAAATTTTTTTGAAAATTTTTGGGAGCAAATTTAAAAACAAATTTTCCATTCAAATATATTTCAAAATCTCTCAATATTTTAGTTTTTGTTGTTATTTTTTGTCTTGTTATAGTTTTTATAAAAAGATTTCTAAAAACAAAATTTTCTAATAGTTTAATTTTTGAAATCGGCTACCTAACCTGTCAGATTTTTTAAGAAAAAAAACTCGTTAGCACTTTTCTTTTATTTTAAAAATGAGTTAATTTTTGTCAAAAAATAAATTAAAGAAAATAAATTAAAGCAAAACTTAATAAAAATACGTAGTATCAATCAATTTTTTCGTGATTTTTTTGGTTTCGGGTTTCCACCATATTTTTGTTCAAGATGAGCAAGAAAATCGTCCTTTAAAGAAAAAAATTTTTCAGACTTAAAAAATTTTAGTTTAAAAAAACCTGTTGTTTCTCCCTTTTCTTTTGATTAGCCAAAATTAAAGATCCCAAATCTCCTTTTCCTCCTCCATTTTCTTCTTCACCATCCTTACTTCCTCCAGCACTTCCCAAAGCACGCATTTCTTCAACAACTTTTTCTGCTCGCTTAGCTTCATATGCAGCTCTCTTCATTCGTCTAACACGTGAAATTGGTTTTTCATTTTTATATTTTGGAAGTGAAGGTAATTCTCCAAGTTCAATAAAATGACGAATAATTTCGCGGATTCCTTTAAAAGGGAAATTTTGAGGAGAAATTTTGAAAAATTAAATTTTAGTTCAGTTGAAATCTTGTTTTAAGATACCCCTAAAAATTGGGTTACCTCTATTTTTTGGTGTTTTTAAAATTTGGTTAGCCGTTGGGTGGCGATACCTCCCTTCCACCCCTTACTTTAAAATACTCGCATACGCTTTCTTAGCCCCAAGCAGGGATGTCACAGGTTGAGAAAAAGGTCAAGTCTGGTATCGGTTGGGTCTTCAGAATTTTCTTCGAGTTGGGCTCAAGTCTAAAAAACCGAGTTTCAGATTTCGAATAATTCGTGGCATCCCCGGTCCCAAAGGTCTAAAATGAGGTCTTTGACGACTGTATTTTAAAAAATTAATTAAAAAATTTACTAAACTGTCTTCATTCTGAACATCAGCTCCAATAACCGTTTCCAATATTTTGTCCATATCCCCTTTATATTTAACATAAGCATTTTTAACATCATTCATTTCTTGTTGAGATCCTCTAAATTTTTTTAAATATTCTTCTATATCTTCCTTTGTAACTTTTTTAAACATTCCACGCCAAACAGAAAACCAATCTTTGGAATTTTCTTCGTCATCGTCATCAAAGTCAAATTTTCCTTGAAAAAAAATTTTTTTTTTAAATGGTCGGACCTCACTATAAGATACCCGCAAGGAACACAGCTAGAATTCCTTAATTCAAGATACGTTTTTTTTAATTTAAAATTTGGGTGGATCATTAAGTGGAGATTCCTCGCACTTTTTCCCTCGCACTTCAAGGGACCTATCATTATAAGATACAATTTTAAGGGTATTACTTAAGTTAGGCCAAGGGGGAGTATGATGTCCAATAATTTTTCTATCCCAAAGGGGTTAAGCCCGGCTATTTTTATTGTCCCACGGATGAGAAGGGGAGTATGAGGTCTGACTAAAGTTTTATTTTTTTAAAAACCTGTTTCCATATAAACCGAACGCTTCTCAGAGTCACTCAAAATATTATACGCCTTGCTAAGTATTTGAAATTTTTTTGTAGCCACTTCTCTTTCTTCATCACTATAAATATCTGAAGCAGCAAAACGATCAGGATGCCAAAGAATTGATTGTTGATAATAAGCTTTCTTGACTAAAAATTTTTTTTTCTACAAGAGAAGGTTCGCTTTGAAGCTTACTTTTGGCTGAAGTTAAATTTGTAGTAGTCCTTTCCAAATTTAAAATAATGAAGAGATCTTTGGTACCAAATATACGTAGACAATCGTTAGAAAAAGTCATTCTTTTCTTAATTAAAATTTAAAAAATAGTGAAGCTAGATTTGATAATGCTTTAAAAAAGGTTATCTTAGAAACAAAAAATCAAAACAATAAAAAGAGGATTTGTAAGAGAAATTCAAAGCCAAGCGGGCTTGGAAAAATGCCCTCTCAAATACTTTTCATAATAAATTTATTTTAAAATTTATTTGGCATTATGTTTTTCTTAATATTGGTTAGAGTGAAAAAACAGAGAAATAGTACAGAATTTAGAGAAATATAATGTGCGAGAAAAGTTTTTTGTCTCTCCCATATTCTGCCAAAACATATTTTGCCAATAAGGGCAAAACTCGCGTTTTGTAGATAAATTTGTTGGCAAAACGTCGTTTTTGGCCTTATTGGCGAAATGTAGAATTGACGAAATATGGTAATATTGATCTTGGAAATTTTTAAAGAATTTTTTTATTTTTCGAGGTTTTTCTTTATTTTTCTTTTGAATTTTTAAATTTTTTTTTTAATTTTACAGAAAATTTTACCTATCTATTCTGACTTAATTTCTATTTTCTACAATGTATACACCAAGATTTCCCAAATCTGTCAAAGAAAATATTAAACCGCGCGGAGTTTTGGGTATTTTTTTACAAAATTTTTCAAATAAATTTTCTAAATTTTTTCAGTTCGTGAAATTAATTCTTTAAATAATGAATGGAGAGAAGCATCTTCTTCTAATGAAAGTCAAATTACTTCAATTTTAAAATTTCGTGACCAAGTGAAGCAAATTTCTAAAGAAGAATTGAAGAAACAACTTGATGATCGTTTTTATCGTTTGGTTAGTTTAAAAATTTTTTTTATGTCATCGGGCAATTTTTAGGTTATTACCTAGATTTTTTAGAGTTAAAACTGAATTTGGACAAAGGCTTGCATTTTTTGTTTCAAGGGTTTAGTTTCGGTTCTCAGAGTTCATTCCGACTGGGCCTGGTTATTAAACAGACAACCCCTACATGCTATGGATTAGAATTAAGCTACAATCTAAAGATATTTTAAAATAATTGCGGAATGAAAATTTTAGGTGAAATAGGAAAATAAGTTTCACGAATTATTCATTTTTAATTTTCATCAAAACAAAATTTTAGACCAAAGCCGATATCGTATTTGAAGATGATAAGATGGAGACATGAAAAAATGGAGATGGAGATGGAGATTTTTTTAATCTCAAGGAACTTGATGTCACTGGTTTTCTGTTTCGAACCGACAACCTTTATTCAATATGTAATTTAATTTTTTCCCTATATAAAATATTTGAATAAATTTTTTTTATATTTTCTCGCAAAGTTTTTGTTAAAACTTTGGATATTTTGTCTAATTTTTATTTGATTTTTTAGTTGAAATTTAATTTTTTTCTTTGAAAATAATGGATAATTTGCTTTCAAATCCTTCAACAATTATTGATGCAACAAATTCAATTAGTGGACAACAGGGAAGGACATTTTCTGAGCTGATTGGTTCAAATCCATTATTTACTGGAGGTGCTGGATTAGTTGGTGTTGGTATAATTCTTTCATATTTTCGAAGATTATCTTTAATTGGCAAAGAATTGTTGAAAAGAAAATTTATTTCAAGATTGGAATTGGATAATACTGACATGTTTGTTTTTTTAAAGTTTTTTGGGAACTGGGACACTCTTAGGGAATGTTAAAAATTCAACTGTGTGTAATTTTAAGATTTTTTGGACAGTTTAATATTTTTAAAAAGAGGCACAGGTCGCAGGCTTGATTTCCGTTGTTATTGATTTTTAGGGGACATTTTTAGAGGTTGAGGATAATCTCCGCAAAACTACCATTACCACGAGGTCACAGGTTCGATTCCTGTAGCTGACCAAACTGTTGCTTTGCATAACTCTTTCTGGTGGCAACTACCAGTAAACTGGCGACTCGATTCCTGTAACTCGCAGGCCTGCTTCTGTTAGGAGTAGGGTTGCCGTTTTCGAACCGGGCCGACGTTCGAGTTCTTTTTGGGGCTCATTTTTTTCGGACCGGACCGGTCGAATCTTTTTCAGGCCAAAAATCGAAGCCCGATTCGATCTTTCGAACCGAACCGGGCCGGCAACCCTAGTTAGGATTATTTTATTGTTAGTTAAAAATCCAGCTGACAGAGTCTAATTAAATAAATATTCTTTAAAAATTGTTTACTTAAAAATTTTTTATTTTTTTAAAGAGCCTTTCAATGGGTTTTGGATTATATAAACAAAAACAGCAAAAGACGTACAAGTATTTTAACAGTCAATACTTCCCAATTATCTGATGATTCTGGACGTTTAAAAACAAGTTTTATGTTTACTCCTGGAAGAGGAACACATTATTTATTTTTTAAAAATCGTTGGGTACAAGTTAATAGGGAAAGACAAAACCAAACGATAAAAAAAGATGGAATGACTAGAACAGCATTAGAAGTTGTTTCTTTAACTACTTTTGGTATTTTAATTTTTTTGACTTTTAATTTTCTCTTATTTCTGGGGTTAGTTTTCAGACCGTCGATCATTTTGATATGGACGGACCTCACTCTGTATTATAGACACAAGACAAGACTGGATAACCTATAGCCGTTAGTAGAGGGAATTATTTAAACGTTACCTACGCATATCGAGGGTTTGTGGACTGAAGCTTCCTCCTCGAAATGTGGCAAAGGGAAGAGGTGAAGGATGATCTAAAAAGTGAAAGTTTTTTCGGCTATGACCGTTCAAGTCCAAAAAATTGTCGGCTGCGGCACTGAATACAATTTCTCACATCCTAGTGGCCTTTTCGATAGCCTCTTGGATTTTTTTAAGTATTTTATTTAAGGTGGCAATCCAACATTTTGGAAAAGTTTTCTCGAAAATGCTGCTAAAGATGCCCTTTCTCAAGTATTTTTTAGCTATAATTTTTTTTATTTACTCAAATTTTTTTTCAAGTTGGAAACAGGACTTTGTGTTTATATTCCTCATGGAAATTCATGGCAACGTTTGGGTGCTCCAAGAAATAAAAGACCAATAGATTCGGTTATTTTGGATATTGGAGTGAAAGAAAGATTGCTTGATGATATTTCTAATTTTTTTACTTCACAGCAATGGTAATTTAAAATTTTTTAATAATTTTTAATTAAATAAAAATAAATATCCCTGGGCGGGTTCGAACCTCCGTCCCCTTTTTTTCCTATTTCTTTTGCATTTTTTATTTGGGTTGCTATTTTTCAAATTTAAATGTTTTCTGAGTTCTATGTTTAATAATTTAACAAATAAAAATAAATTCCACTAAGTGGACTCGAACCCGCACCCCCTTTTTCAGGGTGCTATACCACTTAACCAAAATGCCTAAATTTTTTATTTTTTTAATAAGCCAATGTTTTTTTTCAATATTTCCAGGTATATTGATCGTGGAATTCCTTATCGTCGGTATTTTTTAAATTTTTTCTTTTAATTTAATTTATTTTTCAAGTGGTTATCTTTTACATGGCCCACCAGGAACAGGCAAAAGTAGTTTCATTTCAGCTTTAGCAGCTCTATATGGACACAATATTTGTATGTTGAGTTTAAGTGATAGATTAATTGATGATGCAATGCTTAATCATTTAATGCATAATGCACCTTTAAATGTTAGTAAAACAAAAGGTTTTTTCTTTTGAATTTTTTTAGTTTTTATTTTAATTTTTTTGATGGGATTTTTATGGTTTAGTGTAAAAGAAACATTTTTTCAATTAGAAAGTGGTATCCATGAGGGTTGTTATTAGATTTCCCAGGAACCAGCAACCCACCGGTTTCGGTTATGGCCGATTTTCGGCCCCTCGTTTTCGGTTTAATTAATGTGTCGTGAACAAACCTGTACCCATATGATCAATTTGTCGCCAAGAAAAATAGGCGCAAATCATTTTCGGATACCGAAACTAAGGTTGGCAATCTCGAATATTTGGAACCGTAAAAAGTCAGGGTATTCAGAAATTTTCTGGTTTTGTTATCTGTTCCATGTGTCCGAAGATTTCCCAGGAACCCTCAACCCTAATTGACATGTTTTATATTTTCAGAGTTTTCTAGTCATTGAAGATGTTGACAGCGCATTTGGAGGACGTCATGATGGTGTAATTCAACATAATCCTGTTTATGATGGTCTTAGTCGTGTTACAATGTCTGGATTGTTAAATGCAGTTGATGGGGTTTTTGAATTTTTTTTGAAAATTTCTAAAATTTATTGTTTGAAGGTAGCTAGTGCAGAAGGCGGCAGAGTCCTTTTTATGACTACAAATCATGTGGAAAGGTTAGATGCTGCATTAATTAGGCCTGGACGTGTAGATGTTTCACAACATTTTGGAAATTGTACTCCTATTATGTTTGAACAGGTTATTTATTTTTTTTAAATTTCGGGTTGAAGGAATTTCATTGTTGGTGACGAAGGTGAGGCTTGTCTAAAAATTTTTGAGAGGAAGGATCTAACGGGTATCGAGTTGGGTTGGTACAAGGGGATTTGGCGGATTAAGAGTGGCATGAAGGGGGGGGGGGTCGTTTTGATGGGGAGAGGGGGGGGGGTAACATTGGTGTGCGCCAAAATTTTGGCGTTCCTGATCCAAATTTTTTGAACCTATATTTATAATTGTTTCAGCGCCACAGGCGGAAATTTTTTGACGCCCTTGGTGCCAACAGGATTTTTCTTTCTTTTGTTTCGGGTAACCCGTGATTCTGAAGCCATTAGCTCGCTGTATGTAGCCTTGGAGAGTTTATCGTTAAACTGGCTAGAAATATTTTTACATCTTGGAAATTAAAAAAAAATTTTTTTTAAAGATGTTTAAACGTTTCTTTGAAAATGTGCCAGATGTTCTTTGCTCAAAATTTCGGGATAAAATGCTTTCTATCGGGATTGAATGTTCACCAGCTACAATACAAGGACATTTACTTAATTTTAAAAAACAACCTGAATTGGCAATTGAAAATGTTGAGAAATTGAAAAGTTAGAATTTTTGGAAAAATTTGTTGAATTTTTTATAATTTATTGGTTAGGCTTTTTTTGTTTTTTTTTAGATTTTTATTTTTTTTTCCTAGGCAATTTACAAACATTTTTTTTAATAATTTTTTAATTTTAATTTAAAAAAAATTTCTATTTTTGAATAGATACTTTTAACTTTTAAAAATATGCATAACAGGGGATGACACGGGTTATCCGATACCTGAAACCCGGACTTTTTAACCCGACCCCTGATCCTAAGAAAATTTTAAAAACACCATTCGAACCTTGGCTCGACTTTTTTTCTCAACCGGTGACATCCCTATATGCATGGATAATTTTATTTTTCTTTTAATCATCATAGTTTTATTATTAAAATGACAAGTATAGTTCAATCAGCGCAACCTTTATCTGAAGTAAAAAAACTTAAAACATTCGATTTGGCAACAAATTTGGAAACTTCTATAATTGTTGGCAGTCAAAATACCAAAACTGATGATGAAGTTTACGATACTGCTTATCTTACAGAAAATGATGGTTTAATTGCTGTTGGTTCTAATACGGAAAATTTGTTAATATTAAATGTGAAGAATGGGAAGAGGAATTATGCAAAAGGTTTTTAAATTTTTGTTTGGAAATTTAATTTTTTGGGAAAACGGGACCTCTAGTTTCACAGTTCAAACTAGGATAGCGCCTTCGGGGGGAGGGGTATTGGGTTTAGCGTGGTAGAGCTTTTGGGTAGGGGCTTTTTGGCTAAAAATTTGTCTGGGGATGGGGTGCTACCCTTGTTTAAATGATACATGAAGCGCAGATTTGGCTCGAAACCCAATCGAGAAATCTTTTTCCCTCTCCAATTTTTTCTTTTCCTTCTCAATTCCCCTTTATTTTGCCAACAGTTTCTCAAAAAGGATTAATTTTTATTGTTTTGGGAGGAAGGGAGGAAATCTTGTACATTTATAAGGTGAAACCTAGGGAGAAAGGGAGCCCGTAAACGGTAAATTTACAAATTTTTTAATTAAAGGTCATTCACAAAGCATTTTATGTGTCGATTCCCCAATTTGGAGCAATTCTTTATTAGCCTCTGGTTCGAAGGATAATTCAATTATTATTTGGAATATTCAAAATGCTGAAAAAGAAGATTTAATGGAAGTGGATGATGAAGAAAATGAGGAGGGTGAAGAGAATGGTAAAAATAATATTTTGGTTAAACAAATGGCTATAGCTTCTGGACATACACATTCAGTTTCAAGGTTGTTATTTTTGTTGACCTTATGGGTGAGAATAGGGTTGTCAGTTTCTAATTGAACCGTACGGCTTAGGATTTTTCTGCTCTTTCGAGATATCCGAGGATTTTTCGAAAGAGGCAATCCTACTATAGAAAATAAATAGTCGGATAATGTTAGAAAATTATGTAAACATTACTGAATCAAAAACTTGTGATTGTGTAGCCGCTGCTTTGTTTTCTGGATGAGTACTTCTTAACAAGGATCACTTAAGTATTTTTTAAATTATCCGGTAGCCTATCTTGAATGCTTGGGGCTGATTTAGGTGTACGTTAGGGTTGTTTCTATTCTTTGAAGAAGTACTCTTCCTGACTTTGTAATTTTTTTAAACATACAAGAACGTGTCCTTTCCAATAATTTAGAGAACTAACATCCTTCAAGGCCCTTTCTAATTTTTCAAAAAAAAATTTTCAGTATTTCATTTTCCCATTCAAACAAGCCACCATTCCTTGTTAGTGTTTCTCATGATACTACACTAAAATTGTGGCCTCTTGTTGATTTAATGGTTAAACAAGAAAAATTGGAAGAAAATGAAGAAAATAAATTGTAAGAATTTTCTAAATATTTTTCAAAAAAACTTTTTTCTTCAAAAAAAGACTTAAACTTTCTGCTTCAACAACAATTGTTGCCCATACAAAAGATATAAATAGTGTTGATGTTAGCCAAAATGATAAACTTTGTGTTACTGCTTCAATGGATAAAACAGCAAAATTGTGGCATATAAATCTTAAAACTATGGAATTGGCAAATGCTGGAATATTGAGTGGACATAAACGAGGAGTTTGGTGTGCAAGATTTTCAAAAAATTTACAGGTTTATTTTTACTTTTTCTTGTTTGTCTGTAATTGGGAAAGTAGGTTAGATTTTTTGGTTTCTTGAATTCGGGCCTGGGTCGAGAAAAAAGTAAGATAGGGTCAGACGTGGGTTAAACGTTTCGTTTCATGTTTCCCTCTTCTTTTTTTTCTTTTAGGAGCGTAAGGAAAATTTCATTTTCTTCTTAACCTACAGCGTTTATTTTGTCCATGAAACGAAACGTTTTGCCCAGGTCTGGATAGGGTTTCGAATCTGGTTTCGACTTTTGGTCGAATTTTTGACCTTTTGCTGGTAGCTAAGGAAGCAATGAGGAAATTTATTGGAACACGTGGGTGTAGGATCGGGTAAAGAGACCAAGGGAGGAAAATTGTGAAGAAAATTTTTTCGGAGTTTTTTTAATTTTTGAGGATAGGTTTTTTTGAGGATGTTTGTCTATAATTGGGAAAGTAGGTTAGATTTTTTGGTTTCTTGAATTCGGGCCTGGGTCGAGAAAAAAGTAAGATAGGGTCAGACGTGGGTTAAACGTTTCGTTTCATGTTTACCTCTTCTTTTTTTTTCCTTGAGGAGCGTAAGGAAAATTTTCTTTTCTCCTTCTTAACCTACAGCATTTATTTTGTCCATGAAACGAAACGTTTTGCCCAGGTCTGGATAGGGTTTCGAATCTGGTTTCGACTTTTGGTCGAATTTTTGACCCTTTGTTGGTAGAAGAGGAAGAATGAGGAAATTATTGGAACACGTGGGCGTAGGATTGGGTAGAGAGATCAAGGTGGGGGAAATTGAGAAGAAAATAATTTCAGAGTGTTTTTTTTTTTAATTTTTAAGGATAGGAGATAAAATATAAGTTTACACAAGGTTTACAAGCATTTATGAAGAGTGGTGATGTGATGGAGTCCTCCAATGGAGTTGTTAGGATCGATCGATCTCCATCGATCCTCCAATCCAATGAAGTTATTGAGGAAGGAATTCGGAATATGTAGAAGGATTTAAGAGATTCTTTAATCTTTTTGGGGATAGGAGATAAACGTAGGAGACCTCTACTTCTTTTTTAAATTTTACTTGCTCTTTAGAACTCCTAAACTTTATTTTATTTTTTTTCAAGTTAGTAGCAACATGTAGCGGTGATTGTACAATAAAAATATTTTCATTATTGGACAAAAGTTGTATTAAAACACTTGAAGGACATCAATTTGCAGTTTTATCAATTCTTTTTATTGAAAATTCGTCAAAATTAATTTCTGTTGATGGAGGGGGAATTTTAAGATTATGGAATGTTAAAAAAGGAATCTGTGAATGTGTGGAAGAAGGACATAATGAAAAGATTTGGTCTTTGAGAGAATTACCTAGTGATATTAATTTACAACAAAAAAGCGAGGTTTTAATTTCTTATTAATTTTAATCCTAGGATTTGTTATAAGTCGAAAATTAGATTAAATTTAAATTAATTTCCCCGAGCGGGGTCGAACCCATGACCCCCTTCTTTTCCCAATGACATCCTTTTTTCACATGCTATTTCATTTTTGGAAATTTTAAATTTAATTTTGTGTTTATTTTACCATTTTTGATATATATTTTGAAAAAATTATCAAATGAAAAATATTTTCCCTGAGCGGGGTCGAACCCACGCCCCCCCCCCCCCCAAATTAAAATTTTTTTCAATTTTTTTCTAGGACATTGAAGAAGAAACTGGTGATTTAAATAAATTATCCGATTCATATTGGATTACTGGTGCTGCCGATGGTTTGCTTACTATTTGGAGAGATAATACAAAAATTATGAAAGCTTTAACACAAAAAGAGGCAACTAAAAAAATTACTGATCAACAAACACTTTCCAATTTATTACAACAAAATCATCTTTTTGAGGCATTGCTTTATACGTTGGATTTGGATTTGCCTTTTCAGTTAGTTTTTCTAAAATCGGTGATTCTTCGGGTTCGTAGCCCTCCCTTCTTTTTCTGACCATTTTGAGCTTTTCCCGTTTTTGTTTTTGACCGTTTTTAAATTTTAAAAATTCCAAAATATTTAATTTTTTTCCTTCATTTTTTTCTCCATATTCCAGATGTCTAAAAATTTTGCAACGACTATCGTCTGATATTGTAGCCACCTCGGATAATGATCAATTACAAAAATTAATTAATATAATTAAAAAATTGTCAAAAATTCAATTATCTGCATTACTTGGATATTCAACACAATGGAATACAAATAGCAGAACATATTCTGTAAATTTATTTTTTTCGTTAAAAATTTTTTTTTCAATTTTTAAGGTTGCCCAGCTAGTTTTAAATTGTGTTTTGAGGGCTATACCACCAGAAGAATTGATGGAATTACCCAATATAGAAAATATTGTACAACGATTTTTGCCTTATTCATTAAGGTTTTTTTATTTAAAAATTTCCTTAAAAAATTTTTTTTTTCAGACACCAAGAACGAATAAAAAATTTCCGTAAAAGTGCTGCTCATATTGATTATATGTTTTCTTCTATGCGTTTAAATGAAATTTAAAAGGTTTTTGATTAATATTGTTTATTGGTTAAGTGCATGCGTGTTGGATTATGAGGTTAATTAGTTATTTGATTGGTCTGGGTTCGAATCCAGCTGGGTTAGAATAATTTTTATTTTGTTTTGTATGCACTTTTAATCTCAAAATCGATTTTATTTTATGTTGTTATTGTTATATAAATTTTATTTTGTTTTTTAAAATTTTTTTTCAAAGCATTTATTTGCTATAATATTTATTTAATTTTAACCTTTAATTAAAAAATATTTTTTCTTTCGAAAAATGGCTTCAAGAAAGAATGAGAAAAATGTTCAAGATGAACCTGTTGATGAAGAAATGCCTCCTTTGGAAGATATAGATGATGAGTTGATTGAAGAGCCACAAATAAATGATGGAGAGGATGATGGTGGGGATGATGGATTTATTTTGGCTAAAAAGGTTTTTTTTTGATTTTTTAAGAATTTTTTGGGAGTTTTTTAAGAGAATTTTTTCCATTTTTAGACCAACAAGAAACGCAAACTTCCCAAACTTTCTACTGATGCCGACCAGCCTGATGCTAAAAAAGGAAAAGATAATGTTAACTGGGAGATGAGGAAAGTTTCAGTACCTCCACATCGTTATACTCCGTTAAAGAAGAATTGGTCAAAACTTGTAGCGCCGATTATTAATGAATTAAAAATGCAAATTCGGTTAGCTTATTTTTTTATTTTTGATTTAATATCTGCAAAGGAAAAGTATTTGCCCCTTGCCACACCTTTGGTGTGCATTAAACAATTTTTGGACTCCCTTGGGATCAATTTTGGTTGAAGAAGAGCAAACATTGGATGAAGAAAAAAATAAAAATAAATTACCCAGGACAGGTTCGAACCACCGTCCCCATTCCTTCTCTTTTTACTGTCTAATTTCTTCCTTTTACTATAGAACAGTTTTTAGGCTCACTGGGATCACCCCCTCCCCCCGAGTGAAGGAAAAAATAAATTACCTTAGGACGGGGTCGAACCCGCGACCCCCATTTCTTCTCTTTTTACTATCAAAAATTCCTATTTATTCATTAAAAAATTTTTTTTCAAGTTATAATCTCCGAACTCGAAATGTGGAAATTCGATGTCCAAATGCTGATGGAAACAAGACACATTTACAAAAGGCTGCTGATTTTGTACAAGCATTTTTGTTGGGATTTACGATTGAAGATGCTGTTGCTTTAATTCGTTTTGATCATATGTTTATGGAAAGCTTTGAAATTAATGACGGTTTTCTTTTAATTTTTTTTCTAATTTAATAAGGGTTTTCCTTTATTTTTATTTTAAAAAATTTTTTTCCTCAAACGGGCTCGAACCCACGACCCCTCTTCACTAAACCACTTAACCAAAACATCTAAATCTTTAAAAATTTATTTTTTAAAGTCAAAACCCTTCGTGGTGACCACCTCAGTCGAGCAATTGGCCGAATTGCTGGAAAGGATGGCCGTGTTAAAACAACAATTGAAAGTGTTACACAAACGAGAATTGTTTTGGCAGATGATAAAATTCATTTACTTGGAGCTTTTAATAATTTAAAAATTGCGAGACACACAATATGTTCTTTAATTATGGGTATTTTTTTTTTAATTTAATTTTTAAAATAAAATTTCCCCGGACGGGTTCGAACCCGCGACCCCCCACTACCTTCATTTTTCTGCTTTTATTTTTTCTGAATTTTTGACATTTAAAAAATTTTTAAATTTATTTTTGGATCCATTTTGAGATTTTTACTTATTAAAATTTAATTTCGCAAAAAATAAAAATAAATTTCATCAAGCGGGTTCGAACCCACGACCACCTCTTTTATTTTCTATCTTTCTGTCTGTTTACATTTAAAATATTTTCAAATTTATTTTTGGCCCATTTTTGGAATTTTTAATGTTCAAAATTTAATATTTTCAAAGTAAAAATTAAATTTCCTCAAACGGATTCGAACCCTATACCTCTCTCCCCTACTTTTTCTTAATTAAACCACTTAACCAAAACATTTAATAATTATTTTTTCTAATATTTAGGTACCCCAATAAACAAGATTCACGGAAATTTGAGAAGTTTGGCAAGTAGATTGGCAGAACAACTTTAAAAAATAAAAAATTTTTTATGTTGACAAGGTGATTTGTTAAATAAAAATATTGTTGAATAAATAAAAAAGGTTTTATTAAGCACTAATAAAAATATTTATTTTTCACACAAAATTAAAAATATTTAAATAATTTTAAAATTCTAAAAATACATTTTCTTTTAAATAGAAAAATTACATGCCAAAAATAATTTTAAATTAATATTAAAATTTGCGTATATATAACTTTTTTAAGTGTTTTCTAAACAACAAGAAAAGGGAAAAAACTAGAGAAATAACCGGATTTTAATTTAAAAAAAAGAAAATAGGGGAAAAGAGATCTAAAACAATATTTTTTTAGTAATTTATAGAGAGAAAGGAAAATTTTTTTGTGAATATTTTTTGATTAAACTAATCCATTACCAGTAGATTTTTTAGAAAATTGAAAGAAAAAAATAAATTTAAAATAATGTACCGTATTGCCTCTAATAGAATGCCCCCTCTTTAATTAAAAGCCCCTCCTCTCTAATAGACTGAAAAATTGAAAGACAACATTCCCCCCTTTTAGAGAATGATTAATAAATAGAATGACCTCTCTCCCTTTAATAGAATGCCCCTTTTTAATTAAAAGCCCTCCCCTCTCTAATAGACTGCCTCTCTAGAGAATGATTGATAAATAAGTAGAAGGCCCTCACTCTTCTTACAATAAAATGCCCCCCCCCCTTGGACGACTACCCCTCTCTAATTAAAAGCCCCTCCCCTCTCTAAATGATTGATAAATAAGTAGAAGGCCCTCTCCCTTCCTACAATAGAATGCCCCTCCTTCTAATAGACTACCTCCTCTTTAAAAAGTGATTGAAAAATAAAATGGCCAGGCATTCTATTAGAGGTAATACGGCATTATATTTAATATTTTTTAGAGTAAAAGGAATGATTTTTAAAGTAATTTTTAAAAAATTTAATTTTTTTAATGGCCACACAGTCATTTTTCATTGTTGTTGTTGGGAAACTTGATTAAATAATGAAAGTATTGAATTTATACAAAATGGATTATTTGAAGAATTATTCAAATTACTTGAAGAAGTAGACAATTCTTGTGAAGGAATAATTGTTTGTTGTTGAATGATTAACGGATTAATTAAATTGGTTAGGGTAACATTGTTTGTTAATGTTTGTTGTGGTAATGGTGGTGTGGAGAATAGTACTGGAGTTCTGAAAAGAATGGAAAAATGAGTGGGTTTACATTTTTGAATATTTTGGACGTTTTGTAATTGTGGCATTTTGTAATTTGGACATTTTGGGTTTTCTTTAATTAAAAGCCCCCTCCCCTCTAATAGACGGCCCCTCTAAAAAATTTTTTGTTTTGGACATTTTTAACTTGTGGCATTTTGTACGTGTGACATTTCGTAATTGACGTTTTATAGTTGTGACATTTTGGGTTCTGGACATTTTTAAATTTTGGCATTTTGAGGTCCCCAAAATTTTGAAAAATTTTTCAAAAAATTTTTTTCTCTACCTGTCACTTAATTGTTGTATCCCTTCAGAAGCAGTAGCCCTCTTCCTGTTATCATCCTCATTTTCTTCTTCAGTTTCCATAGCTTTTGAATTTTCAGCCAAATTATTAAGTCTCATAAAATTTAATGTTTGAAGGGTTGACTGTAAATTTGTTTGTTGTGTTGAATCAAAAGGTTGTTGTGGAGGTTGAATTAAATTAATAGGGGGAATTTGGGCTAATAAAGAAGTTGGTAATGAATATAGCCATTCATAAATTAAGTTGGAAGAGGAGGAAGAAGGAGGGGAAGAGTTGGTGGAAGATGATGGAAGAGGAAGAGATGAAGAAGGAAGTTGGAAGGGAAGAGGAAGAAGAGAAGGATTTTGTGAAAGAGGGGATGAAGAGGTGTTGATGGTGGAAGATGAAGGAAGGGGAAAGGTGGAAGAAATGGGTAGAGGAGGAAGAGGAAGAGAAGGATTTGTTGTTGAAGGAAGAAGAGTAGAAAGTAGAGGAAGTTGTTGCTGTTGTTGTTTTTGCTGTGTATTATTAACTAAAGTAGCTATTTGTAAAGGAGTTAATGGTTGTTGTTGTAAAGGTATAGGTTGGGAAGCAACATAAATATGTTGTGAATTAATTGAAGAAGATTGTTGATGTTGTTGGTGTTGGGAAGCTATAGAATTTAAATAGGCAGAAATTAAATTGGAAGTAATCTGTGGTGTAGTGGGTTGTGGTTGGGGTTGTTGGGGGAGAAGAGGGTTAAATTGACGTGGAGTAGAATTATTTAAAAATAAATTTAACGAAGCTTGTTGTTTTTGTTGTAAATTTATTTTTGAAGAAAATTGTTCTTGAAAATGTTGAAAATTTGTTGTTTGTTGGTGTTTTTCGAGACTTAAACGTCCCCCTCCAAAATTTAATTCTTTTCTTGATTCAATTAAAAAATTGTTTGAATTATTCCACTGTTTTCTAGGTTTGTATTGTTGTCGAGGCTTTTTTTGTTGTTTGGTTAAAATTATTTTTGAGTTGTTTATTTCCTTGTTTATTCCAATTAGAGGACTTGAGGAGGAATTTAATATTTCACAAAATTCTGTATCGTCGTCAATACTTCCGTCATCAGTTCCTCCTTCACGTGCCTTCTTTTGCCGACGTCTTAGTTTGATTTGGGCGGCCATTAGACGACGTCTACAAATATTTTGAAGTTTTAACTTGAAATTTAGGGTAAATGGACGTTTGAGTCTTAAAAATTTTTTTGTTTCTGAGGGCCATAACTGTCTTAATTCTCAACCGATTTGAATGATTTTAGTATCGATTGAAAGCTATGAATGTAGGGATCATTTTTTCTAAGAGGATTGATATAATCAGATCAATGTAAAAAAAGTTATGGCCGAATAATTGATAGAAATCGTGATTTTTGATAGTTTCGTGATTGTAACTTTTTATGAGAGGGTTTGATCAGATCAATCCTGTTTGGTAAAATAATCTACAGAACCAGAGCTTTCGAATGGTATATAAATTATATAAATCGGTTGAGAATGAAAAAAAGTTATGGTCCAAAATAAGGCCTTAAGACGGAAACCTCCCCCACCAATTATAACTAAAAACTCACCTCTCTTCCACTAAACCACACTTTTCACATTCACAAATTCGAAAAGGGCAGACTGCCTAAAATTCAAAAAAATTTTATAAAATTTTCAAAATTTTCCCTCCCTATACCTTTTTATGTCCCCTCAAAGCACTTTCTTTACCGTGTGCTGTACATCTCGCACACATTGGATTTCTTGCTTTAGGCCCCAAATTAATTCCTCCCATCAATCCTTTTAATTTTCCCTCTCCAGGTTTTCGAGTATTTAAAGCGTTGTTTAAACGACGACGTTTTTCGACCATTTGACATTCTGCACATTGACAATCTCTGTAGCGGCAAAATGGTTTGTGGCCTTTACGTGGATGTTCCTAAATTTTTTGGGATTTTAATTTTTTGTGTTTCGTATATTTTCGAGGGAAATTCTTCAAAAAACCAAATTTTTACAGAAATGGACACTTGAGTCTCAAGAAAAATTTTTGTTTCAAAGGTCATAACTTTTAGAATACTTGGCCAATTTGAACAATTTATGTATCAATCGAAAGCTCTTGATCTGCAGATTATTTTTCTAACAGGTTTGATCTGATCGGATGAACGAATGAAAAATTAGGGCCAAATAACGACCAAAAATCACGATTACGCGTACTTATCAGGCAGTAACTTTTCATATAATGATCTGACTTGATCGATCCTGTTGAGAAAAATGATCCTTACATTCTGAGCTTTCGATTGATATAAAAATGAAAGAGGATGGTTTAGAATAAAGAAAGTTATGGCCCAAAAATAAGGCCTCAGAACAGCCCTCCTTCCAAAATTTACCTCTTTATGATTTAAACATCTTTGACAGAAATATTTTTTATCTTTGGGATCATCAAAATCAGCACAACTACTTCCCCCAGAACTTAAAGCTGTTGTTGTTGTTTCAGACAAAACATTCTCAAATTGTTTATTATTTAAAGGTGTTGGAGTATATGAAAGTATATCTATTAAATTTTTATTTTTTTCTTCTTCCTCATTTTCTTCTAAAGAGGATAATAAATGTTGTTGTGGGGGTATTGTATAAAAACTATTTATATTTTTTGTTGCCGTTGTAGTAGTAGTTGGTGGTTGGGGTCAGACGTGGGCGAAACGTTTCGTTTCGTTTCGTTGTTTCGTATGTTTCGTATGATTTTTACTGTTTCGTCTCGTTTCGTTACGAAACACTTTTAAATTTGTTTCGTTTCGTTTCGTTACGAAACACCTGTGATTTTTCAACGAAACGAAACAATTTTTTAAGCCTAAACTAAGGCCAAAATCTATAAAATTTACCATCTTTTATTGAAAATTTAAAAAATTTTCGCCTGCTTTTTTCGCCAAATTTTCGCCAAATTTTCGCCTCTCGAAATGGAGATATGGAGACAATTTGGGTAGGCAATGGAGCAAGATAGTGAATTTTTTGGCCTACGGCCTTTCAAAATTTTAAAATTTTTCGTCTGCGGCGCTTAAAATAAAATTTTACTTGAAAAATATTCAATTTTATTTGAAAAAAAGCGTCGCCAAAAATTCGGCTTCGAAAATGATTGACCCCCCCCCCTTCCCCGAAAATTTTCCTTGCTACGGGCCTGGCTTATGGGACACAATTGTTGTAAATAAACCAATAACTAAATCATTTATAAGTAGGCGACTAATAAAGTATTTGAGGTCGAATAATTGCGAAATAAATGCAGTTTTGAAAATTTTTTGAATATTAAAATGTTTCGTTTTGTTTCGTTTCGTTTCGTAAGATTTAGGTTGTTTCGTTTCGTTTCGTTAACGAAACGATTTTTAAAAAATTTTGTTTCGTTTCGTTTCGTCAGAAAAAAATTTTGAGTTTCGCCCAGGTCTGGTTGGGGTGATGAAAATGTTGAGGAAGTTGGTGAGGAATCTGAAATTTTTTAAATATTGTTGTCGGTTTTTTGACTATAACTTTTTGTTAAGTGGGCCCAAAATTTTGTTCTTTATATCAAAAGATAGAGGAGGATGTAGGCTACAAAATTGTTTTTAGCTAAGATTTTTATCTTTAAAATCCAAAGAGATATAATAGTTTAAATGAGGCTTACTCATGCATTTTTAAACTTTTTTGTCAGTTTTTTGACTATAACTTTTTTAAATTAGGGGCTAAAATAAAATATAATATATCATTTTGTAGCCCTAAATCTCCTCTATCTTATAGCAAAAAATCAAATTTATAACTTTCTCCAAAGAAAAATTATGGGCTTTAAACTAGACCCATATCAGGCTTTAAATTTTTAAAAATGTCCTTGTGGTTAAGTTGGAAAATTCTTTTATTTTCCCCTAAATTCTCCCATAAAAGTTAAAGGTTCGAATCCACTTGAGGAAAAATATTTTTAAAATTACTATTTGAGTAGAAAAAATTTTTTTAGAAGTGTTTTTAATCTTTTGGCATTCTGTTATTTTTTAGAAAATTAATGTTTCATGAAAAATAAAAGATTCTTTTAAAGAAAAGATAAAATTAAATTGAAAACCCTCCAATTTTTATCTAAAAATTTATTTGATTGGTTTTGTTGCCGCCCATTAAAAAAAGAGAATAAAGAAAAGAGGCGAGATTGGCTTTTTAGATACGGTAAATGAATTCTCGAGAGAATAAATAAATGTGCAGGTGTTGCTATAAATTAAAAGAGAGAGGGAAATGATTGGGTAAAAATTAAAGACAGTAAAACCTGACTGACGTTTTAAGTCATAACTTTTTTTTAAAATAAGATACAAATATAAACTAAACTTTTTAAAATAGAGAGAGGTGAGGGCTTTAAACTTCTCTAAAAAATAAAATTAAATCTTTTAAAACAAAAAAGTTATGAATTTTTACCTAATTATTTTGACATTTTTGTTAGTTTTTTGACCATAACTTTAAGTTAAGTGGGCCTAAAATTTTGATACTTATATCAAAAGATAGCGGAGGATGTGTGCTACAATCTTATCTAGAGATACAAGTTTCATCTCGAAAATCCAAAAAGATATGATACTTTAAATGAGGCTTACTCATACATTTTTACCCATTTTTGTCAGTTTTTTGACCATAACTTTATCTAAACAAGAGCCTTAATAAAAGATCATATATCATTTTGTAGCCCTAAATCTCCCCTATCTGTCAACAAAAAATCAAATTTATAACTTTCTTTAAAGAAAAGTTATGGGCTTCAAACTGGACCCATGTCAGGCTTTAAAATTTAAAAAATGCCCTTGTGGTTAAGTCGGAAAATTCTTTTATTTTTCACCTAAATTCCTCCAATA